ACCTCTTTCATCCCTGCCGCTCTCACGGCTTTGCCAATTATTTCCAGAGACGAAAGCATTCATCCTGGATGAATTAAGCGCCAGAGGACTACGAGCCATGTTCTTAAGGCTTTACTTTATCCCGTTTTTGTCTCCAAATATGGAATCTCACAAGAGAACACACAAACGGGATGAGCCTATTACTTCCTCTAATTTGTGGAGATGAAGGCTTTTGGAAGTATAAACTAAGATAGTTTCAGTTTTTTCTCTTCCTTGGCTGCTGTCTACAAATACTAAATTGATGCATCGCATTCTGATCGCATCATCATCAATCTCCTCAGACGCTGGCTAACGTTTCAAACAAGCAAGTTAAGGCTCTATTATCTTGGTCACAACTACTCCGTTCACATCGTTCCAATATTATCAAGGACCATGTAGACGAGAGGTTGTGACGCTACCTGCCAACAGCTAATAACTATGCTGAGACCTGCCTTCCCGAAAATTATGGCTTCCTTAAGTCCTTAGTATTAGAGATGCAGCCCCTTAATATTTAAGAACTCAAATGCGCAGTCCTTCCCTCTTCGCTCTAATTTACATCAAGAGTGTGAGCGTGAAGTTTTTGTTGATCCTGCTCCAGTGGTGTATAGTGCGACGCAGCCAATATGGGTCTACTATGGTTTGGACGGCTACGATACCACTGAAGACATTTTGTCGGAGAACCTGCAAGCAGAGGATCGAGAAATCCTCATCCACTGTAAAAGCAATTATGAGAGCTCGCTGCTAGGAAAGCCTATACTTTCTCATAAGAATAAGAGAAAATATAGGTTGCTCTATCTTCTCTTCTAAGTATTACTGCACCGATCCGCTGCCACCGCGATTCCAGAATGTACATACTGTTTTTCTCTCTATTTGGATGAAACATGCAAAAGCTCTTACATCTGCTGGCCTTGCCCGAGATCATCACTCGACTAATACTTTTCTTGGCAAATAAGAGCTCTCAATGTAATTTAATAATTGCGCTACTCCCGAAAATGTAAATTTCTTTATCTTGGAGTACTCTTGTATCTCTTTTTGATTTACATGCTCTGGATAATTTACTCATCTCTCGGTTGCAGCACCATCATACTAAAACGTTGGACATATTGAACCCTACGAATATTTTTTCGTGTGCAGGTGAAACTATGATAAATTCCATATTACTACTGAACCCATGCGATTTTCTCATTGTTGGTGATAGTAGATCCTCTTCCTGAACCCAGTGCTTAAACATTGTTTCTCCACTTGATGGTGATTGAAGATAATAATATATTTGGGAACCAAGTCAAAAAATAATTGATAATCAAACTGCCGTGCCTCGAGCGCTACTAGTTAATATATTCTAAATGCTTCAAGTTTTTCTTGCAGCCACCAGCCACCAATCGCCCACCCAGAGGGATGGGAAAGGGGAAAAAAAAAAAGTGTTCGCGAGAAAAGAAGAGACAGGTTTTCACAGGGAAAGAAAATGTCGCACCTTTTACTAATGCCTATATGCTCCAATTCTCCACTGCTCCCCAATCCTTTTTTTTCCCTCTCTCCTCTCCCTCTGGGTGGGCGATTGGTGGCTGGTGGCTGCAGAAAGAGAATCGTGTGTGAAAAATGAATTCGCTTCTGTGAATATTTCTAACGATGATTAGAGGCGGAGATGGTTCATTTTGTTTCATGTCTAGATGTAGCCTTTCTTATGAACGGAATGGAGGTGAAAGCATTTTTGTTTTGAAGGCTGGGAAATGTGAAAAGAGCTTGCGGTCGCATTCATCATGGAAAAACTTCATACATTTAATTTTTTCTCCAACGAATAGGCAGGTAGGGAACGAGAGTGAGTGGGTATGAAGGAAGGTTTTTGCATCTGTGTTCTTTGGTGTAGTTTGAGATAAAATGGGAAGACGTGCTGGGCGAGCCGAGCGCTGTCGTAGAGCTAAACAAAGATTGGCAGTGGATTTGAAGAACGAGCGATATTTTTTAGTCATATTGAAGACAGATTCGAATTTTCATGTTTTCAGTACTAGAGAGTCTCCGGATTTACTATGTCAGAACTATCATCACTTTATTCTTGCGACAGACTACTTCGTTGTGGATGAAATCTCCTTCGCCTTCGATCATTCCTCCTGGGAGTATCAATTTGATCTCCTTGTGCTTTTGTTTATTCATGTAACAACACTTCGGGTAACAGTTACGTAGAGTTACTTGTTCTTCGCCAAGGTAAGATTTTTTTATGAGATATTCGTTTTTGTGCATGATCACATCAAAATATTTTTTGTCATATTCATTTCGGTGCGTGATCACATCAAATTTTTTTTTTATTGTTTTTGTTCTTATTGCCTTTCTCACATCAAATTATTTTTTTGTTTTTGTTCTTATTGCCTTCCTCGTATTCCGTTTCTGCACGCTTGTGCGCAAATTTAGAGTTCTAGGATAGGTAGAAAAGTGTTCATCCTCCAGTATCTCCGGAGTCCTTGTTGTTATCGTCCTCTGGTGTAAGTAAAAACGTTTGATTTTGAGACCTTGTGGATATTGATACTTTTACGAGGAAGGAGTAAGCTATCAAAGATCAGCAAAATGGCAGCCCGACAGGAGCACCGTGAGGCGATGAAGCGACTCTGTGAGCGAGTCTTTACTGGCATGTCGCCGCAAGCGAAGCGTCAGTTTTTGCGCAATAATGGAATTAATGTATTTGATTTTAAAGATTTAGCTCTTCTTCATTATGTTAGATGTTAGTGGTCTGCATTTCTATAACTTCACATATAACAACGAAACTCCTTTGCAGCACTTTACATCTGTGTGACCTCGTTTTAGATATTTTTTCTTCCTCTCATGATAACAGGAAGAGGAGATTGCTGGCACGATGACGCCTATAGAGGTTGTCCAGGCACCGATCAATAATGCGAGGGAAGATGGTTTCAACACTCCTCGTGGTGAAGAAGAGCAGGCTCGTGTAGAAGGAGCACACGAAGAGGTTGCAGCAGATGACACAGATGAAGCTATTACTCAGTGGATCGAGGATGTGTGGAATCGCAGTGAAGGGAATAAGGACTGGAAGAAAGCTCAGGATGTGATGAGGGCGTTGCCAGATTATCCACATCTCATCGAGCAGGCGGATGAGCAGCACGACTTTCTTCCGAGTATTCAGGTGGAAGTGGATGGAAATCGAGCAAGGTAGTGGGGGTTTCATTTTTGGGAAAGTCATTAGATTGTTCTTCGGCTTCTACGTATGCATTCATGTTGATTGAGGATGGTAGTGAATATTTATAATTTAGTTAATTTCATCCTCTGGTGTAATTAATTTCATCCCTAAATTCAGGCTCTTGCGCGATCGCGATTTGATGAGCGACTGGGATTACAAAAACATTTACATGCGAACTTTCCCAGGTGGTGACGAAGTTGAACAAAAAGAGTTTCTTGACCTTGGTGGCAAAACGGTACTGCTACTGAATATTAGGACTGTAGGCTTGAAAGATCGCGGGATGATGAAAACACTTTGAGGTAAAAGCTCTGCCAGTGGGCTTTTTTTGGTCTTATCCTTTATTTCAAATTCACAGCGGGCGAGTCTTACGAAGATTCTGATCAAGAGCAAACTGGCGGAAGCGGAAAAAGATTGGCTGCGTTCGATCGACAAGAAAGATACCAAAAACATGATGTTAAGGTGGAAGATTTTTATTTTTTGTTTCTGGTACTCCCGACTCTCCTGTGGATATTATTCTTCTGGGAATATCTAGTCTCATTTTTCTAGCAGGGTAGACAGCTTTCTAATGAGCAGCCTGATCTGCATGGTGCTGCTGGACATCCGGAATTTTTTCTCGGAGGATCATCGATTGAAAGTGGAGCGATCAATGACGCGCTCGGGAGTCACTTACAAGGTGTTGCTGAAAAAAATTTTAAGGCTATTCGATTTTTCGTATCATGGATTTCATTCGAGGAAGAAAAAGTAAGCGAGTAAAAAGATATCTTCTAATGCAGCTAAAGCAGATTTTCACCATCGACCGCCTTCTGGTCCTCACGGCGTTCGAGGACTTAGGCTTCTAGAAGGTAGGCAAGGATGGAAGCAAGCGAAGGTGAAAATGGAAAAGCTCGAATCAGAACCCACATGAAGATGCTTTATCTATTGGAGATTGGTGTGTAGGTGAATTGTTTTGATGAGCCCCGCTGTCTACGATAGATGGAGATGTGTACTAGCACGAATTAGAACCCACATGAAAGAAGTAGCTTTATCTATTGGAGATTGGTGTGTAGGTGAATTGTTTTGATGAGCCCTGCTGTCTACGATAGATGGAGGCTTGTCCTAGCATTGTGCAGGTGATGAAGGAGTTAATATTTGAACCCCTTGCTTCGTCTTTGTCTGACGGATCGGTCAAAATGGTAGGAGTTGTGTTGCGTATTTCTGGAGTCAAGATATTGGAATATATAATATTCATAAATATGTTCATGATAAGTGAAAGTAGTACGTAGTTGACATACGCATACTAGCTCATATTCGTCAAGCGTTTCGGCCCACACACCACGAACATCAAGATGCACTACATACTAGCAATGAAGATGTAAATTTTTTCAATATATGAACAGGTTTCGACTGTAAAAACTTGAGTTCTGAGAATCCATAGATCTGTTAAGAGTTCAACTTTTCACTCTGGTGAGATCTTGGGAAGATGGATTATGCTTACGAGAAAACAATGATGGTATTACTTTATACCTGTGTGAGAAGCGACAGCACATAACAGGCGTTGAGATATGTGAGGGCATGGAAACTCTCTGTTGAGTAGGCAAGAAAAACTGCTCTGTAATAGATGAAGAAAAAAAAAATGGAGGAGACATGGCGTGAGCTTTTGTAGGTTGTGTTCCTTGGAAGTATTCACCTCATAAACATACCAGCATGATGCAGCTACAGGTCGTCAAGGTGATCCCTTTCCTCCTCTTGCTTTTTTCGTATTGGATTCTATTGCTGGAAAAAATTGAGTTCTGCATTACAATCTGAATTATTGCGTTGCCAAGCGAGCATTTAGCCTTGTGTTGGTGCTGGAAAAATCGAGTTCTGCAGTACAATTTGAATTATTGCGCTGCAAAGATCCTTTTTTTTTTTGATTGTGCGTGGGCAGATATCTACTTGGTTGTGATTGATGATTTAGTGCTAGCTCTAGTTGGTTTTTTTTTTAGCTTGTAATCGTGGATCTCAGCTAGATTTCTACTTGGTGGCTGTTAATTTCGTGCTAGCTCTCGTTCGACCTTGTAGCCGTGGCGCGTTATCTTGGAGACGATATCATTAAGCTGCCTGCTTCTGGGTTTCCGTGGCCTCATCCTACCAGATTTTCTGAGAATGTTTTTGGGGCCAAACATTAACGAGAGAAATTGGGGGAGGGAGTATGCGTTTCCGGTGCATCCTAGGGAGTCGCTGGACTATTGGCCGGCAGATGTATTGAAAAGCCACAGGGACAAATGTAAGGCACGGCTGCAGAAACTGCAAAGGGATTACCTTGCCATGGGAGGGGATGAGGGTGAAGTCACAGAGATTGACTCGGGTGCATCTTCCAGTGACGAGGTGGAGGGAGGGGAACACTGGGAGCAGGCACAAGAGGGGAGTGAATTGCTGTCGCAGCTGGCGAAAGCTAGGAAGAGCGTGAAGCGAAAACACCTGGAGTTGATAAAAGAATCCTCCCCGAAGGGACTTTTCCACTCCATGCGTAAACGTGTATCATCTGCAGGGGGTGTACAGAATCGGGCGAGGATGGACGTGGAGAAGGAGCTGGCGGAGGACATTAGGAGGATAAACCAAGAGGGTCGAAGACCATGGGGGCCGAGGAAGATCCAGAAGGAGTTTATAGAGAGGATGGTAGACATTGGGCAGGAGAATTACTACGGTGTGCGGAACGGTGTAGGCCATAAAGCTACTTATAGCTGGTTCAACTCCTTCAAAAAACGGACAGGGCTGAAGATTATCAAGAACATACACAGCACGAGCGTCAGGAGTGACGAGCAGCTACGGGATGAAATATTTTTGACTTGGGGCCGCTGGCGTCATTACTTGGCTATGATTAGGGAGAGAATGCTGCAAAAGGAGCGGGAAAGTGGTCGACTGCCTTGGGTGGTTCGCATGAATATGGACGAGACTTTCCTCCGCAGTCATGTGGAGGCAAGGTCTGCGGTGGTGCCGGTGGAAAACCCAAAGCGTGTGAACAGAGCATGGTCAGGAGCAAAGCAAACAACTCGAGAAGGTCACTCCGCTGTGTTGATTGTGACAGATACTCCTGCGGTACAGTTTCGGCCTACGTTCATTTTCGACGCTAAGAATCCACCCGCAGAGCGTAAGCAGATGATAGCGAATATCTGGAGCGAGGTTGCACACTTGGAGTTGGACGGGAATGGGAAGGGGAAAAAGGTCGTGGACACGTATCTGATGAGTGAAATAGTGAGGCGCCTCGTTAAAGAAAAGAAGCAAATAGAAAAAGAGCTGGGGAATGAGCTAGTATTGCTATGGATATTGGATCCTTTAGGTGCGCACATGTTGGACGACAGTACTCGCGAGGAATATCTGGAGGAAAAAGAATCCATATACACTTTCGTGCTCCAACCGGAAACGGGGACAAAACTGCAGCCGTTAGATGTTCAGGGGATTATCTCTTCTATCAAGAACGCGCAGAGCCAGGTGGATGATGAGGAGAAAGAATATTACTCGATGCTGGACACTGATTTTCGAGATTATTTGATAAAAAAGCTGCAGCTATGCTCAAAAGACACCACCTTTGATAGACTTGGTTTCTATCTTAGCTGCGACGAATTCGCTCCACTTCAGAGCGAATTGCAGAAGTTTTTACTGGGTGAGCAGTGAGGAACGAAGGAGAGGGGGAGAGAGAGAGAGGGGGAAGGAAGTCTGGTAGGATGATGAGGCAGGAAACGCAGAAGGCGGGTGGAGTCTAAGAGAGGAAATGAGTAGCAAGGTGAGCAACAAGCTAGAAGATGGAGGACTTGAGGAGGATTTGGTCGAATTTCTGGAGGGTTCTGTCGAGGACTTGAATGGGGAGGAGATAGAAGAGGAGCAGCCAGCAAAGAAGCGCAAGGCTTCTAAGATCTTCTTCCAGACTAAGTGGGAGGATGACCAAGCTGAAGACCGTGAAGAAAAGGAAAGGGCTCTCGAAGAGGCGAAGAAGATTCTATGCGAGGCAGGCCTATGGCGTTGGCCCAAGTCTGGGAAAGAAAAAACGAAGGACGAGGATAAGCTGGCACATGAACAGAAACAACTGAACAGGCGCAAAGCAATATGCGACTTTGACAGAAAGAGCAGGGCAATTGTAAACAAAATCGCGAAGAAAAGGCTGGAAATTGCGAAGGATAATCGTTTGAGGAAGCACTTCGCTCCTGGGACAATCGTAAAAACGGTCCCGGTCCATACTGTCCAAACAATGGCTAAGCATGGTATTTTTTTGCAGGATTTGGATTGTAATAGCTCAAAGAACGCACTCCTTAGGTTTAGGATATAGCTAAAGTTTGTGGCTCATAAATTAGGTTTATGCTCGTGGAAAGAAGGAAGATAGAGAGTAAATATAGAAAGTATAGGTATGTAAAAAAATATGCCGCATCCTGGCGAAGAAGGACAAACTATTCCACGGCTGGTGGAATGTCGTCACTGTGGTGACTTTTACGCGGCTCGTGGATTAGCATCACATGAGCGCGCTTGTCGGGACAAACAAATCGACGACTTTGATGATGCTGCTGCGCTGGGATGTAATTCTTAGTGTTTTAGTTGTAGGGCCCCTTCCCTGCCAGGGACAATTGGAGGAAGGGCGCGATGCGTTGCGAGCAGGGCTATTTGCTCCTTGCTCCTTCGCTGTTTGGGGGTTTTTTGCTGCGATCTGGTAGTCTTAGGGAATCTGGGCAAGCTCCTAACCGTCCAGGCGCTAGCCTTTTGGGAGCTTTCAGGGCTTCGAGTTTCGAGCGTGGAACTGATTCCTTAAACGCTTGGCAACGGTCCCCCTGTCAAGCGTTTAAGGATCTGGACACGAGTAGAGTCCTCATTTTTGTGGATTTTTTTAAATTTGCGCCAAGTTTTTAAAAAAACGAGTTCCCTGCCTTTTGGTGTTCTGCTTTGTCACTTTCCTGGGTATTTTGCTTCATTTTTTTGGAGAATTTTTGGGCTCGCCAAAGCTATAATTTGCTTCCACTTTCTTCGTGGACTTGTTTCCTTTTCTCTTTACATTTTTGCGCTGAGTTTTTTGCTGTCGTGGTGTGCATTTTGTATTTTTGTTCGCGGTGGTGGCTGCTTCTAACACGACTAGAAACAGCCGATCCAACCACCGCGAAACCCTCCGGTGGTTGGGGTGGTGGCTGCTTTGGTCTCCCCGGCATTCTCTTAAGTAGCCACCCAGCCACCATTAAAAAATATAAGATATCTACTTTCTTTCTTTTTACTTTGGTGGTTGGGTGGTCACTTAAGAGAATGCCGGGGAGAGATGCCCAACCACCAAGGCGACCACCCTCGTCACGTTGCCTACGTCTACCATTTAGATATCGGATCCGCACGGGTTTCCGTTCCTTATATTTCAAAGCTCCTTTATTTGGTTACCTTTTAAATTTTTTGCTTCTTTCTTTCCATTCTTCTCCAATTCGTCTAATATTTTACGTTGTAAGTTTTGTCGTCAAATTTGGAACTTTTTCTGGTTCAAAAATAGGGAAGGAAAAAAAAATCAATCCATCGCGTTATCTGTTTCGAATGGATTGAAATGTGTCCAAGATATGGAGTATTTAGCTGATCTGATTAACCGATAGAAATCCGAACAATTCCCCTTAGCGAATAGATTGAAATATCTCCAACGCCTACCATCTTGGAGTATACTTCGGAGAAATCAAACACCCCGAGAATCGATTTTTTTCGCCGACTGCCAAAGTCGCCCGATAAATATACTTTAGAAGAATACTTTTCTTTTAATTCACCTGGAGTTGAGGCGAAAAAAATTCCTCTCGTCGGTGTTTACTTTCGCCATTAATTTCCCAAAAAAAGGAGACACGGCAGTAGAAAGATGAAGAACGAACCGACTCCCATCCTATCTCGAGACAGTTAAATATTCCATGCGCTGAATTTTTCTCCTATTCTTTTTTCCTGATTCTCGTGCGTTTTGAATATTTTCATATCTACAGAAATGGAAAAAGTTCCGACGGTTGTTTTTTCTCTAAAGTAGTCCGATTTTCTTGACATTGGTCACGTTTGAATATTCGAAAAAATAAAAAAGTCAAACAGTTTGGAGCCTCTTTTACTACAGTCACCTGCGCACTCGATTGATCTCTCTACCGTCTGGCAATGCAGTCGGCTACTTCTGCTGCCAGTTTCATTACTTAGGCGCTGCGCGATCATCTTAGTAAATTTCTACAACTGAATAACCAAAGCAATCTCAGACCCATACATTTCCACGAACTCCGCGCAACGATCGAAGCGAATGTCTACAGTCAGAAGAACCAAGGACCCTCGTCGCCTCCGGTGGATGGGGTCGCCGATCCCGATCCGTCGAGGCTGTAGACCTAAAACGCGCGCACAGGTCTCCGAGTTGGTTCCCGCGCATTTTTCTCCTGTCCATGTTCTAAGGCCTGAGCGTCGTGGATGATCAGGAGAGAAATGCGCGGGAACCAACTCCGCAACGTGTGTCCGCGTTTCAGGTCTACCGTCAGAAGAACCAAGGACCCTCGTCGCCTCCGGTGGATGGGGTCGCCGATCCCGATCCGTCGAGGCTGTAGACCTAAAACGCGCGCACAGGTCTCCGAGTTGGTTCCCGCGCATTTTTCTCCTGTCCATGTTCTAAGGCCTGAGCGTCGTGGATGATCAGGAGAGAAATGCGCGGGAACCAACTCCGCAACGTGTGTCCGCGTTTCAGGTCTACCGTCAGAAGAACCAAGGACCCTCGTCGCCTCCGGTGGATCGGGATCGCCGACCCCATCCACCAACTCGGGACCTGTGCGCGCGTTTCAGGTCTACAGTCTCGACGGATCGGGATCGCCGACCCCATCCACCAACTCGGGACCTGTGCGCGCGTTTCAGGTCTACAGTCTCGACGGATCGGGATCGCCGACCCCATCCACCAACTCGGAGACCTGCGCGCGCGTTTCACGTCTCCGAGTTAGTTCCCGCGCATTTCTCTCCTGTCATCCACGACGGTCAGACCTTAGAAGAGGGACAGGAGAAATGTGCGCGGGAACCAACTCCCAGACCTGTGCGCGCGTGTCAGGTCTACGGTCTCGACGGAACGGGATCGGCGACCCCATCCACCGGAGCCGACGAGGGTCCTTGGTTCTTCGAGGATGCTGGAACTTTTTCCACGAATCCGTCAGCGAATCGCATCGCGTACGGTGGGAAAAAGGTCGCGACATGAAAAGGCTCGCGGCCTCTGCTTCCGCCGATGCTGAGCAGCTGAGCTACTGATCGTTGTCCTTTCGACCGTTCTGCTTATTAATTATTGTATTCGCCTCCGGTTCCTTTCTTGTGATTATGTGGTACCGATTAGGTACTTTCGCTTCCTCGTCTTCGTTTTCATACGATGAGCACGGTGCTGATTATTGGAGAAAAAGACTCTGGGCTTCTTCCGCAACATACAAAGAGAGAATTAGTTCTCTTGAATCCGAATTATCTACGCTTAGAATTCAAGTAGAACGCGAAGTTCTTTTATGTGACAAGCAAATGACGAGAGCAGAAGACCTCGAGAAGCAAATAAATTCTCAACAATTTTATCGTCACGTAGTCAATTGTCTTGTCATCCTGCTCTTCGTGCAGCATTTCCTCGCATATCATCTTCAATGGTAATATTTGTTAGTTTGTGTTTGAAAGTAAAAATATTTTAATATCCAAAAAAATATAAACTTACTTTTGTATGCTTCTACTTCTCATTTTTTAAACCAAACCGCACATCTCGTCTTTTAAACTAAGGTACAGAAGCAGAGATTAAATCTCTTGGAGCTGAGGCTGACGATAATTTCTTGGTTGCAGCAAGTACTATGGGATCAGGCTCTGCCCCAAGTGGTATCAGCAGAGGAGACGATAATGTCTTGGTCGCAGCAAGTACTATGGGATCAGGCTCCGCCCCAAGTGGTATCAACAGAGGAGAAGGAACTATGAAAGGAGTTTCTGTTGCTCAGTCCTCTCGTTCGAGTGGTGCAACCAAAGGAAAGGGAAAGGCAGCAAGCTCTCTCAAGGGTAAAGGAGGTAGGCCTGCAGCTCGTTAAAGTCAACATGGTACTTCATTATTATATTATTTTCTCCTACACCAGATCGATTTATTTGAATTGTCATGTAATAAAAAGCTTACTTCTTCTATCTATAGCCAATTTATTTTTTTTTGATTTTAATTTTCTAGACTAACTTTTCATCTTTACATCTATCTCGATCCACATTCAAACACCAAACATTCAGGTGATCGGCTCTTCGATATCTTTTGTTGTGGTATTGCGAATGTTTCGATGTGGTACAGAATGATGAATGCGAACAAGACACGTGGACTTTCGTTTTGATATGAGGCAAGTAACGTAGATGGATCAAATACTCTGAACGTACTACACTTCTGTCAAACAAACTTTATATTCAAATTTCTACATGGTGAATAAGAATCCTAATTCCTATCCAATATACAGGTTGATGCGCGTCTTTCTAAACATCGTAATTCCTATATATAGATATAGGTTAATTGTCATACACAAACACTAGTAGTATTCTAATTCCTATCTATTCATGATAGGTTCATAAGTTCTAACAGTCATCTCTGGTTCTGCTGAAAAAAAGAATATGATGATATTATGACATCACCATTTTTGTTTTCTTCTCTTGCTCCTGCTAGGAGATCTAGGAACAATAATCGATGATCCACAGACACGATGCGTGAGTGTTCCACCTCATCCAAGAAATGAAACTTCGGTCCTTCCAAGTCGGTTTATTTATGGATCTGCAGATCTGTTAGACTCTTGATCCAAGGATTATTTTTGATTCATAGAGGCTTCGGCTCCGTCTAGTCTGGCTTTCGTGTCTCTTATGCTCGTGCAACCCCAGCACGCCTTTCTCCACTTGAAACCCGAAGTAAAATTTTTGATTGAGTGCACCCCTCCTCTCAATTTCTGATCCTAAGTATAACTTTTGTCTATGTAACTTTCAGTTCATTATGATATAACTGTGAAACATGCCTTGCTCAAAGCTAGTATTTCCTTTTTTAAGATAAACATAGTATGAATATCCAACGATATTGTGACTTGATAGTGCAGGATGTCTCAACCAATGAAGAAAGCTCAATCAAAATCCAGAGCTGGAGCCAAAGCTAAGGCTGCTCCCAAAGCTCAAGCTGACAGCCACAACAAACGAACAAGGAAGCTAAAGCAAGTCGTCGATTCTCCTGGTGGAAGCGAGTTATCTTCTGCATCAAATAAACAACCGATGAAAAAACAAAAACAGCTTGAACAAGAACAAGCTTTTGACGCCGCTGTTGCTGCTCATGAAGCTGCTCTGGGACAAGAAGCTTCTTCTTCATTTTCGCTCCAAGGAAACGTGATGGATGTTCCTGATTTTGTTGAACCAACACAAGCTCCAAACCACGACGCAATGTTTGATGATTGTGTGCTCGAATGTGCCTATGACGCTTCGAAAAAAATTCACATCTCTCAGAAGGTGTTGCAAATAGACGACTCCGATTTGTTTGATGACGATGGTGGTGCTGTGCAGCTGGCAGATGCGAACGATGTTCTTGATTCTGCACCACACCAACTAGAAGAAAATCTCTTTCCTCCACAAGAATCACCTGCAACGAGTCCCGATTCTGTTTCACAAGATTTGTCTTCCTCCACTTTTCAATCGAATACCCAGGACCAACCTCCACAAAAACGAGGTAGAGGACGTCCAAAAAAAATCCAGAACTCTGAACCAGTACTAGTCCACCAAGACGAAGGAGAAGCCGATACTCAACCAGTGGGAGAAGATTCCATTGCTTTTCCCTGGGGATGCTGGTCTGTTATGGATCTCCCTAGTGGTCCAACCGCTGCCTCGGGTGGACATGGATACTCTTCCTACATTAAGATTTGACTTTCTATTTCACATGTGAAGTCTAATGCAATTGCATTTGCTTCCCATTTGGAATAGAAACTTTTATTCTCCCCATCCCTCTAAAAGCTTGATCACATGGTCTTGCCCCACAAAGAAACTTGTGTTATGCTTCTACTTGGAGAAGCTTCCGATAAGGTTGTAATGAACATCATATAGCTCTCCTAGATAAAGATGCTGATGCTGTAGTAGTACTTCAGAGAACTTCTGATAACGTTCTCATTAGGCTTGTGTATTCAATTTCCAAATTTTTTACTATTATCTTTTGTTCTAAGGAACAAAAAATTTGCCGATGTACAATTCCCCAGTCAGAAGACGAACAAAGAATTTCTCAACATTCTCCTGGAGGCGCACAAAATACACGCACTATCATTTTTGTTTACCATCACTTGTACTATTAGATAGAAGAAATTACTGGATCACATTTTGTATTTCGCTCTTCCTTCCACAGAATGTCGAGTTGAAAATTGTTGCGATACGTCGAGAAACGGGATCCCGAGGAGACCATGAACATTTACATGCCATCGTCTCAGCCGGTAACTCGACAAAATTAAGGCTAACACATGTACAAACGTTTCCAAATATGATATCTGAGAATTTAAACTTCTAGCTCGATGCTTCTACTTCTAAGTTTCCGATTCAGTTGGAAAAAAACCGCAGTTTGGCTCATCGATACGTGGAATATTTTTACGCATTATAGTCCAATTGGACTCAATGCAGGTAGTACTTTTTTATTTTTAGATATATATTGTACTTCACATGCTCAACAATACAATTTTCTTTCTAATTTTATTCTGATTTTATTCCGTTTCTCAATCACTTCTCCTACAGGCATTCACTATTTATACTACGCTTCCTCGAGAAAACATCAATGCCAGTTTAAGGAGAAAGTGACACTATATTTTGCGCCCGGCGTGCCTGTTCAAGACCCAAAGTCTTTGGCTGATGGGGCAACAGACTGCTACGCAAAAACCTCGATGGTAGTTGCTTTCGTTTTCTTAGTATATATTGCTTGACTAGATTTTCTCATCCCTTGTATGAGGTAGTATAGGAATAAAAAAATGAAATTCATTTCCTCGTTTACTTTAGTAATATTTCAAAAACTTATCTTCTCAATTCAGGACTTTCTTGAATTCCGCGACATGTGCGAGCAATATAAATGGACGGACTTACTGAAACTCCAGCAACATACCAGAGAAGATTATGAACATTCATTAGTTGAAAGTATCAACCACTCCTGTGAAGATCTTTCTCTTACTTTACAGTATCAACCACTCCTGAGAGAAATTTTCTTTTTCTAATTCCATTCGCGCCTCGATCAGTACGTCAACAACAGATCCCACGACCCCGCTGCCTTGCTACGAAATTAAGCAGATCAACCTACTTCATATGTATCTTGCCTGTAGATTCCTTCACAATACTACAATTAAACTCGATTTTGCTCATTCATAAAAAATAGTTTTTTCTCTCCGCTAAACGTTGGCCCAACGATGCATCGCCATGAGGAACTTTGTCTTCCGCTCTTTGCTGGAGACATTAGCACGACGTCATACTCTGGATGGTGTAGTATGTTCGTGTGATGAACGATTCGAGCCAGCATTTCGTGACTTTTCGAAAACGGTTAAGATACACCACAAATCCTTCAAGTGCTACGAAGGCCGTGAAGATACTTTATTGATCGTTTTGATCATTTGGGCCGTGCTGGGAAGAATTCGAGGAAATGCCCTGGTCTTACATGGAGACCAGGGCACGGGCAAAAGTTGGCTCATGGAGGCGATCAAAGATATACTGGCTTATGGTTCTAGAACCAAATTTCAAACTCTATACACATCCGAGTTGTTCCAATGTCCAACAACAAGTTAAAATAAAGCCGATCTTTGTAGGATCAACCTCTAAAAAAGAGACGAGTACTACGAAGCGCCACAGCCACTGGGGAGCTACGTATAATTGTTATTTTCTTCTTCATTGAGAGTACATATTCATTATCTTGCACTTGATCTTCCCTTACTTCTCCCCTCCACTCAACAACCAGGCCTTACAGCGTCTCGGCCTCCTCTTGCCTCCTACTCGATCGTTCCTCTTGGACGAGTTGAACAACAAAGGTCTTCGTTCTCTCCTCGGCGACGATGGTTACTGTTACGACCCTTGTAGAATAAACTTCTTATCTACAAAATTTTTATTTTTAAATCTGTACAACTTCTATCGCCTTGAACATCTCTAACATCAGAAGAGATGGCTGCAGATCCAAACAGCACGTCGCCTTAGACCTGCATTCCCTAAAATTATGTCTTCTCTGCTTACCTCTGACCTAGGAACAAATGCTCCAAAAACCAATGTAGAGCATTTGTTTCTGAACATCTTAGGTATGTTGATTCTCATACTCTAAGAACCACCAAGTCCCAGACCGAGAGATCTTCGAGTACTTATTTATTACATTTTTCTGTTGCGTGGATTAATTCTTTTGATATATTTTTAGAAGATATAAACTTTTCTTGGAACTAAATAAAATATTTTTTATTACATTTTTCTAGGATAGAAATTAAATTTTCTCCATCGAATTCCAAACCTACATCTCCAGCGATCCCGCACCTATTATGTATACCTCGACGAAGCCGATTAGACTCCAAGAAGGTGATGATGGATTCATCGAAGAATTAAGGATACTTACTATTTCAATGATTACTACTACTACTACACAGAAATCTTCCTTTACTTAATTCCTTTTATTCCTCTAACATCTCGCGACGTGCTCAAGGAGAACAGACAAGCCGATGATCGCGAAATTTCCGTAGAATGTGTTCGCCGGCTTCATATCAGTGCAGAAGAAGCAGTTCCTCCTTGTGGTTGCTGTTTATCTCGAATGCTCAAAGCCACGCTAGAGGACCCGAACATTTCTTGGCCAGTCAATGTTGAAAGAAAGATGAAATCTGATAAAGAACGAGAAGATCTTTCGACTTCCAGTTAGATTCTGTTCAACCAAACATTATTATTCTTCCACAACTTCTACATACTCTTCTTTTTCCTGTATCCTCAACATGTTTTTCAACATTTATAAATATTACAAACCCACATTTACGTCTTATTATTAATCAAATGCACAGAAAATCGCTCCAACAACTATTATCAAATCATATCTGTCTGCCAAAAAAATTACCCTGCCTGCCAAAAATTTGCCCCCCCAAGGAAAAAATATTTTGAAAATTGAGACGAGTAAGTTTATTTAGGTTTGAAATATTATCTTATTAACTTTTTCTATTCCTAATTTATTCCTTACTCCCGTTTCCTTGGGGGGGCAAATTTTTGGCAGGCGATGGAATATAAATTTTCGTATGGATGGAGTTGTTGAAGCTTGGAAAATGGAAGTATCTGAAGGCGAATGCAAAGAAGGTTGGAGATGGATGGAATGTCATGTACAGAGTGTCAAACAAAATTGGGATGAAATGAAAATGGTTCAAAGTATAGTATTGTACTTCTCATAGATCACGGATGGTGCTGAATTCCTCCTATTGTGATGGTGTAGAAGTTCTTTTTAGTTCGTAGATGATTGAATTTCAAAATTTTATATTTCCTCGCGTTCGTAGTGTTTCGAGATGCTTTTGTTGATGAGACTTGTTTTGTTGATACTTGTTGAACATGGTCCACTGTAATGAAGAGAAATAGTTACGTATGTTCTTGGATGTTTGTTTTTCTGCTTGTTTTTTTGATTGGTAATTCCTTGTCATAGGTTCTATGTCCTGTTCCACGGCAACATGGATCGAGGTGTGGTATATTGACGTCCTACAAACCAAAACAGGAAATGATACGCATGCATGTGTAGAACGTTGTGTTTCGAGATGGGGAACGGAAAACGGCTTGATAAAAGAACGAGAGAGTTTAATAGGATATTAGAAGAGCAGAACAGAGATATTATAGCAGAGGTGGATCAGGAAGGAGTAGTCGAAGATCAAGGACAAGTGCCGCCACCTCCTCCTATGCCTCCTGTAGGAGTTTCGCAAGGTAGTACTGAGGTTCCTGTGCCACCAGTTCAGTTGTCTGGTCCGATAGTTGATGTGCAGTTTCCTGTCGAAGGGAATCAGAACAATATTGGGATAAACATAGCATCTAGTACTCCTACTAGTCAAGTATACAGTGCACCTACAACGCAACTGCTGCAAGGTGGGCGTAACCTCTCAAGTATACCAAATTTTGTGCCAGGTCCTATTATAGCTAAGTGGTATAAATATTCTGTTGATTATAGTGGAATTGATGGTCCTGTCCTTCATTGGTTTTCGCAGAAGCAACCATTACATCTACCAGCTGGCGTCTATGTAGAAGAAGTAATTCGTTTCCAATAAAAAAAGTTTGCATTTTAGAGAAGGTGGAAAAATGTCGTCAAAGCGTACAGCAGCAGATCGTTCTCCAGAGGACATTCTCGCGAGTATGAGTCCTGAACAAAAAAAAGCTTTACTCAGCCTACTTCTTAAGGATCCACCGAAGATGGAGTCCTTGGACACTGGAGCGAAGTCTTCCACATCTGTGGTTGTACCACCGAAGTTGGAGTCTTTGGGTACTGGAGCGAGTTCTTCCAAATCTGTGGCGAAAGAAGTAGTAGTAGATGATGTTTCGACTCAAGCGGAAGCTTCGTTCACTCAAGTGGAAACAGATATTTCTTCTACGCAGTTGGAGATCAGCGTGTCGCAGGTTGACATCAGCGCGTCGCAGGTTGAGATCAGCGCGTCGCAGGTGGATACTCAAGTTGAGTTTCAAGACGTACAAGAAGCTGTTGAGGAAGTAGCACCGACTGACGAGGAGCGTTTATATGCTGATCGCGTACGTAGAATTGATTCAGAAGCGGATGTGAAGTGTCCTGTGATGAAGGTACTTGTGTATTACGTGTTGCTTTTTGATCACGTTGTATTAGAGATGCTTTCATCCCTAGTCGATCACTGACTGTTGGTCAATCAGATATGTCCACATCTTCAGTACTTGCTGCAGCAATACGATGAGCTAGCGGAAATGGTACGAGGGGAAGGTATGCGTCCTATGACGGAACTTGAGATGGCGCAGGAAACATTGAAAAGCATCAAGGAGTATCCAGGATTGAAGGACAACTGTCACAACCAACACGATTTTTTACCTTACTTTCGCGATATGATGGACAACAGCCGAACGAGGTAGTATCTAGTTTATGTACTAGGAATCTACGTGCATGGTTCGATAATTATAGACGCATTGGGACCGATGAGTCCTTTTAGATGGTAAATCTGTTTCCTCTCATCTTCAGGGAATTGAGGGAAATGGAGTTGTTAAGCAAATACGATGAGAAGATGATCAAAAAAGCTCACGATGCGGATGAAGAAGATATGTGGTTGGGGATGTATCCGTCAGAGGTATTCATTAAATCAATTATCCTTGGCTTTGAATTGGAAAGTAATGATATCAGTTGGTAAAAGAAAAAAAAAGAATTCCTAAGAATATTGTTACGAAGAATTAATAAAATAATTCTACAGCGGTCGCATTGGGCAGAGCTTGTTATATTGTCGGAATTTGTGAAGCAGAACCAGGATTCGATTCTGGGAAGAGTTCAGCGGCAGAATATGAAAAATTTCGTGGGTGCATTCAGCATGCTGGTGATCTTAAGAAAAAAAGAAGAGTGTTACTTTAGAAAGTATTTTTAGTTTCATATTCCTTACTCCTTGAACCTTGAGTAATTTTCGAAGAAAATTTCTTTTCTAATCGGTTTTGCGCGCAATCCGTTTGATGATACGCATAAAAATCGTTGCCAGGCAGCAATGAGACGCACGAGAATGAAGTGTGGTTCACCCATGACATGGCTCTTCTTGGTATACAGAGCAGCAAAAGCGTGCGAGAATTTGGAGCAGAAATTTGTTTTTTCGGCATATCAAGAAGTCAGCTGGTATTCTCCTTCAAAGAATAAGAGACTAGTAATTGAAAATAATATTTCTTTGACTGGACTAGGACTTGAGGATGTGCTCGGTTCTGTTGTTTGTTGCTTCGTATGATGAATAGTATGTGACTAGTCTCTTCATGTGTGTTGTGAAACGGAGCTTCCTGTCTTCATCATTTTTCCTAAGGGGCAGAAACAAGTAATGCGGAGTATGGTGGCATGCTTATTCGGAAGGAAGTTGGCTGTAGGGATCATGTGCACGCGCACATGGTATGCTGGAGAGGAAGATCTCAGTGCAGACAAGGCAATGTGCAGACGGGTTTGTAGTGAGGAGGAGCAGACTGGGGATAAGAAGAGAAAAAAGAATTATCTTTATTTAGATAGGAAAATTAGTCAATAAAGATGAGATAGAGTTATTCTCTGAGAAACAAAAATAATTTTTGAATTATACGTAGAAGATTAAGATTGAAACATTAGTTCCATTGTTGTGCAATTTTCCTCTGAGGTTGATTCTGATTGATTTAGATTCATCTATTTTCTGTTCTTGTCGTAATTCCTCTCTGAGGTTGAAAATAATCTAAATTCATCGACTGTAATTCCTGTAATAAATAGGTGAGTCTTTTGTTCTTTCCACGTGAGTGAGACGGTAACTCCTTTCTGAAGGTTGTGCTTCATGGTGGTTCAATAGTATGCGAGATTCGTGAAAAATAAAATCTGATGTTTCTGGTATAAAGAAAAAATTCTGTGATGGTTGGAGGAAGTGTTGTGAGAATTGTTAGGATACAAGCATGAGATGAATTGGTTCTGATGAGGTGAGCATTTGTATCTGGTGAGGGTCCGACATCCTTTGAAGACTGAGGTAGTATAGAGCAACTAGAATGAGGTAGTTGTTGTCTCCTTCAATTGGAATACGGTATCATGTCTTGTAATGAGTTTCCCATGGACTCAGGAATATACACTGGAAGACTCCTCTCCCGATTTTTTTATCAGTCACAAGTTGATTATAGTGTGTTCGGCATCTGGTTGATTGAGGCTTTATTTGTGTACGCTGAAATTGAAATATCATGCTGATTGTGTGAATGGAGTGAATGAATTTTGATCTTGATTTCCTTGAATTTCAATCGAGTAGTTGTCTCTGCTGAACTTGGTAGTCCTTCGTTGGAATTGTCTGAAAATATTTGTCGATCTTGCTCGACTTGGTGGAATCTTCGTTGGAATTGAAGAACGGTGTGCTGAAAATATTTGTCGATCTTGCTCGACCGGGTGGAATCTTCGTTGGAATTGAAGAACGGTGTGCTGAAAATACTTGTTGATCTTGCTCGACTTGGTAGGATCTGATTTGGATTTGAAGAACGTCAGGCTGAGAATTCTTGCTGATCCTGTTCAACTTGGTGGTGCCTTCAAAACTTTCTGATCGTGCTGGACTTGGTCGTGCATTTTATGGATTGAGGAACGACTTGGAAAAGATGAATGTTGGTCCTAACATGTATGGGAAGCACGATCGTCGAACTTCATGATGAGCTCATGCCTTTTCTTGATTATTTAACTCAATATGGAAAAAGTTATCGCTTTTTTCACTTATTTAATACTATGTGAAAAAGGTTGCTGCTCATCCTTTAAGTAGACGATAGGCGTATCGCTAACGTAAAACTATCAATGACATCACGCGAGAGCACTGCTTTCCGCTGTACAGGGTGGAGGACATGAGTGATTGGGATATGGGGACTCTCAAGAAGCATAGGAACAAAGTGAAGAGCAGGATGATGATTATTAGGGATGATTTTTTTGCGTTGGGAGGATCGTGGGACGAGATTAGTGAGGAACGGCTTTTGGAGGAGGATGGGAAAGGTGTAGACGAGGAGGGTGATTGGGGTGAGTGGGAGGAAGATGAGGGAGGAGATCCGAAGGCGAAGCTTCTAAGGATGCGCAAACAATTGCGAGAGCAACAGCTGGAGAGAATTCGCGCGTCTTCTACGAGTGCGAAGTTCAACAAGATGCGGAAGCGAGTCAGCTCGACGGGAGGCAAGCAGATAGCTGCGCGAATACAAATCGAGGAAGATCTTGCGAGGGAGATAGTTCGCGTGAATCAAGCAGGAGAGCGGCCCTGGGATCCTTTAAAAGTGCAGCGGGAATTTATCAGGAGGATGATCGAGGAAGGAGAAGGAAGCTACTACGGCGTAAGACACGGGACCGGTCACAAAGCTACGTGGAAGTGGTACTCATGTTTTACGAAGCGGCACGAGCTAAAAAGTACCAGAGACGTCACGGCTTCAAGTATACGCTCCGACTTACAGCTACGGGATGAGATATTTTTAACATGGGGTAGGTGGATGCGGTACCTCGAATCGATACGAGCTAAGTCGCACCAAATTTATCAGGAAACGGGAGAGCTTCCGCTGGTTATTCGTTGCAATCTTGACGAGACTTTTCTCCGTAGTCACGTCGCTACGAAAGCTGCCTGCATACCTAAGTTTAATGCGCGTCGTGTGAATCGGAGCTGGCCAGGTAGTAAGAAAACGACAAAAGAGGGCTGCACTGGTATATTTTTCATCACAGACCATCCGAGTTTCTTTTTCAAGCCAACAATAAGCTTCCACCAGAACCGACCATCGCAGGACATGAAAGATCGAGTCGCAGCCAACTGGCAGGGCAGTGCGTACATTGAAAAGGATGGGAACTCGCTCGGGAATCATCAGATAGACAGCACTATGTTCCACGTGATCACTTCGCGAATGCTGAAAGAGAAGAAGCAACTGGAACGCCGATACCAGAGGAGGATAATTCTGCTTTGGATAATGGATCCGCTCGGATGCCATTTTTTTGAAGATGATATGCGAGAGAACACACTAGAGGAGGAGAATCTAGTGTTTCCGTTCATTATTCAGCAGGAATGTGGTACGAAAATCCAACCACTTGACACGCAAGGCATCTTCAGCAGCCTCAAGCGAGCGCAAGGCGACGTTGATCCGGAGGAATATTATTCACTGACTAGTCCGCTGTATCGTGACTATGTGCTTGCGAAGTTGCGGCAGTATTCTCATAATGGGACTTTTGATCGATGCGGGTTCGTACTGCGGAGTGACGCGTTTGCACCTCTGCAGTCTGAATTGAGGAAGTTCCTCTTAGATAAACAGTGAAGAGGATGGGGAGAAGTGAATGGAGTTTGGGAGAGAGGTAGAAAGAAGGAGAGAGGGGATGGATTATTTACGTAAGCGCGAAAATGAAACGAAGTGGTGCATTCTATGTTAGGACCAACGAGATCGGAAGTTCTTGTCTTCTCTCTATATTTGGGAAGGATGTCGAAGCGGCAAAACAGTAAACGCAGCCTTGTCGAGGTCGAGAATGAATTACGTAAGCAGTTGGAAGAGGATGGACATCTTGAGGAGCTGGCTGAATTCGGAACGAGTAATAACAAAAAAACGAAGAAAGTCCCGAAGTTCGCTGGTGTTTGGTTTGCTACTGTCCTGGAGGATGGTCTCGAGCAGAAGGAACAGAAGGAGGAGGTGCTACGAGAATGTCAGAAGCTGCTAATGGCAAAAGGTTTATGGAAGGAACCGAAAGCAAAAAAAGAGAAGACAGAGGAGGAATTATTGCTGGAGGATCAAAGGGAGCGAGTAACGTGCCAGGAGGAGATCGTCGAGATCGACAACAAGACACGCATGTGGAACCAGAAATTAGCAGAGCGGCGAGCCTTCATGGCGTTGGATCCGCGGGTTTTGCGTCAGTTTTCTCCAGGGGTGCCCGTAAAAACGAAAGCGATCTCCACGATTCTCGGAGGCTTACAGCAGTCAGCTGCTGAAGCGTCTGAAAGTGGTGAATTAGGTATGAACTATTTACATTATATTATCTAGCTATATATAATCTAACGTAGATAGAACTAGTTAGGACCTAGAACTAGAAGGTAGTAAGTATTTTCTGTAAGAGAAAAATCATGGAAGAAAAAGCGCCGATCTCTCTAGTGGAATGTTCTTACTGTGGTAAGTTTTTCCAACGCAGAGGTCTACCCATGCACGAGTCTGCATGCAAACGAAAGAGCGAAACCATGCGGCAACAAGCTGGCGAACGTGAACCAGCGGCAGGAAAGCAGCCAGGAAGTATCGTCTGTCCATGGTTGTCAGTAGAGATAATATTAGATTAACGCCCTGCGCAGCAGAAGCTAAGAACTAACTGCATCGCCAGCCGAGTCGCCTCCTTGAGATCAATCGACTGCGAAGAAGGAAAAAAAGAAGCACAAACATTGTAGTCCTTCACTGAAATGGTGGGAAAGTTATTTGGTAGATGTAGGTGGTGGTTGCCTGGTCGTTTTCTAGTGCTTGTCAGCGAACAGCTCAACCAGCCACCGTCGTCACGTTGGTAGTTGGCTTGTCGCTTTCTAGTGGTTGCCTGCGAACAGCTCAACCAGCCACCGCCGTCACGTTGGTGCTTGGCTTGTCGTTTTCTGCTGGATGCCTGCGAACAGCTCAGCCAATCACTAATTGGAGCCTGCCTCTGCCGCGCGCATCAAGCGAAACGTCTGGCACTCTCTACCACGTGCGCACTGACGCGGCTAGTATCGGACAACGCGACGACTGCGAAGAAGACTCCGCACACTGAGGCGGGCGACGTCTGCGAGCTGGAACTCGATGCGAATCAGAACCGCGCGCCCATCCTTGAACGCGTGCAGCTACTCGGGCGCAGCAAATAAAGTCCATCAAGATAGGACAACGGGCGCCGGAAACGGTCAAGGGAGCCACGTCGCATATACCTGCGCGGTAATCGTACGCTGGTGCATGGAGTCGAACGCGTAAAAAGTCAGAGCGTCGGGACCTGGCGGGTGTGTGCCGACGCGTTACGTTCAGCGTGTGTTCCACCACGCCTCTAGTGCAGCAGCCGCGCGGAATCAGGCCAGCGCTAAACTTTCGAACGAATTCCGATAGCAAACTGCTGAGGCTTCGTCCACCTTGTGCAGTTGGATCGAAAAGATGGACCAACTGCGTCCCGCTCTTTGCTTGCCGTCTTGCTTGCCCCTCGCGCTGCTCTCCCGCCGCCGTCTTGCTTGCCCCTCGCGCTGCTCTCCCGCCTGCCTCTTCGTTCTGCCTTGGCTGACCACCAAGCGCAGCGCAGCCCTCGGAAGATGGTCAGCACCCGCGCCCCTCGCGCTGCACTTAATGCGTTGCGCATATTTGTGATTTGTGTACGAATTTATACCTAAGCGTGAACTCACGAGTAGCAATAGTAAACATCATCTTCTAGTACTGTAGTGGTAGCACCTGCAGCGCATCAGGATGACGCTTGACGAACCGAATGAAAACTATCCGGCAAGTTACTGGAGGAAAAGATATTGGGCAGAGAAGAAAGGCGACGAAGAAACGACTCGTCGACTTCAAACGGAGAAACTTGAGCTGACTTATTTGACTCCAGCTGGAGAACAACATCTTGCCCACGTGCTGAAAGCTGAAAATACACGATGCCAGAAATCTAATCAGCTACTAGCCCAGCAAGTTCGAGATCTGGAGAAGGAGCTTCTTGCTGCAAATGCTCGCTATGAAGTACAGCAGCAAACAATATGCCTGAAGGAGAAGCACCAGGAAGCCATGAAGCTGAAGCACCAAGAACAAATAGAACTACTACAAGAAAAGTATCTTGATGAGAAAAGTCAGAGAATAAAAAATTTTTACTACTTCGTCATCGCAACATCTTTACTTCTTCTTCTACTCTTCACTCCAGGCACAACCAATGGTGGCCAGGCGATGACAGCTGCTGGCGCGCTTGGTTTAGCAGGACAGCTTGGTGCTGGTGGATCTTCCAGTAGTTCTGCTATGCAACCTCTTGCTGGAAATAATGGAAGTGATGGCAAAATTGGAAATGTTGGCTCTTCCTCCTCTACCAGTACCGTTGCGAAGGAAGTAAAATCTCCGACAAAGAAGCGCACAGCAGAAACCGAGCCTCTCACTGCTAAGAAAGGAGAAGATGAGGATCTTTTCGAGGCGAGTGAGGATTCAAGTCGACCTTCTTTCTTACGGATCAGGCTTTAGAAATTGTTATTAGAAGAACTCCTATCATTAAACTAAGAGTCAAGATATCTCTCTGACGCCTTCGTTTTCCTTATTCTCTAATTTCGGCTGTCGCGAAGAAGAAGAAAGCTGCAGGCAAGGAGATGGGAAAACAGCAAGCAAAGCGATAAAATTATGCGTGTATCAAGAGTGATCTTCTGTTTCTCCTGTGTAGACGTAGCTTCTGTTAATTCTGTTTCTCCTGAAAATTGCTGTTTCATCTGTATACGTAGCCTTTGTTAATTTTTAACATACCACATTCACGCTCTAAAGTTTTGGGTATTGGAGGTGGATAGAAATGGCGAACCCTGGAGCAAAGTGGAAACGATGGCGAATCTCAAACAACGTGGAGACCAGAAGATAGGCGGAAATATAAAATCACTTGTAATAATTATTTGCTCTTCTGTTTCATCGATGTAAATATTGATATTGGAGATCTTTCTTGTAAATGTTTGCTCTTGGTAACCTTGATGCTCTTCTAGACTCCGATCTTACTAGTCGCAAACCAATACTACTTTCTTATGCACATGGAGGCAGGAAAGGCGAATTATTGTGCTGGACATGTTGACGGTGAGGATTTATCTGAACCCCATGCTATCAAAGATGCACACTCTTGAACCCGCGTGATTTGATTTTTAGCTCCTTATGTTGATGGTGAAAGATCTTCCACTTGAACCCACATTTGAGCCAAATTGATCACTCATTGATGAAGGTGAAAGAAATAATATTAAACTATGGATACCGCAAATCAACTCATCACTTTTTGAGGCTGTCCGAATTTTTACGGTTTCTTTCTCAAATGATGCGTGACATAATAAAAAGTCAGACGAGACTCATGTATACACGAGAGATAGTTCAATAACGTGTTCTGCTACGATGAACGTCTGTCCAAAGAATTTCTGTTTTTTTTTTTGATACGAATTTTGTGTAGCCAAGGTCCTTTTTGTGGCGCCAAGATCGTTTCTGAAATGATCCTGCTTGAAAATCTGTTTCAGATTCTGACTCTGTTCGAGAATATTGTGGATCCTTCGCTTGAAATTACGATCATTCAGCAGGAAAAAAAAAAACATCTGTTTGAGATTCTGTTAGAAAATCTGTTTCAGATTCTGACTCTGTTCGAGAGTATTGTGGATCCTTCGCTTGAAATTACGATCATTCAGCAGGAAAAAAAAAAACATCTGTTTGAGATTCTGTTAGAAAATCTGTTTCAGATTCTGACTCTGTTCGAGAGTATTGTGGATCCTTCGCTTGAAATTACGATCATTCAGCAGGAAAAAAAAAAACATCTGTTTGAGATTCTGTTAGAGAGTATTCTGTTTGAGCTATTCTAGAAATTTCGCATGAACTTATGCTATCGAGCATTCAACAGAAACAAAAACTTCTGCTATGTGCATGTAGTTCCACAGGACCTCACACCCCCAGATTGATTCCTTCCTTTATTTTTATTCTCCTGGTATTTTTGGTAATCAAGAATTATTCTGCTGATATTTTTGATAATTGACTTAAGAAACAGCCAGCAAGGCAAGTCATAAATTAAAAAGTATTCTCCTGCTATTTTTCATAATCGAGAAGTATTCCGCTGATATTTTTGATAATTGACTTAAGAAGCAGCCAGCAAGGCAAGTGATAAATTAAAAAGCATTCTCCTATTATTTTTCATAATCAAGAAGTATTCTGCTGATATTTTTGATAATTGATTTACGAAGCAGCCAGCAAGGCAAGAGATAAATTAAAAAGTATTCTCCTGGTATTTTTGATAATCAAGAAATATTCTGCTGATTTTTTTGATAATTAATTTAAGAAGCAGCCAGAAAAGCAAGTGATATACATGTAGCTATATTATTATTATCGTTCCCTCAATCATTTTTATTCTTCATGAGCTTGTTTTGCTTCTGAGATAGTACTGCCTAGAGATTTCCAAACAGCTGCTCTTGAGCAACATTCTCGATAATGCCATCTTCCCCAATGAAAATCATGAAAGCGGTCCCCATGAAAAGGGGCCCAACTTCTAAACCACGAGGACCGCCGAAGAAGACCAGAATGGCTAGTAAAAAAATCGTCGAGTTTATTTCTTCCGGTGAAGGGACTGAGGCAGACGATGATCAAAGTAGTGATAGTAGTAATGACACAAAGAAGAAGCCCAAGCCGAGTCAGAAAAAACGCCTGAAAGCTAAGCGTTACAACATCAACATAGATGAAGCCTCATCATCCTCCCAACAAGATCTTTTCCAACTTGTCGACTTCTTTGGAGAATTACCACCTGCCTCCGGAACCACTCAATCTTCGACACAAAAGTCCTCTTCGTCTGCATCTTCTTCCAAGGCTACAACACCTACCGCTACACAAGAAGAAACTGCTGCTGAAGATGATGGCGGCGAAAAAATTCCCAGTTTGGCTTACCCCTGGGGCGTATGGAAGAAAGACGCTTGCCCATCTGTTAAGACTACAGCCACAACACGAAAGTCGCTTTTTCCTTATTCTAGAAGTAATCTTCTTGGTATTAAGTGATCTTGTTGTAGCTTTCACGCTTCTAAAACTCGTCCACCGAAAATGAGTGGACACTACTACTCGAGTTACATGATCACGTTCTCCTGTCCCTCCAACAAGTTCCTCATCAAGCACAGAGCAGCGGTGAAGCCCGCGAATGTCACTTGCGAGAGCTTCATGGAGATGATCATCACCTCGCATTCGGTACAAGGCACGGATCTACGAATCGCTTGCGTACGCAAGGAGAAAGCAAAGAGTGGGCATATACGTCTTTAAGTATTCCACCTCTCTGATCCATTTTTTTTTGTGACATCAAACAAAAAAAAAAATGGATCACTTCGATCGCTTTCATATATGCCACGCTATCGTGACGGCTGGCAATTCGAAAAAGTTACGGGTGGACATCATATAAGTTCTCGCTCTAAATAAATTGCTTTTTCGATGTAACTTTCCTCTAATCTGGAGATTCGGATGGCAAGCGGCCGCTGCACACATGCGCGACCAGTACATCGTGTACGTCCACTACATTAAGGCTACGCCTTTATTCATATGAAAATAATTAAAATCTATTTATTTTTTTTCTGTGCCTTCTCTAATCTGCGCGCCTGTGCTTTCCAGACTGGGATGCATTATTTGATGTACCCATCATCAAAAAAAGCGCACTTTGAAATGCAAGGGCCGGAGGTGATGCATTTTGGTGAAGGGATAGTGCCACAAGATCCCTATACCCTCGCCGATGGATCCGCTGACTCCTTTTTAAGGTTTTCGTAGCTCTTATTCTCCAGTTGTTATGTGTAGCACAATCCTATCAGAAATGTGCTAATATTCAAAGCTGGAGAATATGATCTTGCCTTCTAATTTGCGTGAAGGAAAGAATGGACTTCCTCGAGTTCCGTGACCTGGTGGAACATTATAAAGTTTAAGCTTATCATATCTGCCTTCTCTCCTCTTCGTCTCTTCAATTACTCGCTGGTCCTGAGATCGTTATCCCATCACCGCTTTCATTTTTTCGAGTCAATCATTGACTTGCAGAAGCGAACCACAACTGATCCACGATTAGACCTCTGGTTAAACGGACGCCCGCATTGTCCGATCGCTGTTTTTAAGAGGGTATATCTTTTTATACCTTTTTCAATTGGTGCATGATTTTCGTCTACGTGGACAAGCTTACATCATCCCCGCTCAAGCTGGGGCTACAGCTGCAGCCTTATGCTTTATATCTTCAACCAGGCCCGTGCATGTATCGCGATGCGAAATCACCAAAGGATGTCCCTGATCAAACACCTACGAACGCACTGGAAAAAATCAGAGTGCGTGTGTGCCGGTCGCTTTCTACCTGCTTACCAAAATTTTAGCAAGTTATGGCTACTTCAACAATAGAATAAGTATAGGGGACGCGACAAGATGAATATTCTTCATGTGCTTCCTCTAATCTGCAAGGTCTCCCTACCGGCAGATTTTGCAAAACTTGAAGGACAGCCTTGGTCGGTGTCCGCTGTAATTGCTGTTTGGGCCGTAACCGGGAGAGTCAGAGGAAACACATTAGTTTTCTATGGCCCTAGTGGTACTACCTTTTCTTATTTATTCTTCATTCAGTTTTTTTCTTTGCTCCTGATGCAACTTCCTTTTCATGTTTATTCTTCATTCAGTGACAACCGCTTTTCTTATTTATCCTTCATTCGGTTGTACTGTAAGAGGATGCAGCATCATGATCCATGTTGATTATCCATCCAGGTACTGGAAAATCGTGGACGTTGAACACGTTAAAACTTTTTTATGGAGTTTTAGTGGTTACTTTGATCAAGATTTTCCTTTGCAAGATTTCAAAATTGCGAAGGAAACAATATCAGACAAAGTAACTACATTCATTTTTCATCTTTTGTTGGACCAAGACTACTACGAAATCCCACAGCCAGTGGGATCCTTTTTATGGGAAAATATATTTTCTAGGATATGAGCTTCGGCTCAAACTCTTCCACCCCTTCCCACCACCTCTTTCATCCCTGCCGCTCTCACGGCTTTGCCAATTATTTCCAGAGACGAAAGCATTCATCCTGGATGAATTAAGCGCCAGAGGACTACGAGCCATGTTCTTAAGGCTTTACTTTATCCCGTTTTTGTCTCCAAATATGGAATCTCACAAGAGAACACACAAACGGGATGAGCCTATTACTTCCTCTAATTTGTGGAGATGAAGGCTTTTGGAAGTATAAACTAAGATAGTTTCAGTTTTTTCTCTTCCTTGGCTGCTGTCTACAAATACTAAATTGATGCATCGCATTCTGATCGCATCATCATCAATCTCCTCAGACGCTGGCTAACGTTTCAAACAAGCAAGTTAAGGCTCTATTATCTTGGTCACAACTACTCCGTTCACATCGTTCCAATATTATCAAGGACCATGTAGACGAGAGGTTGTGACGCTACCTGCCAACAGCTAATAACTATGCTGAGACCGGCCTTCCCGAAAGTTATGGCTTCCTTAAGTCCTTAGTATTAGAGATGCAGCCCCTTAATATTTAAGAACTCAAATGTGCAGTCCTTCCCTCTTCGCTCTAATTTACATCAAGAGTGTGAGCGTGAAGTTTTTGTTGATCCTGCTCCAGTGGTGTATAGTGCGACGCAGCCAATAGGGGTCTACTATGGTTTGGACGGCTACGATACCACTGAAGACATTTTGTCGGAGAACCTGCAAGCAGAGGATCGAGAAATCCTCATCCACTGTAAAAGCAATTATGAGAGCTCGCTGCTAGGAAAGCCTATACTTTCTCATAAGAATAAGAGAAAATATAGGTTGCTCTATCTTCTCTTCTAAGTATTACTGCACCGATCCGCTGCCACCGCGATTCCAGAATGTACATACTGTTTTTCTCTCTATTTGGATGAAACATGCAAAAGCTCTTACATCTGCTGGCCTTGCCCGAGATCATCATTCGACTAATACTTTTCTTGGCAAATAAGAGCTCTCAATGTAATTTAATAATTGCGCTACTCCCGAAATTGTAATTTTCTTTATCTTGGAGTACTCTTGTATCTCTTTTTGATTTACATGCTCTGGATAATTTACTCATCTCTCGGTTGCAGCACCATCATACTAAAACGTTGGACATATTGAACCCTACGAATATTTTTTCGTGTGCAGGTGAAACTATGATAAATTCCATATTACTACTGAACCCATGCGATTTTCTCATTGTTGGTGATAGTAGATCCTCTTCCTGAACCCAGTGCTTAAACATTGTTTCTCCACTTGATGGTGATTGAAGATAATAATATATTTGGGAACCAAGTCAAAAAATAATTGATAATCAAACTGCCGTGCCTCGAGCGCTACTAGTTAATATATTCTAAATGCTTCAAGTTTTTCTTGCAGCCACCAGCCACCAATCGCCCACCCAGAGGGATGGGAAAGGGGAAAAAAAAAAAGTGTTCGCGAGAAAAGAAGAGACAGGTTTTCACAGGGAAAGAAAATGTCGCACCTTTTACTATTGCCTATATGCTCCAATTCTCCACTGCTCCCCAATCCTTTTTTTTCCCTCTCTCCTCTCCCTCTGGGTGGGCGATTGGTGGCTGGTGGCTGCAGAAAGAGAATCGTGTGTGAAAAATGAATTCGCTTCTGTGAATATTTCTAACGATGATTAGAGGCGGAGATGGTTCATTTTGTTTCATGTCTAGATGTAGCCTTTCTTATGAACGGAATGGAGGTGAAAGCATTTTTGTTTTGAAGGCTGGGAAATGTGAAAAGAGCTTGCGGTCGCATTCATCATGGAAAAACTTCATACATTTAATTTTTTCTCCAACGAATAGGCAGGTAGGGAACGAGAGTGAGTGGGTATGAAGGAAGGTTTTTGCATCTGTGTTCTTTGGTGTAGTTTGAGATAAAATGGGAAGACGTGCTGGGCGAGCCGAGCGCTGTCGTAGAGCTAAACAAAGATTGGCAGTGGATTTGAAGAACGAGCGATATTTTTTAGTCATATTGAAGACAGATTCGAATTTTCATGTTTTCAGTACTAGAGAGTCTCCGGTTTTACTATGTCAGAACTATCATCACTTTATTCTTGCGACAGACTACTTCGTTGTGGATGAAATCTCCTTCGCCTTCGATCATTCCTCCTGGGAGTATCAATTTGATCTCCTTGTGCTTTTGTTTATTCATGTAACAACACTTCGGGTAACAGTTACGTAGAGTTACTTGTTCTTCGCCAAGGTAAGATTTTTTTATGAGATATTCGTTTTTGTGCATGATCACATCAAAATATTTTTTGTCATATTCATTTCGGTGCGTGATCACATCAAATTTTTTTTTTATTGTTTTTGTTCTTATTGCCTTTCTCACATCAAATTATTTTTTTGTTTTTGTTCTTATTGCCTTCCTCGTATTCCGTTTCTGCACGCTTGTGCGCAAATTTAGAGTTCTAGGATAGGTAGAAAAGTGTTCATCCTCCAGTATCTCCGGAGTCCTTGTTGTTATCGTCCTCTGGTGTAAGTAAAAACTTTTGATTTTGAGACCTTGTGGATATTGATACTTTTACGAGGAAGGAGTAAGCTATCAAAGATCAGCAAAATGGCAGCCCGACAGGAGCACCGTGAGGCGATGAAGCGACTCTGTGAGCGAGTCTTTACTGGCATGTCGCCGCAAGCGAAGCGTCAGTTTTTGCGCAATAATGGAATTAATGTATTTGATTTTAAAGATTTAGCTCTTCTTCATTATGTTAGATGTTAGTGGTCTGCATTTCTATAACTTCACATATAACAACGAAACTCCTTTGCAGCACTTTACATCTGTGTGACCTCGTTTTAGATATTTTTTCTTCCTCTCATGATAACAGGAAGAGGAGATTGCTGGCACGATGACGCCTATAGAGGTTGTCCAGGCACCGATCAATAATGCGAGGGAAGATGGTTTCAACACTCCTCGTGGTGAAGAAGAGCAGGCTCGTGTAGAAGGAGCACACGAAGAGGTTGCAGCAGATGACACAGATGAAGCTATTACTCAGTGGATCGAGGATGTGTGGAATCGCAGTGAAGGGAATAAGGACTGGAAGAAAGCTCAGGATGTGATGAGGGCGTTGCCAGATTATCCACATCTCATCGAGCAGGCGGATGAGCAGCACGACTTTCTTCCGAGTATTCAGGTGGAAGTGGATGGAAATCGAGCAAGGTAGTGGGGGTTTCATTTTTGGGAAAGTCATTAGATTGTTCTTCGGCTTCTACGTATGCATTCATGTTGATTGAGGATGGTAGTGAATATTTATAATTTAGTTATTTTCTTCCTCTGGTGTAATTAATTTCATCCCTAAATTCAGGTTCTTGCGCGATCGCGATTTGATGAGCGACTGGGATTACAAAAACACTTACATGCGAACTTTCCCAGGTGGTGACGAAGTTGAACAAAAAGAGTTTCTTGACCTTGGTGGCAAAACGGTACTGCTACTGAATATTAGGACTGTAGGCTTGAAAGATCGCGGGATGATGAAAACACTTTGAGGTTAAAGCTCTGCCAGTGGGCTTTTTTTGGTCTTATCCTTTATTTCAAATTCACAGCGGGCGAGTCTTACGAAGATTCTGATCAAGAGCAAACTGGCGGAAGCGGAAAAAGATTGGCTGCGTTCGATCGACAAGAAAGATACCAAAAACATGATGTTAAGGTGGAAGATTTTTATTTTTTGTTTCTGGTACTCCCGACTCTCCTGTGGATATTATTCTTCTGGGAATATCTAGTCTCATTTTTCTAGCAGGGTAGACAGCTTTCTAATGAGCAGCCTGATCTGCATGGTGCTGCTGGACATCCGGAATTTTTTCTCGGAGGATCATCGATTGAAAGTGGAGCGATCAATGACGCGCTCGGGAGTCACTTACAAGGTGTTGCTGAAAAAAATTTTAAGGCTATTCGATTTTTCGTATCATGGATTTCATTCGAGGAAGAAAAAGTAAGCGAGTAAAAAGATATCTTCTAATGCAGCTAAAGCAGATTTTCACCATCGACCGCCTTCTGGTCCTCACGGCGTTCGAGGACTTAGGCTTCTAGAAGGTAGGCAAGGATGGAAGCAAGCGAAGGTGAAAATGGAAAAGCTCGAATCAGAACCCACATGAAGATGCTTTATCTATTGGAGATTGGTGTGTAGGTGAATTGTTTTGATGAGCCCCGCTGTCTACGATAGATGGAGATGTGTACTAGCACGAATTAGAACCCACATGAAAGAAGTAGCTTTATCTATTGGAGATTGGTGTGTAGGTGAATTGTTTTGATGATCCCTGCTGTCTACGATAGATGGAGGCTTGTCCTAGCATTGTGCAGGTGATGAAGGAGTTAATATTTGAACCCCTTGCTTCGTCTTTGTCTGACGGATCGGTCAAAATGGTAGGAGTTGTGTTGCGTATTTCTGGATTCAAGATATTGGAATATATAATATTCATAAATATGTTCATGATAAGTGAAAGTAGTACGTAGTTGACATACGCATACTAGCTCATATTCGTCAAGCGTTTCGGCCCACACACCACGAACATCAAGATGCACTACATACTAGCAATGAAGATGTAAATTTTTTCAATATATGAACAGGTTTCGACTGTAAAAACTTGAGTTCTGAGAATCCATAGATCTGTTAAGAGTTCAACTTTTCACTCTGGTGAGATCTTGGGAAGATGGATTATGCTTACGAGAAAACAATGATGGTATTACTTTATACCTGTGTGAGAAGCGACAGCACATAACAGGCGTTGAGATATGTGAGGGCATGGAAACTCTCTGTTGAGTAGGCAAGAAAATCTGCTCTGTAATAGATGAAGAAAAAAAAAATGGAGGAGACATGGCGTGAGCTTTTGTAGGTTGTGTTCCTTGGAAGTATTCACCTCATAAACATACCAGCATGATGCAGCTACAGGTCGTCAAGGTGATCCCTTTCCTCCTCTTGCTTTTTTCGTATTGGATTCTATTGCTGGAAAAATTTGAGTTCTGCATTACAATCTGAATTATTGCGTTGCCAAGCGAGCATTTAGCCTTGTGTTGGTGCTGGAAAAATCGAGTTCTGCAGTACAATTTGAATTATTGCGCTGCAAAGATCCTTTTTTTTTTTGATTGTGCGTGGGCAGATATCTACTTGGTTGTGATTGATGATTTAGTGCTAGCTCTAGTTGGTTTTTTTTTTAGCTTGTAATCGTGGATCTCAGCTAGATTTCTACTTGGTGGCTGTTAATTTCGTGCTAGCTCTCGTTCGACCTTGTAGCCGTGGCGCGTTATCTTGGAGACGATATCATTAAGCTGCCTGCTTCTGGGTTTCCGTGGCCTCATCCTACCAGATTTTCTGAGAATGTTTTTGGGGCCAAACATTAACGAGAGAAATTGGGGGAGGGAGTATGCGTTTCCGGTGCATCCTAGGGAGTCGCTGGACTATTGGCCGGCAGATGTATTGAAAAGCCACAGGGACAAATGTAAGGCACGGCTGCAGAAACTGCAAAGGGATTACCTTGCCATGGGAGGGGATGAGGGTGAAGTCACAGAGATTGACTCGGGTGCATCTTCCAGTGACGAGGTGGAGGGAGGGGAACACTGGGAGCAGGCACAAGAGGGGAGTGAATTGCTGTCGCAGCTGGCGAAAGCTAGGAAGAGCGTGAAGCGAAAACTCCTGGAGTTGATAAAAGAATCCTCCCCGAAGGGACTTTTCCACTCCATGCGTAAACGTGTATCATCTGCAGGGGGTGTACAGAATCGGGCGAGGATGGACGTGGAGAAGGAGCTGGCGGAGGACATTAGGAGGATAAACCAAGAGGGTCGAAGACCATGGGGGCCGAGGAAGATCCAGAAGGAGTTTATAGAGAGGATGGTAGACATTGGGCAGGAGAATTACTACGGTGTGCGGAACGGTGTAGGCCATAAAGCTACTTATAGCTGGTTCAACTCCTTCAAAAAACGGACAGGGCTGAAGATTATCAAGAACATACACAGCACGAGCGTCAGGAGTGTCGAGCAGCTACGGGATGAAATATTTTTGACTTGGGGCCGCTGGCTTCATTACTTGGCTATGATTAGGGAGAGAATGCTGCAAAAGGAGCGGGAAAATGGTCGACTGCCTTGGGTGGTTCGCATGAATATGGACGAGACTTTCCTCCGCAGTCATGTGGAGGCAAGGTCTGCGGTGGTGCCGGTGGAAAACCCAAAGCGTGTGAACAGAGCATGGTCAGGAGCAAAGCAAACAACTCGAGAAGGTCACTCCGCTGTGTTGATTGTGACAGATACTCCTGCGGTACAGTTTCGGCCTACGTTCATTTTCGACGCTAAGAATCCACCCGCAGAGCGTAAGCAGATGATAGCGAATATCTGGAGCGAGGTTGCACACTTGGAGTTGGACGGGAATGGGAAGGGGAAAAAGGTCGTGGACACGTATCTGATGAGTGAAATAGTGAGGCGCCTCGTTAAAGAAAAGAAGCAAATAGAAAAAGAGCTGGGGAATGAGCTAGTATTGCTATGGATATTGGATCCTTTAGGTGCGCACATGTTGGACGACAGTACTCGCGAGGAATATCTGGAGGAAAAAGAATCCATATACACTTTCGTGCTCCAACCGGAAACGGGGACAAAACTGCAGCCGTTAGATGTTCAGGGGATTATCTCTTCTATCAAGAACGCGCAGAGCCAGGTGGATGATGAGGAGAAAGAATATTACTCGATGCTGGACACTGATTTTCGAGATTATTTGATAAAAAAGCTGCAGCTATGCTCAAAAGACACCACCTTTGATAGACTTGGTTTCTATCTTAGCTGCGACGAATTCGCTCCACTTCAGAGCGAATTGCAGAAGTTTTTACTGGGTGAGCAGTGAGGAACGAAGGAGAGGGGGAGAGAGAGAGAGGGGGAAGGAAGTCTGGTAGGATGATGAGGCAGGAAACGCAGAAGGCGGGTGGAGTCTAAGAGAGGAAATGAGTAGCAAGGTGTGCAACAAGCTAGAAGATGGAGGACTTGAGGAGGATTTGGTCGAATTTCTGGAGGGTTCTGTCGAGGACTTGAATGGGGAGGAGATAGAAGAGGAGCAGCCAGCAAAGAAGCGCAAGGCTTCTAAGATCTTCTTCCAGACTAAGTGGGAGGATGACCAAGCTGAAGACCGTGAAGAAAAGGAAAGGGCTCTCGAAGAGGCGAAGAAGATTCTATGCGAGGCAGGCCTATGGCGTTGGCCCAAGTCTGGGAAAGAAAAAACGAAGGACGAGGATAAGCTGGCACATGAACAGAAACAACTGAACAGGCGCAAAGCAATATGCGACTTTGACAGAAAGAGCAGGGCAATTGTAAACAAAATCGCGATGAAAAGGCTGGAAATTGCGAAGGATAATCGTTTGAGGAAGCACTTCGCTCCTGGGACAATCGTAAAAACGGTCCCGGTCCATACTGTCCAAACAATGGCTAAGCATGGTATTTTTTTGCAGGATTTGGATTGTAATAGCTCAAAGATCGCACTCCTTAGGTTTAGGATATAGCTAAAGTTTGTGGCTCATAAATTAGGTTTATGCTCGTGGAAAGAAGGAAGATAGAGAGTAAATATAGAAAGTATAGGTATGTAAAAAAATATGTCGCATCCTGGCGAAGAAGGACAAACTATTCCACGGCTGGTGGAATGTCGTCACTGTGGTGACTTTTACGCGGCTCGTGGATTAGCATCACATGAGCGCGCTTGTCGGGACAAACAAATCGACGACTTTGATGATGCTGCTGCGCTGGGATGTAATTCTTAGTGTTTTAGTTGTAGGGCCCCTTCCCTGCCAGGGACAATTGGAGGAAGGGCGCGATGCGTTGCGAGCAGGGCTATTTGCTCCTTGCTCCTTCGCTGTTTGGGGGTTTTTTGCTGCGATCTGGTAGTCTTAGGGAATCTGGGCAAGCTCCTAACCGTCCAGGCGCTAGCCTTTTGGGAGCTTTCAGGGCTTCGAGTTTCGAGCGTGGAACTGATTCCTTAAACGCTTGGCAACGGCGGGAGAAGAAACAAAACCACGAACGCGCGCGCAGTCTCGAGCTGCGCTGTAGCCTTAAACACAGGGCAAAGGGAGGCAATTCCTACGGATGTGCTTTTTTTTTGCCGTGTGCCCACCCCGAGCCAAAAAAATTAAAAAGGTGGCTGCAGTGGCTGGTCGATTTGAGAGAGCTTAAATCTCTGGCAATGTCTGCAGCGACGTGCCTGAATTTTGTGGAGCTCGAATCCTTCATAGTTTGAGCCTCCACAGTTCTAGAAATTGCAAAAATGTTAGGAGTTGAAAAAATTCCAAAAACATGAGAAAAAAGAAAACCGCGAGCACATGGGTCGTCTCTAGTCGTCCTGGAAGCTTAAACGCCGGGCAGGAGAAATCTGCCAAGTTGCCCCTAGTCACCACCGGAAAAGCTTCCAAAGTCTACCGGTTTCAGACTGGAAAGTGGTCCAAAAGTTGCGAAATCGTGCAGAAAAATCATAAGAAACCACTGGGAACAAAGTAAGACGCTACAGGTTTCCGCTTTATTTTAAAAATGGCCCAGAAGTTGCTAAATCGTGCAAGGAATTCCCTGGGCGCCACTGGTAAAAAAAGCCCAACCCTGAGGGCCCAGGGTAGGAAATGGCCCAGGAACTGCCAGTCTGTGCCCACTTTCCTCCAGTCACCACCAGGAAAAAAGCCCAAGTCCAAAAGGACCAGGCTGAGAGATGTGCAGAAGTGCGCTGCTTCCTGGTAGCCTTAGACGAACGGAAGCGCGAACCGGACACATTCAAAAACCAAGCCCAAGCCGACCAAACCCGCCCGCCGGAAGCCCGCCCGGCCTCAAACCAAACAGGCGAGCCCTAAGCACGCCCGGAGCCCGAGGCAGAAACGAAGCCCGCAGCATGCTCGAAACTTGGGCCAGGCTTTGGGCCTACGCTGAGCGTGGAACCCAAACGGGGCAGGCTGCGACGCGCTGCGCGTGCGTCTTCTCTGCTCTTCCCTCTCCTTTTTCTTGGGTCTTCTGAACCGCAGGGAGCCCGATGCCAGCAGCCACCGCGGCGCGCCCTCGAATCTCGAGGAGCGAGAAGCGGGGAGAGAAACAAGGGAGGCAAAGGGCGGGACGGCATGACGGTGCTGCGGCTGTGGGTGCGCGTGGTTCTCCCGTGGTGACCCGGTCGACACGGTCCCGCGTGTGTTGCCTTTGTCTCCTCTTTTGTTTCCCTCTCGTTTTCCTCTCTCCTAGGAGATTCGAGGGCGCGCTGCGGTGGCTGGTGGCGGGCTGCACTGCGTGCGCAGTGTGTCCCGCTCGCTCTTCTTCGTGCTTGGTTCGCTCCTGGGATTCGAGGGCGCCGCGCGGTGGCTGGCGGTGGGTTATGAGGCGAGTGCAGTGCACTCCCCGTCTTTGTCTTTCAGAAAACTCCGGCCGGGCTCTGGCCTTCTTCAAGACGAGGAGCCCGCTCGGAGTCGCGAAGCTCTCGCGACTAGAATCCACACGCGGCCGAGGTCGCCGCTGGCTTCGTTCATCAGGGGAAGAAGCTCCATCTCCCCAACGAAATGAAGCGGCTGCGGGTCTTGTCGGTGAGGGCTCGAAATTGTGCGAGGTGGATGAATCTGAGACATGTTCGCCTGTCATTTTGAAGACACTTCGAGACGGCTCCAAACTGCCGCAAGAACATAGAAAAAACCACAACGGGCACCGGACTGCTTCGGGACCGCGGCCCCCCCGGCCCGCCCTGAGACCTTTGCGGCAGCCCGGTCGGGGCTCCTGGGTGAGTCTTCTCCAAGCTTCTCGGAAAGCCTGGGAGGCCGGGGAAGAGCCCGCGGGAGCCGCCTCGCAAAGCCTCCGGCAGGCTCGCAAGAGGCCGCCGCCGAAGCCTTGCGCGGGGATGCGTTCTCCATCACGTGGCTAGCGCGTGGCTTTTAGAATCATTCGCAGGCAGGTGGCTACATCTAGACTGTGGAGGAAGCTAGACACAGAGCGGGCGCCGACGCTGTGCGGCGTCGCGGTTCTGGTGTTCGAGCAGATGGCCGCGGGGCCCTCTCAATGCCCAGGAGCTTCCCAGTCTGCTTCGTTTTGGGCTCGCCCTGCGTCTGGTCTGATATTGGTAGGCCGCAAGGCTTACCCGCTTCCAATTTTTAAACGCCGGGCGGGGGCAGTCTTTTTTTTTCACGAAGCAGCCACCCACTTCTAAGAAAATAATGAAAGGCCTACCTATTTTTTTGGACGTGGATGGCTGCTTGGCGAAAAGATTTACACCAGTGGCGACTGCTCTCGCCAGTTTTTTTTTCTTTGGTGGCTCAGGTGGCTGGCTGATTTGGAAAAAAGGGCACTTTTCTCAATTTCTGGAGCTTTTGTGAGGCTCAAACGTTTTACAGTTTGGGCCTACTCCGTTCTAGAAATTGGGAAAAGTGTTAACAATCTAAAAAAATTGAAAACGAGAGAACAAACAAAACCACGAACGAGCGCGCGGACCCTAAAGGGCTTGAGAGTTTAAACGCCAGGCAGGGGCTGCGCCCCCCGTCAAGAAGCTGACGCGGAAAGCCTAGGCGCTGCTCTCGTCATCGGGTGGCGCACAGTCCTGGCAATTCGGTGTAGACTGCGTCGCTCTTGGAGTTGCGAAGGTAATCGCCTTAAAAAGTGGCCGCTTTTTGAAGCCTTGGAGTTGGGCGATCGTGTGTGCATTTGTTTGCGGCTCCCGAAGCTGATGCGCGCGGCCTTGTTTCCGCCATCAGATGGCGCGCAGTTCTCGCAATTCCCTGAAGAGTGTGGCCCCCTTCGGGTTGGGAAGGTGATCCCGTGAGAAGGCCGCCCCCTTTCCGTGCCTTGACTGTCCGCGGCCGTGCGCTCGCTTGTTTACGGGCCGCGAAGCTGGTGCCCGAGGCCTTGCCCCCGCCCTTGGATGGCGCGCAGCCCTCGCAATTCGCTGAGCAGTGCGACCCCCTTCGAGTTGGAGGGGGTGGCCCCCTTCGGAGGCCTTCCCCGCCGGGTCTCCTCTCCGCGATGAGTCGATAGCAGACGCGCAGCGCCGAGCCGCCTAGCAGCCGGCTCGCGATAAGCCGACAACAGACGCGCAGCGCGGAGCCGCCTAGCAGCCGGCCCGCGATAAGTCGACAAGAGACGCGCGGCGCGGGGCTTCCTAGCAGCCGGCCCGCGACAAGTCGGCAACGGACAGACGCGCAGCGCAGAGCGGCCGAGCAGCCGGCCCGCGATGAGTCGACAACAGACGCGCGGCGCCGAGCTGCCTAGCAGCCGGCCGGCGATAAGTCGACACCAGACGCGCAGCGCAGGGCTGCCCAGCAGCCGGCCCGCGATAGGCCGACAACGGACGCGCAGCGCGGGGCCGCCTAGCAGCCGGCCCGCGATGAGTCGACAACGGACGCGCAGCGCAGAGCTGCTGAGCAGCCGGCCCGCGATGAGTCGATAGTAGACGCGCAGCGCAGAGCTGCAGCGCAGAGCTGCAGCGCAGAGCTGCAGCGCAGAGCTGTCCAGCAACTAGCGCCAAAGTCGCGGCTTTCTCGCTGCTTAAGCTGAATAGAAGCGAGCAGGCCGCAACTTCGTGGGAAACTAATGGGAAAAAAGGCTACCCACTTTCTTCGACTAGTTTCCCGCAGGCCCCTATAGAGGGCGCTCGAAACCAGGCCCCTCTATAGAGGCCCACGCGGTCGCCCCCTCCAGCGGCCTGCTGGGAAACCAACGGGGAGCGTGTTGCTTTCCTGGAATCTGATCGCACTGCGATGCAGACCCGCACTTGGTGCCGCGGCTCCCTGTCTCCAGCGCAGTGCCCAAAATAACCCCTGGGGAACCAAGTGGCGGGCTTACTTAATTCCGCTCCTGTGCTTACCGCGACCGAAAGGCCCCGACCCCCAGGCCGAACGCCCGAAAAGTCGCGGCGTTTCGAGCAACAGAGACCGCGCCCGCGAACCCGCTGGTCCCGTGGTCCTGCAGCTGGACAGCCGGGCCGCGATCGGTCGAAGACGGCTACGAAAACCCTAGCGCCGGCTGCCGATTGGCTGAGAAGCGCGCCCCCAACTTTTGAAAAGTTTGCAAGCCAAACGCTTGAAGCGTCGCGGCCTTCGGAGCAAGAGAGACCACGCCCCATGGTCCTGCCGCTTGGAAAGCGGGCCGCGATAGGTCGACGACGGCAAGAAAAACCCTCGCGGCGGTTGCCGATTGGCCGAAGCACCCCGGTTTTTGCAAAGTTTTCAAGCTGAACGCTTGAAGGGCCACGGCTTTTGCAGCCAGAGAGACCACGCCCGCGCGCCCGCTGGCTCCATGGTCCTGCAGCTTGGAAGCCCGGCCGCGAGGAGTCAACGACGCACGCGAACCGCCTTCCGCTTGCTTTCTCCCCCGAAGTCCCGGACCCCTGCGGACTTCACAGGGCAAAAGTCGAGACATTGGGACAGTGCGAAACTCCATGGGGGCCTCCTCTCCGCCCGATGGAAAGCGCGCACTTTTTGGCCCCGCAGGCCGCTAGGGAGGGCGATCCCGACCCTACCCTCTGCGCCCGTGCTTCTCTGTCTCCACCCTTTTGGCCCACGTGCTTCCGCCAATGCGGCGACGTTTGCCCATGCTGGCAGCATCCGCGCCGTCTTCCTTCCACGCGGTCTTTCAGGGCTGCGCCGCCCGCTGTGGCGGCCCCGCGGGGAAACTGCTGGGGGCTTGGTTGCGCGGTCGGAGCCTGCGCGCGATGGGTCGGCCGGCCGGGCTAGGCTCCTCCCCCCTCGACGAGGACAGCAGGAAATCGCTGGGGGCCCCGCCGCATCCCCACCAGGCTGACGCCACTGCCAAGGCAATCGGAAAACCACTAGGGACTCCACCGAGGGCCCCCAAGATTCCGCGGCGCCGGCTTTAGGTCAACGGCCCCAAGCCTGTCAGCTGGTTCGCAATACGCCGACGACCAGCGCGTTCGCCGTCGCCTGGCTTCTCCTTAAAAGAGCCTTGGCGCAGGGAGGCCTTGCCGGAAGCACTCGCAGAAGAGTGGGGGGGGGACAACCTGGAAGCAAAAAGCCGCGCACCCGCACCCATTGGCCCAGCCTCGGGCCTGGTGCTCTAAGCATGACGGCCGGCCCGGGACAAGTCGACGACTTTCGCGGCCCGGTTTTGCCTGGCTTCTCCCCAAAAGGCCTCGGCCTGAAAAGACTCACCGAGGGAGACGCCCGCCCTCGACGAGGTATACGGGAAGCCCCTGAGGGCCGCCGCGTACCTATTCCCTCGACCGCGCCGCGGCCCCGAGAGATTCCGCCGCCGCCCGCGCGGCGCCCGGGCGGCTGGAGCGACGCGAAGGAAAGTCCCCTACGCTTGGCGAGGTCCCCGAAAGAACTCCCAGAAAAGCGGGGAGCGGAGCGGCCTCGGGGCAGACAACCACAAGCCCGCTCTGGCCTTTGGCCTGCTGCTAAAGTCCAAGGCTGACAGCCGGTCCGCGAGTATTCGACGACTTGCGCGGGCCCCCGTGGCCTGGCTTCGGCCCTAAAGGAGTCGGCCTTTGGCGAGCGTGTCGGAAAAACGCCAAGAAAAGCCGGGAAAGAGCCAGCGCTCGAGCGCAGGACCGCGAGCCCGCACACGCGGGCCTTGTTTTAGGCCTGATGCCCCAAGCGTGGCAGCCGGTCCCCAATGTGTTGGAGCTTGCGGACCGCCGCCGCCTTGCCTCTGCCCTCCCTCCAAAGCAAAAGGCCTCGCCTCTTGGCGAGTTTGCAGGAAGAACTCCAAGAAAACCCGGGGAAAGGCCGGCGCAGTCGGTATCTGCAGCATACAACTAGAAAGGAGCGCTCCGTCTTATCGCCGGCGACATCGCGGCATCCTTCTGTCCTGCCACCAGCCTAGAATGTAGGAATTGCGAGACAATGGGAGGGAAAGTTGTGCTAACGTGCTCTGCTGTTCTTGAGCAGCAACCAGTTACCTCTGCTATTGGCATGTGCTAACATGCTCTGTTCTTGGCACTATTTACTTCTGTGTGCGGAGAAGTTACAGAGAAAGTCGTGCGCGGTTTTCTTCTCTATCATGTGCGAAAGTAGCGCGCTCTGATTGTCCGCGTGCTCCAATGTGCATGTGATTGAGAAGTGGACTCGAGATGACATAAAAGCTCTGCCCTCAAGTACTAGATTCAAGATGTTGAGAACAGAAAAAGTCCGTCAACATATAAAGATAAATCATCTGACGCTATTGGGCAGATGATGTACTCGCTTCGCGAAGGCCGTCAGAAGGCTTAAAATGCTGAAACTCATACTTTTATTTACACGTCTGTGCGAGAAAAATTTTAATTTCTGTTGAGAGGTAGAGACTGCTGAGAGGTAGAGTTGATGGAGTTCTCTCTGTAGTGTCAGCATATGCGTCTGTGCGAGAAAAATTTTAATTTCTGTTGAGAGGTAGAGACTGCTGAGAGGTAGAGTTGATGGAGTTCTCTCTGCAGTGTCAGCATATGCGTCTGTGCGAGAAAAATTCTAATTTCTGTTGAGAGGTAGAGACTGCTGAGAGGTAGAGTGGATGGAGTTCTCTCTGCAGTGTCAGCATATGCGTCTGTGCGAGAAAAATTTTAATTTCTGTTGAGAGGTAGAGACTGCTGAGAGGTAGAGTTGATGGAGTTCTCTCTGCAGTGTCAGCATATGCATCTGTGCGAACGAAAAGAGATATTGGAGCGAGTACTCCTAGAATTATGGAGTTGTGGTCAGCGTCACTTGTCTTGTATTGTTCTGATACTAGCAAGTGTCCCTTCTAAACTTCCTCTTATGAATTCGAGATAGAAAATTCAAAAACACAAATGTGAGCGGTGAAAAGTTTGATTTTTATAATCGGCTTTTTTCCCTACAATTTTCACGTCTTCCAAACGGCATTTAAATCGCCCTCTTTCCTTCCCTTCGAACTCCTCGCATTTCTTTCTTGAGCTTTCTTCTTTTTCCTGAGCAAAGTCTGTCCAACTCCCACGTTATTAGTTGTATCTTGAACTTTCCTGAGCAAAGTCTGAACAACTCCCAAGTTGTTACTTGTATCTACCCTAGGATTACGATCAAGTACAGAAACTAGTTCTTGAAGATGTTGTGGTGACAGTGACTTCATACTCGTTACAAGTTGTTACAGGAGTAGACCTTGTAAAAGTCGCATCCTTTTTTTCTAACTGCGTATCATCAGTGGTAAGTGAAGTAACGAGGAACAAGATGTCGTCCAAGATGTTGTCACGGATTCTTGGTCTTTCTCTCGCACACTATATTGATGTGCGCTTTGCAATCCAATTCCATGCGAATCCGTCTTCTGAGAAGAAGCAAGCCTTCTATCCGGTCCAGCCTGTCGAAGGTGCAGATGCTGGAAGCGCGGACCAATCACCATATGATGGAGGTGTGAAACAGGCACCAGGTGTTGGAGGCGCGGACCAAACACCCCCAAAGGCTGGAGAGCATGGAGAACCCCCCAAAGCAGAAGGAGACCCCGACAGCACTCCTCCCAAAGAGGACACCGGCGAAGGATTGTACTACCAACTGGGACCAGCGCAAGAAGCCACACGTATGGAAACGTTGACGTTCGCCACTTCGGATTCGGTGACTTGGAAGGGCAGAGGTCAAAACTTTGTGAAAGAGTTGGCAAGGCTTGTCGAGACTACTACAACGGACAACTCTCGGTCTGCACAGGAGGAAAATGCGCTCTACGTTGTGGTAAAACTGGCCCCGAATCTAGATGATGTTAAGGCTTTCTTCCCCTCTCATCTCTACTTTCCCTGATGTATGATCCATCTTCAGAGATGAAGGCCTCCATCTTCGATCCTCCTGGGACGAGCGACGTTCTCAAGGGAGAAAGCGCCCCAAGATGGTGTCGTCCTCTTCAAGATGGATGATTGAACAGAGAAGTTCTAATGATGCTACTGACTGGTCCCTTTTGCGCTACCGCAACTCCCTCAAAACCTGGCACTGGGTGGAGCAGAAAAAGGCGGTTCCTGGATCGGGTGAACCACAGATGGAGTGGATCGCGAGCGACCAAGAGCTCTTTTTTTTAAGGCACCGAGGACCGAGAAAAAAAACCTCCTCCCCGCCTAATATAGAACATGTGTCCACCCAACAAACCTTTTGCTGGTTCTCCTTTTTCTTAGAAACGAGCTATGGCATACTTCTCAAGATAGGATCTTATGTCATGACCCTAGTGCCTACTCATAAGTTGTGGGAAGATCTTGCTATGACAGACTGCTCTCAAGCTCAACAAGACAGGTAGAGGTATAAAGTTGACTCTCAACAAGACGAGATCGCCGAGATTGCTCTAATTTTTTCAGTCACTACTCGCGGTGAAGCTCGAAGGCAGTTGATGGAGGACTGCACACAATATTCCGCAGACCCTGGAAGTTTTCGCGTCTTTGAACTGAATTAAGGCAAGCTTCCGAATAGATGCGCGTCATCTCCTAGGCAGTTTTTAGTTGATAGGTAGTTGACGCGAAATGTCTTTTCGGCTATCTAAGGTTCACAGGCTTAGTTAGAAGTTTGCCGAATAAGTAGATATTCACATCATGATAAAAAACAGTTAGTTAGTTAGTTAGTTAGTTATTTTTACAGGAAAGTCTACCCTATCCTATAGTATGGCGGAAAAGGTGGTTTGTAGCCTTTTTTGATATTCTTGATCTTGTGCTGTCAGACTCCTGAGTCATAATCTGGTGATATCATGTTTTTGTGACGGACAGGACGTATTGGGATTCGCTTGTCGTCCCTGGAGGTTGTTGATGTTATCCTGTGATGCAATCTGTGCTGTATACTGCAATCCTTCGAATGCCAACATTGTGAGCGTGATGTATGCCAGACGTAGTAGGACTACTGCGATGAGGTTCCCCAGCAATTGACCCTCTAATACGAGCTTGAATCCGTTTCGCGTCTGCTCACCTACAGTGACTATCAACATTACAAGAACGCGATCGCACGAGAGGTGCGCGTTCCTCCTCAGATCCTTCGAGCTTCTTCGCAGGGACAACATGTGAACAGGCCAGCTTCATCTTCTGAGGAGAGTCTTCGATCGACATCGAGTGCCATGACTCAAACTTTTGATCATGGTGGTCCTCCGACGTTTGTGGTACAAGAAGGTGCTGCTAGTCCGGATAGGGCCCCTCGTCCTGCACCTCCGTCACAAGGTCGTCAAGATCGTGCTCACGAGGGAGGGCCGCCTTTGGTTCCGGAGTCAGCTGAGGACTTTTTTGAACTGCTCACGCCTGCTGCTGGTCTCTTCCGTCCGGAAGAGCTGGCTGCTCTGAGGCGGTTGAAACTTCTAGACGGACGACGACGAGGACCTCCTGAGGACGACGGGCAAGTGGACGGCGCTGTGGCACTACTGTCTTTGGCAGGGGACGGGGAGCCTTTCCTCACGTGCCTGAACGGCTACCCTGGCATAGATCATGACATGGTAAATGAAGCCAGTAATCAACAAAGTCAAGAACCCATGTTTGAACGTCTGAAAGCAACGCTCTCACGATCTGAGACGTGGAAGCGCGTGCGAGACAAGCGGAGGGAAAAGGACCGAAGCCTGTTACAAGATGCCAGGGGGATCAATTACAGTTTCTTCGAAGCTCTCTCCTTAAGGGTCGTTTAGCACATCCCCCTACATGCACATCCCTCTAGTACAGGAGCATGATTTTCCTTGGCTGGCGTCTTTTTCAAGTACAGAAAAAAAAGTCAGCGCCAAGGCCGGATGCTCCCTAAAAGAATGCTCCTAAGGACCCCGGTAATGCTCCCAACACTCTCCCCAAGTGTCTCTCCACGGTAGTAGCTCTAACCTCCACCAGAACGCTTTTTCCGCTGCTGCGACAGTTATGGGTTGAAACATTCCATTTCCACAGGCCCTTTTCACTTAAGGATAACACTGAAAAATGAAATGTTTCAACCTTTAAGACAGGAATTGTTACAGTCTGCCAGGTCCGCAGGAGGAATTGCGCACAGCTTTGGGCTCACAACCGAGTCCGGGCTCCTGCCCTGGACCTCCAACAGCATGGTCGAGTTCGCCTACGAATTACTCTCGTCTAGCGACATTCTATTAAGGCTAGTACCGCTCTTCAAGCATCTCCTTACAGCGTCATGATCCTTGGCCCTTACAGTATCAACCTTGGTCCCTAGCACCATGCTCCTTGGTTCTTCTTTCTCCACTTGAGAATATTATGACGGGCCACGGATGCTAGTGCACTCAGGGAAGATGTTAACGCGGTAGCTCTAATTCTCGACTCGAAAAAGGTGACACCCATTTACTTTGCGCCGAACTCCTGGGGAGGCCATTTCATCCATTCTTATGTTGCTATAAAGACTACTACACAGTCATTTACTCTCTCTACTCACCCTTGGTACTCTAGTTTCCCTTGTTTCTTCGGATATTCTTAGTCCCTGCTAGTCGTGACCTGAGGGCTCGGAGGCGATGGAATTAGAAGTTTCAGCGCCCTCAGTACTCCTGGGGAGGCCATTTCATCCATTCTTATGTTGCAGTACGCCTGCTTGTCATTATACTTTCCGTATCTATCGAGACTAGAAAAGGGTACACATTTTTGGCTCTATCTAAGATACCGTGAAACAAACTATGCCGACCGAGATGACGCCGAAAGCTACCACAGGAGCGTTGCAAGTGCGGATTTCCTTCACGGCAGACGACTTGTTGTCCCAGATGATCGAAAAGAACTTGGAGAAGGCGCTCATCCTTGTTATGGACGAATAAGTTTTTTTTTTCCTCTACATCAGACCATCGCGAGGGCCCGCCCCTTTAAGCAGATTATATTTTTTATACGTTTGTAAGGTCCCACTATCTGATCCAGTGTTACCACAACTCAATATAGATATGTTTTTAGGGGAAAATCATGGGTAGGAGCCGTGATGGTCTGCCCTTAGAGAAGAGAAAAAACAACATTCATACCTGTGGCATTTCCGATCGCGCCAGCGGTCGGCTTGCGAACATCATCGCAGTCACCCGTTCGAATTTCAGACATGGCGGTCGAGATGCCGGAAGAAGACTTTGCCTACGCCTACTTGCTCGAACTTCGAAGGGAGAAAGATTGGACTCAGATCAAAACACAAATGAAAAAGAAACTTGATGCCAACATGGACGAGCAACAAAATTTGCGCTACGTTCTCTGTGAAGTCCACATTCTCGACTATTTTCGCTCTATCCGCACTGGTGCGAAAGGGCTTGAGGGGGTGGCCAGTTCGGAAGCCGATGGGACAAACGACGGAAGCCCTCAAGTCCTAGTGCCGGGACTTGGCTTCAACGCAGTGGGGCAGAATTTCGGTAAACAAGTGACAGACTTTGCCGCAAACTCACTGAAGAATGCTGTCATCGAACGCTTGCAACGTTGGGCTGGTTCCACGGAAACCCAGCGCGCGCTGCGCGAACGACTCGGCGGAGGAGGTCGGGGAGAAGAAGATCGTGCTGGAGGGTCTGGCGGTGTAGGTGGCGATGCGGCGGCAACTGCTTCCCTTGAAGGAGGTGCTCGAGCTACTGCTCGTTCGACGCCCGCAGAAAAGAAATCTTTGTTCCAAACGATTGTGCCCGACCGTGTTCGCGGTCTTGGTAAAAAAAAACCGCCCAAACCCGGAGCGGCTTCCCCAGCTAGCGGAAAAGCCACAGGAGCACCTAAGGAAAATGAAGAGTCCACGGTCGAAAACGGAGCTTGCGAAGATGGAGGCGGAGTCGTTTGCGAGATATTTAACATTAAGGCTACTTACTTACAGTAGTAGTCCTTACAAGGAATGAATTAGAATTACATTCTAACGTCTACGTCGGCGACGTGTCAGAAGAGAGTCCGTGTAACTAATGTTGCAACAACTGCTGACTCAAAGTGGAATCAGTAATGTCCTTGTCTGAACATAGTCGTCATGTTGTCTGAAGAGAGTAGCACTCATTTGCAAGGACGACCTATTTTCTAATAGCACCTCCTTACTCAAAAATTTTTCATTGCGTTTGAGTGTTTTTTTAGTACATGACCATGATGAGTCTTCCTCATCCTAAAAATCTCCTGTACATTAACAGTGCCCATAATTATCTTCTTGCTTTTTTCGGTTCTTCCCTAGATAGGTTGGCTCCACCGCTATTCTAATAGTAGCATCGAGGAACTTCTGCGACGGACGCCACTGGAACTCCTCAATGGTCAGGTTCGGATTGAGGGCTTGCGCTTTAGCTTGCAAGACCCAAAAGACAGTTGGTTGCCAAGTCCAAAATTGATTGGGTTCTACGATCAAAAGCCCATACTGAAGACGATGAATGCCGCGGCAAAGTCAGGCAGATCCTCGACAAGATTCAACTGGCTTATGTCTAAGGTAAAGGCAGATGCCCATGATGTCATCCAAATGCATGATAAGGATCTCAAATTCATTTCCAGAAGCATATTCATTTTTTTGAGTTCTATCTTCGATTTTCTTCGACCTGACGTGGTCAAAGAAGACTACACTCTCTAGCCTAGTAGAAGATGAAGACTACACTCTCTAGTTCACTCTCTAGGGAAGACTGCACTCTCTAGCCTGGTAGAAGATGAAGACTAGTACACGCTAGTCTACAGTAGAACATCAAGATTTGAATTATTTGGGTGTGCATTTATTGGCTGATGTTAAGCTTAAGCTTGAGGTCTAAGAATTCCGGGTCCAAGAAGGGGAATCCTCCTCCTCGGACGATGGGAAACCTTTCGAGGGAACCAGGTGAGCTCGAATACCCTCTGCCAGTCTACCGCGTGTTGCTTCCAAAGTTGGATGTGAAAGCGGCCAAGATTTTTGTCGATCGTGATCTTGTCCTGGACCTCGCAGGGCGCGAGCACGCGGCAACTGGAAACCTAAAGGCTCAACCTCTGGTCGGCGCTGACGAAGAAGCCTTGGCAAGCTTCATGAAGACAGCTGCTGCGCACCAAGATGATGAATCCATTGATGCCCCGTTTCTCGATCGCGCGGCTGAGTCCACCCCTAGCGCATCTGCAGGGACGGCAAGTGGGTCCACCAGCACTGGGTCTTTCTCATTGACGAGCATCAAAAAGAAATGGCCGGGGTTGAACACCATGGTAATGAGCGCCATGGAAGCGATTGCTTCGTCTGCCCAGCCACCGAATATGCTGCGTGAGGCTAACAATTACGGGCACCGCAACTTTGAAGAGCAGTCCATCTTTTACTCGACAGCATCTTGATCTTTCCTTAGCCTATTTACTTTTGTACACAAGAGGTAAATATCGAGGCTGCTCCAAGAAGAGATGGGTTGGTCACCGACGACACAGGTGAGGTTGCAGAAATAACTAGAGGACCCATAGACACATAGACATAGTATGAAAAGGCGGTGCGCCGTAGTTTTTCGTCTAAGAAAAGTTATTCGCTTGGGCCCCCAAGACGTCAAAGGAGGCAACCGAGAGGACGATCAGTGCCCTGCTTCCCGAGGAGATTGAGTTCAGTATCACTTAAGGCTCAGACTTCATTGGTCATCACTCCTTAGAGTCCGGGGTCTCTGACACCGAAGTACTACTCGGCTTCCCTCTTGAGAGAACGTTAACAAGGGAAGAAAATGAAGGGAAAACACAAAACACGGGGAGAGGCATCGTCATGAGCATCATCATGAGGATGCTTTCTTCTTTCAGAATCAGTGACCAGTGAAGATTGCGGGCCTTTAAATTAGGAAGAAGGAAGACGCTGTGCACCTCGGGGAAGGTATTGCGATCGACCTGGTTTTCTCTGCGCCGCTCCATGAAGACGCCGAATCCACCACTGCTGCGTCCAAAGCGTCCAAAGGATTACTGCGCGGGTCTCCTACTGTGCCGAAACTGATCAAAATCCTGGAGACGCAGAAGGTACCTACTTATTTGCTTGGGCCGCGCAGTAGGTACCCACTAGTAGATTCAGTAATTGAAATTGTGCGATATTGTTCACTTTTTTTTGCTATACTAAAGAGGTATTGCGCAACTACCGACGACAAAGAAGAGAACAACATACAGTACTAGGTAGGACGCCCTACCGACGACAAAGAAGAGAACAGCATACAGCACTAGGTAGGACGCCCTACCGACGACCAAGAAGAGGACAGCATACAGTACTAGGTAGGACGCCCTACCGACGACCAAGAAGAGGACAGCATACAGTACTAGGTAGGACACCACAAGGAAGAGAACAGCATGCAGTACTAGGTAGGACGCCCCCAAGAGATCTTATTTATATCCACCTTTGGTGAGCTAGCACCCATAAGCAAGGTCAGCAACGCCGTTCCGATATCATTGCGAGCGCCTACCTTTCTCTTTTCACTTGGTGGGACCTTATGTGGCAGAAGACAGGGACTTTTACTCCGAGCGCTCTAATTTTAGTAGATTACTATCTTAGTTATGTTATCTAGAGTAAACCCTCCTTCGTTCCTATTACTTTACCTTCCGTTCTAAATACTCCTAATACTCTTAGCTCATACTTCTACTTTCCAAGATTTCTCACGACTTTGGCTGCAGAATATCCACCTTCGAGTATATCCGCCCAGGCTGTCTCTGTGTCTTCTATTTCTGGTTTGGAAAATTTGGAAGATGTCTTACTCCTAGGTTGAAGATTCACACAACTTCTAGGCTTTATCTTGGTGTGCTGTTGAGGGACCTATCTTGTTGTAGGGCTATAAAACTTCAAAAAAATGGTTTCTCTCCTTACTTACACAAATTCTGCATGCCAATGTTAAACGGAGGAAGCGCAGAACAATCACTTTCACTCATACACAAAGTCCAGTACACAAGTATCATCTGATTGATTCTACTACCAATTTCTGCAACAGGCAGAAGAGCTAGACCGTTTGAAGGGCAAGGTGGAAGCAGCTGCAAATTTAGAGACGACTTACCTCCGACAGGCTGAACGCACCAGGCTGGAAGAGCAACATGGCCCAGACGCTGTACGCCTTCGTGAGCAAGCAGCAGAGCATCAAGCTGCAGCAAAAAGACTACTTGAAGAGGCGGAGTCGGAGGCAAAAAGACACCGGGAGGGGGGCCTTGTCGATGCAACTGCTGAAGGACAGCAAGAGTCTGCCCAAGCACGAGAAGGGTCTGCAAGTGCGTCAGGAGCCGCAAGTGCGTCAGGAGCTGCAAGAAATTCCGCTGCCGGAGAAGAATCACCACCAGGACCTCAAGCATCACCGGGACATGAACCAGATGCAACTGCTGCTGAGGTTGATTTGGATTTTCCTCTAGCAAAGCTTGCAGCGGTGGGGTTTGAGATCACGGACCGCTTCATCGAGAATCTGGCAGTAGAGGGGCTAAAGATTCTTCAAACTGGCGCTTTATTAAGGCTCACAATAATGATTCATTTTCATCTTAAGAAGCATCTCTAGCCCGCTTCTTCAGGGGGCATCTTTTTTGTTCCCATTTTGCTTTCAATAAGGAAGGAGAATTCGTAACAAAATGATGAGATGCACTGAAACAAAGATGAATTAGAAATACTCACCTTAGAAATACTGACCTAGGTGCACCACCTTATTTTTACATATGCGACGAGGTCTAACTTTTCAGTGGCTCGGAAATCTGATTGGACCCTACTACGCTCGTTCCGTCCTGCGTGGCCTGATGAAAGGCCTCGTGGAGAACACTATTGGCGAGATGCTGTTCAAGGATCGCAAGAGGTACTGGCAGAGCGGCCAGCGTCGAGCGATCAAGAGCGCTGTGGAGATAGCTGGAACTTGGACGCCCATGGATAGGGACCATAACCCCTATTACAAGATGTGTCTCGAAGCGACTGGAAAGAACAAAAACAGTTGCATTCGAGGCTCGCTTTGGTTCCATGTCTTCGAAGACATTATGTAGTTGGGGTTATTAAATATAATTGAGGGATACCATACCTTTTTTAGTTAGGTCTGCTCCACCAACAATATTGAGCTATACTTTTATTGAAAGTTTATGTTATTCACATTATCATTATCTTTATCTGTGGTCGACGTCAAGGCTAAAGGTGTTTCCCCTTGTTATAGACCGTTCGTTTTTTTTCTTTACCTCTAAAGAGACGACTCCTGCTGGCGTTGCGATGGAACAAATCGTCGGGAAACTTGGTTTTTCTACAAATCTCGGATTCTATCAAAAGCGATTGGAACAACTACGAGCATCGAAAAGCGTAAGGCCTGAGGCAATGATCTTCGCTGATGAGGATGCGTTGCAGAGGGAAAAAGTCCGAAAGTTCACAGAGCAAGCAAACTTAAGGCCGCTCAATATATTCTTATAAATTTAATTTCTCTCATCTCAGAGTGCAGTAGTTTTCTCTCATCTCAAGCACTGTCCTCGCCGCTTCAAAGTTCATTGCTACAACTCATTTGCATTTCTCGAACAAGCTTCCTTCTATCACTTGGGTTTTTTGCGAGAAAGCAAAGGTCCTTGTCTGAGTAAATGAAACGAAGCAAGAACTTACATTAATATATTATGAGCAAGCTCGCTTCTCTAACAGAGAAAAATGCTTGGAGGGAAGTCACGATGGCTGTAATGTACGACCGCTTTTACGAGCCTTTGCTCCGAGGAGACCGTGCTGACGCTTCGTCAGCACTAGTGCCAAAAGACGAGACCGTGAGAGAGCTAATGCGAACCTGGATGCACTTAAGCCTGCGATTCAAGCAGCGCATGGAAGTTGGGTTTGGGGCAGAAGCATGCGCAAGTATGAAGACAAGCAGCATGGAAGAAGTTGAGACCGTAGAAGATGGCGATAAAGCAGAGGAAGAACTTGAAGGTGAAGATACTCGCAGTCCTTCTAGAAAAAGCGTCGCAGCCGAAGAACTTGTTACGAAGGCGATCGTCGGCGCCAAAATTACCGCGCCGCGAAAAACCTACCACTTTGGCGAGACGGACCCGCGAGAGGTAACTGTCGGTTTGCTACATCTGGAAAGCTTTGCGCAGAAAGTTTTTGGAGTGAGGTTTTCTCTCTGCCTGCTCGAACGACATCAGAGGGCGTGGTCCACCTTCATCGAGTCCGATCTGAAAGGGATACTGATTGATGATTTTTTTCAAGCAAGAAGACTCCGCAAGTTAGAAGCTCTCCTGTCGGCTGACGAGGACATGATGCTTTCGAAGATGGAAAGCGATGTTGATGAGCAGGATCATGAAGGAAGTGAGGATGAGCTACGAGGTAGCGCGGATGAACTACGAGATAGTGGGGAGGACTCAGAGGGCTCTAGTAGTGTAGATTCTCTCAGCGTCAATGTAGGGCGTGACAGCACTCCGCAGGTTGTTGTTGAGCCTCTCCCCCCCAGAAGCATGAAGAGAAAGAGTCTCACCGCTTTGGTGAAGGGCCTCCTCCGTGAGGTACTTCCCGCGCCCGACGAAACCGTGGAGCCGTTTCCTGTGGATGTCTTGTCCCTAGCGAAAAACTGGATTCGCTTTGTGTACCCGCTTCCCTCCGACTTTCTGCGAGCCATTCGACGGCTCAGCAGCGAAACTTTGCCGACGCTCAAGCTAAGGCCACCTACTACTGCAACTACTAACTACTAGATTAGATGCAACAAGTCATCTCCAGATGCAACTACCCCTGCAACTACGAAGATGCAACTACAACTACTTCTACTTCGCAGAAGTAGCCTACTACCATGTAGTCTGCTAGTTTTTCTAGTGGGGCATTAGTACTACACGACATAATTACGCCCGTTAATACTGGGTATATCATCGTCATCGCCCTCCCTGCTATCTTGCTCCCCTCATTATTTCTAGAGGGAGGTGGAAAACGGGAACCAAGATGATGGGGCCGAAGACTCTATGATACCTTGATTAGACCTTCTACCATACTAATAATACTCGACGTAGTATTAAGTTCTAATGAAGATTTATTCTCTATTTAGTAAGTTCTAATGATTATTATACATAGTAAGTAATGTTGGGACTTCATGTTCATCTTTTAGTAAGATTGATAATAATCCACTTAGTGCCGCCTTTTGTCCTTCAAATTCTGGCTGAGATACACACTCAACTTACTTAAGGAAGAAAGGCGGCCAGTGATGAATATTCTAAGTCGCTTAAAGATACTAAGCAACTAAAACAAACAATTACATCTGATTATAATTAATTAGCCTCCTCCTTTATTAACAGGCAACTTATACACTTTCCCCGTTTCAATGAGGTGTGCTGCAAATCTTGATTGTCTTCTTCCTTTCTATAAGGTTGAGGCTTAGGCCCAGCGGCGCTCAAAGCATGAAATAAAACAACCGGTTCGTTTTTACCTCTAGCGTGTAGCCCTTCCGACAATAATAATCTAGCTACTTAGTGTTCCCTCTAGGTCTATCCTTAGCAGGTTTAGCCCTCCAAAGAAAATACTCTACCCAGTATTAACAATTTCTAATTCTTATCTCGGAGAGCGCTAGGAACCTGTTAGAGCGTCCAGGCTTCCTCAAGGACCTAGTAGCGGACCCGAATTCCGGGGTTAAGGAATTTGCGTTGTTATCGGCAAAGGACTTCGTTGGAACTGGCTTTAGGGGCCTGAGCAGCTACAGCCCGATCTCGCACTTGGTGGAACGGTACATGTTGTTGCCGTCTATCCTGAGTCTCTATTATGGACCCACTGATCGTGCCAAACTTGTTGACATGAGAAAACTATTGAAAAAGACTGGTGAGAAACTTCTTCTTCTTCACAGGATTTTAAAGTAGTTTCTCGACGACGTAGTCGTAGTCGTGGTGTTCTTTCTAGTCAATCTCGACCACTAATAGGTTGAGGAAAAAAAGAACACAAGAAGAAAAATCCCCAAATAGTGACTGTTTACTTAGGGCCCCAGCAGAAACACAATTAAGACTGAAGTGCCCCTTGATCCCTTTGGAGTCCCCTTCCTTTTCATACAACCGGGATCCCGAAGGAAATGTTCGCGCAAATCTTGAAGCCCATGAGTGAAGAGCAACAAAGCGCCATCGAAAATTTAACGCAAGATCCGACCGGGTTTGGGATGCAAACTTTGCAAGACGAACTCCTCTGGGCCTTTGCGCATAAGGGGAAAAGGGTATACTTATACTATACATACTACCATTCCCGATCATTATGTAGACTAGAAAATTTATAAGTAATGTAAGTTTATGTTGTTTAGACCACAATCTTCAGCCCATGACAATAGCCGCACAATATGTCACAACAACAGCAATTCAGGTTCCCAAAAATGCGTACAGAGTGGAGGACTTGTTGTTGTATAACGAGCAGGAGGAACGTTATCCTGCCGTGTGCATCTTGCCAGGTGGGAGAAAACTGCCAGGCGTTTTGGTAGCAAGCAAGCTTATGGGCGGTAGCGTCAACCCAACATCTTTTATACCAACATCTTTTAGTCACCAGTCTCAGTCCCTCCTTGGAATATTAGGCTACAAGTAAGAGGCTAATTATTTTATCATCATGACTCGAGTAGGCTAAAAGACGCTCTTTTCAAAGATAGGTTGTCGGTCGGTACCTCTAACAAGAACGCAGCTGGAGGTAGCCAAGAAAGAGAGATGGTCGTGGATCGGTTTCATCTTCCAAACCGTGCGCTTCTTAAACTTAAACTGGCGCAGGTCCAGGAAGCTACCCAATTCCAACCGGAATCGCTAGCAACAAGCCTGGAACACGTTGCAATATTATGACAACTTCCGGAATAAATCTCCCATTTTGAGAATCCATCTCTATGTAATTTAATGTCTCCATCTCTATGTAATAGTGCAATCCATCCTATCCTATCCATCTATGTACACATTAGGTCCGCTCCACCACATATATTATGAAATCCATCTCCAGAAGCATCTCGGACCTCCCGTGTAAGGGGGGAACGGGTACAACAAGATGACTTTCAGGATGAAGGACTCCCGGAAGGTCTAATAATAGGCAGCTTTTCCGAAAGCGAGCCACGCGCTTGGCAGAGGCGAGTTTACCCAAGCGAGTTGGAATTTTACGAACAATGCCAAGTGAAAGAATCTTACACAACTGGCCGCGAAGCGCAGATCAAAGTTTTGGCTATCAATCCCGAAATTGTCACCGCTCGTTGGGTTCCTGTGACTGTTAAGGCTACAAGATGACATCAATCTTCACAGGCCTCTTCCTGAGACCGTTTTCAAGGGGAAAAAGGTTCTAGGATCTTCATGGATGGCAATGGCTGTCCATTTTAGTTGTAGTTCTAAGACTGTGAGCACTGGAGAGCAGTCCTCAGCTGCGTACTTGCCAGCCCATTCTTTGCTTGTCACAAAGGGCCACCAGGTGCCAAAAGGGGAGATCTTGTTGTCAGGGAATATGCAGATTGCAAAAGAAGCGAAACTGAGCACCGCAGTGCTCATAGGACGCGTTCAGGTGCCAAAGAGCTTAATACCCTCCAATTCCAATGGCGAAGAACCTCCCAGGACCCTCGTGGCACATCCCACGACGGAGAAGAAAGAGTCTTCAGCAGACGAGCCCCCAAGGTACCTTTTGGGTCGTGCGGATGCTTTTAGTAATGGAGCTGTCTTTGGGTTTGGCCTGGTGCAAGAAGACCTGAACATCTTTAGATCCAACGGCGGTTCTGGGCAGGAGCAAGAAAATAGAAGAAACACCCAAGACAAAATGGTAGCACAGGGAGAAGTTTTATTAGGGCTTGCCGCCATAATATTCTAATTGTGGAAAGAGAATAAGTTTAAGTTTAAGTACGTACGAGGATGTGACAGAAGAACGATCATGGGCATCGGTGGAATCCAGATGGGGCTGGTGAGATGATCAAGATCTTTCTTCTATAAAGAGGCATCTCGTGGTCTGACACGTCTTCGTCTTCGAGGGGGAACGAAAAAATGCGTCAGAGATCACTTCCTGCCACAAGATGAGTTTGGTTGTACTAGGTAATCCCTCCAAGATGAATCAACATTTAGGTAAGCTCTAACTTCCGTGGTGCAATGGATGGACGCAAAGAAGCTTTTAGACCAAAATCCATACGAGTGGGTGAAAGCAGCTGGCCCAAATGTGGCTTTTCCTGCCGACGCTGTCCCGTGTCTGGGAAACTTCCGTCGAGAGCTTTACTACGTTGCTAAGTTAAGATGAGATTGATTTTACACGATAATCATGTAGTTACGAGTAAATTTAGTAGTAAACACGCTCATCAGAGGACTTAGATTATGCTCCTTTATAATACTACTCTTAGTACACCAACAGGATAGCTTCATTCTTAGGCTAGACCGGAGTTGATCCCGCTATTTGAAAGCGCCAACTTCACTAAAAGAAGACGTTCGAAAAGATAAACTTCATGGAATAATGCATGACGTTCTGGTTTCGGATCGGTCTTCCACCGTCTCTCATGAACCTCGCGGACGTCTCTAAGGAATGTTCTAAATGTAAAAGATGATATTAGCTCTTTCCTCATCGGTTGTCCTGTAGGTTGTTAGCCCCTCAAATCTACTTCGCATCAAAGAACTTATTTTCAGCGGGGCTTCCATTGGAACCACTTACTTACATACATTTCCTGTATCTAATGAAGCTGAAAGACGAGGTCGGCGCAAGGGGCGTAGCCCAGCCCGATCAGTGGAGTTGGAAGTACATCCAGGAGGATCAGAAGTGGGGAGATTTTAAGGGTTGTTCATCCCGCATTACACATCCTTCACTATCGCTAACACTAGCTCCCCTTTTCTTTTTTTCCTGAATTGAATCAGTAACACTACCTAGCTTACCTTCACTTTTTCCGGTAGGAAATGAGTCAGGGATGTAAGTGCGAGGTGGACATTCCTGAGTCAGAAATCTAACTCAGCTCATAATGTAAGGTTCTGGGCAGAAGTGTACCTTTCCCATAACCTAGTCAGGAGGGATGTTCTGAGAAATGTGAAGATTCCGTCTGTACTAACTGGGATCATGTGGTTCTTAGCAGAAATGTAACTTTTCCGTAAGTCAGGAGTCATGTTCTGAGCAGAAATGTACCTTTCCCGTAACCTGCTCTAACAGTACCAACGAACCTGCTGTAAGTTCGAAGCCGTTATTCAAACTGCAAAAAGTCGATAGCGAGGCATTCAGAGCTCATGCGGAACTAGAGGATAGAAAAAGCGCTGGGGCTCCTCTTCATGATCTTGAAGATGGCGGGGGGGCCTCGCGGTGGGTGGTCACGGCAGCTCCGAGTACAGACCACGTAGTGCACTGGACGGATCCGATCTCTCGCTTTTCGACGGGCCTGAAGGATCACACGGCAGACGCGTCGTGGCTCACCGTCAATCGCAAGGCGGGCTGGGTGCCCCTCTGGGTAAAGGTAGGCCTGCGAGGCAGAAAAGGGACGTTCACTCCTTATCAAAAAATCCCGGCGAAGGACCAGCCCCGCGGTGTGGGTCTGGACCTAGTATTATGCATAGGTGTAGCTAGTTTTAATCTATTTTTGGAAGCATGATCCCTGAAAAGTATGACCGAGTATTGTCCTCGGGCAATACTTTCCCCTATATTTCAAGGATGCGCCTGAAAGATGAACTACGGACACCTCTAACAGTAGTACGCCGGGCGAAGCTCATGTATCTGCGCGAGCAAAACCTTCTGCCAGTTTCTGGAGAGGATGAAAATGCCCGCGACTTGGAGGAGAAATTGCTAGAGACTGTGACCGCAGTGCCCGTCCACTACCAAGCACGAGGCGACCACGAGAATTTACTTCACCAGGGAGACGGCAGCAGCAGTGTTCTTGAGCAAGCCAAGATGCAGACCAGGTACGTAGCAAGGATTCGAGCCCCGAGGACGGCACACCGTAAGCAAAGACTGACCGAGTATTTGGAAAAAATGTTCAAGCATACACGTGGTCCAGAAGAAGCTGCTAGGGCCTCCAACGGAGCAGCAGGTGAGTCCGCCTCTCCTTCAGAAGCTTCTTCAGAAGAAGGCTCATGCCCTACTCTGGATGTGTTCCGCAAGGTGCAAGAAGGCGACCCAGCTAGGAGAGCTAGACGAGCGTATGGCATCTGGGAGCAAAATGCGGCAGAGCGTGGGGAGCGTTCACAGGGATCAACCGGCGCAGCTTTCTCCTGGCAGGAGCTGGAATCAGATTACTTACTCGGCTACACCCGCGCGTTCAGTGCCGCCTTTGCCTATGACAGTGACAAAGACGAGAATGACGAAAACACAACGGGAGAGTGGATCTTTCCCGAGAACTCAGACAAGTTCACACAGACTCAGTTATGCATAATTGATGACCTTCTCCAGCTCTCTAGCTGTAAGAAGAGCATATCTACTACTCGTACTAGAGATTCTTCAAGTCGCAGGAATAAAGTTATAAGTACACAGTTGTCACGAAATCGAAATTCTTGATAAGGTAGGATAGTCATAGTGGTCATTGATATAATTCAGTTAAACGTTTGTTAGAACTTCTCAGAAAATTAACCTTCTTCAGAGCAGATCTAGATTGAGGAGCAGGTACTATCTACTAGGAGAATCATCTCCTAGTACTATGGATTCTTCTTAAGCTGAGCCTTCTGCTAATTTAGATGAGATTCGCGCAAGCGTCGAAGAAGATAACAGGAATGATGGATGTTGTGTCAGTAGAGGCCTTCGAAGGCCGAGAAAATCCATTCTTCTTGGGAGACGGGGTCCTCAAACGGCAAATGAATCCCTTTTGGAGTCTTGAGAGCACACTTGAGCTACTCGTTATCGTAAAAAAGAAAGCGAGCAGTCTCGATGTCAGTCCAAGCGATAGTGGATCGGACGCTGGGGCGGGAACGAGAGTAGCAAGCGGCCAAGCAGGCAGTGGCTCTGGAACTTCATCGCCAGGACACGATCAGGTCCCTGCTGCCACAAGTGCCTCAGGCTCTGTAGATGCTCTGGCGGGAGGTGATGCGAGTACCCAAGTACGAACAAGTCCTTGGCGATTTACGCATCAGTTGCGCTCTGGTGAGAGACTTGCGGGAGGAGCCGAGCGGAAACGCCGGGAGAAAATTGCGGCGCCGCGTGAAAACAAGGCAGAGGCAAGCGAGTTCGAAACAATAGAGGAGGCGTGGACATTGCCCACAGACGGCTTGGTGTCATTGGGAAATGAGGCGGACGGAGATAGGATCTCTTTTGCCCAAATTGATGGTAAGTTCGCAAAAGTGACATCGTTGGAAAAGACTTACGTCACTGGCCAATCGCGGGTAGGAGGCGACAAGGAAGAATTACGAAAGCTGGAGGGCGAAGCGCCCACGACCTATGCTGAAGACACGGAGGGTGCTCAAGTTCCTTCGCCGGGGTCTGATGAAAAATGGCCAGCAGCATTGGCATTGAAGAAAGCCTTTTCGTTTGATCATGCAAAGAAGTGGTCATCTTTAAGGACGTCTCACGAAAATATCCAGAAACTTTGTATAAACGGAAAACCGGAGTGCAGCATGTTGGTCGTTAATAAAGGGTGGAAGGCCGTCTGGAAGCCTTTGAATGGGGATAGCCCTGTATCATTAGAGCAGTTTCCTAACTTAAGACTTCCGGAAATGTCCCATTTTGAGAAGCATCTGCTTGGACCCCTCCTGTGCAAAAAGGGGTAAACGGGTCCAAGATGTTGACTTATATAAAACCTGGAATTGGAAGATGTATGTGAAAAGCCAATCCTTCAACCTAGTAATGTGCGTTCTCAAGTAAGATGGCCCTCAAGATGCATTCCCGGAAGGTCTAACCACAGCTGTATGTCTCCAGAAGTCGTGCCTCGCTCGCATTCGTGTGGTAACAGATGCAGCGACAAGTCCAGGTGACAAAATTTATTTTCGTCATCGCAACGAACACGAAGCATCTGGAGATTTATACTGGGTACAGTATTTGCCTGGAGAGGTGAAGCGGAAGCAAGGAGGTACGCCCGAAAAGGACACGCGGTGGGAATTGGATCCAAGGGAGTCAGACTTCCGTAAGGTTGCAACTTTAGGAGTCTGGCGGAGTCCCCGCAGCGAAAGCGACCTTCAACAGATTCAAATCCTGACCTTCGAACGAACTCAAGATATTGTGCACCCTGATGCTGATGAAGCAGCGAGACATGCAGGGGGTTCTGCCTCGGGCAACGGTCGGGACGTACCACTAGGCGGCTTTAGCTTCCTGCAAAGAACCTCCACGCGCGCAGCCCCTGGCATTGCTTCACAAGCTCGAGCAGGAGAAGCAGAGCCGAATCTTCCCGTCAGACCTGGGCCGGAGAAAAGAAAAGCACGATTCGCTCGACAGAAAAAGGGAGGCCACTTGGCGGGATTAGTGGATTTTGTTGAAAGAAAAGCGATAGCCAAGGTGTCACGTCTCAGGGATGAGGACGATACGACGCTGTACGCTTTGAGCCAAGCTATTTGGAGCGGCCTTCTGGTGGGAACGTTCACAAACACGGATGCTGCAAACACGAGCTTGGGCTCCTTCCTTAGGAGCTTGGCCGAAAAGAAACTCGGACACGGCAAGAAGACTTAAGGCGGCTTCTTTTAAGTAGTACTTTGATGAGACTCGACAAAAGCGAGCACTAGTACAAAGATATACTTCCTAGGTGGAAGCTTAAGACTTCCTTCTACGAGTACAAATAGGCTTTTTTCCTCGTAGAAGCAAGTCTTAAGCTTCCACCCACCTCCATGACTTTACGAGACATAGTCGTCCGAGGTTACTCACTTCATCCAAACAATAGATTTTTTATCCAAGAAATCGGAAAAGGCGCTGGCATCCCTGCGTCTCTGAGGGTTCTTACACTTTCAACTGGAAAAGGAGAACTAGTACTACACTGCCGAGATTTATACTATCAACTGGATTTCGATTTGGGCAACAACCTCTTTGTTCTATTTGGGTAAGTAGAAAGGCCTCTTTCAAATGGATTTCTATTTGTACTTTCAACCGGCCAGCTTTGCCTCTATCCTAGGTTTAGCCCTTCATGCAGTATATTCATACTCTCAGCTGGCGGATGTATTTCTTTTTGGGTAACAACGAGATGTCCTATCTTCTTTTATATCTGGTTAATATTACGAGATGTATTCCGATTTGGGTAACAAGCTCTAACAGATGATGCTTCCGCAGCTTTCCGACGAGGACGTGCTCGCGCAATTACAAGTCTTCGTAAAGTTGTTTACTCGCGTCTCTGTGGAGGCACAGGAACTGGCAGAGGAGGAAAACGTCCAGCGATCAAAAGGCTTGAGAGACGATGTCAGAGGTACAAAATTTGACGCGGACAAATTCGACCAGCTTTTGGATCCGAAGCTCCTAGGCGAAGACATTGTTAAGGGCTACCTCCACATGGCGGAGTTCTTCTGCTGCACAAGCATTCATCATCATCATCATCTTCTTCCTCTTCTTCGGCTGCGTGATCGGTCATCATCATCATCATCATCATCATCATCATCAGCCGCCTGATCGGTCACCATGTTCGTCGGCCGCCTGATCGGTCATCATGTTCGTCTGCATGATGATGATTATGATGAAGAAAGAAGATGTTCGTTGTTCTGAAGAATGCAAATACTGAATTTCTAACATTCGAAAGGTGAAAGATGAGACGAAAAATGAGCGACGCGAACTCTTACTGCAGATTATAACCAGTCTGCAGGAAGCAGACCACGGAAGGGGATTGAGGTTAAGGGTTGAGCAAGCATTTCATTTTTGCAGACCTCTACTTGAGATTGCTACTAAAAAGTGAAATGCTTCCGCCTTTAATGAGAGCCAGAATACTTGCTGAGGTGGCGAAGGCAGAAAAGCTGGCTCAGAAAGCTAGGGATCTGGATCCCGAAAGCGACTATTTTCATGTTCCACAAGATGCTCCACCTCCGGTGTATCTGAGTATGCGCCTAGATACGAAGTGGTGCCGTCTACAGCGACAGCAGCGGAATAAAGATTAAGGCTCACCCTAATCCATCCTCGGAGGCATCTTGGGCACGTTTTCAAGGGAGAAGGGGACCCAGGACGCGCCTCAGGATGGACATGGGTGAGCGCTAAAAAGAACAATCCGAACAAGGCCAACGAGACGGGGACTATTCCCAAGCAAAACTGAAGGGGTTGATGGCTCAGCGCATGGCGCCTGACCTACTCGACAAATTGGATAAGATCGGAGCCAGGTTTTACTATCCTTAGGAATGAATGAATGAGTGACTCGCTTGATGTCGTCGTGTGTAACAAAATTATAATCAATCACCGCCTATTAGTACTCCGGCGGCTGTCTTGCGTGTGTCGTCGGTTTTGATGTTGTAGCAATCCTTAGATTTTCATCAGACTATTATTAAAATCAATCACCGGTTATTAACTATAGAATAGACGGGGGATCCTAACATGATATAAGTACATGGCCATTGAGAAGTAATTCTCTTAGACTCTAAGCCTCTAGTATTGAGTTTTTCTCTTTTTTCTAGAGACGCAATCGAATGAATGCCTCATCTCCTCCCAAGGCAGAAAAGCGTGTGGTCTACTTCTATAGCTCCTCTTCTGTAGCACGACCTCTTCTGTAGCACGACCTCTTCTATAGCGCGACCTCTTCTCTGTAGCACGACCTCTTCTATAGCGCGACCTCTTCTCTATAGCATAGCCCTCCTCTATGGCTTCTAATGGCCTCCGATCGACGTGGACTCGGTCTATTTGTGCGGCGCAGAGTTAAACCGTGGTGGTACGACGGTGCAGGACTATCTGAACAGAGAGCGACGAACCATGCTAGGCCTGCAGATCCCTGAAATGGTCGCTCTCGCAGTCGTTCCAGCTGCTGCAGCTATCACTAGCTTGTTGAAAATATCGACCGAGAAGTTGTTTCTCTTCGCGTATCCACTCCTGCACGATCCCCGGAACCCTCGCCTGGCAAACGGGCCTGCTTTAGCGGCAAACCATTGGTTAAGGCTTCGTCCCCTAATCCATCTTTTTGAAAGACATCCTCAGGACAAGAGTTTTCCAGAGTCTTTTTGAAAGACACCTGAAGAGCTAGCTACCTTTTTGAAAGACATCCTAGAGAGCCTGTTTAACTTAAATAAACTAACTCAACTAGAACTAGTATTTCATTCAAGGGAAAAAGCAGGCGCCCAGGATGCACCTTGAGATGGATTATTTGGGCTCGTGAGCTCTAACTTTGCAAAAGATTGAAGAAAAGAGGAAGCAACAAGAACAGAGTGCTGGATACCAGCCATTGTCGAAAGGCTTCTCGGCGACTAGGGAACAGCAGGCGGGTAAGGAAGGGGAAGGCTTTACTCCGGCGACTAGACTGTACAGTCTGTGGGGTACCACGCCGCGACAGGTTCTCAGCGATATGAGGGACACGCACCCATCAGGTTCAGGGAGCACGCTGAGCTGCGACTCCGATATTTGGACGAAGAGGGACACTTGCCCGGCCGTGGATACAGGGCGTATCCTCGGGCTTCAAACGGCCGCGACTCTAGGCGCCATGGAGGCCAGCAGGTTGGAGAAGAGATGGCTCGGCGAAGCTCCTCCTGTGTTTTCTGGCGACGGCGGACCGGCTAAAGATATGAGCCTGGTTGCAGCCTCGGCCTCCGCAGATAGAACTAGTGCTGCTGCTGCTGCAGAGGAAAAGCACAGTCGAGTTCTTATGTTGGACCGGAGTCGCCTCTACGGGGCTCCGTCGTCTTCTGGCGACGACGAACGGGCCAGAGGTACTGGCATGATTGCAGCCTCCCCAGGTAGAACTAGTGTTCCTGGAACTGCTGAACCTGCTCTGGTGAAGGCGATGTGGGAAAACTTTGAACGACAAGCTAGAGGAATAAAAAATTTTGGGAACACCTGCTATCTCAGCGCGGGTCTGCAGGCTCTGTTCGCTGTCCCAGACTTCGTTCGGTTCCTTGATTGGTCACGCAGGAACGCGGAAGTACTTGCCTTAAGCAGTAGTTTGCCCACATTCACATCGAGAGAGTGCAGTCACCTTTGACGCATTTTCGTGCAGTCACCTTTGGCCCGCTTTTTCTTAGTTAAAGGTGACTGCACGGAAATGCGTCAAAGATGAGCGCACTCTCTCGCTGGGAATTTGGGCAAGCTCTAACTGACGCCCGTGCTGCGGCTCGTAAGGGCGCGGACGACAATGCCGAATCGAACGAGCGCTCCAACGAATACTTCCGGATGCTAGACAAGGGCCTCGCCTCGCTCAACGTGATTTCTAAAATTGCAGAAAGTGTCTATCCTCTTGAACCCGATACCCCAGCTAGAGACGCCATCGACATCAAGGAAGATCATTTCCCTTCATTGTGGAGCCAGGTCTTAAAAAGTCACTTTGTGGAGGGGAGCACAAGTGGTACAGAGCCCCGAGAGTTGCCACCTGAGGAAGCGAAACGCCGACAGCAAGACGCGCAGGAAGTGCTCACATTCCTCGCAGACTACATCAACTCACTTGCTGCTTACGGCCTACTGTACTTATTTAACTTTACCTCTTGAGCAGATGAACAAAGAGTGCGTAGTACTGTCCTCGAAACTTACAACAAAAGAGTGACAAACTACGCAGTAACGGAGCTGTATCTGTGAGTATTATCTTCTAGGCTACTAGGTTATCTCAGTTATATCGAGTATGTAACTTCATCTCCTGAGCAGAAGAAGGAGCATCTTCTTTGACGCCCTTTTCTTTAGGAGACAAAGCACGTGTCAAAGAATATGTTGGCCACGACTCTTGAAAAGTTCTTGTCGTGTTAACCCTCGAATTTTCATCAGACAGTTTTTTGTTTGATATTTATAAAAAGAGTACACATGATGTGAGTATATTAATGCTTTGTTTTTCCTCGGTCCATCTACTCGTTATGTCGCAGCAACCTCTTCTAAACTGAGGACGTTGTCGTGGGTGCGGCTCCTTCGTTCAACGAAAAACTCCCGTGGAAGTCTCCGCCACCGACGCTTGTTCCCGTGGATTCTGCTTTGAGAACGAAGACGGTGTGGCGACCAAGAGAAGACGAAGTTCGAACGAGGCTGCTGCGACATTTGCACTCTGATCATGAAAAGCAAGTTAAGGGCTCTTCCCACACTGCTACGTGTTTCACTAAATCAACATCCCTGACTCGACGTAGGAAATGAGTCTTGAGGAGTGTAATTGTGAGGAGCGACGTATATGTAATTCGTTCATCCGTAACCTCTAAGCAAAAAGCTGAGCAGCGGCAAGGTGACCTCTTAGAGAGACGGAAGGGAGCGGATGACGATGTAGACAAGCAAATTATTCTGAAGCACGATCCGACTCCGGATGAACCGACCCCGACACTTGAAGACATGCTAAAAGCAGCATTTAAGTGGGAAGACACGGATCTCGGAGTGAGCCTCGAAGTAAAGCGCGACCGTGAAGGCAACAGCCTTTGGGTGGAGAGTGCGGAGAAGGATGAGCGAAAATTAAGGGCACTGGGTTGAAAAAGGTGTAGTTTCTCCTGATGTTATAGCGCTCGTTTTGCCTTTCTGAAGGAGCAGGAAAGGCATAGCGAACGGGGTATCCGAACACCAAAAGCCTATCTCTAATAAATAGCCCACAGTTGCTGTACGAGACATTTGAAAATTTTAAAATGCTGGAAAAGAAAATGATACTCCATCCGCTGCCTTCGGTCTTATGGATACAGTTGCCGCGCTTTTTGGGTGGTTACGCACAGAACGCAGCAGCACCACCTCGGAAAAACAAGACCATTTACCCCTTTCCACAAGAGCTGGACTTGAAAACGTTTTTCGATGAAGCAAAGGAAACAGCTGAAGACAGGGTGAGAAAAGGCGCTGGTGCAGCTGTGATGGGAGGTGACGCAGCCGCGGGAGTAGGCGCTCCTGAAGGTGTGAAAGAAGGCGACGGCGGCGTTCCTGCCGAGGTCCGCGATGTTTACGAGCTTGCGGCAGTGACGTATCACATTTCGACTGAAGGGGAGAACGGTGACCGAGCAGACAGCGGACACTATATCACACGCGCGCGGGTGAATGCGGAAGGCGACTGGTTTACGTTCAACGACAGCGTAGCTGAGAAGATCACGCGGGACGAAGTACCCTTTGCGGATGCCTACTTTCTACTGTACACACGGAAAGTGGCGGCGAGCGGAGCGGCGCGACCAAAGGAAACAGGAGGTATGGGTGCTGAAGCTGACCGCCAGGCGGCAGCGGAAGAGGAACCCGCTGTGGCTGAGTCCCCGATCGCAGCGGCAGGAGGCGCGACATTCGCACCACAGCCTCGTGTGCCTAGTCAATAGGAGATATGGGAGGTTCGTGGTGGCACGTTCTTGCACAATTCTGAACTGAATCTGTGGACAGATTCAGACCTGGAGGTACTTTTTCTTCACATTCAGAGTAATATAATGAGTTTCAATAGAATTTTTTACATATAAATTTATACCTTCAACAACACTTTCTGCTTCTTTCGGGTTTTTTCCTAGTTAGGTTGGCTCCACCGATAGTTTCATTGCCCATACTGCGTACGCTATACGAGTGCGTGATATCTTCAGAAGCACTTAAAGAAGAGTAGCCAGTTAGTTTTTCCTCGTGGTTCTTTCTCCTTTCACACAATAGACGACTGATACGAGTCGCTGCGATATATTATCTTGTGACCCTGTTTGTTCAACACAGTTCAGAGAGCTAGCTTTTGTTGTTGGTGTACTCTTTCATCTATTTGGAATTATGGTCGATGAGAATCTTGGTCACATTGAATGTTTTGGTTACCATTCAGGTGGGAGGAGATTATAGCTGGGTAAGAACAGTTCGTTTTTTTGAATACAGTTCGTAGACGATGAAGCGTTGCCACGAGGCGAACGGGGTGAGGTGACAAAAGGAGGATGGCGGGCAAGGTGAGTAATGGATGTGTCGGAAGAAGTCAAGTAGCACGCACCTGCCCAGCAGGACTCAGATGGAAATGAAGTTGCGTGGTGGGTGCGCCATTCAGCTTACGCGCTGTTGTGAGTGCCTACCCTGCACAGACTCAACAGCAAAACATTTAGAAAAACATTTGGAAGTGCTTCACAAAAAAGTAGCTCTTACGAACGACTGGCCATTGAAAGTAACGTAAGCAAGTAACACGAAGTGCCATGATATTTCCATAGGCAGTCTTGTGAAGGAGTGAAGTAGGATTGCTATGATCTTGATAAACTTGCAATTGTGGGCAGATTTGTCTCAGCACAAGCCATCTGCTTTTTTACTACAACTGCAATACGAAGAAATTAGATTTAGAATCAATCGCATGACTGGGCGAGCATTTATTACCAAAGCAGATACCGAAGAACGGAGGTCAGCTCGTAAGGGTTTGGGAATATATATGCTCCAGGGCTCAGGGCTGAAGGGCCCCCCCGTGAGGTGGGCTTAACGCTGTAGAGCTGCCCAAATTAGTCCCCCCGCGTGGCCCCCCTATTATAAGGGTGACCCTCTTGCTGTGCTCTTCTTTGATGCGTCACGCGTCGCGCGCGATCCCCGGCTCGACCAGTGACCCGCGGAGCGATCAGGTGCGTCACGCGCGACCCCCGGAGCGATCAGTGATCCGTAGATCGATCAGTGCTCCGTAGATCGATCAGCGCTCCGGGGATCGATCAGTGCGATCAGTGACCCGCGGAGCGATCAGCGATCCCCAGATCGATCGGCGACCCGTGGATCGATCAGCGGTCAGCGGATCGGTCGGCAAGGAGTCCCGGATCGATCAGCGGCCCGGGGATCGATCGCCGGCCCTTGCTTGGGTCGATCAGTGGCCCGTGGATCGATCAGTGGCCCGCGGGTCGATCAGTGACCCGCGGCCCGATGTTGATCGGCGACCCGTGGATAGATGTCGGCCGGCGGTCTGTGGATCGATCAGCGACCCGCTGATCGTTGTCGGCCAGTGATCCGTGGGACGATGTTGGTCAGTGCTCCGTGAGTCGATCCGTGATTCGTGGATCGAACAAGGCTGCGCAGATCGATCAGTGCTCCCCGGATCGATCAAGGACGCACGGTTCGGCCAAGGATTCGCGGATCGATCAAGGGCCTGCGGATCGATCAAGGGCCTGCGGATCGATCAAGGGCCTGCGGATCGATCAAGGGCCCCCGGATCGATCAAGGAGGCGCGCGGCGTTTCGTGCGGTGTAACGCTTGAAATTGAGCACAGAAATCTCGTCCACCCCCGGAGCCCACGGCGTCACGCGGTGGGCGTCACGCGTCACGAACAGCGCTGCGGCGTTCCGTAAGTCCCACACCCCCCCCCCGATCTAACTTTTTGAGGTTTTGAGGGGGGGGCCTCCAGCCCCGCGCCCTCTTCTCGAGGAGCTTCCGGGCGGGAGGGCCTCGGAGCGCCCACCTCTGACCCCTTCCCGCTTCTTGCCTGGACCCTAGAGCGCCACCAAACCGGTAGACGCTGAAGCACTGCAGGGCGGACAAGGAAGGCTTCCGATGGAGACAAAGGGGGCAAGGCGGGACCCCCTTGGCGTGTTGCGTGTACCCTACAGACCTGGCAACGGTGGCAAGGCTGGACCCCCTTGGCGTGTTGCGTGTAGTACCCGACTGACCTGGCAAAGGTAGCAAGGCTGGACCCCTCTGGCGTGTTGTGTGTAGTACCCTACAGACCTGGCAAAGGTGGCAACGCACGAGGCCACCACACGACGGGTGGGCGCTTCTCCTCGCTCGTTCTGCTCTCGTCGCTCTTCCACCACTGTGCTGCGCCGAAGATCCATCCGCAAGGGGCCGGGGGGCCTCCGTAAGACCTGGCGGGCGTCTTACAGGCCGCATGCCTAAGCCTTCCCCCCTTCCCCCCCTATTATAAGGGAGAAGCACGCGCTTGGCCCTAGGCGTGACGCGTGTGGCGCGTCACGCTTTTGGGCGTGACGCGTCCCGCTTTTAAGTGTGACGCCTGAAGATGATCAGAGGAACGGCCGTGGCAGGGAGGCCTTATGACCTGAGGGACGTCCGGGGTAGACCTGACGATCTAAGGAACGTCCCGGGCGAGGGGGCCCGATGATCGGAGGCACATCCGTGAGGGGCCTTATGATCTGAGGGACATCCGCGGGGGGCCTGACGATCTGAGGGACATCGGGGGGGGCCGGATGATCTTGGGGACCTCCGTGGGAGCCTAGCGACCTGAGGAGCATCGGCGGGAGGTCTGACGACTTGAGGAACGCCTGGGGGGCCTGATGACCGGAGGGACATCCGCGGGAGACCTGGCGATCGGAGGAGCCCCCGCGGAGGGCCTTACGGCCTGCGGAGCATCCGTGGGAGACCTGGCGACCTGAGGAAAATCCGGGGGCGACCTGATGATCTGAAGCGCATCCGCCGGAGGCCTGACGACCTGGCGAGGAACTTCTGTAGGAGGCCTGATGATCTGAGGAACACCCGCGGGGGGCCTTACGATCTGAGGGACATCCGTGGGAGGCCTGGCGATCTGAGGAACATCCCGGGGCGACCTGATGATCTGAAGAACATTCGCGGGAGGCCTGACGATCTGACGAGGAACGCCCGCGGGGGGCCTGATGATCGGAGGAACATCCGCGGGAGGCTTTATGATCGGAGGAGCGTCCGCGGGGGGCCTTGTGATCTGAGGAAATTCCGGGGGGGCCTTATGATCGCTCGGAGGAACACCCGCGGCGGACCTTATAATCTGCGGAAGTTCCGTGGGGGGCCTGCCCTATAATCTGAAGAACATCCGCGGGCGGCCTTATGATCTGGGGCACATCCGTGGGCGCCCTTATGATCTCAAGGACATCCGGGGGCGACCTTCTGATCGTGAGGACGCCCGGGGGCGGCCTTATGACCTCAAGGACATCCGTGGGCGACCTTATGAGCCCAAGGACATCCGCGGACTACCTCATGACCAACCTCAAGAACATCCGGGGGAGGCCTTATGGTCTTCGCTAATACTCTCACGCGCGTCACGCTCCTAAGCGCGCCACGACACCCTCACGCGCTTCGTGAATACTCTCACGCGCGTCACGCTCCTAAGCGTGTCACGCTAATACCCCCGCGCGCGTCGCGCTCTTCAGGTGGATACGACGCTCGCAGGGTTTCACGGGGGGCCCCCCTCCCTGGTGTGTATATGGGTCGAGTCAATCCTATAGGCGCCACAAGCAAATACCCCTCCACCTCTTTTTTTGTAATCTTAAACTGACTAAGAAGTGAGGATAGATTTATGTTGGTCACCTACATCCGCATCCTTAGATAGCGAAAAAAACTCATCGGTTGCACTTTTCATTGATGCTAGCTCAACTAGGAAGGCAGTGCTTGTGGTGGCAGAAACCAAAAGGCGACAAAGCGTTAGGCGAGCTCACCGAATGGCCACAGGCGTGGAAGGCAGAGACAGCATCAGACCTAGGTAAGCAGACCACTGCTGATTTGTTTTTTGCCTCCAAAATTTTATTTAAAACTTGTCTTTTTTGTCATTATCGTTCGCTAAGCACATTTACTCTATATCTAACGGATGGTGCGCAAGATCATAAAAGTACGCAGTGACGGATATAAGTAACAGCATGACGGATATAAATATACAAAATGGAAAATACAAAAAGAACGGGCCCGCGAGCATGAATGGAGTAGAGCTATGCACAAATTGCGCAAGCAACATAGACAAGCGTAGATGATGATAGAAATCTCTACTAGGGTAATTTGATTCGCAGTTTCTAAGAATGTAGTGTGGATATCGTTGATTGAAATGAAAATGAGTATGCAGAACTAGAAAGACAAAGATGTAGACACAGATGTATGAAACGCAATAATAGGAAATCGATACGGAATCATAGAAAGACATTGATGTTAGGTAAAAAGTGACTAGTGGCTGTCGTAGGCTATGCTCGTAATGGAGGATACGCAGTAAGATACTCATGACTGTCGTGATACTGCTATAAGATGGACAAAATGTAGCAAGTATGAAAAATGGACCTTGTTAGTTTGTTGAGGAAGTGATAGTGAAAAAAGTAGCCATGAGCTTTGTGTTGTAACCTTACTAAGGTAATTTTTCCTCTAGTTTTCAGCTGCTGCGCGACGCATTATCTTAAGATTTGCATCGCGATATTGTTTAGTCTCCGTTATGGTACATGCGTGACCATGAGAGACTTCCGCCATGCTATCTTTCGAAAGCAAGAGTACTGTGATACCTATGAAAGCAAATTATCATGATCCTTAATCTCCAAAATCAAAAATCAACAATCAGGGCTAAAGAATGCAAGGCCGACGTCTCGAAGGCTGTTCCAAATATGCGCCACTGTTAAATACAAAAGTAAATCTAAGCGAATGATTAAAAGGACAGCAAGTGGCTAGTTATTATAATAAAAGGGCGGCGTCATATATTTTCCTTTGGTTTTCAGTCGCTGCGTCACGAAGTATCTTAAGACTTGCGTCGCGTTAGGTCTTTCGATTGGAGTGCTTGCGGGATGTGTGGCGTTTGATCCCCCACATCTGGGTCCGCCCTCGTGCATAAACTTGGGCCCGGCGCATTCTCCTCGTCCGCGGCCTGTTCTCGAGTCCAGTGGTCACCTAGTAGCTCTATAATTTCTTGACTCGGGAAATTGTATATCGCCTTTTCTATTACGGGAGTGGTGCAGGCAGAGGTCTTGCCTGAGGCTCGCTCACCATACAAAAAAAACACCCAATTACTGATGACAAAGGTAAGCATGAATGACACTAATACTGAGTTATTGAGTAATTAAAAAGCCAGCATAGAAAAATAGATAATGCGCTGTGTTGATTATAGTCAGAGACTGGCGCGGTCTTGCTTCGTCAGATTCTGTAAGGGGAAAGAGCTGCGACCGAATGCTTATTATGTGCTGCTCGTCTTGTCTATCAACAGGAAAAAATAGAAGCGGCGTTGCCTCGTCATCAATAAAATTCCCTTTCTCAGAAAGACCTTAGCCAAGTTAAGATAGACTTCGTTCTGGCTTGTTGGCCCTTGGCGTCTAATGACTTTCATAATGCTGGGGCTTAGATAATAAACATGCTACCTATGTGTGGACCTGTTGACTACGCCCGTCAGGGGATGCAGGGCTTTTGCGTAGTTGTTAAGGGGATTAAGAACTCCCCCCTACGCCGGTGGCTACGCGGGAAATATGTAGGCAGGTCCTTTACGGAGCTCGCTCGTGATACAAAAGAGAAGGCCCCCGAAATGAATGGAAGCATTTTGGCAAACGCAAGAACAGGAAAACAAAGGAAAGCTGCAGGAAAGACAGCACATTGAAAAAATTGCAGATGACGAAAAGACGATGGCAATGTTTGAAAAATGGTATGACAGCACACTAAGATCATGTTGAAATATCGAGATGTAAGACGTTTGCCCGCTGTGCAAGATGAATGAATTCCTAGCCCACCAAGATTACAAAATTCTGAGTTCGTAGCTGGTGAAGTCTCTCTCGGATTTTAGAAGTCTCTCTCGGATTTTAGAAGTCTCTCTCGGATTTTGGAAGTCTCTCTCGGATTTTGGAAGTCTCTCTCTCTTGCATGCGGAGTGTCTCTAGCATCTGAGTCTGCGTAAGGATTGAGAAGCGTCTCTCGTGGAGTCTCGCCTTGGGCCGTCTTGCCTCAAGCGCTTTAATGCTTAACTGCCTCCTAACATCATCTATTTTGGAATCTTCGGTTAGCAGTGTAGTAGCGAAAAAATGGACAGGTGTACTCTACCAAAAAGTCTCTTCAATTTCACCCATTTCGGCTAGGAAGAGTTGATAGTGAAAACATATTTTGAAGGTGTAAGATGTACAAGTAGTCGAGTGGAAATCATTGCGCTATTTCCATGCAGCGCAAGTTATACATGCAGCGCAAGTAAGTTATTTTACATGCAGCGCATGTTGTGTCAACAAGTCTTTCTGCGTGCAATGGCCAAGAAGTTTTTCTAATGGCGATTCCGAGTTCTTCCTAATGACGGACCTGGATTTTGCAATCTAATGCAAAACTTGCTAAGTAGCTCGTAGAACAAGCTTCATCTTGAATCCCCAACAACAATTTTTCAGGTTTTGGTTCAGGCTTTTTGGCTGATAGGTAAGTAAGAGGTTTTCACTTGATTCTTGATCACAGCATCTTTCATGATTTTTCATGATTTAGAAGATTGAGTTTCTGTTGTGACCAGTTTTGAATTTCGTTAGAGGGTCTAAGTTTTGGCTATTACAATAAGAATCTGTTGAAGCGTCTAGTTCTATTATATGGTTGACTGGTACAACTTTTGATTGGTTTTTGAAGTTTGTGTAACCAGATTAATTGTAACTACTAACTACTTTAGTGCCGGCGCGGTAACTACTAGTCTACTAACACTTCTATTTGGAATTTTTTCACTAAGCCTCTTAAAACAAGCTTCTTTTAAGATTTTTTCATCCACAAGAATTTGAATAGTTTACTAGTTACCACAACAACAAAATGATGGGACAGATACAGAGTTCACTGTGCTCTACTTCAGCGCGCAAGAGGAGGACCCGCCAACACGCTTTACTTCAGCTCGCAAGAAGACGACCTCTTGTTGTAGTAGCTGCTCTGTTTTTGGTGGGGATCGTCCCACCAAACACCCTTGCGGCAGAACAACACCCTTTCGATTTCGACCGTGAGAAGGCGGCTTTGGAGGCGGGAACGAGTGCGCGAGAAGCAAAGCTGCAAGATGACAGGGACGCAGGGGTTCTTTTTACGGCTATCGCTGAACAAGCATCTTCAGCGCCGTCCTCGGCTTCTTTTTCAAGGGGAATACGGGCTACCCTCTAACTACACACCATGAATGTGAATGATCCTACTTCTTGGTTTGTCTAAAAGAAGCCTTAGCCTGTACCTGTTCCAAGGATACTGAAATAGAAGCGAAAAGTAGAAGACTCACTTGGCCATGTGATGTTGTTTTGATGCTGCTTTTCTCTCTCGTCAAAGAAGATGTGTCCCTGAATTGGGTTTGCTACTGCTACTGCTACTCCTACTCGGGTTTGCTACTCCTACTCCTACTTAAATTACTACGAACGCGGTAGCTCTAATCTATCAAGAGAAGAGTTGCGCGAACAACGTGCGGCCTTGTGGGAGGAACACGAAGAGAAGTTGAAAACTTTGGAGGAGAAGGAAAGGAAGGCCACGCGGGACCGGGAAACAAAGCGTAGAGAGGAAGAAGCGAGAATGAGAGACTCATGGCGTAAAGCACGCAGTACATCAGGGTAAGGCAAGGAACAAAAGTGAATCTTCACGTTTTTGCTACTTTTACAGCAATCAAAAGTGAGAGTCTTCACTTTACTGTACTTTTACTTCAATCAAAAGTGAGAGTCTTCACTTTACTGTACTTTTACTTCACTTTACTACTTTACTACTTTTACTTCACTTTAGTTACAGCTTTTACTTCACTTTACTGCTTTTACTTCACTTTACTACTTTACTACTTTGACTTCACTTTAGTTACAGCTCTTACTTCACTTTGCTGCTTTTACTTCAATCACTTTGTTGTTACTACTTTTGCCCACGACTGCTTGTTGCCATATTCGAGTTACGTTCTATTTCGAACCTTCTACCTCAACACCGTGGTCGTTGGCTATGCGAGAGGCTGTCGAAGGATGGTGCCTCGATTGTAACTCTAAACTGACGAGGACTTCGGTTTAGGTGGTGGGGAGAGCAGCAGCAGCAGTTCTACGGCAGGGGCAGCAACAAGAGCAGCTTCTGCGGATTCGTCTACACCTACTAGGTCAACAGGAGGCTTTTTTGGATCACTTTTCGACTTTAGCTCTTGGTTTCCTAGAGGCTTACCGTTCGGTCTGGGAGGAACAGGAGATCTTCCTTTCGCTAGTTTTACGTCCCCATTTGGTGGAAGCTCCGCTTCGTCAACTGGTGCCGCAGGAACTGCCACAGGTTCGAGCGGAACTTCATCCAGGGCTTCAAGAGTGCGCTCTAGGTCGCGATCTCGTGGTAGAATTGGAGGTAGCTCCAAATATTTCCCGACCGGAGCTTCCAGGACGGGCAGAGTGACTCCGTGTGGTGCAGCAGCATGGGCTGGTCCTCCGAGAAGGAATTCGGAGACCCCACCACCACCTACTATCGGTACAGCTTCAAGCGCTCCTAAAACTAAAGGGGTCCGCGGGGACCGAAATCAGTTTGCTGCATCTGCAGCCGCGTGGGCTCCTGGGCCTCCTGCTAAGACTAGTGGAGCTTCTGCTTCTGCAGCCGCGTGGGCTGGGCCTCCTGAGCCACCAACTAAAGCTGCGCGCGGAGAGTCGTCAAGTGGCTCTGCAGCCTACGAGGAACCGTCAGGCTCAGCATCACCAAGTCGTGGACCCTCCACTGTGTTTCACCCTGGTACAACAACTAGAGAACAACGACTAGAGGACCCTACTTCTAGCGCTTCAACACCTTTTTGGATCATGACTATGGGAGCTCCGAGCCCCGCTTTTGAGGATGGGAATCGGCGCGTGCTCAGTTTTCGACATCGAATCGACGATTTAGTACTACAACAGGACTGGAACTACAAGAGGCTCTCTCTCGCCGCTCGCATGGAAAGCATGCAGCAGCTTCATCAGGAGCTGATGGATTTCATCGATTCACTCGTTAGACAGTTTTTAGAGCAATCCGTGTCTAAAGATTCCAATGGAGCAGATGCCAACGGTGGACCCTGTGTTGGAGCAGATGACCACGGATCATGTTGTAATACCAAGAATGATACTAGTACTGCAGGAAAAGAGGTTAAGGGTAGGTTAAAGGTGCTTTTCTTACCGCTTTTTATGCCTCTCCTAAGGGAGAAAGGCATAAAAAGCGGGGTAAGCGAGCACCAAAAACCTACCTCTAAAGAGGGAGCAAACACGGGAATGACACTGCCTGAGATCACGCGATTGCTAAAGTCCATGCGGGAGCTGGAGTCGGCGCTAGCTGGTTTTGTCAAGGTAGCAAAAACGAGCATTAGAAAAGGCGAGACTGTGGCAATTGTACGCTCCACCAGCAGGGAGGCCGTGATAGCTACGAATGCAGGTGCAGCCGGATCTTCCTCACAGGCACCTGCTGCGTCTGGTAGTCGTGCCTCGTCTTCGGACGCCGTTCCTCTTACAAGAGTTTGTGAAGATACACCTCGTGAAGCAGGCATGAATCCAACTGAAGAAAGCGATCATACTATGCCCGAAGCAGAAATGAATCCATTAACTGAAGACGAGCCATTATTTGGTCACATTGTCCACGCGGTGCCTGAGGCGGACAGATATGTGGTGAAAATGGAGAGTGGAGAGGAGCATACGGTCGATGCCTCCGACATCCGCGATTTGACAGTGGAGGAAGAAAAGAAATTCAAGTTCCATGATAGAGCCGGAGGTAGAGTAGACAATGATAGGGCGGTTGGTAAGAACGGTAGAAAGGACCACAAGGCTGAGTCCAATAATGGAAATAATGTGAAGAAAGCAGAGGAGATTGAAAGTGCATTACCACGTGGGCCGCCAACTGTGATAGAGCCTTTGACAACATTAGGGAAACCGATGCCAAGCAGTAGCAGTTCTGGGCCTGCGTTTTTCCCAATTACGGCGTTTCCTTCGCCTGCGAGTTCACCAGACAAGACACTGCACAAGGCAGAAACCGGGTCAGCTTGGATTATTGAAGGGTTAGAGACTGTTGGAGAAGGCGACCAAGAGGCTGTAGAGGCTGTGGCTCGAGAGGTGGAGTCCGGCGACATCAGTGCTGAAGACTTCGTAGTGGACGAGAAAGCAAACTATGGACTTCAGACCCGACCGATGGCACTCGGTGAAGGGCCCACGGCGATGGTGCTCGTTGAGGACGACGCAATGCTAGAAACTGAGCCGTTACAACGAGTCGGTGAAGACGAACCGCTGAAGACTGACGCTCCTAACTCTCCGACGACTCCTGAGTCTCCGATGCCTGAAGAGGTGGGAGCGACACTGTCCATGACGGCAGGTGGAGAGGATGCCTTTCTCGATACTGATTCTGCTTCTCAAGAGGACTCGATGGAAATGGAAGATGTTGTTGAGCCGGAGGAGCCGGACACAACCACGATGTTGGCCAGGAGTGAGACTCATACTCGTGTGGAGGACTCGTCTCAAAGCCCAGAAAAATCTCCGGAGTTTTTTAGTCCTGAGGGAACTGTATCTTCGAGAGAGGACGCGCCTGCGTCTCCGGCACTGGACACAGCACCTTCAAGTAGGCAGGAACGCGCAGCTTCAAGTCAAGAACCATTTCCTTCTTCGAGTGAGAAACCTACGCCTTCGAATCAACAAGAGACTTCATCTGCTGAACGTGAAGGGCCTTCTTCTAGTTCTGTCTCGCAATTTTTATCGATTGGATCTATAGTGGTAATCCATGGCACAAAGCGTCCTGATTTGAACGGACAACTGGGCAAGATTGTAGAGGATCCATCTTCTTCGTTAGACGATGGCACTAATGATTATAAAGTTCCAACTGCAGGAGCAGGAGCAACAGCTACAGCAGGAAAGCGAATGGTTCGCTTACTCCACCGTCCATGGGCTAAAACGGATCCAAAAGGAGGCTTCAATGGATCAGGAACTACAGGAGAGCTGAAAGTTTTGAAAGTCGAGAATTTAAAACTTCTGCCCCAACGTTTACAGTATACTTTGGGTACCGGAAGTATCCTCGGGCGTGAACTAGTACTGGCAAAACGTGAGGGCGATGGACGTGCGGGTCTGGTGTCGCAAATCGTGGATTGTGGTTCTGGGCCTAGTACATCTTCTTCAGATCATCTAGTAGTTGGTGGAGGTGAGAGCAGTGAGAGCAGTCCTCTTATGACTACTTCGTGGGCTTTGTTCCTGTCCGATGATGAAAGCATGGAACTGGGAAACACACTGGAGAAAAAAGCCCTCGAATTACAGCAACGGCAGAAGAAAGAAGGGGGCAATGCTGGTGTGGTGCCGCTGCATCCCTGCTGTGAGGCTTTTTTACCGGCAGTGTCTAATGGTGCTGTCGCGAAGTCTGTCGCGAAGTTAGAAAGGTCCGAACTCGAGAAATGTCGAACGCATCTCGTACCACTAAGCGACCTATACCCTTTAGGCCGTACCAGTTTGATGGCGGTGCTGGAGAAAAACGACGACACCGGTGCTGATTCTGTTCTTCCAGCATCAGCGGGGATGAATTTTCTTTCACAAGAACGGAACACCTTAGAGTTCGACCGGAACTCTTTATTAGAGCGGAAAAAGTTATGGCCTTCCCTAGTTCAACATCTTCGGAAGCATCTCAGAGACGTTCGCAAGGGGAGAACGGTCTCAGGATGGACGTCGGGATGGATGAGCAAAAGGGTGAGTTCTAAAAATAACGTATTTGCCTGTTGTATTTTCATCTTCCAGAATCGATTTGATTTTCCCGAGAAAACAGAGAACGAACAGATATGTTCCTCACCTTCTCATTGAGCCTGCGACAGAGGCAGCGCGGGGAGCTCCTCAATTTCGGGGACCTACATTAAGGCTACACTTCCATGTTACTTAAGTCACAGTCACAGTCTGTCTACTTGAAGCCCTTTCTAGTATAATTCTACTTTTTCGTAAAGGAGGTCGTGGAACAATATCACGGACACCAAGATGCTCTACATGATCAGGAGGAAAAATTGCATTGATTCACCGGGTCGTCGACGTAGAATCGCAATTCTCATTTTCCTAACTCTTACAAGTGCGGTCTTGTCCTAATCTCCGACAAGATAGGTGTGCTTCCTAGCTCCTCCTATTCTAGCTCTAACTGCAGGTCTATACGTTCCGCTGTACTCCTTGCGGGATGCAGGGTATGTGAAAAATTGGTCACAATCCGAAGATGAAGATGAATTGGCCACGACCGAGGTGTCATCCGAAGAGCTTATCTCTGGTCTTGTCAAGGCCGTTGCAAGAAATGGGAAAGACAACAAAGTAGATGACTTTAGTACTGATTCTAAAGACTTTGATGCTGAACACTTGAGGTTGAGCAGTAAAACTACCTTTTCAGAACGTGCTAAGAGATGGGCGTCATCAATTTTCGGTACGTCGCGAGCAGAAGACGAGCCGGCTTCCAAAAGACTGAGAACAGCAGGAGGCGATGCGAACACTGATTTTTCCAACAGACATTCATCAGGATCTCGCACCAGACTCAAAATGAAACGAAAGAACGCAAAGACTGCAGCAGCGAATTGGGAAACTGTCTTGAAATTGTGGACTAAACTTTGTGAGAAGTCGTTTCAGAGTACTCGCGGAATGGCTAGTAGTGACGAGACAGACAGCCACCGTCTGGGTCTCCATCCGCGGAAGTGTGATATGGAGTCAAAATCTGCTATCGTTCTCATTTTTTTTTGCAAGTAGAAAAGAGTGGTAATGATAATGATAATGTAGAGTAGTTTATAGAACGGATGTAGGATGGACTTGGATGGATCGGATGGGCCCCAACTTTCTCAAGTAGAAAAGAGTGGTAGCGATAATGGATTTTCTTGTTTTCATATGTGAGGGGATCTTTCTACAGAAGGCGGAGGCCTATCAGGCAGCAAGAAGCGCTGCAGAATACTTGCACGCCCATCAAGTTCCCTACGGTTATACGAGCGTCTCACTCTTCGGACTCTTCATGCAGGGGCTAAACCACGCACTAAGTGCGAAAGTGGAGAAGACGCTACTAAGTGAAAAATCCGAGGAAATTGGTGTGGCAGCAGAAGTTGGTGCGTCACCGGAAGGTCATGGAACGCCATCTGATGGTACTGTAGCGATTTTAGTTCTTTCCTTCTGTTGATGAATAGGAACGCGCGATCTTCCTGTCAAGAAAGTATCATGAAGGTTGTGTTACCTACATCAGACAAAGACTTTGATTTGCAGTAAAAGTGGTCCCTCAACATTGATGTTGCGTGCATCTTCATGATCATCCTCAATCATCACTGCCAGGCATCAACGACCCCAATAGCCCTGCTTGTCCGGCGGTTGTCGCCGCCGTCGAATGGTATCGCACAAGTAAGAGAGGACCTAGTATTAAGGTTTACAGTTGTAATGCATCTCCAGAAGCATCTTTGGCCCCTTTTTTAAGGGGAAAATACGCCATAGATGCTTTCCAAGATGAATATTTATAAGTATAAGCTCTAATAGTAGTGCTGCTCCTGCTGGGAACCTAAGATCTTCTCCATCTTCTGAAACATCGTCAAAAGTCCTTCTACGCGCGATTCTCCGTTCGCCTGTCAGTCGGCGCTTGCATTCTCGTTTCCCTTCGGGACAACGGAAATCCGGTAGCCTGGAGCCCTCGAACTTGTCAGAACTGAGCGAAGGGGTAGCGGAACTCTACCCGACACTATCAAGCAGAAGAGCAGAGATCTACTCCGATTTGGACAAGATAGGGGAAGCACCTTTGCAAAGCCCAGCGAGATCAGCGTTCGATAGAAGGGTTATCTCCCTTTCGCCCACACTTATGAGCTTAGGAGGTTAGATAGAGTGCTGGGATTTTCGTCGTTATCTGCTCTGCTTCTTCTAATCACATGTTGGCTTTCGATAAGGCTGAAAGTGTGCAAAATTTCTATTCTGGCCTTGCGACAGGGTGGAACACAAGCGCTATGAAGGACAGAATGCGCGAACACTTTTCAGAGAGTTTTGAATCCGCATCCGAACTCTTGAAGAAGCGCGCTGCTTATTCCAAGAGATCTTCAGGGTGGAAAAGCGGCAGTTCATTCCAAGATCATGTTAAGGCCCAGATATTACAGCTTTACCCTGTGGAAGGTGGATACCTGTGGAAGGTGGATAGTACCTGTGGAAGGTGTGTGATCCGATTTCTTCAACATGATCCCACAACAGGAGAGGCCCATCCTGATTTATCTGCCCAGTTTCCTTTTTTCAGTTTCCAACGTATCAGATCCTCAGTTCTTGCATGGGATGCGTAGCTAGAGAAGAATCAAGTTCATTCGTGAGCTCCTCTAATAATGGAGCAACGGGTGATGAACTTGGGTTTCGCCGCTTGGTTGTGGGCGATTTGTTTCAGGCTTTGACGCACGCAATAGGCAAAGGAGCTGCGGGAATGACGGACCCTTACTTGCATATCTTCGGCTTTTACGGAGCGACGCATGACAACCCCATCAATTATAAAGGGTTAGAAGATGTTGAACGAGGACGACGACACAACTCTCCGTTAGAAGAAGGAGGACAAGCTCTTCTTGCAGCAGAAAAAGAAGTACAAGCAAGACCACGTATCCAACCCGTGACTCTCTCGGACACATTGGAGTTGACCAAAGAATTCGGGTCTGATGTGATCCGAGCTAGCGCTGAGGACCTCGCTTCTGACGCTACCGAAGATAAAACTGTTCGCTGGTTAAGGCTGCTCTAAGTATAATATCAACTAAACTTGATTTTTGTCAAGGTTGACATTGGTTTTAATGAATATGGTTTCTTAAATATTCACAACCTAACCTAATCCTAACCTAACCTAGCCTTCATTTTCTTAAAGAATATAGATAATGTACCTCCGACGAAAATATCCGCTTATTCTTGAATACTTTATCCGGAATACTTTGCAGCAACACAACAACAGTAGTTCACATGAACTATGATCGATGAGCTCAATCAACGGAGATTTATATGCACTGTGATATGACCAGCTTTAATCTAGCGTCGTGCGACCTTACCTCGCAGCGGAATCGCCATGAAAAGAGCCCTTTTGCAAGCGAATGAATTGGATTTGACACTGGGTGGTCTCCAGCCTGGCGGATCAGCTGAAAGTCCTACAATTTCTACAAAGTGGCATGTTGCCGACAACGGTCGTGTGGTCTGGAAGTATGAAAATCCGCTCAACGAAGATCGAAAGCGGTTGTTGCTAGAGAAAGGAAGCCTTGACACACCAGCCGCGCCGGCCGAAAGAAAGCTCGACATTTCGGATATTGGCTACATCGACAAATATCCAGTGAATAATGTGCAGATGCGAGCTCTGCCGAGTTATATGGGACAAAGTCGAACCTCTTACCCTGTGATTATCCTCTCTTTTAAGGCTACTGCTAGATAAGCATGTCCTCAACACCACAATCCTTGGTCCTTTTCTCTTTTTTTCTCGAAAAAGAAACCAAGGATGGAAAAGAAACCAAAACCAATGGATGCGGGCGCTCTAACTCTTTCCCGCATGGACTACAACCGGTAACGGAAACGAGAGAGTACTTTTCGAAGGGATGTGTTGTCGGATCCAGGTGTCAAGGTGGATCCCTATTAAGGGAGAAGCCATATCAAAGACTGGAGAAGGAATTGATTTTTCAGTCATTGCACGTGTTGACAGATTCTGCGTTTGAAGCAGAGAAGTGGGCCTTGAGAATTTTGAAGCCTGCAGCAGTGAAGCTTACTAACGCGCCCACAATTGGTGTATCTGGGAGTGCACCAGTTCTTCATCCGCATTGGCGCATGGTAGGCATGGACAGACCTGCTTCTAGAGACGCTAGAGACTCTTCAGGCCTAGAAAGTGGAAGTGCTATGCCTGCATCCCTAGCCACGACGAGCAGCGAGGAAAACGCTTTGCGCTTGGGTCGCTCTATGGGCACTGCTATGCTTCAGTCCTTGTATCTTCATAGCTGTCGTTTAATGCCGGATAAAAAGTTTGTGGACCAGCAAAGACAAAAATGGTCCGAGGCAATGGCGGCAGTGGGCTCAGTTGGACAGAGCAAAGTGGGACAGAAGAGAAGCCAAGGACCCTGGTTTTCGCCTGTCAGTTTTGAAGATGCTTTTAAGTTAAGGCTCAGAAGAGTATTTCATGTATTCACAGGAGACGTTGTTGTCTCAGTTTCCTTCCCAACGCGGAATCATGGCTCGAGACTTTGAACGTAGAGTCAGGTTCTGGTCTCGAGACCATGAACATAGAAGATGGCTTCGTTGCTTCGTTGTTGCGAACTATTCAATACTTCACAATGGAATTATTTGGGTAGTTCTTATTGCGAGCGCTAATCAAGGATGCTGTCAACCGTAGAAGAAAAACGGAAGCGGAACTCACAGCACTGAAGGAGTTTTCCTATCGTTGTTACAGACTGGCGCAGCTTGTAGCCGAAGGGTACAAAACGGTTTTCCTAGAGGAAAAGGATGCTTTAGACGCAACTGCTGCTGCAAAGGATGGGCGACAACATCAGGAAGATCTTCGTGATGCCTATACAGTTCCTGTGAAAGCTGCCAATCACTACTTTCGATTGCAGCAAGCCTTATGGGGTGTGATATTCTTCGAAACGCAAGGAGCCGAAGATCCTTCCGAGGCAAAGCCGATGATGATTATGGACGACTTTTATCATTCATTTCATCTCTTAGCGTTAGCGTTTCTCTTAGCGTCTCTCTTAGCGTCTCTTTTAGCATCTCTACTGAAATGATAAAGGATGCATCTATCGGAAAAATAAAAATGTCAAGGACATCTAGGGGAGTGCTCTGTCACTGCACATTTCTCTCGACGCCTCTTTGGTAATAGAGATGTCCACCCACAGAAGAGTACAAGAACCCTTTTGCTCCCATATTAGAAGGATCGACTATACAATGGCTCAAGATTTTTACAGGGCTACTTCTCAAATGAAGGAAAATAAGGCTACTGAATGAACTAAGGCTACGTACTGAATGAACTAAGGCTACGTACTGAATGAACTAAGGCTACGTACTGAATGAAATGACGCTACGTACTGAATGAAATGACGCTACGTACTGAATGGCATGACGCTACGTACTGAATGAACTAAGGCTACGCACTGAATGAAATACATTCTAAGATGAAGTGGATTGTCGATTACTACTTTGGAGGAAAAAGTAGTTACCCGACATTGTACGACGCTGCGGTTAAGGGGACTTTTGGCGGTGTCCTAATTGAAGAGCTGCAAGGATATGTTATGGCAAGGATTATATGCTAAGCCGATTCTCGTCAGTGACTCTCCTAGTACTTGTGTACTCCTTTATCAATTGCACCCTTTGCGCACTGTAATATCCAGCTCTTTATCAATAAAGCTTCTGTAATTATAGTTTACAAGTCAAACAATATCTTTATCAATTGTTCCTTTATCAATTGCACCCAGAAGTGGTCTCCTATGGTTATAAGCTAAGAAGCTATGAAATCAATGTTGGAAGAGTGTAACAGTGAGAACGTTCTAAATCTGTAGGCGACGAATGGACTGGCGTGGATTATCACCACATCGCTTTGGAGGATGGCACTACGTTTAGGGCTTTCTCGCACGACATCTCTGTGCCAGAACAAAAGGAACTAGTATTATTAAGGACCATACTACAAATCTCCCATTTTGACAGGCATCCCGGAGCCTCCGTTTTCGACTGGGGGAACAAGGTAGTTCCACGATGCGTGCCAAGATCGAAGATTTCTGGTAGCTCTAATATTAGCTTTGCACAGCATAGGACAATGTGGGAAAAGCATAAGTGTCTTGGCAAGATTGCGAGAGGTAGTTTCGTCAGCATTCTTTGATACAGATTGACAGGACCACTGTCATGGAGACAGGACGGCTTGATACAGATTGACAGGACCACTGTCATGGAGACAGGACGGCTTGATACAGATTGACAGGACCACTGTCATGGAGACAGGACGGCTTGATACAGATTGACAGGACCACTGTCATGGAGACAGGACGGCTTGATACAGATTGACAGGACCACTGTCATGGAGACAGGACGGCTTGATACAGATTGACAGGACCACTGTCATGGAGAAAGCACGGCTTGATACAGATTGACAGGACCACTGTCATGGAGACAACAGGAGTTTTTAATTTCTCGATTAAGAGGGTTATCAGAACGGGGATCGTCATAAAAATGAAGTAGGACGATTAGGTGGATTCTTCAGAGTACTGCGTGCTTCCTAAATAAGTAGGACTCCAGGTTGTTGACGTTCTAAAAAGAGAACAAACGACTTTGTGTGCTAGTCTGAAATGAAAACTAGTAAATCTCTATCGTACAACATTTTAGAGCTATTGATTTAGATCTATCTAGTAATTCAGATGAATGAAGTAGTTGTACAAATCATCTTCTTGGTTTGACTAGACCGAAAAATTTCAGGTACGTACGATTGTTAGAGACGTGGCGATGATGTGAAAGAGTTCATATTACCATATTAGAGATTAGCTACCATCATCTGGTCAACAGGTTTTAGTATCAGCATTCTACTCTTAGAGACCTCAAGGTTCGCAAATGAAAGCCGTCTTCATGACACACTGTTTAGAAACGATCTTGTCTCGCCAGTGGTAGAGATTGACCGCCAGAGACGTTCGGTGATGATATCTTGGTGCGTCTTCGTGAATTTTTCGCCCAAGCGGTGCGTCTTCTCATATCTTGAACACAAACAGTGGGTTTTAAAGATTTATTGCGGGCGCGGTGACTTTTTTTCTGAGTTATGACTCAATTTCGATTCGGGTCCCCGCGTTTGAGAGATCAACTGACGGCTGACGACGGTTGCTTCTCGGAATACACGGTTGACGCAGGCTGACAGGTTCTTCTTGGAATACAGCTCTGCATACTTTCTTGGAATGCAGGTATTTTTTGGAATACAGGTTCTTCTTGGAGTAGAGGTCACGGAAAGTATGGAGGTTTTATTTTTGTAATGCAGGCTTGAAAAATATGCACGGCGCTAACAAGTGTCGCTGCAGGATCCGATCAGTCGCGAGCAGGTGTCGCTCCAGGGGGGGGCGTAGAGGGGGCGTTATAGACACAGACAAGAAATTGCAATTGAAGATATTCGAAAACTCAAATAAGAGAGTCTTGACTACATTCCTCTTCTTTCAGTATCTCCCTCATTTTCAATAGTTACGCGGTTGTTTCAGTTTATCGAATACTTAAGAGCTGCAAAAAATGGGCACGCTAACAGGTGTCGCTCCAGGAGACTTGTCGCTAAGGAGGGCTGGACAATGGAAAGACTCAGCATGTTGAACAGAATTCCAGCATGTTGAGAGTGAACTCGAGGGAAATGTCTTCTTATATGTCACACACGCGGGGAAGGAGGACGTGGGGTCTGGAGTATGGGGCTAGATAGGAAAATGGAGGAGTGGCCAAGAAAAGCATGCGACAAAGACCTCTCCTCAATTCATTAGAGAGTGGAATTGAGGAGAGGTCTTTGTCGCATTCTCTTCTTGCACTTGCCCGTCATGCACGCCTATTGCGGCATTGCGGCATGCACGCCTATTGCCCCCAGCGCGAGGGAGAACGGCGTACGTCGCGGAGCTGCGAGGGTCGCGGGATTGCACGTGGGTCAGTTGAGAGTGAACTCGAGGGAAACGTCTCCCTATATGTAAAATTTTGGTTCGATGCAAATTTGCGAAAAAAGAGATGGATCAGAAAAACGTCTCTGATCCATGACTGTGAGGAAAAACTTAGAATGTCGGAATTGTATAGAACAAAACACGGTCGTAACTGCTTACAATCACAACGGCCTATAAAAATATTGAAACTGCTTAGAACTTCAATCACAACGGCCTCTAGAAATACTGAAACTGCTTAGAACTTCAATCAGAACGGCCTATATAAATATTGAAACTGCTTAGAACTTCAACGGCCTATAAAAATATTGAAACTGCTTAGAACTTCAATCACGACGACTCACTGGTAGAAATACTGAAGATGAATAATTCCGACTTCTCGAAACATTTTTAGATACAATTCCTATCCTACGACCCTAAGTATTCGGTGAGGTCGTGCACAAGAACTCAGGACTCCAAGAGTCATGGTTGTTTTATTCAAAAAAGAAAGAATAAGATAAGCGTCATCATGGATGTTTTTCTCATGAAGTAAGATGGGAAATAGGCGCTTTCTTCAGGAGCATCTGGTGTGAGGCTCACACAACGTCGAGATGAAGTTGGGACTACGGAAGCTCAGGCTCTTTGCATCTGCATCGTCGAGAAGGAGTCGTCGACTTAACGTTGCGTCCTTCAAAAATTATATTCCGCCTACTATTGTGGGTATGGGGCGGAAGCATCATTTCGTCGTGGTGCTATTCCTCCTGAGTGCTGCCTGGAGTGCATTATCGCATGCTTTAGGCCACGAGTCTCAGGAAAGTCACAATTCTCATGAAGAAGATACTTTAGGGGGTCACTCTCCGGAAGGGCACAACTCTCATGAAGAAGAAGATCAAGGTGGTTTAGCTGCAAGAATAGTTTCTAGGGAAGTCGAGGAGCAGGACAAAGGACAAGTACAACCAAGAACTACTTCTCGGAGGACTAAAATTTCAAGCACTGCGGCGAGCAACATTACGGCTAGCCTTTTTTTATCCAATTCTGACTGTGAGTTCCTTTAGTAGTTGGCGAGCCTTCTAGTCAATCGAGCCTTCTAACCAATAGTACTACTGCTCTGTTCCTTTTATCCATTCCTGAGAGCGCGATCCTGATAACTAATGAATTCTGTAGTCTAATGCATTCCCATAGAAAAATAGGTCGATAGGAAGAGGTACCAGGACATTTCTGTGGTTGGGCCAAGACATGTCTTTGTATATCCTATCTTTGGTGGCCAGAGCAGCCTTTGAAGATCGGAGCTAGAGTGCCAAGATAGGCCTTTGCTGGCAGCCTAACTAACGTTTACCAGCCTGTGAAAGGAGGAGCAATTCCTATCCTATCCTTCATCACTCGCGCTCTAATCAAATCCCGCCCTCGTTTCTAGACGATGCAATAAAGGAAGATGAGCAGCATAGTGCGACTCGTGCGGAGGAGGATAGCGAAAAACATCAGCGTCTTCTAGAGGACCATAACTACATCAAGGGTGATGCCCGTTTTAGACGAGGACCACAACAGCTACTGCAGCAAGAACAGCTACTGCAGCAAGAAGAAGAAGAGGATGGAAGAAGTGCTCATCTTCTTCATTCCAACGAGAAGGAGGACCAACAGCATGAACACGAAGGAACCGTGCACCACCAACCGTTCCAAGAACACCAAGAACTCCTCAACAAGTCACCTCAGAAAACTTCTAAGGAGTTTTGGAATAGAAGGGTTGCTCTCATCGTCACGTTGCATCCTCCAAAGTTTCACTTCGTAGCAGAAGCCTTGAGGGAATGGCTCCGTCAGCCTGGAGCTGTGAATGTTAAGGCAGGTGCTGTCACAGATGCATCCTTCTCAGCAGTACTAAGGTTCTCACCTTAGTTAGAAGTGGAGCTAGCATCTACAACAGTGTGTGTGTGTGTGAAAAACCTTTTTTTCCTGCAAGTATTTAGCAGAGAGAAGTTTCTTATTTTAGAAGCAAGTGTAAGTAAGTTACTAGAAGTACAAAGTTCTAGTTTTTGTTACTAGTTGCATCATCTTAAATGGTAGTCTCGCTCTCTATCAGAAAAAGTCTCTACGGGTCTCCTCCGATATTCGTAGATTTGTGGCCGATTGTACAGTCTTATGCGCCCCCAGTATGTAACTTGGATGACAATAGTTGAGCATGTTAATTGACTGTTTGAAAGGGCGGCTGCATATAGTCCTAACGCAAAAAAAAAAATCTACGGGTACTACGGACAGCACTATCAGGGACGTACGCATGACATGAATGGCAGTACTAAGAATCTCCGTTAAGTCCTCTAAGAATGCAGCTTCTTTTCAGCTGGTTTTCTCGAACGTCGAAGACTTGTGGAAATGGAGGGCCATGCTCAGGAGTAAAGAAAGATGGCGAAAGGTAATACTTGGTTTTCACGTACTGGTAAGAAGTAAAGAAAGATGGCGAAAGGTAGTACTTGGTTTTTGCTGTCGTGTCTCATAAAATAAACTTCAAAATTTTTGTCTTGATGTTCGATCAAGTTCTTTTCATATGAAAGAAACATGGCGAAAGGTAGTTCTTCTTTTTCGTAAATCGTAACTAACTGCTTTGCAATGTCACTCCTCTCAGGTCTGGTTATTCGAAAATCGGTCAGTGGATTGGCTGTTGGATACAACGAGCGGGAAAAGATTAGTAAGGCTCGAAATTCTTTGTCCGTGACTCTCCGATTGTACTCCTTTGATCACTAGTATCCTCTGCCTAGTATGATCTAGTGGTCACACTTTGTTCTGTTTCTTCGTTAGGATGCTGAAGAAAAGATGGGAAGAAGTAAAAAGTTTTGGATTCCAATATTAACGGGAGAAGAAGACACGAATCGCAATGTTGACGGACAATTTTCGACATCGCTAGGATGGCGAGCGATTGTCAGCGACGTTCCTTTGAGTCTGGAGTTATGTTGCTTGCTTTTGCTGGATGGTTACTACTTTTATTGAAGGTAATCAATCACGCTCAAAGCACATAAGTAAAGCAACCGGCTAGCTTTCCCTCTATTCTTAGGCCTTTCCCTATCTAGCAATCAAAGCCACCAGATAATCAATCAATCACTAGAAAGAAGGACTTAGTAATCAATTTGAATATAGCCCTTCCGCTATAGGCAGACTTACGAATAGACTCATATCATCATACCCCTTCCAACAATGTATATGTAATCAATCCCTTCCAAGAAAAAAAGACCCTATTCTAAGACGTCAAGCCAACCAGAATCAGAAACTGTGTGGCTGGAAAAAAATTTATGGTCTCGCAAGCCTCGCGGATTTGCCATCAGAGCTGCGCCCGCGTTATGCTGCCATGCTGGATGCGGAAGTTGGGTTTTTTATTATGTTGAGCGATGATTACAAGTGCAATGATATCTTCGAGAGGCTCCACTGCAATTATGGGTGTTTTCCCTCATTTCCATCCTAGATTAGTCCCGTTAGTCAAAACTTTGCGGGCGTCCAATAGAGGCACTAGGAAGAATGGAAGATCCACGATGGGTATGAAGAATGCATCGGATGTCGTCTTGTTTGTTCTCTTTCAACATGAAAGCACGAATCATAAGGAAGGTAGTTTTTTCAACATCTAACACCCAAAACCGTGACCACGATAGTTGGGACCGTTTTTATGACCGTGTCGACGAGAAATTCAAGTCTCGACAGTTTGTATGGATGAAGTTTTTTCTCCCATTAAATGTGAGACCGTCTTGTAGGCTGGTGCCCCTTTTCCCCTTGCCAGTGTACTAGAGGTGAAAGGAGGGGACGTCGAGGGTCTGGCTAGATTTAAGGGCTGAAGCATTTCGTTTCTACTTGCTTTCACTTTTTGCTGCCGCTGAGACAGGTCCTGGCTTAGTCAAGTATCAGACCTGGGATGGTCGTAGTTACGATAGAGGCATCATGGACGAAGTCTTTCACGACGTGTTGCCAGCAGCTCAAGCTCTAGTTGTAAGGAAATCTTCCACTTCTGGAGATAGAAGCAGTGGGGGTGGCGTTGGTGGTGGTGGTGCGACTAGTGGTGGCGCTGGCGCTGGTAGAAGTGGTGGGAGTAATAATGGTGGGAGCAGTAGTGGCACTAGTATGATTAGTAGTGGCCAGTTACTGCGGAGAGATCATCAAGGGCAAGCGATCTTGGAGGACGCTGGATCGACAGAAGGCGGTTCCCCAAAGCGAGAAGTAGTGGAAGCTAGTGGAGAAGAAAAGCGTTACGAAATTCACTCCACCTGATGTTTGTGATAGCATGATTGAAAAGCTAGCTACCTTCGTATCCCATTCCCACGTTGTATATGAGCTATTCTATTGTGTGCAAAGCGAAAGAAAGATCAATCCTACACTCTACAACTAGAAAGCTGTATTGTAGAGTATCCTACTAGCTAGCTAGGAAGAAAGAAGATTTTGTCATGATTATGTAAGACTTCTTCATTCCTTCTAAGACTCCTTCAACGACATCGTGGAAAAGCTCTCCTTGTCCCGGGAAGCCTTCGAGCAAGGGTACCAGAAGGCTAGGACTGTGGTACAGAACTCCCTATTCTTAAGGCAACCAAAGGAGCGTCCTTACAGCGTCGTGATTGTTGGGCCTCTTTCTTCAAGGGAAAACGGGGCCAGGGATGGTTTCAGGGACGCAATTCTAATCCTCTCCTGAAGAGGGATTATACTCTCTTATTAAAGGGATGGCTTCAGGAGCTCTAATTTTCTCCTGGTGGGTGGATCTGCCAATTGTTGATGTGGAAAATCACGTGGCACCATGGTTGTTGGGAAAAAAACGCAGTATTCTCAACCCTTCGAGTTTGGCAGGTGGAGCGAGCTTGTTGGATCTAAAGTTAGGGTGTAGCGACCCTGTAGTTGGTAAATCCGTGACGTATAAAACAACTACGAAGCCTATGTCTAACCATATTAAAGGTGGCTATCTAACCCTAAGTGATAAGGGTGACGTAGCCTGTTGATCCCATGGGAGTTGGGGACATTATCGTTAGGTAGTGGTCACTTGAAGAAGGGCCTCAACATCTTCGTGTCTTGACAGCATCATATACTCAAGAAAAAGCACCAATAGTGGGGGCAAGATGGTTGAAAAAGATAAGCAATTCTTTACTACTTTTTCTGGCAATTATTTACTACTCCCTCCACTAGTATGCTGTTCCTTTTCTAAGGCTAGAAGCAGTAGAGCTGGATGAAAAATCCGAGAAGCAGAGGTCCTCTACGTTGCTGAGTCTACAGGAATTGGAAGCAGAGGTGCAACAAGCAGACGATCTTCATAGTAAAAGTTAAGGCGGAATACTGCGATAAGCTGTCTTCCTCACAGGAAGAGCCAGTCTGCTCCGCAGTTTTTACCTTTGACCTCTGAGAAACTGAGCTCCGAAGATGAATAACTCTAAAAAAATAATAGCAACCTACTGGCATCTTTAGCAGATAGGGGCTGGACGATCTCGCTATTAGGCACAGAGCTGCGGGACCCTAGACCTGAAGGTGCCACAGAGATGAAGCAGGAACATCTTCAACAACATCGGCAACCATCAGGTGATACAACTTCGCCACAGTCTTCGAATGAGAAACATCCATCTACGTCCTCTAGCTACCTTCGTGCTGCTATGAGATCAATTCCTGGCATTCGTTTCGAGATCATCGGATACCACTTGTTTTGCCTCATGATCGACAACTTCTCAATGCGAGACATAACGCCGATCACCGGATACGGAAAGTTAAGAATTGTTTTATACTTTCTTTAGATAATGTCCTTCTACTGTTTTTCTAGTGTCCTTCGAGTGTGCTCCTAGTGTTCTGTAGTGTCCTCTTGTGTCCTGTAGTGTCCTCTTGTGTCCTGTAGTGTCCTCTTGTGTCCTGTAGTGTCCTCTTGTGTCCTGTAGTGTCCTCTTGTGTCCTTCTAGTGTCCTCTTGTGTCCTGTTGTGTCCTGTAGTGTCCTCCCTCTTGTGTCCTGTAGTGTCCTCTTGTGTCCTGTAGTGTCCTCTTGTGTCCTGTAGTGTCGTCTTGTGTCCTTCTAGTGTCCTCTTGTGTCCTGTTGTGTCCTGTAGTGTCCTCTTGTGTCCTGTAGTGTCCTCTTGTGTCCTGTAGTGTCCTCTTGTGTCCTGTAGTGTCCTTTTAGCTTAAGTAGCTCTAATTCGCTGCAAGTAGCTGCTGCTATTAGCTCCATTTAGCTGAAATTAGTTCCATTTAGCTGCAACTTGCTCCATTTAGCTGCAATTAGCTCCAATAAGCTGCAATTTGCTCCAATAAGCTGCAACTAGCTCCATTTAGCTGCAATTAGCTGCGATTAGCTGCAATTTACTCCTATTAGTTCATATTTGTTCCAACTAGCTCCTGGCCCTGTTATCGCCAACTAGCTTCAATCAGCTCCCTCTTTCAGGTCCCTCAATTAGCTGGATCTATCAGCTCCTTGTATGTCTTCCCACTACCCTCTTTGTGTCCGATCAGATCAGCGTATTCTAATTTGTTGGGGTTCCGTAAACGAGGAGCCGACGTTGCTGAAGAATTTTCGTGCTAACGGTGATAGTTTGAGGGACATGGTGGGAGACGACGAAGAAGGCGTCAAAAAAGCTCTCCTGCGTGGTTACAACACAACGGATCACAATCAACAAAAGCAAGATCAGAGGGTAGTTGCTCTTCATCAAGCTGCGGAGGAAGATGAGACTAGCAGAAATCGTGGGAGCAAGGTGCGATTCGAAAACCAGTGGGTTGATGTTTCTAAAGGAGCTAACCTGGCGCTCATCGAACCACTGCTAAGGCTAATATTGAAAAAGACGCATGTGCATCGATAGCGTAATAAATTTATAGCATAGTCCTCCTTAGCTCCTTTTGCATTCCTTCTGCCATCTTAACATCATTTCAGTCAGACGTTCTTTCCGTCTTTTTTTTGCAGTACATAATCCTTGATGATCGTTTTTTTTTCAAGTAAAAACAGCCGGTTAGTTTTTCCCTCGTAGTCTTCTCCCTTCATGATTTCCAGAAGTATTGTACTGTAAGACGAATACTACTCACTCTAACACAGTGGGCTTCAGTGAGTGCGCAAAAAGTAGTAGAGCAGGGAGAGGTGCCTGCGTGGATCGCTGGTCGGGAACCGCTATTGCTCTTCCATGTCGATCACGAAGCGCCCAAAACTTTACACTCTATAATTAAGGCTAGTACAACAACTAAGTTGGTGAACACTGGAAATGTAATTGTATGCGACCGATTAATTCTATTCGGATGATCCAGTACAACTTTCAAGATCCAATTAGCACACGGGAGCTCTAACAGTAGTGGCGATGACGTGAATTACCGGCAGGTGAGCAGAGAAGTGGAGAAGGAATGGCCACAAGTGTTGGGTGATACGGTTACAAGACTTTCCTTCAGGAAAAAAATGCCCTCCACGATGAATCCACTTTATCTCTTTGCAGATGGGACGACAGCGTCTTGTAGCGCGTCTAGTACAACTGCTGGGTCTATCTCCAGATCAACTGCTGGGTCGTCGAGTACAGCTGGGTCTTGTACTAGTAGTAGAGGAGATTTCGCAGTAGTCATGGCAACGGATCGCCTTTCCGATGCCTTTGCATGGTGGACAGAAAATTCTATGGTGGATAAGAAAATAACTCCAGTTAGATCAGCAGTAGAGGCTGTGAGAGGAGCAGAAACTGCACTCTTGGAGAACGAAGAAAAGGGAAACAAGTCAACACTGGTGGATCTTCAACGTCAAGAGGACAGTGAAAATAAAAAGTCAAAGTCAACAGAGGATCAACGACGACAAGAGCATCAGAATATAGTGGAAGAGCAACCAACTAGTACAGGGTCCTCTACGTCACAGTCTTTGGCAGTATTAAAAAATGCAAGAATATCCCTGGCGACGAAGCTGTTCACGATCCTGTGCCTCGTTTCAGCATTCGTAGTCATCGTGTCCCACTTTGCATTTGGAGCTGTCGGGAAACAAGATGCTGTGGAGCAGACTGCTCCCCTATCATCTAGTCCAAATAACACTGCGTTAAGGCTCGATGCGCTTCATTCCCTACAATGCACTTCATTCCCGAAGGAACTGGATAAAGCTGAGGCCGCTCTTTCAGTAGCCTCCGGATACAAAAAAAAAACTGTTCTCTTCTTGAAATTCTGAGAAACTCAAGCCAAGAAATGAAATGTTTTCAGCTCCTCTAACTACAGGCTTTCAGAAGCAACTCTTTCTCTTAGTGCCGGGGTTTCTCTACCTCTACTTATGGCTTGCACATTGGCCTATCTACAGCATCTAAAAGTATATCTCTGGCGCTCTTTTAGTCCCTATGAATTCACAAAATCAAATTCTACAAGGACCTACTTTTCAAGGGTCGGACGGATATATCAGTAGCTTCTATGGGGATCTACTATTCATTTTCGAGGGTCAACAAGAAGATTTAGGGATGATTATAGGCAAACCTCCATAGATATATCAGAGATAGTTAGAAGATAGGCCAGGGGGAGATGCCTAATTTAGTTCGCAGTGACGATTGACGTCCTGGTGTCTCATGCGGGAAGTAGCGGAAAACTTAGTTTCGATCCAGTGGTGATGGTTCTCATAGTTGAAGTGTGCAAACTTTTAGCCTCAGCGGGGTTGAAAATTCATGGCTCAGTACGAGAACATCACGCGGCCTCAATTGTTGTACAAGATAGAGATGTAGCAGGAGCATCTTCATCTTTGCATCACACCTCAGTTGTGCAACATCAACAGGATGTAGGAACATCGTCATCTTCATCCGTATCTGCTATTTCATGTGCGAAAGAAGGAGGTAAAAAGAGCGACGCTGCTATTTCTAGTACAGAAGAAGGAGGTCGAGGTGAAAAGAACCACAATATCAATAAAGCGAGCATAAGCAGAACTACTTCAGGCACCACACTTGCATCAGGTTCGACAGCAGACCACAACTTGCATCTTCTTCCATCCCTCTGTTCCTTGCTGGCACCATACAAACGACTCGAGATATGGCGAGCGAGTGCATTGCCAGCGATTTTCTACACTGTCCTTAAGGCTCCCTCCATCGCCTTCGGAATAGCACGTACTATCTAAAGATGTAGCATTATCTGAAGACCTAGTACTATCTAAACACGAAGATGTAGTACCATCTAAGCAAGAAGATGTAGTACCTACTGTATCTAGATAGATGGACAATGATTTTGCTTACTTCTAATGTGGAGAATGTGATGTACTTTACGTTGAACACTAGGATCGACCTAGCAACCTTCGCAATCGCACGGGAGACCAACGTGGTGTGGAACGTAGTTTTCACCTATTTGTTAAGGCTTTTCGGAATCCATCGCGACAGACGCCCTAGAGTGACAGGCGTTGTTTTCAGGGAGCAATGCGGCCTTGTACGCCACGAATGGGTCCTCGTTAGCTACACCTAGTACGACGACAACTAACAGGGTGCACTATATTAATGCTAAAATATGTTAAGATTGAAGATTAATGCTAGCCTCTAAATCTAGTTTTTGGTCGCTCCGTTCCGTCGTCAGCCATGTTGTTTGCTATTACGGCGATCACCATTGGTGCAGTAGCGAATGTCGGACTCAGTCAGCTCGACACTCATGCGGTGAGCAGTAATAGTGCTGTCGGGACGTTACCGACTGCAGGTAAAGGTTTTGGGACCACAACGTCTGCAACTACAGATACCACAGGCGCAACCTCTTACATGATTAACACGAATGCAGTCCCAGGAGCAGGACAAAATCACCAGAGGATAATAGGAACAGTTGGTGCTGGCGCTGCTTCGACTCCACTTAGTAGCATTAAGGCAACCGCAGATGCGTCCTTCAATCCATCCTTGTCCTTTTTTTTCAAGTAGAAAAGAAGGACAAGGAGGGGTGATCGCACGAATGCGCCGCGAGATTATGGTGCTGCCCATTCTAGCTAGGTGCTACCGCCGCTAGATGTCCCATGGCAGCTCTAATAGCTGCGCCGCTTCGTCGAGTTCTGCGTCGTTTTCCTTCCTCGAAGAAGTGTCAGCCTTGGCTCATTCCGCACCTACAGGTCATCTAAGGGGGACATTTTCGCAGCTAGATCATGATGCAAGTGCATACTCCTGGTTGCTGGGGATGGATTCAAGAACAACCTCTAGGAGGTCCAGTGGACATGATTATCAGAGGAGTACTTCTGGTCCTCTTGGTTCGTTGCTAGAGAAGACTGAAGCAGTCGTGGCCCATTCGTCTTCCGAGGATGCGTCACCCTTTTTTAAGGCTTACTCATATAATTCATCTTGAGAGGCATCATCTAACTATGGCGTGCTTCAAAGGTCAGGGTGGAGCACATGTTGATGATGATGAGGATGATTTTGATGAAGGGGAAAACAGGTCAAAAACGAGCTCCAACATGAACAATATCGGTAATCAAGGTCATCTACAAGGTTCTTGGACTCATCTCATAGTAGACCATGTCGTAGTAGCTATCCCTGTTTGATATGATCTAGAACACTTATCGGTAAGAACTAAGGTCTAACTTTTGGGGAGAAAAGCTTGGACTCTCCTTTTGTTTCACGATGCTGGTGGCGGCAGGCAGCGTGTACAACGAACGAGCCCTTAAATTATACCCAGACGTAGACATCAACGACATGAATATCATGCTGTACTCTCTGGTTAAGGCCACCTGAAGAAACCCATCTTCACAGGCATCAATCTTGGGTCCGTTTCGAAAGGGAAAAGGGTACTCAAGATGCTGCTGAAGCTGGGTCTCTCTTGGTTCTAATGTGGACATAGGGTTGCTCTTGCTTTTCTACGCCGCGTTTTCGCAGACAGGCTCGTACCACAAACTGCTGAACCATCAACCTAAACAGGAGTCAGCAGGAGGACCAACCTCTACTTGGTTTGAGACTTTCTCCGAGACGAACACCTGCTTTTTGCCGTGTTTGATAGTGTTATGGCAACTTGAAAACTCGAAATAAGCGAGTTACTGACTGAGATAAAAGGGTCTCTCTTCTTTCAGTATCTCCCGTATTTTCAATAGTTAACCCGAACCATCTTCCTCCAAGATCCAACCACATTTTGTTGCATCCCCCTCCGCGAGATGATGATCCTTGGCTATGATGTTGATTCCTTGACGATGTAAGGATGATGCGAACGCTTTGGCTCTAATACTGACATTGCAGATCGTCATTGGTTTGCTGGTTTCAAGAATTTTCCGGAATAGCGATGCTTCGCTAAAGGCCGTTTTTGGTTCGGCGCGCGGGCCGTTGCTCTTCATCTTTCCGACTGTGTGTGCGGTCGTTGCGAATCTCTCGCTTATACCTAGTGGCGGTAGCGTAGCAGGAGTGTGGCCTACTTTATGGACGTCAGTTATCAGGATTAGTCTCTACGGGCACTATGGACAGTGTCATCAGAGGCAGTCTCTACGGGCACTACATCCAGGATCATGTACATACTAGTGGATGAGTAGAAAATGCTAGGTTAGAAGCTGAAAATAGTACTACTAGTTGAAGTTCCTTTTCCACGTCCAATTCATTAGCATCATCTTCTAAAGGCCCTCCCTCTTCATCAGCCTCTCCCTCTTCAGCAGTCTTTCCCTCTCCCTTCTCTCTCTCTCATCTTCTAGTGCTCTAGTGCTTCTCCACTTCCCTATAATTCAGAATAGCTCTAATGCTTCTCCACTTCCCTATAATTCACAATAGCTCTAATGCTTCTCCACTTCCCTATAATTCAAAATATCTCTAATGCTTCTCCACTTCCCTATAATTCACAATAGCTCGAATACTTCTCCACTTCCCTATAATTCACAATATCTCTAATGCTTCTCCACTTCCCTATAATTCACAATAGCTCGAATACTTCTCCACTTCCCTATAATTCACAATAGCTCTAATGGCCCTCCATTTCCAGTTCGTCCCCATGGCGAGATGTCTTGCAGCTGCCATTGTATTCGTCGCGGCTGTCGCCTACGTGATCCTCCACATCCTACAGAGTTCGAAGCACTCGACGTCGAGGTCTACAACGGGGAAATAGTAATGAAGAGGGAATTTACGACAGGGAAATAGCAGTGAATACTCTGCCTATCGAGTCTGGTCTTTTGGATTGTGTATGGAGACCACTGGGATCTTCCAGTCCACCTTTGTACTAACTTCTAGTGATAAAACTTCTTAAGATTATTTACTCAAATACGAGGGCCAACAACGCAAGGATATTCTCACCTCATCGATCAAGATTTTCTCGGTCGTCACTCGCTTATTTTAGTTTACTTCATGATTATGCAAAGGAAAAATGCAGTAAAGGAAAAACGTACAACTAGAAATTCTTGAGCTCCTGAAAAACGATTGTGAATACACTAATATAAAACGTTTACGTTATAGAAATTAATATGAATTTAGAGAAGTCGACAGAGTTTATAAACTAGCGATCGTTCCTCTTGTTTATCCTGTACAGGAAAGATGACAACAGGGACGCATGTATGCATCCTATACAGCACAACGCGCCTGCGCATCATCGTAGATTGACCACTACCTGTCATACTTCTGTCAAATTTTTGTATATGTGAATGCCTTGTAAGGGTTAAGTACCTAGCATACAACTGTCATTTTGTATCAAGATCGTCCATTGTTTTTGTTGAGATCGTCCTGGATACACTGGAAATGGTGCCGTCCCGATGTGGGGGACCGGGATACAAAGGAAAAAGACATGCCTGAAATTGTAGCAGTTTCCATTGTAGTTGCACAGGCATACTAAACATATACCTTTCCAGGTCTCGGAAAGTTCTTAAAACTGACGTCATATTGGCCACTCAAATGAGTGCGTGTAGGATGTGCATGAAAGAAATAGGCAATTTCTATGGTTAACAAGAGGAATGTCTACAGTAGGGAAACAAGCATGCAGTGTGTGCGTTCTGTCTGGGCAATTGTCTGTTTCAGGAGATTGCGGAGCATATTCTGCCTGATATTTATGTCTTGAGCCTCTGTCTGACAATTGCGCACTGATACAAATCTGGAACGAGCCTGTTTCTGTCCTGAGTCGTCTGGAGCAGTGGGCAACATTCGCGATCCTCAGATAAGAGGGAGGAATTCACTTATTCGGAATTAACTCATCAATTGATCTACGCCTTAAGATCTTACAATCACAAACTAAAGATCCGATAGGGCAAGGAATACTAAGTAATTTGTTTTGCTCAGATAACGAGCAGAGCAGGTTACTAGTATGAACGGGTTAACGTCCGTGCCATCCCCGTACGTAGAAAAGTCAGAAAAAAAATCAAAAAAGACCAGAAGAAAGAAAAGTAGACTATAAGACAAGTAGTTCTCCGTTGCCTCACAATTCTGATTGTGGTTGCCATGGAGATATAATCTTGGCAACGTAGCTATGGAAGATCATCAGATCAGAATTTGAGCCAATAAAGGAGAAGATCAGTTAGGCCCAGTAGTTGACAAGCCAGAAAGAAGAACAAGTTCAAGGTCTAGCTGGTCAGCACTTTAGGCTAGAGAAAAATAAACAACAAGACAGACCAAGTTAAAATCTAGCCTACTGTTTGTCAAGTTTAATGATCCACTGAAACGTAGGTGGTTAACAAATAAAAGCTGGCTATTAGGCGAACGCGACGAATGTGAGGAAGTGTTCGCCGGCTAGAGAGATCAACTCGAGAGATTAATGTGAATTATCGTGGCTGGTGTAGGTTTGGGATAATTCGGAATTAACTCATCAATTGATCTACGCCTTAAGATCTTACAATCACAAACTAAAGATCCGATAGGGCAAGGAATACTAAGTAATTTGTTTTGCTCAGATAACTAGTTCAAAAAATTTTCTTCCCCACCACCACCCCCCTACATAATGCCAGGAAGGTCTGCCAGGTTGCTGGCCTTCATAGAAGACAGAAAAAGTAGACCATCAAGTGAGTTCGTCGCTTTTAGCGATCAGTTAAAAGCAGCGCAGCCTTGTAACCACAAGAAGCCTAGTACAAGCGTAGAAGAAGCGAGTTCTAGAGCAAGAGAAGTAGCGGCTAGCCGTTCGGCATCCCGCGTAGAGGTGAAGAAAAACGAAGTATCTCGACTACCAGTAGAAGCATTAAAGAAGTTTAGTAAAGGCCTGAAAATCGAACAAGGCATAACTCAACCTGCAGAAGAAGCATTTGGTCTACCTTTAGACTCAGAAGACCAGCAGCTCGCAGATTTGCATCCCTCTCCCCCCGTGAATGATGCACTTATCGAAAATAGGTGCAAGGAAGCTTTTGCGGCTATTCAAGACGACGAAGTAGTGAGGATCGAGCGTCCGGACCTGAGTTCTGAAAAGAACAAGAGCAGGTGCTTTAATCGACAATTAGACAAAGCTAGCGCATCTTCATCAAGTGCTCCTTTTGCGCCAGCAGCTCGCAGAGTCGGGCCAGGTGATTTAGTAGATTGGGAAGCTACACTTCAACTGATCAAAGAAGAACTTCTTCAATTCCCGCAGCGACGCCCCAGTGATATTCCTGCGGTAGATGGCCTAGCTGATGAGTTCAATAACTTCATCGAAAAATTGGATGCGGAAATCAGTTTGTTCGACAAGCAGTCAAGATTGGCTGCGTCATCGCTTAGATCATATCGTTCCGCATATAAGAAGTTCATCGAGATGATGTTGATCATTTCCCTCCACCCTCATCCGAATCATATTAATGTCAGATCTGTGCAATTGCTCGCGCAGGCGTTCCAGAAGTGTAGACATTTCCAGAAGTCGAAGGCGCAGTATATCGAACAGTTCAAATGCTTTGCAGATTTGATTAAACCTATGGAATCATCTACACGTAGAGCAGTTGCGCATATACAGAGGATGTTTCTTCGGTCACGGCCTATGCAGTTTCAGCAGCAAGGGGTGAGGTTAAGCCACATTATGTGTATGGTCCTGCACTTGACCATCGTACCGTTGGCAACTATTGCGGTAGGAGATAAAAAAGTACAAGCCGTTCCGTTTCTACGGTTTGCTATTTTTTGCTGGTTCTACATGATGCGACTGGATGAAACCGCTACAACTACAAGAGAACTCACAAGGATTAGCTGCAAAATAATAGTAGACTCTTCGAAAGACAACCAGTTCGGTACGAAGATTAAGACAACGGATCTTCAGTGTTGCTGCGACACTGCGCCAGCCATAGGAGCAGGGTTTATAAGAATTTGTCCTACTTGCTGCTGCTCTGAGAAAGAATTCGCATATTTCTCAAACGTTCCATCGCGGTCGCTTCTAGTGCTAATGGAAAATCTTCTGCGCCTAACCAATGTCGTTAGTCCATCAGCTGGAGGAGAACAAGAAAAGAAAGTGATGATGCTGCACGCTTTGAGAATAGGAGGAGCGAGATCGGCCGCTGATGGTGGCCTTGAAGACCACGATATTCAGACCGTAGGTAGATGGGCTTCATTGGATAGTTTGCATAGGTATATGGGGAACGCAAGAGCCGCCCCAGACTCGGTAGGATTGCGCTGGCCACTGAAGAAGCCGTTAATTTTCGGGCCAGGGGATACTAGTTGGGCAATTGGCCCAGTCAGCGGGACGTCGCCATCAACAAGCTTAGCTTGTGCTGACTCATCAACTTCAATGTCCAGCCAGGCTGGTAGTACCGGCAGACCTTCCCCATATTAGACTAAGAGAAAGATATGTTAAATAAACTCCCCCCCCAACATACAAATAAGCAGGTGATGTTTAGCGTTAGTATATGTTTGTTTATTGTTAGCAGCCCGTTTTTCGTTTTTAAATAATTTCAGTAATAAGTCCTTGGATTGATATAGTTGTTTCCTTTCAAAAAAATGGACGGACTTCAAGCCTTCGGCCCAGTGCCCGAAGATGGAGCCGCGCCGGTCATCTTCGCAGCCGACCCGATTCCTCAGAATGCACTCAGCGCAATGATCCAGATGAGCGACAACATTGCTAGGCAACAAGCAGTGCACGAGAGTGAGGGACTCGGTATTCCGACAGATGGGCAAGTGCAGTTGGTCACTGAGCGTTGTCAACTGTTACGGCACAAGTGTACCCCAGCGCAATACTTATTTTTATTGCGCCAGCTGCAAGCGTACAACTACGATAAGTTATTGAAGCCTCCGGCTTCGCTCAATCTGTTTCCCTTGGCGCTAGTGGCAGCTTTTAGATGCGCGCAAATCATTGATGACGTAGATGCAAACACGCTGCAAGAAACCATGATGAAGGCAGTAACAGGCTCTCTCGACCCAAAAAGTACAGAGACGAAGCTTTCGTTAGCAGCCGTTTACGACCTTTTTAATTCGTCAATGAAGGCAAACCTTGCGCATCCTGCACCAGTCGCACCAGGACCGAACGCCCAGCAGAGGCAACTACAGGCCACAATAGTTGGCAACGTCCTACCAGATCTCATCTCAAATGTAGCAATTGAGAAGAGACGAGCAGGTCTTGAAGCCGAGCTCGCGAGGAAAATGAAGAATGAAGTGGCGCAGATGGTGCAGAATCAAGTGGCAGCCAAGACAAAACAGCTAGAAGCCGAAACTCGGAATCTCAAAGCAGCAGGCAGAGGAGCGGCCAGAGGAGGAAAATCAAGATCTAGATCTCGAGGTAGAGCCGATGGCGATGAGAAGCACAAGGGACGTTATAAGCAGCCGGGAGAATTAGTGTGCCTTAAGTGGATGAAGGGACAGCGCAAGGGGAAAAACTGCCCAGAAGGACGGCAGCACTTTGGAGATCTGAAAAGACTAGAGTTCGTGAGCAAAGATATACTAAAAGGAGCTTTATCAAGCGAAGAAGTGAAAAAACTAGCTGCCCAGTGACAAGATCAAATCGTGAGTGTGACAGAACTGTTGAAAAATCAGAAAAAAATAAAAAAAAAGTGGGATCGTGAACTACAAGAAATAAGTGCAAATAGATCTTTTTCCCCTCCCCCCCCCCTCTCATGTGATGCAGACCTCCACCCTTGATAGAAAGAAAAATCAATTGCAACAAATCATGTAAGCCTCTAACCTGTTCCAAGTCTCAGATCCCTTAAGCTCAGTTAAAATTTTTTCAAGTTAACAAAGTTCACCCAACTTTTGAGGCGGTGCGCAACTGCTTCCCACCAGAGCTTTGGACTCGAAATCAGTGCAATTTTTGAAAGTTTTTGACCCCATAAACCCAAAAAAAAAGGAATGACGCAACTGCAAGATGGAGTCATCACGAGAAGCATGGTGAATGTTCAACAAAAGCAAAAGTTTCTAAGTAAAAGATCGCAGCGTCTCAGGACACAAAAGCTCAAGCACGAAGCAGAATAAAAGTATCTTTCCAAAAGCAGAACAGGAGGCCAGTTGGCTTTTATAAGCAAATATTTAAAAAAAAAAAAAAAGAAGTCTCATCTAAAGTGCTAGGCGCACTCAGTTTTAAAACATGCAGCTGGTTGAAACTGATATTTCTAAAGTCCGTTTCTCCCAAAATAATATTTCCAAATATTTTATTGCTGGCCCTCGCGCTGGCCAGTCAATTTTCAACGCATTTAATCATATTAACAAAAGACGTGAGCTACGCGATGAAGAACTAGATATCACAGGTTACTTCATAGGAGATCAATTATTCACTGGCAATAATAGAACAATCGCCGCTCTTCGTAGTCTCCAGCTGCGGCGAGGTTGGAAAAAGCTCACGATTAGCGTGAAAATCACAGAATTCGAGGGCCACGAGTGGCGACATACAACTATCAACGACGGAAAAACGATCCAGATCCGGGAGAAATAGGAAAAATGCGATACAGCATGATGCTCTTAACCTTCCCCGAGTGGGAGAAGGTGGAAGACGCCTGTCGAGAAGAAGAGAAGAAAATCGTCCAAGGACATGATCATGAGGAACCTCTATACTACCGGCCCCAGAATGAAGACGGCTCTTGGCAATACGACTTTGAAGACGTTACTCCCGGTTTTGTCCGGCAGCAAGAAAGAATTTGGAAAGAGGTTCGCCAGCTACGATATGGAGAGTTACGCCAAAAGTACGCTGCTGATCTGCTCCAGATCAAACGAAGCAATCATCTGGAACAGAAAGCAGCAGAGGATGCGGAAAAGAAGGCCGAAGTCAATCAAGAAGTCCCTACCAATCCTCCCCACCCCCCCAACACAAAGAAATCTTCTTCAACCATATCGGCATCAGCATCAAAAAGTAAAAGGCCAGATTACTCGCTTTTCTGCGGCGAAGAATCCCGAGCTCTCAAGAAATGCAGGTTCGGAGCATCAACAAGTACATCACAAGAAGAGCTTCCGCCTGTGTTCCAGACTGAAGGCGGAGGAACAGCCCTCAACTACCAGCTGTTCTCCACCCCCTCATCAGTACAAACAGACAGGATTGCAGATAGAACGAAGCAGAAAATTCCCCTTCTATCGACAAGTGGTAGTGGGGCTGATTCCTCTAAGGCCTATTCGAAGATTTCGGGGAACAACGACGAAAGTAACTTCTTTAATCCGATACTCCAACAAGATGCAGCCCGTGATTATGGGTCCGGGCCCAACATCCCGCGCTATTTCGATGCCACAGTAACGAAGACGAAAATAAGCACAGAAGACGAAATCAATCAACAAGCTTCACGCCTTGCGTCCTGGTTAATTGCAACCGAAGCACAGTCCAGGTTGGAGAATAAGGAGATTTTCGGTAAGATGCAGCCTCATCTCCAAATCACATACTCTGGAAAGAGTTTCGCTTTCGCTCACAAACTACTGCAGTCAGCAGTTGAAATTGCTCGCGCTTCCGGCAAAATCATCAACGACAGCGCCGAAATAATTCTGAAGTGGAAAGATAAACTTGTAGCCGGAATAGCGATGGAAGGGGAAGTTGAGCCTTCGGGTTTTTGGAGGCTATTACCCGAAGATAAAGTGGACGCTCAGAGAGCTCTAGCGGCCGAAGCAGCACGTCGTGAGATGCTGCCTCCTGAAGATGACCATTGGGCCGAAGAAGAAGACATCGCCACCTTATGGAAGCAAAAGAATAAAATGCAGGAAAAAGGTTTGTGGCTGCCAATGGCCAGCAGCTCCCTCACACATCTTGGAGGAGCTAAGCCTTTCCCTGTGCATCAGCCTACACAAGAAAATCCAAATAAAGTGCGTTGTTGTGTAGACCTAAGAGGCCAGAACCGCATGCAGGTAGTGAAAGAAAAAATGCGCTTGCTTGGTGCAAGAGCTGCAATTGAGCTCACATCCGCTTGCATGTCTACATCTACGAATTGGAAGAAGCGCCCCCTCATGTTGCAGACCAAGCATGACGTTAAGGAAGACGTGGAAATTGAAAAGCGGCTGCGGAGTCTCTTGGAGAAAGACCAAGCCCAATTACAAGACGAGTTTCAGACATTCAACAAGCAACAGTTTAAGCCGCCCGAGGACAAGCCCAATCTACGCTATTCTTTCACACCGGTGATGGGCAAAATCGATATGGAGGGTTACTACTTCCAACACGGCACAAGAACCCCCTTTGCAAATTGCATGTTTTACCCGGTGCCGCATAGCGTCCCAGATTCGGAATTGCAGCCGGAAACAATCCACCTTGCTTCCAAACCTGACAAGGATGGTAAACGACGCCGTTGGCAACTTATAGCTTCCTCGGTCTGCTTGTTCGGAGCGTTGTCAAGCGTCCACGAGTGCGTGCTCACTAGCGAAGTGCATCAACTAATCATAGTGGTTCTCTTAGAGGTCATTTGCACAATTTACATCGACGACCTACATCCGCAAATGCGGCCGGCGTGCGCTGAAAAACAGCTCGAGCTCATCAAGTTGTATTTACATTTGGCAGGTTGGTGGCGTTCGCCCTTTAAGGACGACAGGCATCATCGTTTCCAGAAATCCATCACGGTGCTTGGTCTTGCCTACACGATCATTGATTCCGAGAATAAATGTTTGGGCATGACAGTAGTTGCCAACAAGGACAAGGCTCACAAGTGCGTCGCAGATGGTTTCAAACTGCTCGAGCAAATCAATGGCGGCAAAATTGACTTCGACTTGCTAGTGTCGTTTCGAGGCCTCTTTCGACATTGCGCCATGCTCGACCGTTGCAAACTGTTCATCGCAAAAGGGCTAGATCACTTTGTAGCAGAATTTGAGTCGGCCAAGAAGATCATCGTTGAACGAAATCGAACTGCGCACACCGTCTCTCTGATGCTGTGGGCACTCGCTCGGATCCGCCCTTTCTGGATGAGCCAGCTGAGAGTGGACTGCGCCCACTCCTATTCCGACGCGGCGTTGGAGGACGTAGTGGGACTCAATGAGAAGCTCAAAAGTGGACAGTTTGAAAATTTAGAAGCCCACCAAATTGCGACTGGTGGATATATTTCAACTCCGAAGGGCGCGCGCTTCTTCCGTATCGAGATTAACAAGCTCCCGCGTCACTTAGCTGGCACCTACATCCATATCGGAGTGCTAGAAGCGCTAGCAGTCAGCGTCTCTATCTATTTATGGGCTAAGATAATGGCCAACTACTTCATGATCGGCCATGTGGACAACCTGGGGGACGTGTTCGCGTTAGCAGCTAATAGCACTCGATGCGCGAGAACGCAACAAGTCTCCTCGTCTATTCACGAGAAAATGCAGGAACACGCCATAGATTTCTACTTCACATGGATTTGCAGCGATAGAAACTGCAGCGATCCTCTAACCAGAAAAAAGAGGCTCGAAGTTTTCAAGTCCTTCTTTGCGGACGCTGTAGAAGATTTTTTGTCCCCGCAGTTGATTCAGGATAATACTCACCTTTGGGGACGTGAGTTAACTATCGCCTCGAACAACTAAAGCCGCTGCTACCAGATTCCACACGGTGGCCTCATTCTCCCCCCTTTGCGTATCACTTATATCAGTTTCTCACACTTAAAAGACACACAAAACACAAGGACATTGTTAACCTCCCCGGCTCCGTCCGAAAACACGAACTTGATACATAGGGCACCCCCCCAATACCAAACAGGAAGTGCTCAGATCAGTTAGGCCCAGTAGTTGACAAGCCAGAAAGAAGAACAAGCTCAAGGTCTAGCTGGTCAGCACTTTAGGCTAGAGAAAAATAAACAACAAGACAGATCAAGTTAAGATCTAGCCTACTGTTTGTCAAGTTTAATGATCCACTGAAACGTAGGTGGTTAACAAATAAAAGCTGGCTATTAGGCGAACGCGACGAATGTGAGGAAGTTTTCGCCGGCTAGAGAGATCAATTCGAGAGATTAATGTGAATTATCGTGGCTGGTGTAGGTTTGGGATAGTAATCAATAATAGAGGCATAGACAGATACATACTGCTTGTTTAAACGAGTATAATGCACTTTGGTTTTCCTCGGTCCATCTCATTAGAACCAATAATGCCTTCATCTGTCGATGGCGCGTGAGTGTGAGCAGTTTGATTTTGATATCACCTCAATATGATAGAGGGAGCACGCGGGGATAAAGATTCTGTAGCGAGAGCCTGGTGACAAAAAGTCTGTGATTGAGGGACAAAGCTGTAGAGACGACTGATGAGAGGCTGTACTCTACCCGTTGTAATATTGCTTGGGATAGTGTTAAATTATTTATAACCCATAGCCACAGTGACAATCTCTAACTCACAGCCGCAGTGAACACATGCTCTGATAGGTTGTTGAACGACTCACCCTCTCCAACAAGCTTTTTCGATCCATCTGGAAGTAGATCTAGCGGATTTGTTGCTTTTCTTTGTTCAATTGGCACAAGATAGAATCATCAAAAAATATACGACTATCAAAAAAAAGTTAAACATTTATTCACATTTAAGGGTTGAAACATTTCATATTTGTACGCTGTATTTGACACCTGTCAAGACAAAATATGTCAAATATGTAAGACAAATATGAATTGTTTCAACCTTTAACACATAGGGGAAAAGAATCTTGGACAGACTAAAAAAAATCACAGACAAGAAAATAAGATACTTCCAGTCATCATCTTGACACCTGGAATGTGGTTGGCATCTTGGGGATGTCTTCTTGCAGATGTCTTCCCAAGAAATGGAAGAGTTTGAACCAGTGGCGCAAGGAGAACGGGGGCGCTTCGGATAAAAAATGGTTTGACTTTGTTCCTTGCCAGAGCACTTTTGTGCCTGAGCGCAGTACTTCATAGTGTAAAAGCCTTGTACTCACCTCTTTGTACTTCATAGACAAGAAAATAAGATACTTCCAGTCATCATCTTGACAGCCCTTCACTGTTCGTGCCAAGATGGGTCGTGGACGAGCTTATCGACGCCGCTCGTGCGCTGCGCGTGCCGCAGCCATGGCTAACGCAGCGGCCGGCGTGTCTGCCTTGAAGATGACGAGGCGTGGGCAGATGGCATGCGTCGGCGCGTGCTTGGGAGGCGACCCGCCTCTGTCTTCGACAACGGCCCAGTCGGCCACCGAAATGACTGCGGAAGTTGGAAGCGCGACAGCTGTTCCTGCAACTGCGGTTGCAACTCCTCTGCAGGTACAACAATTTATTGGGATATTTATACCGGGAAGGTGAAAGAACTCTTTGACGTCGCGTTGGAGAATAGGAATCCCAAAAACAGGGCACTATATTATATGTGCGACGCCCTACATTTTTTTGGCATGGTCCTTCTCAATTTGATCTCATTCCTCGCTACTTCTTGTACCTGAACATTACTTAGGATGCCTCCGCTTTGGACGAAGCTAGAGGAGAGCTTGACAGAGAGCTAGATCTTGTCGACCAGTTGTTGGGGGATCTAGAGGGAGGGGCAGCCCTCTCCACGGAGGGCAACCATCGCATGGATAAAGTGAAGACTGCCCTCTCCACGCTAGTGTCAGAAGATGCCCTTGCGAACTTGGCATCTTCTCTAAAGGCAGAGGTGGAAACGGACCTGAATCCTTATAATAAGCTCTACTCGGATCTCGAACAGAAACCGACACGAGACCTCCAATCCGTCAAAGCCATGACTGAAATTGTGAAGACGGCCCGAGCAACCGTGGAAGGGAATATCGACGCTTTTATCGAGAAACTTGAAGGGTCATCGCAAAGCCCGGTATTTCTTATTGTCACATCTAGATTTGCAAGTACCGCTTAGAACCTTGTCACAGGCGGGAAGGTGAGTGCGATGACTGAATTTATTTACTACAACGGGCAATCAAAACAAAGATGGACCGTTTTCCATGCAGATCATCACTCTCCTTATTCGTATTGTCATCCTTATCGCCTTCGTCAGCACCATGCAAGGGGTTGCAGTTCTTGCATTTTCGTCCGCATTGTGGCTTGCTTTTCTCTGTCTCGCATTTCCCTGGCTTTTGACATACTTCTCTCCGCCTCTCCTCGATAAGTAAATTGAATGTCTAAAAACAAGTCACCACACTCAGATCGCACCAAGAAGATACATCGAAGACTGCGAAGCTAGTTGACTGATGTGTGAGTGATTCTAGATTGTGACTCTTACCTGCCATGTGAACTTAAACCAGGAGCAGCACGACAACGTACGCTCGGTAATGGATAAGGCACTGAACGAAGCATCAGAAACTATGATAGATGCCTGGCCCAAGCTGGATAAGCTTGTTGGAAGTGCAGATACTGGCGAAAAAGCTGGGGCACTACAGCGATTAGTGGACGAGGAATGGCAATTGTTTTCTCGTCAAGTGGACAAAGAATGGGAATCGCTCTCTGGTAAAGGTCAACGGCCGCCAGTCGATATCAAAGTGCGATTGCTGTTACTTTACCGACTCGTGAGCTTCACAAAGTACTATAAATCCGAGTTCGACTCGACTGAAAAAATTGCAGAAAAGTTGAGAAAGATCTCTGGCGAGCCTGCAAAAGTCACCGATGCACTCAGAAAACTCTTGTGGAGAGAGGGGCAGCTGCCACAATAGACACGCCGTATTGTATCCACATTGGTGTTGTTTGTCATGGTTCTCTTCTTCTGGATATCGAGTCTCACTCTTCCCTACATCTTGAAATTTTTGGGGAAAGCGATATGAACGGGATTGCCGCAGGAAATCGTTTCCGAATTGATGACGCTTGTAAAACGGCAAAAGAACAACTTGGAATGTTGCAGAAGAAGTCTGACCTTGCAAATCGTTATCTTGATCTTGAATGTGACCTCGCGGAAGGAATGAGGGCGTGAGGGCTCTCCGCAGTTGGGCACGTCTATGCCTAAATCAGTGCATCTGGGGCGCGTGCCAGGTAGGACATTACTAAAAGCATACAGCAACGACATTGTCTTTATTGGAGACGCTGAGTCCTCTTTATTTACTGGCATTGCAGAAAATTACTTTTCAAAGAGCAGGGGACAACTGGAAAACAACTTCATAACATTACTTCATGCAGCAGTATCTTGATCAGAACGCCCCACATTTCGTTGCACGTGTCTTGTTATAGATCGTAAGTCGATGTCGTAGTCGTTTGTCGAAGTCGATTGTCAATTATAGGACTCTTCATCTTTGAGATTACACTAATGTGTTTCTTGATATTCTAAGGTCTACATGCTTATCCAGCGGGAATAAAAATCAGTCAAAGTAGGTAAAACGATAATTTTGAACAATCGAGAATTTTGGCCGTAATGAATTATACTTCTTGTCTTATATTGTAGTCTTAATGCTATACGCGCTTCGTGGGTCTTTTCAAGTACTTTGGATTCGTTTTCTGGCGGTCCTGGGGGGAACTTTTGGGTTGCATTACCATTTAAATGTCCGATGTAAAGATCGATAAGCGGCCACCTGAGTGCTTCAGAAGGATTGAGTTTGGACTGTGTTCTCCAGCTTTTGTCCGTGCGTCCTTTGGCGAGGCAAGTGAAGAGAAAAAGCACATTATTATTATTTGCACGGGAGTATGTTGAAGGTTCATTCAGGAATTGAAGGTTCACTCAGGAGTTGAAGGTTCACTCAGGAGTTGATAGTTCACTTAGGAGTTGAAGGTTCACTTAGGAGTTGAAGGTTCACTTAGGAGTTGAAGGTTCACTTAGGAGTTGCCTCAAGGCTCGTCGTGTTGAAGGCTCTCTCTGTCAGGCTGTTGTTCGAAAATGAAAGATGTGTGAGAAGCGCTCTCGATCCTAACGACTTTTTTTTCGAATCTAGTCGTTCTTGTTTCTCACAACTTTTTTCTAGAAGCGAGAGACAGTCTGTCTCTTCCTAACACTTTTTTTCTAAAAGACATTGTCACTCTCTTTCTTCCTCTCTCCTTCTAGAAGAAGAGAAAAAACCGATCTTAAGAACATCGTTTTCTCTCTTTTAAAAGGAGACAACAACAACAGGATGACCTCCATTCGTCCCCCGAAGGCAGGATGCTTCCTTTTCACCTCAGAATCGGTGAACGAAGGGCATCCAGACAAATTGGCGGATCAAGTTAAGAAGCATCTAAATCTTGGTAAACTTGATCAGGATCGATATCGCCCCGTCTGACCCTGAGTGACTCAGTACTCTTCAGACGGGGAGTTACAATTTCTAGGCATGTTAGTGTCCAGGATATTGTTCAGTCTCCATTAGAGATAACGTCTCTATACCTTAAAGTACATGTATCCGGGATCTTCCTATCACTTATAGTACATGCTGTACGACTATGTGAGACTCATGCAAGGTACGACGACTATCTGAGACTCATGCAAGGCACGACTATGTGAGACTCATGCCTCTGTTTTTGGATCTCGCTGTACGTCTATGTGCCACTGTATTCAGACTGGGGACTTCCTTCAAGGACGATAGCTCTAATCACTTGTCCGATGCGGTTTTGGATGCATGCTTGGCGCAGGACCCGGACAGCAGGGTCGCTTGCGAAACTTCGACCAAAACGGGAATGGTCTTATGAGAAAATTGATGTTGCCCCTCTGCCTACACATGTCTGAAATTGGACCCAAATTTCTACACATCAAATTTAAGCGATTATACTTGTTCCCTTCATGACACATCATTAAAGCGCTTCCACACATCATCATGTGCGAAATAAACGGACTCTACGCATGCTTCTAATCTGAATGGTATTCGGAGAGATCACGACAAAAGCGCAGGTCGACTATGAGGCGGTTGTCCGTGCGACCTGCAAAAACATTGGATATTAAGGCTAAACACGGTGTTCTAAGTCTTTTCGTTTTTGAGAGATAGGTACCGCGACAATACAAAAAAAACAGTTTTAGTTCTTATCTTGTTCTGGACATCATCTACAGGGATTGATACCTCTAAGACTCTGATGCTGCAGAAAAGGGTCTCGACTATGCGAAGATGGACGTGTTGAACAAATTGGAAGCGCAGAGTCCTGAGATCGGTGGCGCGGTGCATGGTATGGGAACCAAAACAGTGGAAGAAATCGGTGCTGGAGATCAAGGTATCATAATAGCTTTGTAAGTTCACTACACTTTGATGTCGTGCACACCATCACTTTATTGTGTACCCCTACTTGGGTAGGGTTCACTCTGTAAGTTCAACACTTTTATTGTTACTTGGTTCACTACTTTGATGTGTACGCCATAAGTTAGCCTAGCGGCCTGACTTTGGTCGACTTTGTAGTGATCAGTTTACTTCTGTAGCTTCCTTTTCTTCATCATCAGGTCACATGTTCGGTTATGCTTGCGACGAGACGCCGGAATTGATGCCTTTCACCCACTCCATGGCCACCAGACTCGGTTGGCAATTGACTAAGGTGCGCAAGTTATGGCGAAACAAAATAGGCAACAGAGTGTTTATAACAATATAGTCCGTGTTTACAACAATATAGTCGTGTTATGGCGAAACAAAATAGTCCGTGTTTATAACAATAATCATCCTGCTGCGAGTACTCCTTCTATCTTCTAGTGTTTTATCTCCTGATTGTGTTTCAGTTTGATGATCTTGTGTGGGCCACATCTAGTCTCACGAGGATCTGTCACGCAGGTGGTAGAAAAGAAAGTAGCACAGTTCAGCTGTTTCAGCACATTTCTTCTCCCTGTATTAGAGATTTTGATGTCTTTTTCTCTATTAGACTAAGTTTTGTGTCAGCACATTTCTCCGGTCTCTAAATTTCGATGGCACCTGTCCCTGGGTACGGCCGGATGGAAAAACCCAAGTGACGGCTGAGTACAAGAAGTGTCCGAAGACGGGGTCCATGATCGTGCAACGCGTGCATACCTTACGAATGATGGTCTAGTATAGTCATTGAATGTGCAATAAAGGTTACGATCTCCTCTTCTACCTAGGTGGAACTACAAATGAGTTAACCAATAGCTACTAGAGTTAACCAATAGCTACTAATCTTCTACCTAGAGTTAACCAATAGCTACTAGATAGTGCAACTTACAAGTCATAACTAGATGTAACTTCGATAATTAACAGACCAATACTAGTTGTTCTATCTAGGTGTAACTTGCTTCGATAGCTACAACAACCAAAGAGTTTTACCTCCTCTTTATGCTCAAAGTTCCTTATTTGAAATAGTTGAAAATAGTGCACTTTCACCTCCTCTGAGAACTATTTTGATCTCGACCCAACATAGCGAGGACGTACACTTTCAGCTCCTCTAAGACCTATTTTGATCTCTACCCAGCATAGTGAGGATGTAGATAACGAGAAGATCCGCAAGGACCTGATGGAGTACGTGATTAATCCCACAGTGCCAGAAAGCCTGATCGACGCAGACACCATCTTCCACATCAATCCTAGTGGGCGGTACTCTTAGACCTCTTCAATTTTAGACCTCTTCTTGGAAATGGATTCGCATGTTGGTAGGTTTAGATTAAGCCGTACGGTACGACTACGAGCAGCATGAACAATACTGCGTAGATTTCAATTGAATGTACGACTACAGTGGGTACTTGTAGTTGATGAGGTTTCATTTTTGACACATCCTTCAGGATGCGCTTCCTTTTCAACGAACTAGAAAAATCATCTGAAAATGAAAGACAACGACTCAGGGACTGCTTTAAGTACCATTATACATTTTTGAGATTGCCCCACTTTTGTCTTCCAATCACAAAATCCTCGTACGAAAACACACAGCTTCGTGATTGGTGGACCTCACGGTGATGCTGGTTTGACGGGACGTAAGATCATTATTGATACCTACGGCGGCTGGGGTGCGCATGGTGGCGGTGCTTTCTCTGGAAAGGACAACACCAAGGTAGATCGATCTGCCGCTTATGCCGCTCGCTGGGCCGCCAAGTCTCTGGTTGCGAATGGGTTCGCGACAAGGGCCTTGGTTCAGGTAGAAATCTCATAAAAGATTGCGGTAAACAATACCTTTCGTGAACTACATTGTTGAACTACACGAGAAAAAACGACTAGAGATTCATTTCTAAGCAACTAGAGTACTTGATACTAAAAAACGAGCTCTCCCAAGGTCTCTTACGCAATCGGCGTTGTGCAGCCATTATCTATGTTCGTGGACACTTACGGTTCTGCCCGCTTCGGTTTCAGTGACGAGCAGCTGTGCGAAATCGTGAAGCGCAACTTTGACTTCCGACCAGGCTGCATCCAGCGCGACTTGGACTTGAAACTTAAGGCATTCTCTTTTCCTTCTGGACTGTACCCCAAGACTGGGTCGTTCACTACTACCACTACTACTACTACTACTACTACTTCCATAACTACTACTAGGCAGGTTGTTGTTGAGAGACCATTCTTAGTGAGAGATCTTTCCCAGTAGAAATTCCGTCTGCAGCTCTTGTAACTTAAGGCTCGTTGTTGCGGGCATCGTAGGTTTTTCTCCCCTCACGATTATTGTTGTATCAACAGCGCGACCAGATTTGTTAGTCATCAATCTGCACTTTCTAAGAACTGACCGCAATTCACGCAGTTGGCTGCCTATGGGCATTTTGGTCGTGAGGATGTCAAGCCTGCTTGGGAAGTGGTCAAGGACTTGAGTCATGAGGTGCCGGCTGAAAAATTGACAGGAAAAATCCTCGGAATGGGCAACCCGTTGTTGGACATGTCAAACACCGTGGACACTTATGGCCACGCACTCTATTGAAATTGAAAGATCATCTGTTCTAATCGAAAGATCATCTCAGGCTATTCCAACTAGCGAAGTCTGGCGAAGAACACACGTCTTTTATTTCTGAGAACTTTTTTAGAATGAGTCTTTTTCAGAATGAGACTCTTCATCTTTGAGATTACACTAAGCTTCTTGATATTCTAAGGTCTACATGCTTATACAGTATGATAGAGATCGTTCTTCAACAAGAATGATAGTTCCGTATCGTACATGAGGGGTCAAATCGATATTCTTGTTGCGGGATCCTGTTCTCCTCACACCAGGGCGTCGTGTAAAGAAGTACTAGAAGGGGGCAAATAACAGACTGTGTTGTTAACCGGGTACTACGAGATGCAGTGTTGTTAAGATGTGCAGGAACCACAACCTAAACTAACCTAACCTAACCTAAGTTGACCGTGCTACTCTAAGATCCAGCGCTGCTAACCGAGTACGGATTGGAAGCAAACAATGCGATTCTTTGTGAGGATAAGCATAAGCCATTGTACTATTAGACATCTTCTTCTTGTTGTCTCAGCTTTTTTGTATGAGCCAACACAGTATCGATCTCTAGATTGCTAGGCACACGCATGATGAAGTCTTTCATAGCATTGCCCTTGGTCGTTGACCAGACCCTGGTTCTCTAGGGGTATGCTGATTGCTCCACACTTCTGAGACATAGTGCTGCATGTCTGTTTGTAGTTCCCAGTGATGAAAATAGTAGACAACTGATACCGCGAAGATCAGGATCAGGTTGCATCTAGTTCATACTACCAACTGACACCAAAATATAGTCAACGTTGCTTGGATCATATTCTTAGATTCTTAGTACCTTTTCACAACCAACATTCATCTAAGACCAAAATATAATCAAGGTTCGAAACGTTGGACAAGCAAGCTGGTACGCAATATATTCCTGGTGGGGCCACTCAGAACTCGATCCGTGTCGCGCAGTGGTTCCTCAAGAAGGAGAAGAAGACAGATCTCTCCTTCGCTTCTTATTTATGGTTAGTTTCAGCTCCAGGTTTGAGATCATGTCCATTCACATTGAAATCATGTTGATGATATCTTTTTGCCTAAGGTATGTAAGGTCTGCCAGATCATTTAAACTCACAATTACAATTAGTTGTTTTTCATCACCATGTTGATTTATTCGTAGCTTTATGGAATGAGATGGTTGATCGGTTCATAATGTTGTTTGGTTTATTCTTACCTTCAATGTGACTGTCATGGATTTACCATGTAGAGCCCTCACATTTTGTGTTTCATATTACGTTTAGAGTATCATGTAATAAATAGCGCTCTTTAATCTACATAGAGCGGGGTCTTTTGCTATGTCGAGGAGATCAGCAGTATGTATAATAGCTGCCTACGAGTATCTAGAAGCGGGTCAACAATCAATATACTCACAATGGGGTCGTTAGCACCGGTCTAACTTCCATGGGCTGCGTCGGTAACGACGCTTACTCCGAGAAGATGAAAGCAGTGTGCAAATCCGAAGGCGTGAACGCCACCTACTTGGAAGACGCTGCTACCCCGACTGGCACTTGTGCTACTTTGATTAAGGCTCCTAACATTTTTCTTCATCACTTAAGAAGAGAAATGTTCTCTACAATTCATCTCATTTCATCTCAACCTGCTTCTCCTCTCCTTTATCTCCCAGTTTTGTCTAATCTGATCACCGGCAACAACCGATCTTTGGTGGCTAACCTGAGTGCCGCGAATAACTACAAGTACGAGCATTTGAAAGCCAACTACGGCGTGCTCGAGACCGCGTCTTTGGTCTATTCTTAAGGGTTGGAAGTTGACCTGCTCCCTGTGTGCACGTTTATGACCTTTTCAAGTAAGAAAGTCATAGATATGAGACCTAGATCGATCAACTTTCAACCCCTAATATTCGGCTGGCTTTTTCATTACCGTCTGCTCCGATGCCATGTACGATGCCGCAGCCCACTGCCTGGCCAACAACAAACTCTACTGCTTGAACCTTTCGGCCCCCTTCATCATGGAAGTGCCACCATTCTGGGAAGTCGTCTCGAAATTGATCCCGAAGTTATGATGTGAAAAAGCTTAACTTGAAATCGATCCTACTCCTACTCAACTTGAAACTGGGGCTTCATTTACTCCTACACTCAGCATGAGATTATCAATCTACTCCCTACTAACCCTTTCCCGAAGTTATGACATTATTACTTAATCTACAGTGTGCTTTGGTTTATTTTCTCATATAGTATTGATAATAATTGATCCAGGAATGATCAGGTTATAATTTCATCTACAGGCACCGACACGTAATTGTAATCAGAGACTTGAGTGAGAATGTATTCCCCGCTCTCTAATCCCTGTCGACTACCTGTTTGGTAATGAGACTGAGGCTGCTACGTTTGCAAAGGTGAGCGGCTGGGGTGAAGGACTCATTAAGGCTTGTTTTTATCGAGCATTTTGAGAAGTATCTCACCTAAGAGGGGGATGCCACTTATTACCATAAAGCTCTCTCGAATGCCTGAGCCTGACTAGAGTCTATTGTGCCTCTCGAATACGTTGACTCCTGTTTATTACGACAGCTAGTGGCACCACTAATACTCGTAGCTTACCCTACCAAAAAGCGTCTTCATTTTCGGAAGTGTTCAAAGTGAAAGCAGACTTGAAGTTGACTAGCACTACTGCTCCTATCTCTCGCGAAGATAAAGAATTTCGGTAAGCTACCAATGCTACAACTAGTATTGCTAATATGACTCTTTCGTTTCTTCTTTTTCTAGCCAGGGCTGCACTGGAACTTTTGCAGCTAATATTACTACAATCGTCCTCAGCCACAGTCTAACCTCAGCGTGGAGAAAATCGCATGTAAGATGTCGATGCTTCCGTCTGAGAAGTCGAAGTCCCGCACTGTCGTGATCACTCAGGGTGCGGATGCGACCGTCGTTGGAAAGGATGGAAAGGCCGTGATGTACCCAATTTTACCCTTGAAGAAAGTTACGAAAAAGAGAAAGACTGTACTTAGATGAGCAGAATATCTTCCAATTGATTTAGTTTAGCACTTGGACCGCGAGAATGAGTACACCACTAATACTACAACTTGTTGAAAGAAAGAGATAGCCTCTATGATATAATAGCCTCTAACTTGTAGGAGATTGTGGATACGAATGGAGCTGGGGACGCGTACGTTGGTGGTTTCCTGGCCAAGCTGGTGCAGGGGTGCAGCGTCGAACAGTGCACTACTGCCGGGGCGGCAGCCGCTAAAGTCATCGTACAGCAGAACGGGTGCACGTTTCCGTAAAAGAGGTGCACTTTTTTACGGCTAGTATGTACTGGTACTTCGAAAGCATGATGAATGATGTCTCCTTAGAAGTATTATCATCCTTGGAGCAGGTTCTCCTTTTTCGACGTGAAAACGAAGCCAAGGATGTTCTCAGGTATGCATACGCGGCAGCTCTAACGTGCAAGCCTCTGCCAGGATAGCACTTTTCACTCGGAAGGAAAGTGGTGGTGGAAGAGGACTCGAGAATGAGGATTGCAAGCTTAACATCTCTATTCACTTACTGCAGGGGTTCTGATAACTTCGTTTCCAAAAGGGGATCGATAAAATCGTTTCCAAAACAGGGGGCTCTGATAACTTCTCCTGTCATCTCATGTTAATGTTGTTACATTTTCTGTTGCCCTCGTTGCATATCGCGTTAATGTTGTTACATTATCTATAAGCTTTCTGTTGCTCTCGTTGTATATCTGTACGTTCTTGATGAGTTTCATCAACGTGGCCCTCATTGCAACAGAGGGATTTTCCACGCACCTGTGAAGATAGGTACGTCTCTAGAGAACGGACGATTCATGTTGTAGTCCTTAGATTTTCACCAGACTATTATTGGCACTCTACTGCTACCCATGGAAGGAGGAACCTATCATCTGTTCTAAGCGGTTAGAAACTTTTTTAAAAACGAAGGACACTAGTGATGTCAAGAACCTGAATCTATGATGTCAATATCAAGAACAACGTGTAAATGATAAGTCAATAAGCATAGTACCCCCCGTGGTCCTCGTGAATCGGGTATCTCGTGATCATGATCAACACTTAAAGTATTTTCCCCCAGGACTGAAACTAATTATTTCTACGTTGATATGATCGAGAACTCTTGAATTTTCCAAGAGATTTTTTCAAAACGCTTCGTAGAAGAGAACTTCGGGTTTTTCTCCACAATTATACACACCTGCGGTCCTGAAAATATTTCCACTCTTGTTCGTATATGTTCATATTTTCACAAGTTGCTCTCATTGGTTGGCCCAGCGACGCCTGAAGCACTAAAGTAAAACATGTCAGTTTTCCCTCTACCCTTAGGCTTATCCATTCAAACTACAGCATATTTTCACAAGTTGTAGAGGTTCAAGTTTCAAATTTTCACAAGAAAGTCTAACAGGACTATGATGTCCGAAATTGATAGATGAGACGTTGATAGATGAGACGTTGATAGATGAGACGTTGATAGATGAGACGTTGATAGATGAGACGCTAGTTCTTTCACGCGCCTAGGTCCTGTAGATATTGTTGTAGATAGCAATGATATAGCCAATTTCACCGACATCCAGTAGACGTTCTTCAACTGATACTGGCACCATAGCTCAACTGGCACCATAGCTCAACTGGCACCACACAGTCATAGGTCATGCTGCTTAAGATGACATAAGATGACGCAAGTAGGCTTACCGTGATGTGGAAGGTGAGTCAAATCCTATCCTATCCTAGGCTCATGTGAAGTCAATCTCGCCACCAGTAGACGTGAAAGTCAAAGGTTGACTGTCAAACTGATGTCTAGTGGCAGCACAATGTTTGCTGAATGTAAGAGTATTACGAAAACGAAAGCTCACTCTGATAGAGCAAAGTTTCGCTGCTGTTTGTTGATAGACGGGCAAATTCGATACATAGGTTGCGATGGGTGGACCCACCTGCATCATGGCGGCGAGAGATTCTCATCCTTGCGAGAGGAGAGAGACAGATGAGAGAAATTCAGGAGAAAATCCACATCCAGTTGTTTTAAGAAAAATCAGACAAAAAAATTGTAATTGAGGTAGATTTATCGTTGGTAGTCCTTCTCTGGCTGCACATGTTCGCTCTGAGGACGGTACAGGTCACCCTGCGGACGGCGAGCCAATTCCTGTCCTATCCTAATCCATCCATATTCAAAGAACAGACATCAAGAGATGTAGATACAGGTGCAAACTTAAATTTTGAGAGTGGAGTAGGTGAAGTTGTCATGACTCCGCTAATGTAAAACAACAAGAACTACTCAGCAGGAGAAGGAGGTGGAGGTAGTACTACAACAGCTACCTCTGCTCGCAGACGATGGTAGTAGACAACCAGAAGGACAACAAGCATGGAGGAGTTTTAAAAACGCACGGATGAATCAGTAGCAGAGAGTAGAACAAATAGTATGGAGCCAGGTCCTTGTCCTCTAGACTTCTGCGTTTTTGCTTCTGCATGTTGAGTCATGTCGTCTAGTGATCCGCTCTCTGTGGTTGAAGAGGTGTACGAGTACGACTCTACATAGGGCAGAATTGGGTGAAGACCGTTCCCACGACGTCAAGAAGATGAGACTCTTTTTCTTATGGCGGGTTTGCTTGGTTTATGCGTATGTGAAACAAGGAAAAAATGAATATGAAATATGTGTTTTCGAGTCAGTGAGAATGTTGAGTCTACTCTTTGTTGTGGAAACGAACTCTCAAGGGCAGATGACTTAACCCGCAAGCGCATTAACCCTGAACTATGGGATTTTGATTTTCTATACCAAAGAAATGACAATCGCTGCTCTCCTTTTCTTGTCTAATTTTCGTCTTTTTTTTGTTGACCTCCTTCGGCTTCACGGCAGACGCTGTACTGCAAAAAACGTTGAGTCAAGCTCAAGTTTCGACCCAAAAGTTGTTTGATCCGGTCAGGGATCGCGCCCATCGAGAATTGGCTATCACGAAGACGCATGAAGTCGTGTCTATAGTCGACCTTCCACAAGATGTATCAGGACAACAAGAAGAGGCGAAGAAAGCTTCTGTGGGACAACAACAAGAAGCAGCAGTTTCTGTGGGACGGGAAGTGAAAAATTATGCATTTACATATGTCAGAGTCAGAGTCAGTATTGCTATGTCAGCTCGTGGTCTCGTGGAGACAAGACGAGTAGAGGGGTCGCATGCTGAGTTGCACTAAAGCGCAGAAAGAAATGAAAGCAGTGCCAGTGCAAGCGTTTTCATCTTCTCTCTATCTTCTTTCTAAAAGACGATCTCAGGGCCTGGCGCATTTGCCACTGCTATTATGCGCAATGCTCAGGCGCGACAACGGGAAAGGCAAGCAAAGGACGGTAACAAGGATCTTCAAAAATTAAGGCTTACCTGTAATTGACCTCGCAACTATGGATTACATTACCGCCCTAAAAATCCATCTGCGGAAGCATGCATCTTGGAGCTACTTATTCCATAAGGCAGGGGGAAGCAGCCTCATGATGTATGAGTCTTGCGTTGGATTATGGTGAGCTCTAAAAAGAGAACTGAAGAATCAAAATCCCGAAGAAAACGGAGATCCGCCTCATCGAGTCAGTGCAGTCTCCTCAAAAGAACAAAGGCCTCCGATCCTGGATCGCTTGCATAGGGATGGACCGGTACTATGGGATATTTTCCACACTGACTGATGAAAAAATATTGTTGTACAACCACTAGAAAACATTTTGAACACTGAAGACGAAGGCCAAAGAGTATTTGTTTAGACCGGTTGAATGCTCTCACATCATGTGGAAGTGTGAAGTTCTGGTCTAGTCAACATTCTTCAAATCATGTTGCACATCGTTTGTAATTATCGGGTAGTTACTAGTACTACTTGTTTTGATCGATAGCTACCTTAACCTCCTTTCTTTATAACAAAAGTCTATCTTCTGAAAATCTATGAACAAAAAAACCTGACATTTTCGAATCTCAGTCCGTCCACGACCCGGTGGAGCCGCTTGCTGAGCAGAGTTTACCCGAGCAATGGCTCAATACCTACTGGAACAGTGAGCAGAAAGATATGAAGATAGATGGGCTATGTATAGGATGGTAAAGATGAAACAAATAGTGGTGGTAAAGATGGCAGCACTTATAGGGTTGAAAGTACTTTCCTTCCACTTTTTCCTCTTCTTTTCATTCTCTCTCGTGATATGGAGGACATTGAGGATGAGCTGCGCACAGCAAAAGCTGCACGCAAGAAGTGGCGGGACCTAGAAGCAAGAGGTCACCGAGTCCAGAGTGCTCGAGATCAACTGGCATTATGAGGAATTTTGGTTTTTTGGTTACTCCTATCCTTGCTAAGTTTCAGTTTGAAGTTACCTTGTAGTTGTACATCTCAGAACAACTACGTCATCTATCCCTTATGTACACCAGACGAAGAAAGTTCTACTTTTCACATCAATAATTATGTGCGTTTCGAAGTATCCTACATGTACATACGTCTACAACATCTGAAACCGTTTATTGCTCTTGCTCTACGTAGTTGTAATTGATGTTCGAAGGAACAAGCTGTTTCCACTCATCACAAAGAAAAATACCAGAAAGGAACATCAGACTCATCCTGTCTTCTTCCATACAGACTTATCCCCTTTCTTCGTCGACACAGGCTTATCCCCCTTCCTCTTCGACACAGACTTATCCCCTTCCCGCTTCTACCTTGCTAGCTGATCCCCGCTGATAGTTGGCTTCTAGACTGATCCCGGCTTCTGCCTTGCTAGCTGATTCCCGCTGATAGTTGGCTTCTAGACTGATCCCTGCTTCTTCCTTGCTAGCTGATTCCCGCTGATAGGTGGCTTCTAGACTGATCCCCGCTTCTACCTTGCTAGCTCTAACCTTTGAAGCCGAAAGCAGCGAATTGGCCAATTTTCTCTCGAATATGCGTTTAGAGATGATAGAGTTGGAGGCTCCACAGTTCGACGCCCTCATGGATATGAGGATCAACGTGCTGGAATCAGAGCGTTTAGCTGCCAAGGAGAAGGTAGCAGCTACGCAGACTCGATGGTTGCTGGTTTTATGCTGTGGATGTCTACATTTAAAATAATTTATAGGGGTGTCAGATCCAGGATATTTTAAAGTAAGGTATAAGTATGTGCACGTGGAAACTGGTGATCAGACACTGGTGAAGATCATGTTCATGATGGTGCTTGTTCTTATTGTTTTGTGTTTATTCGTGTGTCTTCGTTATTTATAGTCTTTACCTCGAGCATTGCTTTTTGGTTTTTCCTAGTTAGGATGGCTCCATCGATTTTATTCGTGTGTCTTCGTTATCCTTTTTTCCTAGGTAGTTGTCGCAACTTTATTCGTGTGAGTGTCTTCTAAAAGATAAAAAAGTGATTGTGCTGGTTATCATTGTGTAAGTATGGTCACAACTACCTGTATGAGATGATATCCGAGGTACTTACTAGGCCCAAGGGTATTGTGTTTACAACTTGTATCATATGATCATTTTGCGAAGCCTACTGGCTCTCGCTACAACTACAACCTAGAAGTCTATCACTATAACATCTCCTTCTTTATTCCAGCAATGTGAACCACTTACAACACCCGGAGCCTTCCTCGTCATATACGACCTTATTGAACCTTCCTCGTCATAGTAAAGAACGCTCTAACAGCGTTAGCCTATCTTCTTCACTTGGAGGATCTAGCTCTTGGGCACTTCAATGGCCCCGAACGCTCGCTTCTTCGTTTTGAGTGAGCCAAATCTTATCTTATCTTATCTTATCTTAGCTTATCTTATCTTATCTTATCTTATCTTATCTTATCTTATCTTATCTTATCTTATCTTATCTTATCTTATCTTATCTTATCTCTTATCTTCTTCTTTCCTACTTTGACGACAAGATTCAGAATGCTCCGAAAAATCGCTCTAACGGACCTAGTCTTCGGACTTTTCCTAGTGCATATATCGGTGGTGTGTTGCGAGATTTTCTTTCGTCGCAGAGCCACTGTGGAAGAGGAACAGGTGATGGTGTTCGATGTCACGTCCTTGTGGACCATGTTTGTCTCCTACGGCAGAGAAACGCTCCGATTGCGCGCCTCAGAGGTGGAGTATAGTTATGATGATACATACATCTTCTGGGTTACAACCATTTATTTTTACTATGTATGATTTGATCTGTAGGTGTTTGGCTCGTCTGCCTAGTCTTTTTTTTAGGAAACTACGCATTTGAACCCCAAACAGGTCTAAATGAATGAATGACTGATGATCTGTGGGGCGTCTTTGTGCAAATCCTAGTTTTGTTTTTCTTAGGAAACGCATTTGAATCGATCATGTTCAAACAACAACGGACGTATGTGTCGCAAACACTCCATATCGACTAGAGGACCTCACTCCTCTAACACCGACACTCGACTTTTTTCAAGACCACGGTTCACCGTGTGAGCTATGTCAATCTCGGAGAAGTCCGAGAATTGCGGGAATTCCGATTATTAAGGCTGTAGTAGCTAATTCATCTTTGACTTTGACTGCGTGACCTCTGAAAAGTAGTATGGGGAAGTATCGGAGGGAAAGACCCTGCGTGCGTGATCTTTGAAAAAGTAGTATGGGGAAGGAAGAATCACAGGGAAATGCTTGTGCTCAGTACGGAGAGCGCTAAGATTAATCTGCGGCATTGCAGTCATGGGCTTCAAGCTCTACCCAGGGTTCGGGTTCGATTCCTCTCTATCGGAAACAGTGGTCGAAAAATTGAAAATCAAGTTATGCTCTGTGCTGGTTGAACCCTAGACCCTTGCAGTGTGGACTAGACTAGACTGAACGCCTATCGCTAGACTAGACTAGACTCGCGCTCCTTAGTGTAGACTAGACTGAACGCCTATCAATCTTTTCTTCTGCAATAGTGTAGACTAGTCCGTATACAAGACCAGACTAGACCCTAGGCCCTAGTAAAGTCTTACTACAGGTTTTAGATAGCTGGTAGACAGCTGACAGTGAAGAGTCTTAATACTTTCAGGTGAAAGAGGCGCAAGTGAATGACTACTTTCGGCTTGCTCGTCATGCGGAGTATGAGTAGAAAGATCATCAGTGTGATAGTGATTCTCAGTCATTTTCTGCATCTCTTGTACTGATCAACTTAGCCTTGTCGTTCCAGTACAACTCCTAATAATTCCTTAACAACACACGCAAAAGTTTCTTAGCAACGCATTTTCTTTTGACTTTGTACACCACTTCTAATGCCCTGCGGCTGCACAGGCGGTGAGGGGACGAGTGCTCTAGAGAAGGCGGATCAGAGTCTGGAGAATCAGCGAGTGCTTATCATTCGGATGGCAGGTCTGGAGGGCAAACTAGAGAAGATACTGGAGAAAATGGCTTGTAAATAAGCCATCTAGATGAAGGCCAACTAGAGAAGATATTGGAGAAAATGGCCTGTACATAGCATAGTTTGATTTTCATGCTACTGGGCGGGGAGGGCTTGAAGTGGAGGTTCATATTACATCATCAGGGGAGGTCATGTCTATCGTGATTCAAGAAGTGAAGATGAAGCTGTTGTAGAGGTTTGCATAGAAGATGAAGAGGGGCACTAGACTACAGTTTATTCTTTTCCAATGAAGAACTGGTGTGTGTACTAGACTACAGTTTATTCTTTTCCAAATTCCAATCGACGATGGACGATATTAGAAAATCATGCGAAGTAAGAGTTCAAATTATTTTTTCCCACAGACAATAGCAATACGAGTTCGAGTATTGGAGAAGAAGTAGAAGAATAACAGAGGTTGTGGACCTGGTTTACCAGCTGGTTCTTTGAGTGGGCTCTTGGTTCTATGAAGAATGAACAACATGAACAACAGTTTGTGAGGAACGTTGGAAATATGAAAACCACATGACCTATCGTGGAAGGAGTTCGCGTACTGAAAGAAAGCTGCATCATTAGGACAGTTTGAGGACTCTACAATCTCGCCGTAATCGTAGGCTGACACTGGAGACGGTCGCAGATAACTTGAGCATGGGCAAATCGTCGTCCGTCGAAGAGACTATGAGAAAAAGAGTTAGAGAGAGAAAGAGAGCCAGAGAGAGAGAGAGGAGAATGATGAGAACACCGAAAAAGTGCTTATGGCTGTGCGTCGTTTGTTGGCGTTCGAGCCATATGCAAAACTGCAAATCACGAACAATCAAAAATGGACTCCACATGACTCGACATGAACTCATGCCTTTCCCTATTTTTTTTGCTGTAGCTTCTTGTGTATAGAACAGTAGAAACAGTTGCTACACGACTCCATGAACAACCTGAAATAGAGAAAGTTAATGAACATCCACGATCAAAAAAAGCAAATGTCGTCAGAGTAAAGGGAAACAAGAAATAGTCCCGCTCTCCCCGATCAGTTTCAGCAGACTCTATTAAGGGTTACCACATAATTGCATTCTTCACTACTATCCTTGACTGGTTTTCCAGTAGGAAAGCGAAAGGGGTCAGGGATGCGCTGAAGAATGCAATGTCGTAGCCACTAACTGCCGAAGAAAGTTGAGCTGGAAGCTCGACTCAAACGAATACCTTTGACAGGTAATCTTTTGTTTTTCTTCGTCGTATCTTTTGAAATACATTTTTATGCTGTTTTTAGAAGCTGGAAGGTTCCCTCGCAATATCGTTATGTCTCAACTACAGGTGGGGATTACGATTCAACGACTTCCGTTGTGCTGCCTACTAATATTTGCGGACGAGAAATAGACGCTTTCACACTTTCACAGGTGCTAGATCTTGCGACCCACGACAAAGCAGACGGCATTGTTTCGAGTTCTTTCATGATCATCCCTGACATGATACGCTTGTAGGGGAAGCATTCGTCACTATTTTCAAAGCCTCTTGTGCAGAAGTTTGCACTCGAAAACTCGAGATTTTGGAAAAAGCGATATTTCTGGTGAAAGCTTCGCACGACCAAGAAGGTGACTCTTGGTTTTGTTGAATGGTATTTACTTGGTTTTTTTGGTACTTAGAAGTAGTCGGTTATTCGTAGTCGCATGTTGGTTACAAGGAGAATTACTCGGGATGTCAATCAATTAATCGTAGTCGTATTTCGGTCTGCTGATCCAATTGGATTTTCCCTATTCATCTTCTATTAATTAGGATTATCAATTTTCATCAATCCGTCTTCCTCTCATGCAGCATTGTAGTCACTTCACTGTATGCACCGTGGGACGTGGGAAATGTCAATCACATGAACAACTACAGGTCTCATTTCCGGTTTTCAGAGACGAGACGCCAGAGAAAAAGGGCATCATTTTTTGTACCTAACGCCTGACCCACGACACGCTGTAACATATCATCACGACAATGACAAGTTTCCTTACAGCGAACGGTAAGGCCTTGTCAGCCTCCACCAGGGGACTAGGTTCTAGCATTCCCAGTCTCTCAAGCGGGGATCGAGAGCGCCTTGCACGCATATTCGACGATGACGATGATGATGCTGCTCCTGGTGCCGTTAACACGAATGCCAAGAATGCGCTTGTTGCGTCACTGTCAGTCGCAGGTGGTCTTGTTACCGCTACCACAGGTAGTGGCGCTACTAGTGCAATGCGAAGAAGTGAAACGCCTACTGCCACGACTGGTGCTCCGCAAGAAACGTCTGTGCTGGGGGGCAGCCTTCTTACTCAACAAAACAGTCTTCTCGGACCAGCAGGGGGACGCTTGCCAGCGGTTTCGTCCTTTTCGACTGCTGCTGGTGATAAACAGATCTTCTTCAAAAGGGGTGCAACAATAAAAGAAAATGCTATCAGCCAGGGTGTTGTGTCTGATGCAGCAGCCCAAGCGAGACTGGCACGCATCTTTGCAGATTCCTCAGATGAGGAGGTTGATAATTCTGGAGAGGGAACGAAAAAGGCTAGTGCAACGATGGCAGCAAGCTCTCTGATGACAACACTGAAGCGACCGAGAACCAAGAATGAACACGAGGATGATGATGTTGGCACAGTTGTACCTCCAGGACAACAAGTGCACGTAGGCGGGAGCAATACCAAGACCAAAACTATAGGAGCTCAGCCAGCTCATGCTCAGAAGGGCCAAGGCCCACCTGCAAGGAAGAAGGCGAAGCCTTTCGTACCACCAAGACGTCTAGAGGTAGTTCCAAAGAAAGTTGGGTCCTCATCCTTGACGTCATCAGCTTCGTCTTCTTCCGTGGTAAAGCAGGAGCCGAAGAAAAAAGTTGCTGCACTACAAGAAGACGACGCCAAGACGTTGCCTTTGGAGGTTCTTGTTCAACGTCAACGAGAAAAATTCATGGCGCTCTTTCTACAATTGAGACGACGACCAAAAGAGTGGCTGCAAAATGCCAAGAAGGGTCGCCGCGAAGCGCAAGCTTTTGACGCTTGGTGGAGCGAGCTACGCCTTTCACTGATGTCGGAGAAGGGTGAACAAGCATCAGCGGCACGAAGCAGCACGGCAGCACCTCAAGGGCCGTTTGGGTTTGGCACGACAAGCGCACTGAGAACGACCGCAAGTAGTGCTTTTAGTTCTTCTACGTTCCCCTTTCTAGCTCCGCCTGTTGACAGCCACATCCACTCCGACAAAAAGAGCTCTTGCCACAGCTGGCTACTCTTCAAACGACTGTGCTTGCGTGTTGCGCGGGAATTGGTGCTAAAATCAGGAGTCGAAAACTCCTGGCCATCGAAGAAGAGCAGCTACACGACGGACATGACGAGCAGTCTTCTGATTCTCCATCCGTATTTCGCGACTCTGTCGGACGGCCACTGGTTTCGTCTCCAGACGGAATTTTTCATGCCCCGTCTGGAGGACGTTGCTAGGCGTTGCTCGTCCCCAGGACATACGCCAGTGGACTGGCTCTTCAAACGTTTCCGCGATGAAATGCATGAAGAACGCCCGCGGCAGATTTCAGCGCTGCGTCAACTGCTGGAAGAAGTGACACAGAGAAGCATACTCGATGAACATCTTAGGCGATGGAGCGTCCTTTGTGGCCGGTTTGCAGCCGACCATGCCCCCACTGCTACGAGTAGGGACTGTGTTCTGGCTCCCAGTGGCAGTGACCCTAGTACCTCCCTAACCACGAAAGCAAAGCATGGAGATAAGAACAGCACGACAAACATAGCGTCCACACCTGGGAAGGTCATCAAACGACACTATTTAGCTGAGGACGCCGAGCCGTTTCATGTTAGACTAAAGGCGCACTACATCGAGCGGCCCGAAGCGGATCCAATCGAAGATGAGTCGTCTGATGATGAAGATGAGCCTCCGCATTCATCTGCAGTGTTACTTGGGAAAGATGGGCGCGCGAGTTCCTTCGGTGCAGCGAGTTGTATTCTTGGATTTGGACGAGGTCAAGGAGCAGCAGGACCCGGCTTCGGCTTTGGTCTTTCTGCGAGTTCATGCTCAGCGTCTGACTCGAATTGGTCGAAGAACTTCGTTTCCTGTGGGCCTCACGCGCGCTCACACATCGTCGGAAAAGATGTCGTGATGAAGGAGCGAGAACAAAGGGAAAGGAATGGATCAGCAAGAGAAAACCAACATCAACACCAAGAGCTGCAGTCAGGAACATCAAACAAGTCCTTGCTTTTCTTATCAGATGGCTTTTACCTGATCCGTGTTGAGGTCATGAGCCCTGTGCTTCTATCCCGGATCGAAGAAGGTACCGCTTTGGACCTGCAGTGTGCACGTCTTACCGGGTCTGCCGAACGCGAGACCTGGTGGGATATCATAGGGCTAGACGCTGTCACTGCAGAAGTAGAGAATCCTCTTCGCTTTCAGCTATTTTGGAACTCAACAGGCTTCACCGATATCGGCGTCGAGGGCTACAACAGGATCAGCAGTGGCAGTTGTGCTCAAGTAGCTGGTCTTGGTTTCACGCCGACGCGTCCACAACGCATGTCCGAAACCAAATGCGACAATCCTAATGCGGGTGTGGTGCCGCTTCTTGACGTAGTTGTAGTCCGTGCGATCATGTCGACGTTTACGAGGAATCAGAAAGGCAGTAATGACGAGCAAACGAAGAGTACTAGAGGACAAGGAAAACGAGGTTCGGGAGGAAGTGCCGCAATCGCCAATGTTTCATCTTCCGATGCGCCGCTGCGGGCATTTTTTGCGGGCGGAGATCCCACAGCGATTGGGCGACAAGGAACCATGAAAGAACCAGGGACGTCAAGTGCCATAGAAGACGATGGCAATGAAGAAGATAAGCGGTTGATTCTGGTAGTGACAGATCAGCACCTGGCGCATGAAGACGGTGGACAGAGTCGTGGTATTAAGGCTACAAGAAATCCATCTTCGCAGGGATCTTGGTCCCGTTTTTCAAGGGAAGAGGACGCCCAAGATGCTTCTGAAGATGGATTTCTATTAGTTCTAATAATAGTTGTAGGGATTTTGAAGAAGACAACAGCACCGCCTTCCTTGGCAGAGTAATACTTCGTGCATCGTCACCAGAAGCGCTAGCAGAAGACGGAGATGTAGTTGGTATGCGGTTACGCGTTTCGCTTACTAAGCGTTACGGCGCAGATGGCTTTCCGACATTCTATCCGACGAGACACAGCCGCATTGTCGAGTATAATGAAGAACCAGGCCAACTACAACAGGGATCTACCATGAAAAACATGGACACAAAGACAAGACAAAGTCTCGGCAACGTTCTTCCCAGCGATGTTTCGGCAAGAGCGCGGAAACGATTTTGGCGTAATCTAGGATTTTTGTCCGATTGCGAAGAAAAGCAGCAAGATAGCGAGCAACGTGCTTTACTTTTACATGCTGGACAGCAATTGCTCAAAGGCGTGTACTATGACTTTTGTGGCATCCTCATGGGCTTGCAGCAGGAGGACAGCACGCTGTACGGTGGAGAGCCTTGCCTGAAGGTCCATTGCTTTATCCTGGTGACAGAGGAGATTGAGCTTGAGGGTACCAAGGCGCCGCCTGTGTTGACCAGTTGCGCAACATCTTCAGGCCAACTACGTCAAGAAATAGTTCGACCTATTCCAACGCCAACATCCGCGAGCTGTACACCTGATAATCACGTGTCAGTTCCTGGTATGGCAACATCTTCCTCGACGTCCGTTGCAGCTGGAGCTGGAGGCGCCTTTGGCTTTGGTGGATTTGGAGGCTTTGGACACTTTCAGCATCAACAACTTCGATTCTCATCAGGATTTGGATCAACATCAAACGGCTTCGGCTCAGTCGTAGCAACGTCAAAGACTCTATCTTCCATGAATTTTGGAGGTTTCGGCCCTTGTAATATGGGCACGCCTTCGAGCCCCTGCTTTGGGTTTGCAGCTACAGCCGGGCTTGCTACAACAACACAAGGTGCTCCGATAAGAACTTCGTCTGCACATGCGAGATTAGGAGCTGGGATGGGTCAGCCTCACGCTCACACGAATTACACGCCGGTTCCTCCTTTCGAACAGCAACAGCCGCTTCGAGCCAATGCAGCCACAGCCAACCTAAAGTCCTCACAGCCTCCCAGCCACAAAATTGCACGATTAACAATCAACGTCGGCGGCCCTTTGCAGGAGACATCGACGGGGTGGAGACATCTCCTTCACAATTTGCGGAAGTTACGTACCACAGCCGAAGATCTTGAACAAGATGTTACCGGCAAAGGAAAGGACATAAAAAAGCGTCTAGTGTGGTGGAAGAATGCTGCCTTTGCTTGGCAAGACTCCTCTGCAAAAATATGGAATTTTCAGGCCCACATCAGCGAACTTCGAATCGGAAGAGCTACGTTTCCGTGTCTTCCAACAGGCGCCGCTTTGGATGAAGCAATGACGGTTCTGGACAGGTTGAGGGTGGTGTTGGAGTGATTTCTTCTTGTCCTCAAGGCGACCCAGTGGCCGATCTCTGGAACGGATATCGGAATTGGAACAAGAAAGAGTCGTATACTTGCGCAGAGAACCGCTCGATTAGTTTCGTCCACCAGTTTACACAGGAGAAGCTCAACGCATGTTTATGAATCACATGAAGAACAAAGTCAAAGGAAGCTGTGTCGATGCATGTTAGTTTCTTCCCGAATTATATAGAAGCCAGAGTATATAGAAGCGACGCGAGATATAGGCCCAGCGACGCTCAAAGCACATAAGTAAGACAGCCGGTTCGTTTTCCCTCTGAATCTTAGGCTTCTCCCTTCATGCAATATACAGAAGCCAGAGTAGAGAGGCAGAGCAATACTTTTCACCATCAAGTACTAGTAGTATGTGGTCTACTTGTATCTACTAGATTTGCCAAAGGTAATTTAGATGGATGGTAGGAGCAACGTGCTTCTGTTTTTGGGTACTTAAGGCACCTAAACAAAGGTGGAAGATCGACCTCACTTCATAACTCTGCAAGGCTGAAACTGGAGTAGAATCCGAATCTGAGTGAAATCCGAATTTTGCAAAGAAAATTGCTCATCCAGTAGATACTACACTGGAGTGCTGCACGAAGTCAGAAGCGTGTCGTTGGCTTAAGCAAACAGGAGAGGTCAAGAAGGGATGCGATGCAGGGCACGGGCAGGCGCACTCTGACCACATCCAAATGGGCGATTTGGACGCATGTTTATGAATTAGTTGGAGAAAGTGAAAAAGTGTGCCCCTTCAAACGTTATAATGGCAGAGTAGAGTTATAGCTAGCGCAAGAACACCTTATTTCACGACTACCTATGTGGCTTTGCGGCGTGGGCAGTTTCTGATCGAAAAAGAAACGCCAGTTACTAGAACCGATAATACTAGATGTGTGACGAAAATCGTAAGTGGATACTTACTAAGGAGATACTTACTAAGGAGATAGATGAAGCTGTCATCACGCCCGATTATCATTGAAAGTGTGCCATTGATTAGTATCCAGCATGCAAAGACGAATATATAGTCTCATCACTAGGGAAGTGCAACAATTAAGTCCTGCGAACGACCTCTTGCTAGGTAAGTGAATGAATGAATGAATGACTAGAAATGGAAATGAACCTAAATGGTACTCGTGTACAGCGAACGTATCTAGCAAATGGTAGAAAGAATTGACAATTTACAAAGACAACAAGAATTTGCAAAGAAACGAATTTCAAACACAGCATCAATCTCAATCAAACAAGCAAACAAACAAGAAGTCGTACCCGAATGAATTCAAAATGCTGTTTCAGATTGCTTACAAACTCCACAACATCTCAAGAACTCATACTTGAATCAATCGCAAATGCTGTTTCGAATGTACTTGTTGTTAAACGCCGATCAATCTTCGTTAAGTGGAAAGAACATCTGACATAGCTGGCGCGTTGGGCCTTTGGGAGAAGACATCTCTGGACCTGTGCATGAGTATGAAGCACTTCACGCTGAACCTGGAGAGCTTTCCTCATTTAATGTTGTGCATGAGCAGTGTGAATATGCATGAAGGGGAAGTCGTGGGTCCAATCCGAATCGACTAACATCATCGTCATGGATATGCGTGAGTATGTGGGTGAAGCCATAAGGTTCCAAGAACATTACATCAAGCTGTCTCTGTCATGTTCACTATCTCCACTTGGGGGGTGGATGGGTGGATCCATCAGGTTCTGCATGTTGAGCCCTCGTCGAAACAAAAAATAGTGTTCCTCTTTTTAGTGGTGACGCTCATCTCTTATTCCGTATTGGCGTCGGCCACTCGTCCCTTATTGGCTATCTCCTACTATTGCATTCGGCCAGGTGACTGCATTCATCAGTTAAGTGAGCTGACTACTATCCAATCCTAATCCGAATCCTATCCTATGCATCCAAACGTCTGGTTCCAATGTGTCTGGCTGTGGTTCCAATATGTCTGCTTCCGCTTCGAATATCATGTCTGGTTCTCCTTTCCTGAATCGGATTCAATCCTCCTTTCGTCAAGGAAAATATGAATTCGTGATGAAAAGTCCTGAAAAATGAAGTATTAGGGAATCTTGAATGCGCATGTGCATGTGGTCGCTTTCTGTGCTGATGATGCGTTTCTTTCTCTCTTTCTCTGCAGTCAACTTTCAGAATCTTGATCTTGTTTGAAGATCCAGTATTCATGGAACTTCAAGTAGCTGAAGGGGAAAAATCCTGGTCTTTTGCGATTGAATCTTCAAGTCAATGTAGTAAGAACACGTCTGAAGAAGGCTTGTAGAATCTGTAATGGACTTACTATTTTGCTGAATGACAATTTATTCGAGCCAAAATGAATGGTAGGCGAATCCTGCTTATCAGGAAAGGACACAAAGCCAAAATCATTTTACATACCTAATCAACAATTGTTGCAAAGACACTTCTTCTTGGACATGGAATCTTTCGTTTGAAGATGATCAGAATATCATCGCAAGCGTAGTTGTTGACCCTCATAATTCCTAGGTTACTAGTCCCTCAAACTATCAAAATGATATTCAATACCGCGAGCATTTTTGTTTACCGACTCAAATAACGTCTTTAAGTACTTTTGAAAAACCTTTTTACCTACTGTTGAAATTCTTCCAATTGACAGTGCTCTGCTTGTGCTTTTGTTCGTCGTGTGTTGTTTTAGAACGTGGTCTGAGGAGGTGGAAATTTTAGTGTTTGTTTCGTCCTTTCGTTGTTTTCTCACCACAACTTCTTGCTTCAACTCCTTCTACTTATTTAAGGACCTAGACAGCCTTGCCATATGATTACTTATACTACTTCTTATAGAAGATACTAATTTCCTTATCCTTTCCGATTCGGATACTGTACAAACTTTCATACCCTCTATGATAATTCCTGCGTGCATTCTCATTCTGATGTTGTAGAAATTAATTTGTCATGACTTCTCGTGCTAGTACTTGTTATTGTTCCACAATAAAAATCTCCGTGTCCATTCATACATATTTGCTGAATTAGTACTCATATTTCTTCTTATACATGTTTCTGTTTTTTCACTATTATTTTGACTCCTTCTAATACGCTAACTTTCTTGTTCCTCTAAAGAAGATCTAAGTCAATCATTGTAAGTACTTGAGTAATTTTTTTTGCATTTATCATCAAATGCATGGCCTGGCATGGGATCCTCCGTATGCGTGTTTTTGAGGTCCTTTTGCTGCTTTTCATGGTGACATGATCTTTTCGCAAAGCTTGCGTAGGGTGGCACATGCGTGCCGGTCGAAATCGATGGTTGGAGCCGAACCACATACTTATTGGGAGTTTTTACATAAATTGAATTGTGGGGGAATCTTTTCGTGCATACCTCAGCAACCAAAACCATGAAAGGAGAGGAATAAATTATTGCCTTGCCGTGGTAAGAACAAAAAGGAAGTAGACGACAATAAACAACAGCTTTGTACAAAATCAACGAAGGAGACAGGGCACTGAAAATCCGACGCCTTGCAGTACCTACCCTTGAGTAGTTGACACAACTGTAAGCCAAAGCCTTGGGACAAAATTGACCCAAACGGATACGACGGTCTTCTCTTTCACTAGTGCAGCTGTTGCACAACTACTAGTAAAGAAACCGCAAAAGAAAACGACCCCAACATCCTATAGACAACGAGGACTTTCTGCTCTGGTACAAGCTCAAGCACAGAGACAATACGACAAGAAGGACCAACATCTTCAGTAACAGATACCACTTCACTAGTAGACGCCACTTCGCGAGTAGACCTAGACGCCGCTTCACTAGTAGACGCCACGTCTGTGGTACAAGTTGTAGAAAGACGAGGCAATAGCAACGATTCTTACCACCTCCACAGTCGGAACGGAGGATCAATTGCGAAGATTTTCTCTACAACAAGCAGAGAAACGGAGGACCAACTCCTGGCCCGGTCGTGCGCAGAAGGCGTGGTGCGCGATCTCCTGGGCACCATGATGGAAGTAGGAGGAGCCCAGCCTTCGGCGCCTGCTGCGCCGGCGCCTTTGGCTGTAGTGCAACCACCGCCACAGATGAGCGCAGAAGAGTTGCAGAGATTTGAAACGCTCTGCAATAGCTTGTTTTTATGAACAATGAATGGTTGTTTTTTTTTGTTCATGATACATAGATACTTACACTCGTAGACAGTGAAGATAAGTGGCTGCCTGACAATTGAGTAATTAGTGCAACCACCTCTAATCCCGAATGCACAAACGGAACCAGAGAGGCAAGAAGCGCATAGGATATTACTCCCGTTGATAGACGATCCCACGAAGATACCGCAGATGCAGGCTATTCTGATGACCAGCCAACAAAATCATGCCATCGTTTTTAGTACGAATGCATTGGTACTTATGTGTTTATCTTGCTCTTGTTGCAGGAAACAACTGACTAAAGGACCGGACAGAATTAATAGACTGGACAGACTGAAGGGTTACGTGCAGGAAATCAATCACAGTTATTCGACCACACAGAGTTAGACTAGTTCTTGAATACTTCGTTCAGTTTACTACAGGCTGCACAATCATCGCTGCATCACATACAATCATCACGACAATTCGTTTCTGTCAATCAATGTCACCTAAAAACAGATGAAGCTGATAACGAATCATTGGTCAGCAGTATCTTCATCGCAGAAAGAGCAGCTAAAAGCGTTCATGTTCAACCACTTAGCGACACACGGCGCTAACATCTACGCGCAGGCTCCACAAATGGTACTTGTAGTTGTAGCAATGAACAATCTTTCTTAGCACGGCTTCTGGAAGATTTTCGTTTGACAAGTATGTTGTGGCTTGCAATTATCCATGTCGATGTTCATATGAACGGGTTTTAGGCCTCCGTACCAATCCATCTCCTCCTCACAACGGCACACTCTCATCTTCTCTTTCCTCCCCACTAACACAGATCGGCCCATTCATTCGACTTTTGTGCCGGTTATTGAAGCTAGCCTGGTTGGAAGGACCCCAGCATCAGGACGTTGTGTCGCGAGTAGATCCTTTTCTCGAGCAGTCAACGGCGCATTGCATTGTGGGATTAGAATTGTAAGCTTTACAGCATTCTAAAACTAAATTCGTTTCTTACCTCCTTCTTCACCCTAATCTCTACCAGAAGCGCAAAAAATTCTCTACCCTGGTGCCAACAAAAACAAGGTATGTCGAAATTACTACCGATATGCAACCTAGCGCAGGGACAATGATGAGCAGGTATCGACGAGCAGCGTTATCATTCCGCGATAGTGCCTTGCCAGAGATTTTTCAGCGGGCTTTGCAGACTTTGCAGAAATTGAGCCAGAATAAGCTCAAAATGGAAGATAACAAACAGCAAGAACGAGTACTGGTGCGACAGTTGCTGAGGCTAGTGGTGAACTGCTTGTCCTTCGACTTTATGGGTACGATGCCTGATGAGACGAATGAGGACCAACAAACAGTGATGGTGCCGCATAGTTGGACGATGCTAAGGGATGAGGCCATTTGTTATGGCAAACGTAACCTCCACCTCTTAGATTAGAAACGCAACCCCTTTTTAGGCCTAGTAGAACATCTCAGACCTTTAGGCACTCTTGCTTGCGGTTGCATCCCTCGAGGACAGCATGATCGTTAGAAGCCTCTCTTTCAAGGGTAGAAAGAAGTGCTGTCCAAGGATATCTGAATCTCATTCCGTCCAAGGATATGAATCCCACTCAGGGATGATGCCACATCTCAGGGTAGCTCTAAACTTGCACGTTGTTTTTCGAAGTATACAGCAGTTGCTGCAGCTATCAGCGGTTTGACTGCGCGGCCAAGGCTCTAGAAGCTCTGGTGCTCATAGCGTCTCTGAGAAGGAGCTTCTTTCAACAAGACGGGGACAGGAATAAACTTTTGGGGAACTTGATTCAGGGAACCAGTGGTACTATTATTTAAGTAGTTTCTTATTTAAGTAGTTTCTTTTACTTTTACATAGATACTTTTTCTTAGTTTTTTTAGAAGGAAGATGTGGGTGATTCAGGGAACAACGAGTGGCACCAAGTATTGCAGAGGATGATATGAGGTTTTTTAGTTCAGGGATGATTTTAGATAAATATCTCACATACCCCACGATTGGGTACACTACTACTACTACTACTACTTAGATGTAAGATTTCGTGATGAGAGCTTACCAACAAGTGGACGCACTAAACCGGTAGGTAAAGAAGTCAGACTTTCTCCTTTCCTCCAGCACTACTTCTAGGAACTACGAAAACTAAAAAGAACTTCCTGAACATGAAAACCAGGTATCCTCGCTGCGAAGATGGGTCTTCAGGACCCTGATTGTTATCACACGCTTTGCCGACTTCTCGGCAAGATCAACACTGCGCATCAACTCTCCGAACTAGCGGCGATAGATGTAAGATTTTTATCGTTTGAGTGTATAATGTGAACAAGCGTTTCTTTTATGACGTCTGCTCTAGTGCAGTGAGTGTCATTTTTAGTTGTAGACTCTGTCTGGAATTATATACCACTTGTTCGTTTGTTTGTTATAATTTTCATTTCTCTATCTCTCTCATCCGCTTTCCTCTCTCCCTCCCTCCCTCCCTCCCTCACCCTCTATTGATTTCCCTCTGATCCACTTTCCTCTCCTCCAGTTCCCTCTGATCAACTTTCCTCTCGCCCTTCCTCATCCTAATCTCACCCTCACCTTCTCCAATCCTCCAAAACAACAGGTCTTCCAAATGTGGATGAACCACGTGCATAGTTTTACAACTGAGTCCTTGATCGACTGGGAAAAACAGCCGAATAGCAAGCATTACCTGCTGCAGTTCTGGGCGGGGCTCGTGTCCCCCATGATATACTTGAAAGAAAAAGCCCCACCACAGTTGGAGAACTGCATCCAGCAGATCACGATATCGTACCTATGAACTCTAGTATGTTTATTTGTTTTGTTACAATCTAATAATTGAGAATTGCATTCAACAGATCACGATATCGTACCTATGAACTCTAGTATGTTTATTTGTTTTGTTACAATCTAATAATTGAGAATTGCATTCAACAGATTACGATATTATCGATCTTAGGAACTCTAGAAGTATGTTTTATGTGTAACCGCATGAGTCGTGAGCTCTGACCATAGCTAGAAGAAGAAGAAGTATTAAGCTTAGGTGCAGCTTTATTAGAACAAAGTGGAGTTTATTGCATGATAACTGCAATATGGTGGATCCATACTAGTAAATGGTAAATACAATTACAAACCAAGGTACATCGAGTCCCGTCTCGCGATGGCGGAAGCAGCAGCCACCGCGGACGGGTGTCAAGAGTGGGCCGACCCTCTAGAGGAGGAAGTCCTGAGAACAGAGCAATTAGAGGTGCTCTCCGCTCTGGGAAAAGCCAGGTACTTATGTGCATGAATGTCAATGTTCTTTAATATCGGATGCTGTAGATCTAAAACTACGGATTTTTTTTGTGCTGTAAGTATCATTTTCATCGTCCCCCCCATCCGACAATATAGGTACCACGAAACAGCACAACACGTTTTGAAACATTTTGAAGACTGCTTGAACCGTGGGAAGCAGAGCCAGATACCAGAAAAAGTTTTCGAGAAGAAGATGGCGTGGCTTATCTTAAGGCTTACCTCTAATAGATATAGATACCACTCCTGCTGCCCTTGTGCGTGTAGTTGAAGTAGAAGATGGCGTACGAATAACAAATTGCCTTCTAATTACATCCTTTACTAGTGCCGTCCGCGTCGTTGTTGACTTGGTGTCACTTTCAACTTTTCCTAGTAATCTGACAACAAATTACATTCTCCGGCATCTGTGCCATCCTTGAGGTTGTTGACCTATTTTCTACTAACTTGTAGTAGAAAACCATGCTTAATATCGCGTTAACCTTAACCTATTCCCCACTAGAAAGATAAGGAAAGGTCGTCAAGAATCAATGTTCTGAGGAATGTAACTAATGGTCGCCTTGGTTACCAAGCATCGTTTTTCTGAGAAATGTAATTAATACTCCAAAGACTCTATTATGTAGAGTGGTCCACCTCTCATGTAGTAGTAGTAGTACTAGTACTAGTAGTATTAGTAGGTAGTAATAGTAGTAGTAGTCCGCTAATTACCTACATTTTCGGCGCCCTTGTTGCCGGCCACAGTCAGAGCATGGGAAGCACACGCGGACGCATAGAACCAACGTCCAACCTTCAGCCTGGGGAGCCCGGCTATGTCACGCCTCCGCACGTAGTGAATGGCGAGTTAGCAGCAAGAGTATTCGAATTGATCGACCTGACTGACCCACATTAAGGCTCAAAGCACATATAGAAAAAGGCTCAAAGCACATATAGAAAAAGGCTCAAAGCACATATTATTAGGTCGTAGTTCACCATCTAGTAGTGCAACCATTCCTGTAGGATACCCAGCATCCTAGAAGGAAAGGGCTCAAAGTTAAGGTCAGCTTTTATCCATCTTTCTCGGCATCTCGGTACCCGTTTCCCTTGTATTCTCATGAGAAATACAAGGTAAAACAAGGGGTCAAGAGGAGGGGGCCGAGATGCAATCTAGCACAAGCTAACAAAGCACATAAAGAGAAAACTCCCCCTTCACCTATTCTCCACTGCGTCCAGCTCAGTAGTAGACAAGCTCTCCTCGTATTCCTTCTTCATAGGAAGTGCCTAAACCAATATTTTGCTCCTTCATGAAGATTCATCTTCACAGGAAAGTGCCTCCTCTACTCTGTAGCAGCCTTTTGCATGATCCGCCTCTTTGTGTTTTGCTTTTCTTTCTTTGGGCACGAAGAAAGATAAATTGAATTGTGAGCAGCTCTAACCACAGCCTGGACGACAATCCCTGGAGCTCGCGTATTTGTACTTTTTAGAGCAGTTCCGGAAAGTGTACATAAGTGAGACGGCGAAGCAGATGAACGACCGATCGCAGGTGAACGAGCGACTAGCGTCTTTGCTCAAATGCAAGGACGAGAACGAAATCTTGGGCAAGGTGATCAATAAGATAGGCAAAAACCTACAGCACCGATGCGCGTTCGAAACCGTGCTGCAAAAATCCTTAGCGCTCTTCCACGAACTAGCGGCTGGCATCAATATCGTGCACACAGCTGAGAGATCGCCGCACTTGATCGTGTCTGGAAGACTGCTGTTGAAGAACGAGATGGTAGTTACTGATTTCCGCGTGGTGGAGTCAATAATTTAGTTAGAAGATGCGCCTCGTTGTAGCAGGCAGTTGTAGTAGAATTTCCGCGTGGTGGCGTCAATAATTGAGTATTTGTAGCAAGCAGTTGTACTAGACGGGAGTGCACTCATTTCAATCAGTATACTATAAATATGATTCCAATTATTATGGAGACTTGTTTACGAAAATCATCAGGTTACTTTGCCAGTTGAAAGCCTGTCTACTCAACAATTGTCCGTCTTCATCTCCCCAAATCCACCTATCACGCAGGTCCAATACATGATGCAGCATCATGCGAATCCGGAGTTCGCTTTCCTTTATTACACGCTGAAATACGGAAAGTTCAGAACGCAATATTACCATACTCTGGGAAAGCTGCTTTTTTTATGACCAAAGTAGATGTAGAACGAACAATGTAGATTAGATTTAGGAGGATCAAGGCCTGCATCTTCAGCATTCTGCAAGTAGCTAGCCACATGCAGAGTTACCAAGTAATCGCCACATGATGAAAGCAGTCACGTTATATTATAATCCGATATCTTCCCCAACAGCAAGCTCTTCTAATATCAATGGACGGCAAAGACGACGCGGCGAGTCAAAGGCAGGCGTTTCAGAAATTTATGGAGCCAATGACGAGTGTTATCGACACTGTCCGTATGCTTGCAGGGAAGAACCAGTTAAAACAAGAGCCTGAAGCCAAGTCGCGCATTATTGGCTTGTGCAGAGATCTTAGATTAAGGCCCAATATTTATATTTTAGTCAGAAATCTTAATCTATTCCCTTCGGAACGGCACACTCACATATTTCATAACTTCTATATCACGGCACTTTTCCCTATCTCCTTCTTAGGATTCTTGGGAGAAATGCAATGGCAAAAAATGAAGTATCTTGAGCTCTAATTAGAGGAATGACTTTAGCTTGTCACGGGTCAGAAAGCTACGGCTTGCTCTTCAACTGGCTGGTCCAAGACGCCAACATTGCCGCGGCAGCGAACAATCGGATAGCGCTGTTTTATCAGTTAAGGCTTGCCGTAATTCATCTTTCAATCTAAGTACTTGAATTGGAAACGTGTAAGTAAAAGCATCTTTCGCGTACTGTTGAGGGAAAACACAGCAAAGGCATTTCTTCGGACCCTCTATTTCGAACCTTAAACATAGCAAGGACGACTTCTAAGTGAAAATATGTCATCTGTTGTTTTGGTTTTGGAGGAGTCAACTCGTTTCTTGTCTAAGGTCTACGTTTTTACTTACTCTAGGTGAGAAGCTCTAAACTATGCATTAGACTGCTTCTGGGACGACCATGAAGTAACAACGCCATTGCTCAAGTTCATGTCTGAGTTCTGCCACAACAAGACCCAGCGAATCAATTTTGAGCAGTCTAGTCCAAACGGTATCTTGTTATTCCGACAAAGCAGCCAAATTTTGAGGACTTACGGCACAAGGATCTTAGCAAAAGACTTCGGAGATTCCATGCAAAGCGTGGCTGGGATAGGGAACGTTCCGACACCGAATAGGAAACTCTACGAGGAGAAATATAAGGGGATCGGAATCGCGCTCGACCTATTCTCGCATTCGCTCAATGGAGGGTAGACTTTATATTACGAGTTTGCTGCGATATTAAATTGTTGTTCCAACGATGAACACGTCGAACTGCATCGACTTCTAAGAAAATTCACAGGTACTGCAATTTCGGCGTCTTCGACCTGGCACTGCAATTTTGGCGTACGCTAGACTAGCACTGCTGGTGGGGTTCTCAAGCGGGCGCCCGAAGGGCGGCCCGCAATTGTAGACGCCCAGCGTCACGCTGGGCGCAGAATTCGGCAGATCTGGCGCATTTGGGTCGCCCAGCGACCCAGTGTGCCCAGCGTGCCCAGCCCAGCCATGTTGGGAACCCTTATAACCTGTTCTATTATATTTTCTTTTGAGCATGACCATCTTCACAGGATGAGCGAGCACTTTTGAGGATGAGCGAGCACTTTTGAGAATGAGCATCTTCACAGGTACTGCAATTTCGGCGTCTTCGACCTGTATGGGGACGAGAGCTTGCAGGTCAGCATGGCCCTTGCGTTGAAGATGTGTCTCTCGATTCCCAACACTGAACTCCAAGCGTATCAGAAGACGTTCAAGCCCTTCTACGTGTTTCTGGACATCACGTCGAAGAGCCACATCAAAAAAATCTTTGAACTGGACGCCACTTCATTAGCCAGACTAATTAAGGCTACAATAATCTATTGATATTAAATCCATCTTACCATCCAATAAACAAAAAGAAAATCTTCATCTTGGTGCCCCGTAAATTTTCCCTTATCATGTAGAAATCGGATAAAGGTGGAGCACCAAGATCAAGATGCTCAATGAGCTGGATTTTTGCAACCTCTAAACTATTCAGTTGTGTGGAGGAAGGGCTTCTTTCCTTCGACGTCTCAGTATCGATGCAGTGCTGCAGCATAGTGGACAACATTGTTTCCTATTTTATAGAACATGGGAAAGATCTGAGCACGCCACTTGGGCAGTACATGCAATCGTTTCTACAGCAACAGCCGGACTCACTGAAGAAGATTCTGAACTTGATGTTCCAGCTCATTCTTGCTGGCGAATTCAGTAGCACGTGGAGCCTGTCCAGACCCCTGCTCGGTCTCATACTCCTGCACCAAGACTTATGACAAGACTCTGTTATTTTTGACTTGAGGTTTTCCACAACTTGTGTTGGTTTTGTCCTTCCTACTTCTGTAGTTCCTACAACTCAGCTCTTGGGCCTCTTCCTACTTATTTATTGTTATTCTATAATGGTGCCCAGTAATATCATCTTCATCTCGTTTCTCTTCTTAACTTTATTCCACCTAGTAGACCCACCTAGTCAACACTTGTTCTATCAATCTTTTATCTCGTTCGATAATCATGTACTCGAGATCTACTTCTTCTAACCTCCGAGTTCCTGACCTTGAAAGAGCGGCTGATCATGCAGCAAATCGACGAGAGGAAGGAAAAGCTGAGGAATTTCTTCGACGAGTTGATGCACCAAGTGGAAAACAGTCTGTCTTCTCGCAACCGAGATCATTTCACCAGACAACTCTACACCTTTGCGCAGATGGTCAAGAGCTTGTGATGATTTGACCAAAGCAGCCTCGATGTGAAGAGGAGCATAATAACTACTCCTGTAGTAATTAATATTGGAATAGGAGGATTCATTGGAGATGGAGGTCGTGGTGAAGAGTTAGCTTGTTTCTCTCAGGTTGGCTTTGACAACCTTAAATACGACACGCGGCGACCACGTGGTCACCGCGTCATTTTTGATGAGGGCGTCTTCGTTCCGAGAAATTTGAACTCCTGAATAGGTTTCAATTCATTGCTTTTCTTTTGGTTTTCAATCGAAGGTATTGATAGTAGTTACGTATATGGATTCAACACTGGAATCACGTAAAAAAATCGTCAGGGAAATCTTAGGCATGTTGCCGAATCGACTCAAATTATCACAGTGTCACTCTCATAAGTAGCTCTCCAAAAAGATATTCATACTCAACGTTTAGAACTCTCTTTGTCTATAATTGACCTAAGAGTTACAGCTAGCTACTTATCTTATATCTCTCTGCACTAGAAGTCCTGTCATCTGGGATTTTTGCTAGTATGGTGAAATTAATACCGCGATATAAAACCTGTCATAATTATGGCGGGTCGACGACATCGCGACCTCCCACTTATCCTATCTAAGAGGACATAAATTTCAAGGGAATACGAATATTACATAGACCACTACATAGTTTGTTAATAGCACTAGTATTTCAATTTCGGGTTCCTTTATTTCGGTCCTAGTTGGATTTCACTCCTAGAGGTAGAAGTAGTTGCTATGTATTCTGTGCTCGAAAAGTGTCTACTTCTTGAATCCTTGTCGTCTGGTGCATGGGGTGGGCTCAGCTCTTTTCAGAGAAGATGCATTTACTGGATGAAGATGAGCGCAATGTCAACATAAAAGTCAAAGTCTTCCTCGCCTGCTACTTGAGAGTCTGATCACGGTACTTCTTCTAGATTTCACAAGTATATTCGTATTGTGAAAATGAATACTTCTTCAATACGGACGAGGGATATCGATATTTCCGTTCGCGCTCCAGATTACATGAAGAGGGCATAGATTTTCTGGAGGATCCATACATTGAATATTACATTGAGGTCATAGAAGATTACATTGAGCAGGTTATAGATGCTCAAGCTGTGTCTGTCATGATTTTGATCATCGCAGGATTTTCGCATCACGACATAATCATGCAAGAAATGTCGTATGATCTCCCCACAGGATTCATACTCGTAGTTGGTGTATTGGATTTGTACCCGATTAAGACTCCGGTCTTCCCCATGACCTCCCAGTATCGATTCATCTCATAGACGCTCCCATATTATAAATGATTTGTTACAACTCACTGAGGAAGAAGTGGTGTTGTCAACAACATCTTCATGGTGAAAATTTCGACTTTCGAAGTCATGGTGGTGCCTGAGTTCAGTGCAGCAGCGGGTAGGCAAACCAAGGAGCAGACACAAATAGTTGTGGTAAAAGGTTTTGGTTTATTGTGTGGCGAAGCAGCATCAGCACGGAACAAGAAAACAACGTAGCACAGTAGAAGAGAGAGATAATGAAATGGATCTCGAAGCAACGGTAGAAACTCCGTCAGCCAAGGTTGGCATTGGTGACCTCAATTGAGTCGATTGAGGCGCATTTTCGTTACCTTCAGTGCTCTGAAGTTGGACATCTGATCAGGGCACCACCTGACCGCATTGCCCGCGCGGCGCTCTTTGGTTTTATCACGGCGGGGCTGCCTTTGCCTGAGGACTTGTTGTTGTACACACCGCGTCAGGGTATGCGCACGTTGTGGTCAGATGTTCGCCGATGTTTAGCCATCTTCGCTGCTGATGTTCCAGATGGACATATCACGGATAGCGCTATCTGTGCTCTAGCGCTTTCGCGGGAGCATTGGAATACTGTTCTCTACGAGATGCGCATTCGGATGACGTTGAAGCTCTATGATAGAGATCGAGAGATGACACCATTCGCGAGGCGCAATGCAAAGACGCACTGGATCGCCCAGCTTTACAAACGTGGCGACTGTTTCGAGATTGGCCCAGCGCTCAACTCTTTGAGTCGTTGGTATGACTTCTCTATCTGCAAGTTCACCTCTTACGAGCTCAGGATCATCTACGAGGATGTTGTGATGCCTGGGGCTATTCAACAGGCGCGCTGCCGTTTTTGTGTCAAGTCGGTCCTTGGATGGCTCATGCGACCATTCACGTCTAACGGGCTGTTCTGCCGGGATCACACTCTTGGGCCACTTGTCTGCGCTGCGCCCCCTGCAGACGCTGCTGCACCAGGCCGGATTGATGAGTTGTTGGCGCATGAGGTCTCGTGCCCGATGCGTGCCGCCTTTGAGCAGACTGATGAGAGCTCCCTGCAGGCGCCGACGTGTTTCCGTGAGGGAGATGCTCTTGCTGAGGTTTTGCGGATGCACTCTAGCACAACGAAAGAAGACGGCGACTTGCATCATTTGGCGACGTTTTTTGACACTGACGAATTGGCAGCCCTTGCGGCGAAGCCTGTGGTGCCGGCCTCTTTTAGTGATGAGATCCAGGCTGCAAACGCGCGTGTCTATGAGGCTCTGGCTTCGTGCTCGTTCCTGAGGTGCCGCACTTGTAGAGATGGCTCTATCAGCCTAGTTGAGTGTTTTTGTCAGGAGTGTACTGCCTGGGCAGAGGGAGCTAGCGCCAGGTCCGACGGTTCGTCCTCTTTTGACTTGAGCATATCTGGCGCCTCTGACGACGCAGCCCACGGCGCTGCGCCTTTTGCTGGCTCTTCTGGGCGGGTCGGCCGTACCTTTGAGTCTGTTAGTGTTGCGTACCGGCACTCGCGACGGGTGCTCCAGAGACACACAATTGAGCGGGTTGACGCACCACTGAAGAAGCCGACTAAGTCATCTGCTGAGATTGCCAGCCGTAGGAGGAAACGACACAAGGTTGACCTTGGCGACTCAGTTCGTGCACCGAAGGCGACCATCCCTGATGTGTACGGAGCCGCGGGCGACGGTGGCTTGGCTGGACTGCCCAGTGTGTTACCTGTTCATATTTCGTGGTCGCAGGCCCGGTGTTGCCTTTGTGTTTCGGTGCCTGTTGTTGTCGATGGTGCCAAGCGGCGCATCTCGAAGGATGTCCGGCCTTCTGACTACGGTGATAACGCACTATCGGCCTTTCGTGCTGCTGTCGCTTTGAAGCAAGAAATTCTTGAGGACCCTGCGTCATTTGTTCGGTTCAAGATCCGACGCAAGAAAAGCAGGCTGATTGGCGCTCCATGTGTTGAAGAAGGGCCGGCCAAGGTCGACGAAGAAGATGATCTTTTAGCTGATTAGGCGCGTGTAAGTAGAACCAGTCAAGTGCGCTGCAAGCGAAAAAAGAAAAGTGTTAGTTTATCGGAGATCTCTACTTACGAGGACTTTGAATCAGGCTAAGGACCCGCGACTCGTTTACATGACTTCATACTTTCGTGCTGGCTTTAATGGAAACTGATACTTAACGTTGAAAGACAGGCAACAACCAACCATGAGTAGGCTTTTCGTAGTCCTTCTCGTCGTCTCTAAAAATTGATTTCGCATCTCGTTCTCGCAACTTAAAAGTAACTTTCTACAACTATGTAGCTAACTGATTCCGCATCTTGTTTTCGCAACTTCGTTCTTTTTTCTTTCTGTAGGTTGTTTGCTTTTTACCTGCTGTTCGTTTTAATTATATGTCACGGCTTGCTTGAGTAGTTGTTAGCTTTAGCATCCTAGAGTTCACTTGAGTTTTCTCCTCCTATCTCATTCTTGAGCTGTCTCTGTGTGTCTGTGAAATGTTTGCTTTCTCTGCGCCCACCACTGCTGGTGCGTCGAACTCTTCGAAAAACTTGTAATGTAATGTAACAAGACCTGTCTAAACCACCTACTACTCCTTTCATTCATGATCGTCCCTACCATCATCGCAGGATTTTTTGTTTGAGACGCAAAGCAGCAGCAGATTGATGTTGAGCGAAGAAGGATACTCATTTGCAATTTATTAATGTTAGGAACTTTTCTCTTCGATAGACGTTTAGGCTTAGATGAATCTTTTCATTTTTTTGCTTCCTAGATAGGCGTGCTCCACCGATAATATTAGGAACTTTTCTCTTTTATATCTTCCTCTGGTCTACTGTCTTTTTTCTAGTTAGGTCGGCTCCACCACAAATATTTGGACAACAGCTGACAGGACACGACAGCGCCGGCGCTTGGTTAGTAGCTGTAGATAAGTTCTTGCCTGAACTTTCTTTTTTCGGTTTTTGTTTTTTCTACTTGGGCCTGCTCCACCAACAATATTAGTACAACTACCCTGGAGCGAACTAGCGGGTGCACATAGCGCGGAAGCCGAGCACTTCTCTGAGGCACGCACAGGCTTCTGCCGCTTTTGATGAGAAGACCTCCGGGGCAGTTGGGCGACACGTCGCGCCTAGAATGAACGGATCCTAATTCACATGGCCATTAGCATATGACAAATTTTCCAGAGGGAGAGAGAGAGGAGAAAAGGAATGCAACAAAAAGGAAAAGCGATACTCGCTTCGCGATATATTACTTCTAACTTGTTAAAACTAAACTTAAACTTTTTCTTACTCTCCTAGTCAGGTCGGCTCTACCAATAATATTAGTACAGCTTGAGCATGAGCTTCAAGCTCAAGCTAGTACGACTGCATCATAGATTTGATCCCTTGACGCTAGGGCGAAAGCTATGTGTAAGAAATGTGAACGACTAAGAGCAGCACTAGGAGTAATCAGTCGCATGCTGAGGTGGACGGCAAGCAGCGTGCAGCGTTTTTCTAGAAGTGCGACATTTCTAGGACTTTAGATTACATGTAAATACTACATACGGGTTCCCTTTATTTGACTGAAGCGCTTATAAGAAGTGCATGATAATATAGCTGTGTCTGATCTTGATCTGCTCAACGCTTAGCATGGTTGAGTCGTTCCACATGGCAAATTGCTTGTCTTTGTAGTCGTTCTTTTATACTTAGACCAGCAAGAAAGTTAGGGATTACAACTAAGCTAAGAAAATAAAAAAAAAACAAGTTGTTTCAGCTTGATGCTTCTTAAAATAGATGATGCGTTAACCCCACTGCAAATACCCTCCCCCCTTTGCACCTTAACTCTCTCCCTGGGAGGTTACCTCTTGTTAGGTAAATGAGTGAGTGAGTGAATCCTGCTAAGTCAAGCAGCATTTGATAAAGCACTAGAAAATTGGCTGGTTTGGTCTTTCTGCGTGTCTGATCTAACATTTGGCATTTGGTTGCTAGATCGAAATTGACGACGAAATCTTGTAGTAATAAAAGATTATAAAAAGTGATGTTATAAGTGTAAGCCAGTTGTTCTTCTTCGTAGCGCGGCGTTGGTGTGCTAGATTCCCGTATTGCAACATTTTGGTTTTGGATACCACACATCGATCAGGAAGATTTTTCTCGAATTTCTTGCTCTTCTTTTACTTGGTAGACGTTCCTATCTACTTACGTAATACTAGTACTTTCGCTTTTGGTGGTACTAAGATTCAGTCCCCCCAAAAAGACAAAAAAGGTAGCCCCTATACCCCGCGAATAGGTAAATCAATCAATCAATCGGACTTGAAGTACTTGTCTTAGTAACCGTGTCGTGGACGTGCGGTAGTCTTCATGGCCTCTTTTTTGGGGCTTTGATCTAGTGCAAAGTATTTTCCCTTTTGATCTTACTCTACTGGCCATCTTCTGACGGCCTCTGGGCCGCTTCGACTGAGTCAGTGGATTTTTGTGTGCAAGAAAGTGAGTTTGTGACTGATGAAAATAGACCACTGAAGGAGGCTACTCGTGCTTCTGAGAGTTCACAATTTGGAAACGTGAGCCTTCGTGCTATTATTTATTTTACCGGTACGTAACATATTGATACTACTTTGTAGGATAAGACGAGGCTGCGCTGCAAATCTTGATTGGCTTTTGCCCGTAAAACGGCAAAGGTTTAGATCCAGCGACGCTCAAAGCACTAAATGAAACAACCCGTTAGTTTTTACGTCTAGAACTTAGGCTTATCCCATGCAGCAACATACTGACATTACTTTGTAGTTCTTAACAGAGAGAATCAGGACAAAATATGCATATTTTAACATTTCTGTGTACTGTAGTTATTACCTCCTGTAATTGTTCTTTTTCTCCCATAGTTTCTCGTCAACCTCAATTCATAAACATACTTTGATATTTGATATTGCATCTAAGTCAGCACAACGTCTTTGTTCTTTTATTCTGTTCTTCAATTATTCAGTTCTTCAATTATTCTGTTCTTTTACTAGGCACATCAATCAATCAATCAATCAATCTTCTGCGTCTATCATCTTTTTGTCTCTTGTTTGCTTCTTTCTTATGGACCGGAAAAACTAGGCCCCCTGTATCAGAGGGTTCCCGATGTTTTTCCCCCTTTAAGCGGACCGGGGCCGCAAAAATCCCGGGCCCTTATTTTCCGGCGGCGTCCCGTACTATTCTGGCTCGGTCCCGGGAAATACTGGGGCCAACATGGTCCCGGGAAAAACGGGGGCCGCGGTATCAGAAGGGGCCCGGAAAATAGGGGGCCTGACCTTGGCCCTTCTTGTAGGCTGCTCCCCCCACTCCACTGCCAGCGCAGCGCCCCGGTGGCCTGTGCTATGCGCGCCCGGACCCGGTGGGGAGCCGCGCGCGCTTGGCCGCGCAGTATCCTGGTAGGATTGCCACCAAGCTGCGGCCGGTCCCTCAGGCCAGGCGCATCCTGCTGCGTCTTTCGTTCCTCTATGTTCTCCCGCTCTTGCCGCAGTACCTCGCACCCGCCAGAGGTAGCCACGCGGGCAACTGCCAGGCAGCAGGGGCCTCGCGGTGCGCTTCTTTCTTTTGCGATCCGCCGCCCCCGCCCCCCTGTGTTGCTTTTTTTTTTCGCTCCGCGGGCCGCTTTCGTTTTGAACTTGAAGCGCGCCAGCCTTTCGCGGCGGGCTTCGAAAGCCCTCGGTTGCGCCAAAATCCGCATCCTACAGCACGGACGCGGATCGATGCGGAATTTGGAGGGGCGCTTCAAAATCCGCATCCTACAGGGCGGGCGCCAGTGAAAGCGATAAGGGTGAAGCGCTGCTGTCGCGGAGTTTCATGATTGAAAACCTGTCGCCCAAATCCCGCGACCGCCCTGGCGGACGCGGGTTTTGGGCTGGTGGTTAATTTCTGCCCCCTTTGGAAAGAAACGAGCCTTGGCTGAGCTGACGCCTTTAGTTCGACTTCTGCTGGGCGCTGGCTTCTGGTGGGCCGCCTGATTGGGTGCTTCTCGAGGGCGTTTCGCGGGATTTCATGGCTACATACAAAGTCTCCGCTTCAAATTCCGCGGCCACCCTGGCGGGCGCGGGATTTGGAGCGGCCTTCCATTTTTTTCCAAAGGGGGCGGCAATAAGTCGCTGTTTCAAATCCCGCGGCCACCATTGTGGCCGCGGGGTTTGAGCAGGAGACTTTGTCATCGGGAAATCCCGCAAGAGGCCGCATCTTGCTTCACACGTTTCGCAGACTTCCGCTCTGCCGGATGCGGCATTTGGAACGGCGTTCCAAATCCCGCATCCGTGTCCGACTTGTAGGATGCGGATTTTACTCTCGTACGGGCAGGGCCCGTAGCCGGCGGCGCGGCTGCGGGCTTTGGAACGGCGTTCCAAATCCTGCATCCGTGTCCGACTTGTAGGATGCGGATTTTTCTCTCGCAAGGGCAGTGTCCGTATCCGGCAGCGCGGACGCGGGATTTGGAAAGGCGTTCCAAATCCCGCACCCGCGTCTGACTTGTAGGATGCGGATTCTTCTCAGATCTGGGCTTGGGGATTGGTCGGGGCCTGAGGATGTGGGCAGAAGTGCCACCATCTTGCAAGACTAGCTCTCTTCATGCGGCACCTGCGGAGGACCATGCTTCCCCACATGTGCTGCGTTTTCTTGTAATGGTTTCGGTAAGTGGTAAGTTTTTCGTATCCCGGTGAATTGGGGCAAAGCGACACCCAGTTAATCGAAGGTGGTGCGTAGAATTATAGCAGACTTGCTTCTATTATTTACGGACAAGGACTAGTACAACTGCTACCTATAATATGTAATATTAAGCAGTCACATTTCTACTCTTGTTGGACCATTCGAACACAGACTGTTGAGTCGCGTCTAGTTTCTCGGTGAGAAACACTTGAGAGGGATACTGTTTGCACAATTTGCACTCACAGCCTGAGACTAATGATCTCTGGCTGCTTTGATCCCTGTGGATATTCATTGGGGTTACAAGGAGGAAGTCTCAGCTTCATCATTGGGATATCATGTTGCGTGGGAAACTTTCATATGCTTCATACGGAAACGCTTATGCTATCATCATTGATTCATACGATCATCATGCACTGACTCTCATCATTGATCAGAACTTGACAAGAAGTTATGGACCTGATTACAGCTATGAAACATTCGTCATTTCTACTGTCTGAATACGTTGGAGATCCTTTGCCTGTTGATCCTTGACTTTGGAACCATATGCGTTTAGGTCTGTAGGTTATCTCTGAGATCATTCCGGTGTTGTTTTGTCCTTGACTGTGTTGGGGGCTTGAGCCACATACGAGAGAGAGAGAGGAGAAACCGCCGACACCCGCGCCAACTAAGGCCAACGCGTTGAAAGTGGTGCCGGTGGGTACCTTGTTCGCCTGGTGATCTTGGTCATTTTGGTGATCTTCATGCGTCTGATCTTTGTGACATTTCATGACTATGACCTTGGCCAACAGCTCTAGATATTGTCTTTTTTTTGTTCTCTTCTAGCTACCGCCCAGCGAGTCCGCGGCGGGACTCAATCATAACTTCTCTAATTCTAAATCTAAGTCTTACTACTGTTCTGAACCTGAAGATAATATTTAGAAAAAAATGCCGTCGTTTTCTGCATCGTCGTCTAGTAGGATGTCTACTAGAACCAGTGCTCGCCCGCCACATGACACACCAGACCAAGTTAAGGCTACTGCTAACCCATCTCTATACATAGCCTATTATACATAGGGATTGTAGTATTATTAGCATACAAAATTCTAGTCCGTTCACAGTTATTAGGATACATGAGAACCCTACGGAACAAGTCACCGGAGAGGGCGTCGGCTGTCCTCTCTGCCGCGGTATTGCGGCAAGCACGCGGCACCTGCTAGGGTGCCCCGCGTGCCAGACGCTAGCAAGGGGCCACCGGGTTCCGGCGGATGTGGGGGCGGCTGCGGCCAGCCTGAGGCAGCTGGTCCCGTACCTGCGCGACCTTGCGGCCGAAACCGACGGCGCGTTCTTGCGAGCGCAGCCGCCACGCCTCCAGTAAAGAAGCAGAGGGATAGAACTAGAAGTAGCGAGCGCCGTGTTAAAACCATCGCTGCCTGCTGCGATAGGGCGGGGCCGAGCTAGGTGGTGGCGAAGACAGAACAAGGGGGAGACAAGCAAGCTCGCGACGACAAAGAGAACAAAGACAAGACGAAAGCGGAAAGCATGAAGAACGACGAACGAGGCACGAAAGTACGAACGTCAAGCAGACCCACCCCGAAGGCTTCGGGCCGAAAGGAAGCGACCAAGGAAGCAAGAACGGCCACCAGGCAGCCTGACCGCGCGACGCTGCTACCCACATACGCCGCTACCCACATACGCCGCCTGCTGCATAGCCAGACACGCCAGAGCTGGCGGCGACGGGAAGGCTACGCGTGACCAACAGGGCTAGCCGTAACATAGTCGCAGCGGCGACTATGCATAGCACAAAACACACGAAACCAAAAAAAAAAGATATCTGGCGAGATCGTCCGCGTTGCCCGTGGCGCATCAATAGAAACAAACTAACAACCCTATGAGGGAGGATCCATCAAGCCCAACTACCTGGGAGCTTGTTGCTGAAATAGCCTAGTTGACTTAAAAATAATCTCAACTTCCAGCTCTGTATTATATCGTTACCCTTATTTTTGCTAGGTAGATAGATCTAGATACCGGGACTTTATCAAAGGAGCGATTAGTTAGGGCTCTACAAGAATACTGTTGTAAGTTAGTACCTGTTTTAGATCACTTTGCTAGGCTATCGAGTTTTTCGTATAGCTCTAACCAAGAACGGTCGATATTGAAGCGATCCATCTTGAAACGATCTGGAGGAGGAGGAGGCTCTTCAGAAGCGTCTCAGCCTCGCAGCCGATCGGTTTCAATCTCCCTCGACCCGATCGATTCGTCGGAGAGAAGACATGGAAATTCCGAGGGAAAGAATGGAAATCATCCTCCAGCTTCATCTACTACGACTTCTCGAAAGAACATGATTGCGAGCCAACCAAGTCCAAGTACAACTAACAGAAAAAGCGGAGGAATATCGAATTAAGAATGTTTTTCTTTCTTTTTTGAGGTTCGTTTTTTCCTCTTTTCTTAGGTGTGTCCCTTCGGGTAATTAAGAATGTTTTTCCCTTCAGAACTTATCTCTACGGGTACTAGGAACAGCACTATCAGGGATACACGCACGGCATTCTTCTTGGAGTTGTTGTTTGTGGCGCCAGTAGTACTAGCATAGAACAAAAATCTTGTTCACTGCCATCCATCAATCTTTGTTTTTGTTAGTACCACAAAGATACGTTTAAGTACTCTGATAGAAAAAAATTCTCCAGACTGCTCATTCTCGATGTTTTTCCTTTCTAACTTTAAGGTCGGCAAGGGGAACACGATATGAACAACAGTTCTAGTACAAGTGATCACCAGAGAAGGGAGCAACGACAAGGTTCGTCTATTAAGGCTAGTTTTTCACTATCCGGTGTGATCTATGCTGAGTGGCGCCCCTCCTGATTTAAAAGGGAAAATAAGGGGGGAAAGGGGAACGCACCATACCAGGCGTAGTGAAAAACTACCTCTAAGTCTAGTAGAACGATGTCGATGTCCTCTTCTTCTCGTAAAGGTCATAGCGATAGTCGGAAGGAGAGGGAGACCACTACTCCGAGACAACATCAAAGTAGTGGAAGCAATCAGAAGAAGCAACAGTCCTCCATTATGATGTTGAAATAGAAACACGCCGGGTGATGTTATTCATACTCACTATTGTAGCCCCTCCCGCCACGACAACTTAGAAGGAAATGCAGCGGGTTATCGGCTGAATTACTCATAATACTTACTCGTTGTGTGGTACTAGTGGTCCTTTTCTTTTTGTAGTACAGAAGCTCAAGGAGAAGCATGAACTTTACCACGAAAGTGTTCTAAGTACAACCGGGTCAATTTTATCTACCATTCGTTCCAAAGTCGTTTTATTTCTTTCTACTAGGACATCTTAAAACGTATACCCCTATCTATCTTCTATAATTTGATTGCGTCTTTATTCTAAGAGTGATCTCAATTATAAGTACCCTTATATTAATATTATCGAGCTTGCTTGTTCCTTCACAGCAAGTAATTGCATGGCACTCTACCTACTGCTTCAAAATTTGATATTCTCATTTCTTCTAATTTGAGTGTTTATTCTGCCTCGCGCCGTCCGAGTTGTCATGTTTCCGATGCTGAAGCTAAGTGGAGACAAGCAAATCAAAGTAGCAAAGCAAAGGGCAGTCCTGCTACAGGCAAGTCAACAACAACTGACAATCCTAGTGCAACGAAAGGAACAAAGTTAACACCTGACAATCCTAGTGCAACGAAAGCAAAGGCAGGTCCCGATGCTGATGGAGCGGCAGGATTGGTTTTTAAGGCTGATCTTTTCTCTCATAAGTCCTAGCCCTAGGTTAGTCCCTTTATGTAATATATGATAGATAGAGGCTTTGTTTGAGATGTCAATCGTTGGTAAAAGACACGAGTGCAGGTAAGTCTAGAGAGAGAATTGTGTGGCCGAAAAAGAACAGAAAACCCCTATTGGTTTTTGTCGCTTTTTCGGCCTTTCATTCTCCCTAGGGGAAGAAATGAATTCCGCATGTTCTCTCTTAGATGCTGTTTGTACTTTTTGGTTCTCTCGTTCGCCACACAATATTGGCATAAGTATCTTTTTGCTTCAACTTGCTATGTGTATGTATACTCTCTGACTCGGCTTACTGTAGGTTCCGGGGTGCTCGATGTGCAGGATTCAGAACCTAGCCTAAAGATACATTTATACTTTTTCTTCTTCTAAGTCCACATCAAAGGTCCTCGAGTCCCGTTCTGGGAGCAACAGCAAGGCAGCAAGTAAAAGTGCTCATCTCAGGTTGGTGGATTGTCCTGTGATTCAACGAGAAGAAAAATGGAAAGAACTCACTCGCGCACTATATCCAGCAAATGCAGTCGTAGATGTCGTGGATGGGACAACAGCCAGCTCAAGCTCAACGTCGTCTTAAGGCTCAAGGTTTCTTCTCTTGATGAGGTTTTCAGGAAGATCACTTATAACTAATTGAGTCATGATGACTTATAACTGATTAATGAGGTTTTCAGGAAGATCACTTAAAATAATTAAGTCACGCCTTAAGACAGCCGGTTAGTTTTTACCTCTTTTCAAAAGATACCTCCAGAACAGGTAAATGAATGAATGAATAGGCTTAGCCCTTCAAACAACATAGTTAATCTCGTCACCGATGAAGATGATTCGACTTTGTTGGATCCACGTAATTCAAAGGGGCACTGCTTTTTTTATATCTAGCTAGAAACTGAGTCTAACTCGTTTTCTATCTCTCCGGTGCTGTGTCATGCTAGGACACACACTCCTTGGCGGTACTACCTTTGTTACGCAACCAAGAAGTAAAGGAACAAATTTCTTCTCTATCTGTTCTGTGGCTTGACCTCCTCAGACCCGACCTCAGGCCCATCTCCTCTAAATCTGCTCCTTATCGACGACGGCGATCGTTACGAAGCCACAGCAGTGTAAATTCATGCTTTGGTTCTGTCGCGCCTTTCGACTACCATCAAAAGAGTCCGAGGAAGAAAACACTCTGGAAAATTTAAGTATAAAGTGACTTAACCAACGACCCTAACTCTTCTCGTAAGACCTCCAGATGCTGTTCTGTAGCATTTCTTGTCGTAGTTCAACACCCTAAGGAAAGTAAGTTACTTAACCAACCCCAGAGTAGGTACTCCTCTCTTCCCATTCTTCACGCCTACTGTTGAGGAGTCACATGCTGGAGCACTCGCGAACTGCTATAGCTGTGCCTCTCACGGATCCTAGCTTTTGTGATCACGAGCGGACTCCGGTAGAAGGGCGTCGATCGACTCGCTGTCTAGGTGGTGATGTACGAGACAAAAACGCTGACGACATCCCCTTGGGTGCTCGCAAGATACCGAAATCACACCCGAGAAGTCGGTACTATCTTTAATATTCATTCAAGAGGAGTACGCAGTTCGATGTTTTTATGAAGAATAATCGTGAAGAAGTGACTTTATTTTTTTTGAAATCGGAACCCAGGTTTACAAATGCCGGAGATGCTGACAGTGGAGCTTACTCTTTCACCACGGCTGCCCTGGAGTGTTTCCGGCTCATCCTGAACATCAGAACGACGAACTATATTAAGGCTTGTTCTTGTGCTACTAAGTACTTGTATTACATACTAGTTATAGTTTAAAGTTTAAGTTTTAATAGTGGTAAGATTAAGATTATAGGAAATAACTTCTGTAACTGAAATATATCCTGCAGCGCTTCGGAATAACTACTGCTCTTTCAAAAATATGATAACTTGTCTTTCAAGTTCAACAAGAATTTTCCTTTTTTAAGTATCATCTTTTCTACTAATAGAAAAGGTAGATCCATGATGTTTTACTTCAATATCCGAGGACTTGTTGTCTTTCCAGTCTTTCCAGATCAACATGAGCGCCTATGCACTTTCAACATGAGCGCCTATCTACAACTACTGAGCTGCTGTCTAATGAACGACGGCTGATGCATCGCGTGGTAGATCGCTGTTGGGAGAATGAGGCGCTTTTGACAGAAGTCCTGGTTCAAGTGATGAAGCAGATTAACAGTACTAATCATCTTATTGCTGTAGCTGTTCAAGTGATGAAGCAGATTAACAGTACTAATCACGATACCATGCTGCTGAAGCTAAGTAGTCTGAATATACTGAAGTGAACATATCATGCAGTACTACTACTAGTCTCCTCTAGCAGCCTCAGGATACTGCTGATCATGAATGCTGAAACTGAATATACTTACTTGGATATTGAAGTAGTATCGCACTACAGCGAGAAGTGCGAGATGATCTTGTTTTTTGGGTCGGATTCGGCATTCTACGTGTCTTCATTGAACATCAAAGCACGTTTTTATCCCAGCCAGCCACCATTCCTCAGATCACCCGCAGGAGAGGCATGAGGTTTTTCAGCAAATGAAGCGATTAAAGCGCCGTGTCGCGGTAGAGCATGAAAGACGTGCTTTGAGTGAGAAGAAGAAAGCAGCCTCTGCAAAAGCAGGAAGAAACGATAACGCGGCTCAGCTTATGGCAAATTTCATGCATGGCCCGGGTGACTGATTGGCCTCCAGCGGAAGGGTTATCACGGTGAAACCGCGGAAGGAATGATTGCATTACCAAACAGGGAGCAGCTGGCGACTGGCTGGGAGCGTGTCCGCACGGCGCCCGCTGGCGCTTTCCGCTCCCTTTGGTTAGGGCCTCGCAAGCCGCTGGTGCCGCGCGGCTCGTCCATGGGTGCAGAGGACGGGGGCTTGATCGCATGACCAACGCGGGGGGCGGGCCGGCGTGTAGTTTGTGCGCCGGCTTGCTTTATCAGGGACTTGCTCGGGTGCGTGGGGCTCGTATCCCACCGCAGCTTTGTGCGCGGCGTCCCTACCGGGCTTCGCGGTGTTGCATGCTTTGTTTGGGGGCTCGACGGGGGGCTGGGCTCGCGTCGGTGTCAGGGAGAGCATACGGCGCGCCAGCTGCATGCAGCGCTTCACAGCTGACTGACGCGGCGGGCGACGGCTGCCGGCCATAGATGTTGGCTAGATAACAAACCCACCGCCGGGCGCTTCCACCTCCCTGGGCAGCCTGGCGCCTGGTGTGTCTGCTGCGCTGGTGTCTGGCGTGGCCTTATCCTTTACATGGTTCGTTCGCCCCACCCTACGTACGTCTATCCGATTCCCACCTCTCGTTGAATAATCTCTCTTTTTATCGTCGATCCTTTCTAAGCTAGCATCCACCCAGGAGCAACCCGAGCTAGCCGCCTTGAGGCAACTGCTTGGCAGAAGTGGGATCGCGCGCGAAGTAGCTGATTGTACGGCGGTTCAGATTGAGGAGCGCCTCTCCAACATGCAAACAGTGGAGTTGGAGCTTGAGCTTCTTTGGCAGCTTTTTGTTGACTTGTTATGTTGAACAGGATTCTTGATAGCGATGAAGTGTGTAACTACTCTAAGTCAGGGAGTCTTTACTTGTGGTAGTGGTTGCAATATGAGATAACGAAAGTTGTATAATGGACCCGAAGTAGCTTTTTCGAGCGGTGAATGAAGTTGAGAAGAGTGGGAATGACTCTTGTTGTTCCTCGACTTCGATCATTACAGATTATCTGGAAACTCACAAAAAGCACTACTATGGACAAACTCGGATCTAAACTTGACTCTAATTCTCGTCACTCTATACCCAGTTCCGAAAACGCTGAGCGAACACCTGAGCGCGTGGCTGAAAGAGTACCTCTTAAGTGTGCAAGGATCTTGATTTTTCAACAGACAATTTGAGTTTCTCTTTTACAGATGTGATGCATGATCACTAGAGGGTTTAGGGTTTAGGAACGAACAAATTGCTCACAAGGTATTATAGAACAATCAAGCGGATGCTGACGTCCCATGTATGATCGTTATTTTTGAGGTTGATTCACAATGTCGACCTCCCTGAACAAGGTACATATCCCGACGTAACCAATACGAGCATATTGCTGGAGATGCAGAGTGGTTCGTGGAGTCTCACGCCAATCTCGCGGATCGGCCCATGGCACTGAGCAGTTACGGGACTGAAACAGAATTAGTCAACCCTAATTAAAAATCTTTGCTACCTCTTGAATGGGTACACTACTACTACTACTTGTTTCCGTTTCTAGTGCTTAGCTAGTTGTAAAGAATGCAAATACACATAGACCTGGAGGAGCATCAACAAACATCACATCGTTTAGAGTTACAAGATTGAAATGCTTTCGAAGATTAAGGTTAGGCCGATGACTTCTTAGGTGATGGGGATCATCATCTTTCTCAGCTTCTAAGACTGCACCTCTACGGATGCTTCATGCGGCTCAAGTCCACCACCAGGTGGGCCTGAGACTCAGGGATCGCCTAGGGTGACTTCGTCTTTATTTCACGCCGTCGCACCTCTAGCGCAGTGTGCATCGACTGAATCGACAACGAATTTGACTGTGCATGTTAAGGCTTAGATTTCAGTAGTTGTCACTGAGAGCGGTTACTAACGCCGAAGAGGAGACCCTCATCTCTGAGAGATGACCAGGGGGAAACACGGGAAAAGGTGAGCGGTGTTGGGGATCCTGTTCCTTCACCAGAATCAGTGACTCCTCACTGACTGCCGACCTTTAAGCATGCGACCTTGGCCGCTGTACAGCATAGACTCGAGAAAATCAACCTCTTTGATGAACAATACGACGCCAGCTGCGTCGCTGCGGCCAACGTGTGGGGCAGTCGATTGCAACAAAAGACTAGGACATCTGCAACTTCAGGCAAGATCGCTGTGAAAGTGATTGACACTTCTGGCTCTAGACGTAGCAGGAAATCCTCTTCCTCCAGCGTTGCGTCGAAGAAGCCGTCTCAGCCGCCAAAGCCCTTACCGTATCCCTTTGATCGATTGCTCTCCGGTTCTGCGGATGAAGATCATGGGTCTCAAAGTTGTGGAAGTCAACCTTGCGCGACTGCAATCGGATCAACTTCAACGTCAGTTAGCAAGTCTCAATCACCGTCGGCCACTACGAGGACTACTTCTACGAATATGTCCACATTAGGCTAGTATAGCGCTAAAGCGTCGTCCTCAGCGCCATTCTTGGCTCTTTTCCTAATTTGAAAAAGAAGCCAAGGATGCTCTCAGGGATGCAAAAGCGACAGCGCTAAGCCAACTTCCAGCACCATGACCACCAGCACCACCAGCACTACCAGCACTCCAGCACTCCAACTGGATGGTGCTCACTGTTACGGTGGTGTCGCTCCTTTCCTGTACCATTGGCGACAGCGTAGGCTGCACGACCAAGTCGCGGATGCTCGGATGCAACACGCAGCTGTCGACTACATGACGGCGATGCAGAGCTATCCTTCGTTGATGCAACAGCGGGTGCTTCTCACATTTTAAGGCTCTACTAGTTGTCGTAGGATTTTGTTATCTACTTTTCTTTTAAGCTGCTTCTAGTACTAAGATTTTGTTATCTACTTTTCTTTTAAGCTGCTTCTAGTACTAGGATTTTGGTATCTACTTTTCTTTTAAGCTGCTTCTAGTACTAGGATTTTGTTATCTAGTACTTTTCTTAATCTTGTTATCGAGTGTGTGACTGTGATCTTATTCTAGGACCAGAGTGGGGCTTTTCCCCTTCTAGGAATCAGTCAAGGGGGAAGAGTCTTCTGAGGGGAAAGATATAGGCTATCGCGGGTAAGTCAGTCAGTGTCAGTGAAAAGCAAACCGTCAGTCAAAAATCACCTCTAAGCACCGCAACTGGTAAAGACTGCGCGCCCACGTGAAGTTTACCTCATGCTGTGCGAGGGCCGTAGCCACTTAGCGCAGTTGGACCAGGCTGTCGATAGCGAGATGCTGGGTTCGAATCCAGGTTCTTCGGAGTACAACAATTTGAGTGGGATGAACTACATGCGAAGTTGTACTCGAACGTCATCAGTTCATAGACCTAGTTCTTTAAGGCTACTTGAAAAGTAAGTATCCCAGGTGGAGTACTTCTATGTATGCTGAGTGCGTGATTGAAGTCCTCCTCGATCCCGGACATGGCAAGCACTCAATAATTACCAGGGATAGTGAAAAACTAGCGTTAAGTACTGTTTTTAACCGTGGAGCTGGAGGTGCGTCGACGCCGTTACGTCGTTTGACGGATATTACGACAAGACGATCCTCAATTTTTGATGCTGAAGCGGGCCCTCTTGTGGGGTCCTATTCACCAGACATGAAATGCTGCGGAGGTGGTAGGGCTAGTCACGTACTAGAGGCTACAACTAATTCTGAAGCTGCTTTTCAGCGAGGACAAACGACTTCGATGGTTTTGGCAGATTCAGCTACAACAGATGGAGGAACAATTGGAGGCACAGCTTCAACTTCTCGCAAGAACTCTCTTCGTCTGCGAGTGTCCTCGGCTTACAACAATATAGAGGAAAGCTCGACGACGTCATGGCCAGTTTACTCAACCGCGAGAACGTTGGCGGACACGCGTGGAGGTGCTACTGGCTGGAAATACAGAGCACGAATGTCCAACCTCTACACGGAGGGGCCTAAATTACATCTATACCGCTCGTTGAGAACTCAGCTGAGACGCGCCAACGGCACAACTGGCACAAGAACTACAACTAATCCAACTACCGGAGCAGGAAATGGCGCTAGTATTAAGGGTTACCACATTACGCTCTTCCCTAGCGTGCTGGATTTGTTTCTTTCCCAAAACATCCCGGAAAGAAGTCCGGGATGTTTTGAAGAGTGCAATGCTGCGACCTCGTCTAATAGTAGAAGAAGAAGTTGTGCGGGCCGTGGGACGGATCATCCCAGCAGTTCTAGGGGAGCTAGTGGAAGTGCTGACGCATCCAAAGGACGAAGTACACGACTTGAGTCCACTTCCCAGACTCAGGGTTCATCTCACTTAGCGGTGCGGAAAGGTTCGAAGATTGATGTACGTGCTTCAAAGAGGAAAAATTTTGCTTCTCGTCTGACGGTGGTGACAGAGCAATCGCCACGTCACGAAACTTCGAGTGGTCGTGAAGAAGCTTCCTCCTCTGCTCAGAAGAGCAGCAGTGCAAACCTCAAAGGCGGAAAGACTTCAGAGAATACTAGAGAAACCACTAGAGGAGGAAGCAAGTCGTCCAACTCTAATAATACAGTTGTTGTACTAGGGCAAAAGAACATAGAGAAGCAGATGAACATAGTAGACTCAGAAGTTTCAGAAGACCAACAAGATCTTCTAGTTTCGCAGGAAGTTCCGGGACGATTCAAGGACCTGAAATATGATTTTGCGCCTTCGGACATCTTGTATCCTGGATATTGGAACTCCTATGCCTTTCTTCCGGAGAGAATGGCCAAATTCTCTCATCCAAGTCTCAACTACGACGACAAGGAACTTGGCACGATGGGCAGGGACGATAAGAAACAAGAGGGAACAAAAATTAAGACCAGTCAGAAAGATTTTGTTCGTTTGAGAAGATATTACGTCCTTTGGCCTTCCACGGTACACCTCGTTACTAGATAAGTACTTTCCGTAGGTTACTTTTCCTTCTCCAGATTTTTCATGTATCTACTGAATTCTTAAAGCAGCATGACCTTGATTGTTCTGACTAGAAGATGAATCTATTATCGCTGTACTCATTCTGTTCATTTATCTCACTTTTATCGCTCCAAATCCAGCGTTATGATCTTTATCGTGAGCTGCTCTAAGAAACGGAGAAAAAGCACACGGACGGTTATAAGAGTCTCCTCATCTTCTTCAGCGCGTGTCTCCACTACGTCACCTGGATCATCCTCGCTGAGTCCAGATCACGCACAGCATAAGGCTAGAATTCCTTTCACAGGAGCAGCAGCTTCCAACAGTAGCGCCAATACCTCTGTTAGCTGCTGCTCTACACTCACTCAGTCAATAGTAGAGTCTATACCCTACCTGTAGCATGATTACTAGAGTTGTACATGATTGCTAGATTGCAATGCAGCTACCTACTATTGTCTATAGTGCAATATGCTGTAGTAGAGGCCACTAACACTGTACTAGAGTGCAATACTACATGGACTCTACTACAGCAATACCTGTAGAGTTGTACTACTATTGCTATGCGACTCTACTATTGAACAATACTGTAGGAAAGGTAGAGTCAATACTTCCAGCAGTAGAATCAATACTTCCTGTGGTAGAGTCAATAGTAGAGTCAATACTTCCAGCAGTAGAGTCACTTCTTCTTCTAGTTCTAATAGTAAAGTGGCCAACACTTCTGCGAGGACATCGATTTACTCGAAGAGCGTGGATAGAGTGGACATGGAACAAGAGCAAACAACTGGGACAACTTCAATTAAGGCAACCGCAGTCTATATCCTCGAAAGCGTCAGCCTTCGTTTCAAATCTTTTTCATCTAGATGATAAAGATGCGAAGGATGCTACTGCTACCGAGGATCTTCATGCAAAGACGGCGGTAGCTCTAAAACGTCTAGTGGTACTTCTAGAAGAGTGCCAGCACTTAGGAGTGGTCATCAAGGGGATCTAGAAAAATGCAGTCCTATTTGCACATCCTCGAAACGGACGACTTCCACTACATCGGATAGAGCAAAGAAGCAGGCCTCTTCCGTCTCCACGGCATCGACCTCAGCGACGCAACATTGTGACTCAAGTTCAGTGTCCACATGCAGGACGACGCATAGTCGAAGCACCTCAACATTCTTCCGCACTAGCACAATCTTCTCGGAAGCTACCAATTTTAAGGCACCCCATGGCAGTGTTAGCAGCTACGCTGCTGGCGACATCGCTAGCAACGTCGCTGTCCCTTTCGCTACCAGTTTTTCACTATCCCATGTGGAGTAGTACGCTGATTGCAGTCAGCCTGGGTAAGTAAGGGGGGACTAACTACTTACTCACTAAAAGTATCTATAGGGTATGGGTAAGAATCAGAGAGGGGAAGAAGAACTCACTCAACCGGGATGGTGAAAAACTAGCGTTAAGAATTCGTCCGTGCTGGGAGAACAGCAACAGCAGCATAGCCTACTGAAATCGTCATTGGGAATTGCAGACCATCTTCGGGATAACGAAAAATCTTCATCCTCCTTAAATAGTAGGGGCCGGTCTGACCTCCAGGGGAAGACAGGGACAGGGTCATTGGCGTTGCGTCGAAGCACGACAGGTAAAAATATGGTGGAGCAGCGTGGCCGTGGCTGTGAAGCAGAGACTGCGTTACGTGCTGCTCCATATAGGGAACGGGTACTCAACAAGAGCTCGCAAGAAGTTCTACCTCAACAGCCTTATTGTTCCCCTCTCGACGATCTGAAGCAGGTTCCCGCTAGAAAGGTGCTAAACTGGCGACCGAACGCTTGTCATTGGACATTTTCCAACTTGGAGCGTTGTCTCCATGGCTGGCGCCGTCCTATCTTCGAGCAAGATTTGGGTTTATTGTCCTCCATAAAGCTGAATCCTTCTGTGCTCTCCGCCATTCCGAAAACGGGAGGACTTAGCCATCAATCAAGTAACTTGGCCAACAACTTAGTTATGCTTATAAACATTATGGTTATAAACAACTTAGTTATGGTTCTAGTTAGGTCGGCTCCACCACAGTTATAAACATATATCCATCTTCTTTCTCAACGGCGTCGATTATTATCATGGTCAAGTGTCGTAGCCAGCAACTTTTATCCATGTCCTCTCTCCTCAGCATCTTTTTAGTGGTATCTTTTTGTAGTTCCCATGTGGAAGGAGGATAATTACACGGGAAAAGGTACAGGCACTACTAGTATCGAGGAGATGGGTTTGGGGACCAAGATAGATGAATAGAAGCTAAAGCTCGTTTCCGCTAACTTAGACTTCGGCTTGGCGGAAAGAGAAGAGGAGAGTGCGCGACGCAGGACCAAGTATAATTATGACTTGAAATAGGTGAAGGCTATCTGTTGTACAAGTACAATTATTTAAGAGTTAAAATAGATAGAGTCTGTCAATCTGAATCTGATGTATCGGTCTTGAAGATGAAATAATATGAAATCAGATTTCATCTTAGCGAGCACTTGAAGATCGCCTCCGCCTGGTGTTTCCGAAAGGAACGAAACGGACACAAAGTTGATGCTAATATAGATGATCGATAATTTCTTCCAGTTCTAATACAATCCAGCAGACTTGCCAATCCAAGATTCTATTATCAAAACAGGAGAAGCTGCGGAGGAGGAGGAGAGTTCGTCAGATGACGAGGATACTAGTCTTAAGATTAGTCTTGTTAAGGAAAATTGAGTACATCTCTCGAGGACTCCTACCATCACCTTGGCTCTCTTTCTATTGCAGAAAAGGATTCTTGCGAAGTCCTTGGCTCTATTTCTAGTAGAAAAGCAAAACTCGTCAATCTAGGGGAGAAAAAATTTCTCTAGTGGAAAAGAAGCCAGGGTGGATGGATTATGTAATGAGGAATGTAAAGATTTTGGAGCTGCTTGCTCTAATACTCAAACTCAAACTCTTCAGCATGCTTCGACGTCTACTACAGATCATGGCCCCTCCAGAAGAAGTAGAGCAGCATCCTCCTGTCACTTGATGGATGTCGGGAACGAACCACCGTGGGTTCCGTCTTCGGGTGTCTTTCTTCCTGCTTTCGCTCCTCCAGGAAGCGAAGCGAGGTTCTCTGTATGTGCATCAAATAAGGGCTGTTGTACTTCTGCAACTTCTGGAGGTGCCGGATTGTTCTTGGAGTCGCAACCGAGTCCTAGTGGTGCATCTAGCGCGAGTTCTAGGGGTAATTCATCTCTACTACTAAATAAGAGTCGTACAACAACTACTTTCAGAGATGATGGCGGGGTGGAAAGGGATGGAGGGGATACAAGAAGAACTACAACTCAACAGCAGCGCAATCATATGCAGCAGATGTCTACATCTACTTCGTCATCTAGCTCATCTTGTTCGCCAACGTTTAGTCGAGGAGGTGCAGAGGGAGGCCAGCACCAGCACAGTAGTTCTACTTTGCTGCAGCTGATGTCTATTATTAAGGCTCTCGATCATGTTGCTTGTTCATCTTTCGGGTCATCCCTTTTGAAGCCTGACTTAAGAGTGTCAAGGGTGGTACTCGAGTGTCTCTTGTTCACCGTCAAGAAGTAAGTACCACTTGACTTTACAGTACCACTCGTTCAAATTTCGGGAAGCATCCCTTTCTTCAAGAGTGTCTTCCCTTACGGTATTTTCGGACTGATATTTATCTTCAAGGATCATGAAGAAGCTGAAGAGAGATGAACCATGATTGGCTTGTCTAAGTCTAGCTCTTCCAGCCCTGGTAGAGGCGCGCATCAACGTCAAGGAACGCCTGCGCGCAGTTGTGGACAACTTCTGGCAGGTCTAGACTTAAGGCTTGAAGATACAACAACTCATTATAAAAATACCAACTGTAAAAATTGTTTAAGTGGTTTGTTAAGAAGATCCCTAATGGCTTTGAAGAGTTCTAATAGACATTGGAGAAGCTTCCAGTCCTAGTTCGTTTCGAGGGAGTCCAGATCGTGCTAGTGAAGTGACCGAGTTCATCGATACGCCTCCGACACTCTTAGGGAGTCGAGTGAGCAGCACATCTAACAACCTCCAGAACAATATTAATGTTCTTAATACCTCTAGTAGTAGTACTACTTTTGGTCGAGGTTCACCATCATTCATTCAGGGTGCTTCAATTAAGGCTTTTTTTTGTTATCTGGGTCTACACTTTCACGCTATAGTATACCTATAGTTCCATTGAATTACCCCATTGGGCGGGGGCAGCATCGTTGAAACGTATGGGGGAGCATCACAAGGGAACGCTCCCCCATGCTTTTCAAGGATGCAGCATTTGAAAGATGAAGCGTTGACAGTTCTAATCCAGGACCGCTGTTTCTCTCCACGACGCCAGGAAGTGCAACCTCTCCGCTTGAGCAGCACAGTAGTGCAGCTTTTAAGACTTCTCCTAATCTATCTCCGGAAGCATCTCGTCAAATTTGATCCTTTTCCTTCCTCGGAAGAAATATCGGATAGAAACTGTTGTCCCGTAAGGGAAAACAGCTGTAAGGAAGCTGTAAGCTCCTCAACAGCTGTAAGGAAAAACAGATCCGAGATGACTTTCAAAATGGAAGATTGGGGTGAGCTCTAAAGCTTTGATGTCAGGTAATATTGGCGGAAGGCGGAAAGAGCAGAGTAGACTCTTCCCAGCTTATAATAACTTTGTGGACAATTCCCCCGGTTGTACAACATCGGACCACCACGCGGCGAGAGGTAGTGAGTATGTACAACATCAACATCTACATAATGTGGACCCGATTTATGGAGGTTCACAGCAGTCGATGTCGCTTGGACAACACCTTGCAGGAACCCTAAACCTTAGTTGTGCAGCCACAACCAGTGACATTCAGGAGACCGGGCGTGCCTCACATTAAGGGTCAATTTACACTTCATTTCTACATCAAGGGAGGTCAAATTTTCGTCGGTTTCCTTCTTAGGATTCTGAAATAATGAAGGAAAGAAATTGAAATTGATTGTTCTGCGCTCTAAGGATAGCAAAGCGAGGACCTGTTTCCTACGAACGGGTTACAGCATGAGACAGGGTTAATGCTTTCGCGCTTCTTACAGGCTTGCCAAGGCAACAACACAGCGATTCCGCGCTTTTCTACTGATTAAGGCTACAACGGTGGTCAAGAACCCATGAACTTGTTTTAAACCACCTTTGAATTAGATGCAGTTCTTCAAATCTAAAAGAGGCTCCAAAAGATGCTCCAAAAGATTAAGATGCTCCAAAAGATGGGTTCATCTCGGTACTACTTACTTCTAAACTGACAGTTCGGGGCATGTGAACGGTCGAAAAGCAGGTGCGAGAGAGGATTTTTCTGCCCTGGCTGCGTTTAGAGCAAGAATGATCGCAGCTCCGAGTAGTACTTACAGTTAAGGCTACCGCTGAAGCATGTCCTCTCCTTAGTATCACCTACCATGATCCTTGGGCTTGGACGTTCTTCTTTTTCAAGGGGAAAAAGAAGTATCCTCCAAGGAAATTGTGGCACTCAACAAGGAAGACGCGGGGGTAGCTCTAATACAGCACTGATGACGCTGCTAGTGTCGCGAGTGGAGGTAGCTACCAACAAGAGCCGGATTCACAGCCGCCTCAGAGGAGGAATATTAAGGCAGGCTTATTCCCTAAATAATCCATCCCCATCAGTACCAGAGACATTCATCTGGATGCTAGTACTGTGGTGAAGTCGAGAGTGCCGCTAAGCTAAAAAGCTAAATAATCCATCCCCACCAGTACCAGAGAGATTTTCATGAAGGATGTCGTTCTAAGAAAAGCACGAGGACTGGCAGACAGAGCCGTGTTAGTATAGCCAACAGCAGGACGAGTGGGAGTGCAAACGGGGTAAACATCAAGAGGACCTCCTCCTCCGCTGCAGCTGCATCAGGAAGAGCCGCTAGCTGTGATGTTTCTGCTCCTCGTAGTACTTCTCAAGGACCGGCGTCGAAGGAAAATAGGAATCTACTTCAAGAGAAGAATTATACTAGGACTGAGGAGAACTATAGGACTCAGTCCTTAGAGCGCGGAGCAAGTGGCTCTCGGCGTCTTATTTCATCGACGTCCTCTGGTGGAATGAGAGGTCCACCTGGTCCTTTGTTAGGTGTATCTTCGGCAGGAGGTATGCCAGGTGGAGCAGTTGTAGGAGCAGTTATAAACTCGTCGACTGCGAATACTACAGCGACCACAACTACAACATACACAGTTAAGGGAGACGAAGATGGTAGAAGTAGAAGATATTAGACATGTAGTTGATATGGTCTGCTCATTACAGAAGAAGAACATTTTATTTTTACGAGAATTAGGCTAAGGTTTTTTACCTTCAACATTTAGTTTTCCATCAAGCAGCTAATCATGTATACTAAAGACAACTTAGGGAGGATAGACACTACTCTTCAACACACATCCTAGGACTCTCCTCAATGTACTACTATAATTTCCTAAATGTACTACTACCTCCTAAAAATGTAAATGAATTGCTTCAACGACCTTTAAGCTTGGCAGCAAGCGAGAACGCGCAAAATTGGTCGCTCAACCGCAAGTAGCTGCAACATCTTCTCAAGCTGGACTGAGTGCGAGTCATGTTGTCGCAACTACCACATCAAGGAACAAGCTTACATTAAGGCTTCCGCTGGAGCATCCTCTTCCCCAGCATCATGATGCTTGGTTCTTCTTTTTCTACTTGACAAAGAAGCAACCAAGGATTTGCATCTCAAGGAAGATGCGACCGCGGTAGCTCTTCTAAGTACAACAAATATTAGTCGCAGTGACGATCGGCTACAGTCACTTGCATCTTCAAGGGTCAACAGGAGAGCCCCGGCCCCAGCATCTCGCAGTACATCCACTCAACTTCACACGCAAAGCTACCCTACAGCTAATCCTATTACGACATCCAAGACGAGAATGGGAACGGGAACGGCAGCATCAGGAACAGGAGCTTCATCTAGTAGGGGTCCCATTAGAAGTACAGGGCCAACTTCTACTTAAGGCTCAATACTAGAATTCACTTCTACAAATGTAGTATGATGGATGCTCTCTCAGGTATCTTACTGAAGATGAGTATGTGTAAGTAGATGTAGAGCCTGAATTTTTGCACTGTTTCAAAGCTCGTTTCTACGACGTGTTCCCTCTTAGGCTATAATGTTCCCTCTTAGGGAGCTATCGAAAGAATCATTCGCCTAAGAATTGAAATTGAATTGTTTCAAGCTCTAACACGTCTCTGTCCTGTAATAAGGATACTTAGTAGCTCTCCCACACCAACCTCTTGTCAGGCATATCAATCAATCAATCGTGTAGGATAAGACTTTTGACTATCTAAGGATCGCAAGACTCTTTCAAGCTCTAACTATCTGGTAGGGTGGAAACAACCGCACAACCTGTAGTGCCTGTTGGAGGTGGACGAGGAGCTACAGCAACAAACTCCAACAGAGCTAAGACGACATCAAGGAGCAATTATGTAAGAAGTGCTGAGAGAGTGGAGGCAAACGCTAACGCACGCCCTTCAAAGAGGAGTGCGACTGTGGGGAGGCGTAACTGAGAGTGGAGCAGGCAAACGCACGCCCTTCAAAGAGGAGTGCGACTGTGGGGAGCAAAACCAAGGGATAGACTTTGAAACTGAAAGCTACTAGTAGTAGTAGTAAGTACCTAGAAGAAGTATTATGAGTATTGTTACAATAGAAAGTCTTTCTAAGAAAGACCTGGGTCATGATGCCGTAATGGTATGATCCCATTTGTCTCTTTTGATGCAAGTACGTAAGAAGAAGTAGAAAGAGGTTTGTAGTATGACTACCGCGGCTATGGCAGCCTTAACGCGTTACTCTAGCAACAAGTTCTAAAGCAGAATTTTAATAGAGCAGTTGTAGTACTAGTAGGATCCAACCAGCATGCATCTATAACGCATTGCCAAAATTTCGCGTTAAGCCTGTCATAGCGGCACTTCTAGTATCGCCTCCTGTCATTTATAAAAGTGGATAGTTATTCAACAGCGGGTCTTCAAAAACCTCGTAAAGTAGTAATAGATTGTCCTCGCGTGCGAAACTAACTTTTTCTAAGTACAAGCAACTTGAAGGATATTGAAAACCCATGAAAAGATGAATAACTAAGTCTAAGAAGTATTCTAAGTACACTGGAAGAACGATGTTGATAACATCACACTTCTATACATAGTATACTTTCGAAGAAGACATCACCAGTCCTTTTTTACACAGCAATTGAGGGCATACTCTGGACTACACCCCCAGTTCGGCATATGATTATCAACACGATGGGAACGAAAAAAATCTTCGACTACAAAAAGTGTATTGATGTTGAGTAGTAAAGTAGATCTTTCATGCATAGCATATTCTTCATAGTGATTTTCATATTGAATTTTTGTCGAACTTTTTTCATAACTACCACGACTGACGTAGAGGTACGGGAATAGCCTATCAAAAAGGATATCGTTGTCTTAACCTAACCTGAATGCTTTCGTTTACTCACGCTATGGTTATTGATTTTCTCGTACACATTTTTGATTTGTATATTTTTTTCTTCTTCACCATTGGCAAGCTTGAATGGGAGCTAGCTTTCTCTTCTTGCGCGGAAGATAGCTGTCCCCTGCATCGTGAAGTGCTCGATGAAGTTAGTGTCTTACAGGTCGTGAAGTATATGAAGACAAGCGCTGTTGTACCACCTCTACTTCTGTTCTTCCTCAGAAGAAGTGCTCGAAGCGAATGTCCAAGAAGTTTTGCTATGTTTAATATTAAGAGATAGTCGCTATAATCATCAGGATTAGTACAATTACATAGCAACAAGGGAGGACAGAGAGGTTGGAAAACGTCCTTACAACCTGTGCTAGTAGTTGTCTCAGACCTCCATGATATTCAAAAAATTCGAGACAGTCATGTCGTTCGACAGAAAAATGTGTCTCTTTTTTTTCTCGACAGATATTATATTGTTAAGTAGTATAACTGTTTCAACTTCTATTGTTAAGTAGTATAATTATGATTAGTTCGCGCGGCCTCATGTCAGAACCTACTTATCTGATATGTATGATCGTTCGACGGGTATGGGGACCGCTAAGCCTCGTGCGGAGGGGGTAAGTTCGTGCACGAGCTTAGCATAATATATGCCTTGACCTGGCGCAGTCTTTGTCAGAATATGATTCTTCATCTTATTTGAGATTACACTAAGTTTCTTGATATTCTAAAGTCCACATGATTATGCCTTAGCACGTAGAGGGCAGAACTTGGTTTTATCGACCAGCTCTTGCTTCTACGTTTGTTTTCTATTGCCCAGCACACCAGACGAGGGACCAGAGACCCTAAACTCACTCACTCACTCACTCATCAAAGGTGACCTTGATTTGTGATAAAAAAATGGGAATAATCTGTGAGTAAAAAAGGGAATAATTATTTGTAAGGAAAACAAGGGAAGGCCCTTAAGGCAGTTTGCATTGTACTTTGTGCGAGATTTATTGTGTTGTATAAGCCAAAAGTCATAGTTATTGTACTCGTGTTCTTCATGGTGAACTACTAACATTGTCCTCGAGATATTGTTGTATAAAGGCAGTCCGTCTTGTGCAACTAGTTATAGTTTCCTTAGACCTACATCACCATCAAGATGTGGGGGAGCTGAAATCCGCGGACAGAGCTACTCAATCGTAATTGTAATTATCCTCAATCCCGTGCTCATTCAACTCGCTCAGGTCTAAGTCGTTTCTTGATCTTATTCTTGAAGCGAATTCTGTGAACAAAAGGCCAAAGTATGTTATGTACATATGCGGGAAGTTGTGACGGTCGTGAGGCGTAAGTTGTATGTTATTCAGAGTCTAACGTATGACAGGGAAGTGGATCGATGTGACCTATAGGTATTGGTATACATCATGTAGATGTAAATCTGCACCTAAGGTGGATTCACATTGTCAAGTCTACACCCAAAGTATCACCTACTCATGCCAAAGACATAAAAAAGAGGCTCTAATTTGTTTACTTCGAAGAATCTTTTACCGGTCTCTTTTATTATCATACGTTGCTATGCATGTTGGACTTTTCTACTGATGACCTAGTGTAGTTCCTTGCTGAGAATCTAATCCTTGTTAAGAATGATCTACATCGTATGTCAGCAGCCTACTCCTTGCTGAGCAGAGCAGGATCCTGCTTGTTAAGAGTCTTCTTTCAAGGCTCTTCTTTTTGCTGCACAAGGGAGATCGGTGCTCTCGGACTACATCACACTGGGATCACCCTTTCGGCGTTCTCGGACTACAAAAAAAAAAAGGTGCCTTCCGGAGGCAACCTGATTGATTGAAAGAAAGGGACACTTATGCGAAGAAACATGTGAAGAACAGATTGCCTTGTTCTTAATATGATTTTTTGCGAGGCTTGAAGAGTCCTCTAGAAACCTGTCGCTGTACTTCTACACAAATTGAAATTTTTTTCTACAAAAAGGATAAGCTGCTTTCTTGTACGAAAAGGATAAGCTGCTTTCTTGTACGAAAAAGATACGCTGCTTCCTCACTACGCGGTAGGAAATGTTGAAGAAGAGAGCCTCCAGATATGAAAACAGATACAACAAGGGAAGGAAGAAAGAGATAAAAACACGGACTCATAATTAAAGAGGCTATACCCCGTGAATGGGTACATCAATCAATCAAGCAGTTCTTCAGGATCGGTTCTCTCATCGATAAAGATCAACGATTATTCTGATCATGATTGACCACTTTTCAAGAATCACCCTCATTGTCGCTGGTTCTGTATGATCACTTGAGAGCTACTAAAAAAAGTTTAAAGGTGAGGACTTCCAAATAAGCAAAAATTAGTGTATTAAATATTGGCTGCTTAGAGGCAGAGCGACAATAGCTACCTCCAGAACAGGTAAATGGGTGAGTGAGTGAGTCTGACATCTTGGCAACGATGATCATTTTTCGAGACGTCTTGTCAACGATGATCATTCGAGGATCATTGTCTGACCATGAGAGTGATTGTCATTAGTTGAGGTCATTGTCCTCGTTGTAGTTTTTCACTCTCCCTAGCTCTTCTTAGAATGAAGGTACTACTTCACTGAACTACGGCCTCAACATACATAGATACACAATGCAATACAAGAGGCACCATGACATGACATGACATGACATGACATGACATGACATGACATGACATGACATGACTACAACCTAATCTACTTACCTTCATCTTTTGCAGGATCCCTAACCTGGCCTAACCTACTTGCCAAATGAGCTGCTCGATGGGAAGGATCCCTGGCCAAACCTAACCCAACTAACCCAAACCCTAACCTACTGAACCTAAGGACCTACTTCCTTACAATTGAAAGCGTCTTTTCATTTTAGTCCACTGACTTCATCTAGCTTAAGCGTCAAAAGATACCTTCAGAACAGGTAAATTAATGAATGAAACTCACCCTCTTCATACCTTTCATTAAGTTCAAGACAAAGAGGACATCAAAATAACTTATTCTGATCTTTCCATTTCGTCCAACAGAATGGGTCGTATCCTTGAAAAACCGACTTTGAAGACAACGACAAGAACATCAGGTGGAGGAAAGGTGGGAGCAAAAATGTCGAAACAAGTACTGGAGAATCTACTACAACTATGACTACCAGAACAAGAATGTGGAGGACATCTTCATCCTCTACTTTGCCACCTACAACAGATGAATCAGAAGTACTAGAGGTTGAAATGGCGCCATCCGCAGATGCTCGTATGAATCCTCGTTTGAGAAGAAACAAGTCTTCCCCCTATCTGTTACAGGTACGAGAGGTGCCGCGTCTTGGCTCAACGAACATTGCAGATTCAGAGTAACGCACCTATTCTGCTGGATCGGACAAAGAAGCTGACCCCGTCTAGAAGCGAAGGCACCGACGCGACCAGAATCGCGGAACTAGAGCTACGAGACGACCTCATTCCGTATGTGTTTCGACGCTATTTGCCAGGAAGGAGCCAAGGAGGTGCAGAAGAATACGAAGACTGGAGGTTCTTGTGCGACTTGTTGGATGCGGAGGATTGCTGATTTGTATATTCGATGGTTCGAGGAGTGCGAGTGGTGAAAGCGAAAGGTTGGACATATCGTTCCTTAGGAACGGTTCTTCATAACTTGTTCTACTTGCAAAACGCATGGTTGATGTTCATGTGAGGAGACGAACAAGATCCAAGACAACACGTTCTCACTATTTACCGTGTCGATGTAAGTCCTCGTTGCAACACCGTTGTAGCATTATATTCGACTTCTGCTTCTCGTGATACATAGAAGTAGATTACAAGACTCTAATTAGACGACCTAGTCCGCCTCCTCAAGATGGATGCATTACAACCACGCGATTATGCAACACAACCAGCCTCAGATATGCTAATTAGAGTTTTGTATACCCGATGAATGCGTACACTACTACTACATAGGAAGCGAATACTGCTCTGTGCTCGTAGTTGAAAAAGCGCCCGAGTCCGAGGATGATCTTCCGCGCTATTTCTTTGAAAGAGAACGATCTTCCACTTTCTATGACCTTTGAAAGGATGAGAGAGAGAGAGTTTGCTCAGGTTTGATCTCTACACGCCAAAAGTCGGTGAAAACGGCCACCAGATTTGGCCGTGCAGTGCTGCGTTCTTGCATGTGTTGGGAACGGAAGTCTTTGCGCCACAGTGGTTTTGCGCTGACGCGCATCAAGTAAAGCCGAAAGAGGTGCTACAACATGCTTCTAGAGTTAAGGGTGTGGGATGAACTCCATTTCCAAAGCGATTCATCTGAGCGACTCATCTGGAAGAAGAATGAAGCCAAGAAGAGAAAGGGACCCACCAGATGATTACCGGGATGAATTTCCTAGCCCTTTAAGAAAGGTCCGCCTGCTTCAAGAACATCTTCAACTTCATCAACTTCCACCCGTGCTGCTGCTGCTGACAACTTCCACCCGACAATAACGACGAGGCCGAAGTCAACGAGAACTACAAGTCCTCAATTCGGAATTTTTGCGCCTTTGCCTGCTTCGCCTACGTCACAATGCTGGCTCTCGCAATTCAGCCGATGAAAAGGCAGAGCAGCAGCACTATTTCATCTGCTTGAGTCTCACGAAAAACAAGCGGGGAGAGAGATGCTGGCCTTTTTGATAGCGGGTCTTGTGTCTTAAGGCTCCATAAAACCCAAGCCCACGTGGATCCTGTCAAGGTACTGCGCTGGTAGTACCTCGTGGATAATTCTCGGGCTGCTCCTTGTATTGAGACCAGTACTTGTTCTGAGAGGCGAGTACTTTAGCGGGATCTAATATTCGCGGGAGGATGGGTCGTTAGGGGTAGCTCTAAGTGTCGTTTTCCACCTCCTGGGCCGTTTTTGGATGGACGCTGGAGGCATGCTCTGTCTGGTGCTGGTCAGCCGGATTTTACGCACTCTGGTCAGCCGGATTTATTTTCAACTCCAAGAATTACTCTGCGGCTTGATTTGATATTCTGGAAGTGTCTCCTGGTGGCAGCTATGAATTGAGAGTTCGGTGACAGCTACTGGAAGATATTGCTTAGTCTCCACCAATGTACAGTATCGTATGTATCTATATGTACGACTACGTAAGACGACTCACGCCATGGATGACACAAGAGAGGAAACGCCAACAAAGCGCTATTTCTGGTCCAGGCTTCAAACGTTGGCACCACCTTCTTCTAGATGTCGATAGCTCGCTGTCTTCCCTCTAGTTATCATGGTGTCCATGCTCAGATTATAGAGACGATTATGATAGATCGGGAGGAGAGAAGCTCTTCATGGCAAGACCAAGAGAAAGGAGACCACGGTCATTGTGGGCGGAGATGAAGCTCTCAATAAATTAAAATTTATGAATGGTAAAAGAGATAGAGATCTGAATCTGATGCCTCCAAGATCTTCATTATAGAGGCCTTTGGATCTGAGATGTTGGAATCGCATGGCACGAAGAATGTTCAAGGTTCTCAATGCTAATCAAGGTGCGAGGTTCTCTTTGATGATGATCAAAGTTGAGATCATATAATATATAGTAACTCTACGAAATGAGTTCTACTAGCTACAGCAGAAGGGTCACCTTGCGCTGATATGTACTTAGTATTATTACTCTTGAAAAATGCATCTTCACCGCTGTTGCTGGCACCAGATGCAAAGCGACCTTCTCAGATTTGGGGAGGACATACGAAATCTTCTTGTTGTAAACTACATTTTTACTTTGATTTACTGAATTTGTTCAAAGAAGAACATAGTCTACTTATAGACGTCGACGAATACTAATTCGTTCCAAAATTTACTTATCAAGACGGCTAGTGCTTACATAATCATAAACGCACTACCTTTTTTATGCAAAGAAATATATTGAAACTGTAAGATCACGCTATTTTTCGTATTCGTATTCGTAAGTACTTTCTATGCATGAATGAATGAATTTCATTTTCAACCGGTATCTATAAAATATTATTTAAGTAAATTATCACAAAGTTCATCTTGATCATGCATCTGCAAAACACTTCTACGATGAGAATGAAGAGCCTGCTTATCGTCTTCCTGCTCAATTTCCTTGCTTCAACGCAGGACACGAGTGGGGCATTCGTCGGAGCTGCGAGATTAGGCAGTGCAAAAAGCGAGCAGGGAAGCGGCACTTCCACGATAAAGAACCTAATTAAAGGCGGGGGAAAAGGGAAGCAGGCTCAGGGAAAAGGGAAGCAACAACATATCCGCACTGGCTTGCAGTTTGGTGGCCGCAGTGTGGGGTCAAGTGCAAGTGTTGGTGGCTGTGCGGCAGCAGAAAGTGCCGCTGCTGGTAGCACGAGAGCGCGTACTGCTGTTGGCCAGGAGTCGTGTGACGAGGCGAGCCCTCCTCCTCGTGGGAAGATTGGGGCGAAAACAAGCCCTGCGTCTTGTAGTTCTAGAGGACCGGGACCGGCGCTCTTTTGTCCGTTGTTTGACGTGCTTACGTCGGTCGAATTATCGCTAGCGGAGGGCTCACAAGGCTTTGCTTCCAATGACGTGGCTGGCGTAATAAAGCCGAGCAGAAAAATGCGCAAACGCTTCATCTGGGAGGATTACGAAGGCTACGCGGGCTTACTCGGTCTCGCACCCCCGACGGCCCAACGAATGCGTGAGAGGCACTTTCAAAGGCCTCCGACAGTTTTCGCCAATGCTATTCGGGAAGCCACGAACAAAATTTTCCAGGAAAGAGGGTTGGGCGAGAACTTTTCCTCTTCATCGTTACCCTTACTTACCTATACCCAGTTCTCTTTCCTGGTCGCGAGGGGGCTGTTGTCTATGGAGGATGGACTGCAGCTCCTTCACCGAACCGCAGCGCTCTCAAACGCAATAAAGCTGCTGCGGCTACTTCTCATGTTAGAAGATAAAGGAACGGAGACACATGAAGAAACGCGTCTTGTGGCCTTTGCTATGTTACGGCTGGACGTCTTCGCGACAACAAGAACAACGCGGGAAATTGCCACAGGACCTGCAAGTTTCTTTGTAATCGGTCTACCCGAAGACGTGAAGTCAAATATACGGAGGAAACTTGGTCATGCAATTTATTTTGGGGACGAACATGCGACGCTGGTGTTTACGCAAGGGAATCTTCATGGAAGTATGAGCAGCGATGAACTCTCAGCGGCAGAGTACTTATACTGGCAAGAGAAGCTTTCACCTGTTGTAGCTAATTTCGAGGCACGCGAGGGCGATGCGGGGTGGCTGCGTGATGTCTCCAACGAAATACTTTCTAACCTCGCTGAAAGCTACCGTTGTGTACAGGCGGCATCGAAGAGTGTAGGACTGGCATCGGAAAGTGTAGGGGCGGCATCGAAGAGTGTAGAAGGAGCGGTAGGACGTCGTGGCCAGCAGCAAGAGGCAAGAGCAGAAAGTGTTGCGCAAATGCATGAAGTAAAAGTGAATGAAAATGAGACGCACGAAGTAGAACAGCGCTTGGAATTAGTCATGAGGGCTACACTGGACCAGCCGGGGGCCTTTCAGTGGGACTGGGAATCGGAGTCCTCTGGTGCAACTGCTTATGGTGCAACTCCAACTACAACACCACCGCAAAGTAAAGAGCATCGTTTGGTGCTTGCCGCGGACTGGAGGCAGATTTTACAATACCGTGGTGCCAGTGCTGCCTCTGCCGCACAATGGCGTAGTGCAAGTGCCGCACAGGAGAGGTTGGAGGTCGAGGACGAGGTAGAGAAAGAACTTGACAAGAAGATACTCCGGAGTGTGTATTTTTTGCGAATCTATTATTAAGGCTACCAAGCGAGCATCCTCAAGATCATCTGATCCCTGCCTCATACATTTTCAAGAGGGAAATGAATCCAGGGACGATGGTCTCAGGGATGCACGAGTTGGTAGCTCTAATATCATGGTGTAGGACTCTCGTTCGAGGCGCGTAGGCACCCAATCGTGCAGCAGATTGCCAGTCGGCTGGCCTACGCCCTTCTAAGGCTCGATCGCTTCTTCAGTGGAGAAGGCTTTTTCTTCGGAAGTCTCTCATCTTCAGAAACATCAAGTCTCCCCTCGTCCACTTCTTGTTGGAAAAAAGCAAGGTATACGCTTCTCTCGGAAGGGATTTTTAATTTGTCGTCCATTGCTGGTCAAAGCTTGAGTCGTGGCCGCACGACCCAAGAGAGGGGTGGAACCCCTGGAGGAGCTCCACCTGGGTTATCACCTGCTTCCTGTGCTGCCTCTGCCTCGAACAGTCCTCCACAAAAACATGATGGGGACCCGCGTCGGCGAGCACACTGGTTTGTTAAGCTGCTGGCCAGTGACGACCCTAGTACTTCAGAAGGTGGGAAATTCTTTCTGGCCCAAGGCGGGCGCGAACCGCTCCCCAACAGGGGACAGAGGAAAGGACGCAAACGCATGAATAAGCGACTCGAGGAACACGAGGCAGCGGATGCAAAAGAACAACAAGAGCGGCAACAAGATAGTGTTGTGGAAAGCAAGATGAAAATGAAGGCTCCTCCTGTTGATGTTCCCTTTCGTCATGCTGTCTCGGATGAAGTAACAACATCTCCAAAGTTACGATCTCGTCTGGAAGCTAAAGATGCGGATTTACGAAAGTGGTTGGAGTTTTACTATTGGCAGTACCAATTCACGGACGATGCTGGTTGCCGGGATGTCTCCTCTGCGAAACTGAAAGCCGCAGGAGTGTTGTGGACTTTGACAAAGGTGGAACAATTTCCTCTAGGTTGCTTCTTGTCATTGATGGAGGCAATACCAATAGAAGGTGAAACGGACGACCTAATCCTAAAGGAAGGAGAAGGTGGGAAAGCAAAGAAGACTTCAACATCTTCGCTCAATTCTAGTTCAATTTCTATTTCTGCAAACGACGTTGAAGTATTGAAAGATGCGATGCATTTCGTGCTTTCGGAGATGAAGGGCTTTTTTTCGCTGGGGAAGGGGCGAGAGCATTATCATCTTCAAAAGGACCACAGGAAGGAGAAGATGGACCAAGGAGATGCTGAGAAGGTCGTTATCACGTACAAGCAGCGCACACCGAAGCGCGTTGGAGAAATACCTTTCAAAGACAAGCAGGCTACCACCGAAAAATCGCAGAAACATGATAAGCAACCTGTAGCATTATTGCAGGCCACGACAGCTGCAACAGCGGTTGCAGGCCGCTCCACGGCGGCCACCGGTCAAAGAAACGAAAGGAATACGGCTCAGGCGAAAGCAAGCGCCAACAAGAAGTTCTTGTACCAACAAGAAGGAGGAGTGAGACCGACGGTGATTCGGGACGTTTCCCTCATGGAGGCATTGAATCTTGACGGGGCAAGCGTACTGCGCAGAAGGTACTTACGGGAGAATGAAGAAGAAGAACGCGACGATCTTCATCATCTTGAACAAAAGGATGATGCAGAATACCCGTCGACGCCAAGAGGAGGTTCACAAATTGGAAGGGGACACCTCCCGGACACTCCCCACACTTCCATGGCCTTGTATCCTGCTACGCCTGAACAGCGCCCGCCCCAGTATGATTACTTGGATGTTGGCACTGGTGGAGTGGCGGCAGAAAGTAGCGCGACAGGTGGTTTTTTTCCACCCACACCTGATGCGATACACCAAACGGACGATACGTTGCCGCTTGCTATGCCCAAGCCCGTACCATGTTTTCCGACTCCATTCTTAAGGTCACCTTTTATCCATCTTTCTCGGTACCTCGGTACCCTTTTCGCTTGTATTCTCATGAAATACAAGTTAAAAGGGGTCGAGATGAGGGGACCGAGATGCAATCTAGCACACGCTAACACTCACATTGTTTCCTCCCGGAACCGGGCCCCCTCCGCCAGATCCGTTTTCGAGTCCTGCTTTCATGCTGTCAATGGACCACAGTTATTTTGATGGACCTCCCAGAAGTACAACTCCTGCTCCTCCAGATGGAGTTGTACAAGGCGGGGGAATTGTAGAACTAACAGCACCAGCACCAACATGGGCGCCGACACTGGGCCCTATGATGTTGCCACGAAACAACTCGCCGATCCAGGATTCGACTGCAACGACAAGCTCGTCGTACTCGGTGGATACTCAGAGTAACGTCGCTGGAAACGTAGTTTACAACTATTATCATCTGATACAACGATCAATGAGCACCTCGCCACATGATCCAGGTGCGTAAGAAGGTGTGGTCATGATTAGGGCTCAACTTTCATGGGTCACCATTGAAATGAGGAGCGAGGAGGCAACCCCTTGAGAGAACAGGGGAAAACCAACGGAAAACAAGGAGAGAGGTGTGGGGCCCTTCCCGTTCAGAGTCAGTGGCCGACGAGCTTGTGACATGATCCAGTTGTCCACGACTTGGCATAATGATTTGTGAGTAAATATATAACTTGACCAGGAGACGGATCTTCCATATTCTGACTACCTTGAGCAGGGATGGGGTCATGTTGTATTTGGTGATGGTATTAAAAGCGAGGCGGAGTACTAGCACAATGAAAACGTGGCATTCCTGCACGGGTCGTGGAGAGTTATTCACATTAAAGGCATCAGCATGAGCATGCCAAATGTTGCATTATCAACACTCACGCTTGATGTTAATACCAGATAGATCTTTTAAAGCACGACCTTGCAAAAACATCACAAATAAACTGCAATAAAAATTGACAAATTAAAGCTGTAGAGGACTGCTTTTAGTCTACTTCTAAGGCTACAACTCCTATGAAATTGAATAGAATATAATTGGAGCAAAAGAACATGAACAATCTGGCTTGAATAAAGTACAATTTGAATCTAATTATGGCTTTTTTTTTAAGTTACGATTAACTTCTTCTCTCACGCTTGACGAAGCGTTACAATGATGCATGATGTGCTCTCTTTTAGGTGGAGGCTCACTCCAGTAGAAGTGAACACGTTTACTTCAGAAGTGAGCCCTTGTTCATGTAGAACTAGGTGGGACAACACGACGATGAAGGGATGATCCACTCTAGAACAACAACAACATGGGGAAACTCTACTGAATGACATACATAATTTCTAAGAGGTTTCGCAACAAATAGTGTTGATTTGTGGCATGATCTAGGGCACTTCATTGTGGTGCAACTGAAGAATTCAACTTCAAATGGGAAGATTCTGTATGTGTACCCGAGTGTTCGAGGGAGGACACGAAGATGCTGAGGTGAGGAGTCTGAGTATATGGATTATGCGGAGAGCAACCTTCATCATGAGCACAGTACTAAAATCAAAAAATATGATCCATCTACTGAATCTAAACCAAAATCCTATTATTTGAAGTACTTACAGGACTACTATTAATCTGTGGCAGCTCTACCTGTGTGATTATTTAGTACAGCAAACAAGACTACCACTGCGCAATCACCTCCAGGACTGCCATGCACGACGAACCTGCTGTAGATCGTGAGCGCTTATTTTCACTGCTAGAGATGCATGGTGCAACTTATCAATGGTCGTTTTCCCAAAATAAATGCTATCACAGGTTGTTTTCACTGCTAGAGATGCATGGTGTCTGATGTTGCAACTTATCAATGGTCGTTTCCCCAACATAAATGCTATCAATAAGTGCTATCCTCACATGATCAGTCCCAGGAGCACTTTCAAAACTTGTTCTATGACTGCATTTTTAAGCTCTTTTCCTTTACTATCGGGGTCTTCGTCGAGGCAGATAAGAAAATTTACATGTTGTCACCCCCTGCTCAGGTGCAAACCCTTGCTTGCGTTCTTGCTTGCTTCTAGGAGTGCTGCTCCGAGTCCGATCTTGCTTGTGCACGCATCTTCCAGGACGAACTCAAGTAGCCAGAAGCGTCCGATTCCAAACCGGGATCCTCGAACCCAACAGTGTTCTACTTCTAGTAGCAAAGGAGCACTTCTGAATCCGCAAGAGCTACAGCAAGTAGTGGAAAACGTGGAAAACGTGGAGGACGTGGCCTCTTGCTCATCGGCAACTGGAGCTGTTGTGGTGGAGCGAGACGTGGCCTCTTGCTCATCGGGTACTGGAGCTATCGTTGTTGAAGGCTGTCTCCAAAAGACAAAGAGTTCGGAGAAAATGCGGCTAGATGTCGAGAAGAAGCCAGACACGTACCGCCATCGGCAGTATCGTGTCGTAGAATTACCTAACAAGCTGCGCTTGGTCCTCATATTAAGATTTTTGTTGATATCTTCCTTGTCTTCTTCCTGGTTCTTTACGACCCACCTCGTAGAAGTTGTTGTAGTAGAAGATACATCCACCACCTGTGTGACCGATACACCACCTCGTAGTTGTTGTAGTAGGTATACTTACAACTTTGATTTTTGCAGAAATAGGTATACTTACAAGAACTTTGATTTTTTCACCTACAGGAGCAGGTGCAGTGCTCGACCTCTTTTCTTCCTTCTTTCTACTGTAAGGGAGATAGGCGGATAGGCCCTGAAGATCTAACGACGTATCCCATCCGTATCGCTGGTAGAATTGACATTATCCTTACCCTTTTATATCATATACATAGTCATTTTTAAGTAGAGTTATGTGAGTTCCACTACTCAAAGCCAATCCATTACCATAGCCCAAGACACCTAGCAGAGGAAGAACGTGGATACCAGTGCCGAATTACTTACTAGTGGATGTAGAACGCACGACTACTTCACACATAATAATCTTACATCTGGGGGACATTTTTTCTATACTATAAATGACATTATCCGTTCCTATTCTTTGAGCCGTTTTCTAATCTCTTCTGACCCAAATGCGGACAAGGCTTCCATTGCGGTGTCGGTGAAAGTTGGCAGTCTCTGCGAAAAACCCTATAATTACGGCTAAGCCCCTGAGCTCACGTGGAGACTCCTGTTAAACCGGTACTGCCTGGAAGTAGATTATGTGGCAGTAGTACTGCGCCCAGTTGTACTTGCGCAAGTATTTATACGGGATTTAAATTTGATATTCACGGGACAGATTTTTGCGGGTAGCTCTAATAGAAGACGGACGGCCTAGCACATTTCTTGGAGCATATGCTGTTTCTGGGGACAAAAAAGTACCCAGAAGAGGAAAGCTACAAGAAGTTCTTAACCAAAATTACGGTTTAAAATGACATTGACAAATCTACTGTAATTTCAATCTGGAAGGGGATGCATAGATTCTGATCCGTGGAGCACACGACCACTACAAGATATGATACATAATTACACATCAGAGGTAGTCTTCACACAAGAACTACATGTGACAACATCACAGTCCCCTCACTCCTCTAGCTCTAACGAAAACGGAGGTGGTTGCAACGCTAGCACGAGTGACGACTGGACGAGGTACCATCTCTACGTTGCGCCACCGCACCTGGAAGAAGCCGTAGACAGAATTTCCCAATTCTTCCTACATCCGTTGCTTGACGCCGATTGTACAGATAGGGAGATGCACGCGGTAGACAGCGAGCACAAGAAGAACCTACAGAATGAGGCAAGGCGAGCGTTGCAGGTCTTTCGCATAGTTAAGGGTCGTTCTTGGAACAAGTTGACCTATGTATAGTATCATTTAAGAGCATGATGAGCATCTTTATGGCTTTCCTACTTGAAGAAGGAAAGCCATAGAGATGCGAGCTAGAGATGCCAACTCTTCATCACACCTCTAATATAGAGGCGGACCAAACGCATCCTCTGAACCACTTTCGTACGGGTAGCCTCGAGACACTGAAGAAGGATGACATTCGTGACGTTCTGCTCTCTTTCCACCAAGACTTTTACAGTGCGAACTTGATGGGCGTGGCTGTCTTGGGCAGAGAATCCTTGGACGAGTTGGAAGCAATGCTAACGACCAAAAGCAGGTTCGAAGATGTAGTCAATAAAGTTAAGCAGAACAACTATGGGGTCCTCGGAGTGAGTAAATATCTTCAACATGAGACAGCTTGTAGTTCGAAGAGGTAGTCAATTTGTTCCTCGTAAGGTGCTGGCTCGTACATTTTTAGTATTTGACAGCTCCTTCGTAGTTTTCATCTCCTATCGACTTGGAGACGAGTGCATGCTAGTTGTACAACCGACGTTTCGTTCTCACCTCCATCTTCTATGCTACTTGGAGAGAGACAGTACGTACCCCATGACTGGGTAGATTATTATTATTATTATCTCTCTCCGAGCACTTCTCTGAGGCAAGCACAGGCCTCGGCCGCCTCTGATGAGAAGACCTCCAGGGCTGTTGGACGACACGCGGCGCCTAGAATAGACGGATCCTACTTAGCTTGGCCATTACTATAATTCTGTACTTATATACCCTTTACCTAGCCTTACTTTTTCTTCCTAGTGAGCTTGGCTCCACCCGTATTATTATCTCTCTCTAAGAAATACGTGTCACTACCAGAGATGCCATTCGCGTTTGGATCCACTTATGCGGTGAACCGCATCGCGCCTAAACTCTCGGATGGTACAACGACTGAGTCCTCTCCCGCGAAGAATAGTGGTCGGGTCGACCAGATTGCGAAGCACGTGTATAGATACTACTCTGCCGAACAAATGCAAACCTGAATTAACTGACCATAATAATTAAAAAGTCTTTCCTACCTCTCGAATGGGTACACTACTACTACTACTACTCTATTATTTAATATGTTTTCGAAAACGAAAAGAGTATCACTATTTCCAAATTTTCACCTAAGAATACGCAAAGTGTGTGAGGACATCTTCTACAGAACAACTTCCAATCTTATTATGAAGAATATTACATTTCTACATCACTTCATGAATAGGCACATCGATCAATCAATCAACATCAGGAACAGCGGTCCTCTGATGTCGCTACCGGTTGAAGTTGGGATCGAGCCAGTAAAGGAAGAGAGATATTTCGCCTTTCAATTTTTCACGCCTGAGCAGGAGAAGTTTTGGAGAGAAAAGACCGATGGATTTTTTATGGGAGTCATGATGTTTTCCAAAGTTTTACACCTCATGGTGAAAAGACCGATGGATTCTTTATGGGAGTCACGAGGAGAGTGTTGAGTGCGTCACGTCTACACACCTCACGGCCTGCTACTCCTCTTCAAGATGCAGTAATCAGGGACTGTACGACTGCCAACTTCTTGACACACGCATCCTGTGCAACTTGTTAACCCTCTCGCCATATTCATCTTGTTGATAGATCGCGTTATTAACCATAACTTCGTTCCTAAAGAGTAAGAGATGGCCCTTGTTCTAACATCTGGGGGCATGTTTTAGGCTACGAGGGACCTGGGTCACTGCTTTCCTACCTGAAAAACGAAGGACTTGCAACGGGGTTGTCTGCAGGTATGTACTATGATGGCGGAGGCACTGGCCTTTTCCAAGTGCGTATTGCATTGACCAAGGAGAAAGTTACGGACTCTTGTTGTGATATTTGATTTGGCTACCTCATGTAGAAAAAGGCGGGAACAAAAGCTATGCTCTTCATTCTTTCTTACACGAAGGCAGCACTAGCAGTCTGTTTTCTTTCAGGCTTATGCAGTTGACGAAAGAGAAGTACTCGGATCCATGATATGCAACATGTACTGAATTTGGTTCTACTGAGTAGCCAACCACGTCTGTCTCTTTATTAGGCGGGCCAGAACCTAACCTAACCTAAGGAAAGCTAAAAAAGCGCTTCTTCTTCTAACAAGTGCGTCGCGAGTCTGGAGAGAATCGGGGATCTGTTTTTCAACTACCTGGTCATGTTGCGGAAAGACTTAATAGAAGAGTATCATCGCAGAAGCGGTGGATCATCGTATGAGACAGGGAAATCGCATTATAATACAACTCAGAATCTTTTTCTTTATCTCCTTAATACTTTGCTTTCTCAACGAGTCATTTACGTAAATGGGCATGGCACCCAAACTAATAGACTCATTGAGGAAGAAGGAAACTTCTGTGCTTATTAATTTCTTGAAGAGACACGCAGCTCCGAAACCGAATAGGTGGAGCGACTAAATGAACGACTCATGATTATGATTCAGATCATTATGCAAGGTTAACGGTAACTCAAGCAGTGACTGGCGCCCACATATATTTTTGAATTATTAGACTCTCTCAGTGACGATTTTCCTTTCATGATGGAGATGGTTCGGAATCTATTCTCGCACGAATTTGGAGGGAGCGGAAAGACTTAGCGGAATTGAGATTTCGATACAGAGGAGTTGCAGACCCAGTAGACTCTGTGTTGTCAGCTAGTCGGAATGTTCTTCTCTATCCTCCCGAAGAGCTCCTGGCAGGTGGAACGTTGGTCTACGAGCCGATGAATGCAGTACGGATATTATTAAGACTCGCACTCGCTGCTACACTCACTACCCCTCCTCCACTCGCACTGTGAGCTACGTTCATTTCATAGCACTCGCACATCGACCCGAGGATGATGATCATGTTCTAGAACTAAATACTAGCACAACAAGGGATACAACTGGGCCGAGGATGATGATCATGTTCTAGAACTAAATACTAGCACAACAAGGGATACAACTGGGCCGAGGATGATGATCATGTTCTAGAACTAAATACCACCATCATCATGTTCTAGAACATCACTATCATCATCTTCGTTTTCATCCTATTCCTGCTAAGGGAAGTCAAGTTCTAGACGAGGATCAAGATCCTCAAACTCTAGCAAATCAAAAGGATGCAATTGTCTTGTCCTATGTATAAGTATTAGAATTGCGTTTGCCTCACAACCATTCTTCAACGATGCGCGTGTTTCCACAGCCTTTCATTCAAGTAAAGAAAGATACAAATACTGCGTCAAGGATGATGTTCTAGAAATTCGAAAAGTTGAAAATAGGCTCTTTCTCTTTTTCTAATGTTGGAGTTTTTCGATTTTTTTCGCTTAGACAATCTGCGACTCGTGCGTTTTCATCGCGGGAGCACGACAACTCCGCTCGTCAGAGAGCAGGTGGAACAACCGCCAGTGCTAGAAGAGCAACACTTTGTTACGGCGTCATCCTGGTTAACCTCTTATTTGTAGAAGCTTTGCTTGTTGTCATGAAGCAGTTGAATCCTCTTACCATATCCATCCTTCGGGATATTTTCCGTCTTGACCATGATGAACTTCGGTCAAAGGGAAATTTCTGTCGATCATCCGGTGCTTGAAGCGCAGGGCTGAGGCAGGAGCTACTCTAATTCTAATTATACTTTTAATTCATAAACAGAGATAAGTATCATGACAAATGACATTTTTGTAGAACAGGCAGTGGAGACGGCCTCTAATTTCGGAGTAAAATACCGGAAGCCTCAGCCGTTACCGGAAACCTTGCTGCAGCGCTGGAAGAAGAAAGATGATGTTTTGGAAAGGTATAGGATGAGCACAACTACAAGTGGGACCTCCACAACTGGAACCTCCGCAGGGACGACAAGTGGAAGAGACTCAGCGATGTTAAAGTTAAGGGTTGAAGCATTTCAGGACAACTCTACATGTTTGCCGATCCGGTGCTTAAAGCGCCCGGCTGAGGCGGGAGCCAATCTAATCTAATCTTCAGACTTGACCAGGGTCGTTAGGGTTACACATGCGGCACATGACCATGACCATTTTCCCTCAGCAACACACTGTTGGAATGGTAGGAGTACTACTCGGGATGCCAGTCGATCAAATTTCTCTTAGAAGCGTTGCTAGTTAGTAAAAATGAAATGCTTGCTCAACCTTTAATTAAGTCGATGACGGCAGAACTGGAGATTCCTTCTGAATTTTTCGTCATGCGAAGAAATGACTTCGTTCCCACGAATTTCGACCTGGTACCTGCACAAGAGAGCATCGGCTTCCGAGCTCCTTCTACAGGCTCCTCGGCATTAAGGCTAGTTGAAACGGTAAGTAACTAATCTTTGTTTGAATTTTTGTGCATTTTGCAACCAGGGACAAAAAAGAATGGACTCTAAGAACTTCGTCTAGCTTCCTCATCGTCTGACTTCGGTTGATGTTACTTAGGTCGTCGTCGTGCGTCTTGATCTACTTTCCTAACAACCACCTGGTAAAAAAGAATAAACAAGTCTAACTTGTTCGTTTTTTATCTTTTGTTTAGGTTGGACCATGATAAATTGACCTGGATAGTACCATGCATATATAAAGATAAACATCTTCGTGAACGCCATATCATGTTTATGTAAACGATTCAGGTTTCTATAGACAAGACGTTCCCACTCTTGACTTATAATGGAGAGACCCCCACCACCGCCACCACCACCACGACCGCCACCACCACCACGACCGCCACCCTTTCGGCCCACCCCCTATCTCTTTCTCTAAGGTGAGCAGTAGAGCCCTTTTGGCCCGTCCCTCCTTATCACGATGACGAAGCGCTTCTGCCGACATTCGAGAAATTACAAGTGCAAGGAGGACATCACAACACTGAAGGAGCAACGGAATTTGCGAAATGGAAAGAAGACTTATCTATGCTGTACTTAAGGCCTCGTCCACTACTCCGAAACCGAATACTTAATCTAAAAAATCTTATAAACATTCTCTAATTTTTCGGGTACCTCCCGGACAAGAAGAGGTAAGCAAGGAATCCGAATCAACCGCGACTTCAACAGGAGGCTATCGGCTTTTTTTCAAGGAGACGCTGTATCCCTATGAGGAGCCTCGGTTGTATGCGAAAGTGAACATCTACTCGGATTTCGTTGCTCAGGATTTGGATACATATTGTAGGACGCTGTTTTTCGTACAGACGGTGCTGGAGCGATTAAATGAAGAGTTTTACGACTCAGAAATTAGCGGATTGGATTACGATATCGTCACACATGCATTTGGCGGCCTAACCTTGTTCGTGGGGGGATACATTAAGGCCAGTCAGGTGGGTCAATTATAGTGATGGACCCAAGAAACCAGCAACGAACCCTACTCATCATCGCAGGTCTTGCTAATTGGCAGTTTGTTCGTAAATGTGCCTGCTTTGTGGTTCTGGTCAAGGAGATTTAGTACTATGCTCGTGAGAAGTGCTGTGCCAATTATCCCTCTTTGAGATCAGTCAACGGGATACAACAAAAAAGGGGACAGGAAGGGAATCCTCCACTCATAGTGCAAGAAATATGGGGTACGTACTGACTTCTTTCTGGCGCTTCTAAATAGAGCGACAAATTGGTCACTCTGTTCGAGCAATTGGTGAAACGGTTTGTTCAAGTACTACCGGAAGCCCTAGGAGAAGCGGCGGCCGGCGAAGTCGAGACTTCTTCAAATGGTGTTAAGTCTTGGCCCCTATTAAATCTAGACGATGCAGCATGAAGAACCTCCAATGAGAGTACTTAATAGCTGTTATATTACCCCACGATTGGGGACAATTTACTACTTGTACTACAAGTACTACTTCCTATTTCATCTTACTTGATCTTTAAGCTGTTCTCCCATATTAGGGAGAGAATGATTAATATAATCTCGCATCTTCAGTAGTTAGTTGTACAGCTTAGAGATGTTCTCCTTGGGATGGTAGAGTGGCAAAACAATCCAGCCTGACATACGAGCTGTAGTAGTCTAATTCATCTTCCAATCCTTTCCAATAAATCGAGCTGCAGTAGTCTAATTCATCTTCCAATCCTTTCCAATAAATCGAGCTGCAGTAGTCTAATTCATCTTCCAATCCTTTCCAATAAATCGAGCTGCAGTAGTCTAATTCATCTTCCAATCCTTTCCAATAAATCGAGCTGCAGTAGTCTAATTCCTCCAATCCTTTCCAATAAATCGAGCTGCAGTAGTCTTCCTCACCAATCAATCAATCGATTCCAAATCCAATCCAAGTCTAATTCAAGTAGCAGTGACTATTCGAAGTTAGCCGCCGCATTGGAGGTTTTGAAGGAGCGGAAGAGGAAAAACTGGTACAATTCTGCCTTTAAGAAGCAGCCTTTAGTTACGGCAGAACTGTACCAGTACTTGCCTGCAGAAGGAAGAGCCGGCAAGGGAATAGGAACTCAGGGAGCTCAAGAATACAGTGTATTTCTAGTACAACATCAACAGGTCAACATCTTAAATTTTGATGAGAACTGAGCTCTTCTAATGTAGAGGTAGCCGGTGAGATGGTGGACGAGGCTATTTCGGCAAATGACTATCCGATGAAGGACATGTACAACTGGTTACTGGCAATTAAGGCTACCGCTGAAGCATGTCGATCCTTAACACCAGCATCCTTGGATCGCCTTTTTCTACTGGAAAAAGAAGCGGCGCCCAAGGATCATGCTCTCAAGGCGGCTGCGAACGTGGTAGCTCTAAGGCAAAGCAGGACTCACTGACCGTAGAGAGTTTACGAGAAACGCAGAGCGCCTTGTTCGAAAAAACTGCGGCTATTGGAGAAGGCTTAGTATTAAGGGTTTCTATATTACATCCGCCACTAACATCCTTGGCCTTTTTTCAAGTAGAAAATAGGTGAAGAATGTTGTGACGAATGTAATGTGGAAGCCTTTAGTAGGAGAGGGAAATCTCAGGACTCAAGATGTCACGAGAATATCACAGGTCTTGAAAACCTACCTGCCGTTGGGGAATCCGCTATCGAAGAGCAGAAACAAATATGGCTTGTTAGGTTGTCACGTGGTTCGTCAATGAGTGAATGAGTAATATACTCAAATGCCTTTCATATAATGTTCTCGGCACTTTTCTCGTCTAACTTAGTACCAGTTAAAATATATTTTAGTACCAGTGAGAATATATTTTATATAGTCGGCTGCGCTACAAGTTGCACCTCTCTAAGGGAAGTCTTCCCTCCCTCGTTACTTCCTGTATTTCCCTCGCTCTTCCTCTATAATTGTGTGCTCGTTTTGATCATTTTTCTAGCGCAGGGGTAGCTCTAATCTTCATGCTAGTTGCCGTCTAGTCCTTTGATCATTTTAGTAGAAAGCAGAGCCTGATTCCGTTCTTGGCGCTTTCCTATAGAAGTACCCTTCTCACCAAAAAGAAATCGGATAATTCTTTCATATTGAAGAACAGGGCGTGGTAGAGTCCGCTGCATCGCAAGCAGAACTACCTGGTTTTCGCAAGGGTGTACGGACGATTCAAAAAGTTAAGGCTAGTTTTCACTATCCCCTGTGGAGTACTATGCTGAGTAGAGTCCCTTTAATACAAATCAAGGCGAAACCAAAGGAAGCGAAAAAGGGCACCTTCTACTCACTCAACCACCAGGCATACTAGTCGTGAATTCACTAGCGCTAAAAAAGAGAGTCGTATCGTTACTGCCAGTCCAAATCCCAACGATCCGAATAGTGCGACCGTCTTGTATCTGCAAACAGGAGCTTATTGTCGGCAAAAAAATCTAGTCCATCACCAGCGAGCAATTAAGGCTAGAAGACACTCAGACTCACTATTTGTCTAATTCGGTGTGATCATGGTGTGAGGAGGAGCAAGAAGAAGCAAGTGAGACTCACTTCTCCACGAGAGATGTGGATGATGTACCGAAAACTGAAAATAACCGAGTTACTGACTGAAATATGGGAGGTAGCTTTGACAGGGCTACTCTTCCTTTTTCAGTATCTCGCTTATTTTCAGTAGTTACTCGCTTATTTCAGTTTTTCGAATAGTTTTTTCGCGCCTATTTTTGAAGGAAAGTAATCCTGGCACTTCTCATTTCAATGGAAAAAATGCCAGGATGGTCTGCCTCTAGGTAGAGCGGGGAAAAATAAACAACTACAACATCCATAAAAGACAGATCATAGCCGTGATGATCATACCTAGTCGTCATAGTGAGAACAGTGTCCTCTAGCGTTAAAGCGAGTATTCGCTCAGCACGATTTTCGTCATCGGCGACTGAAGAACGAGACTCGTTTTTTGAAGTAGAGGACGAAAGAAAATTGGTCAAGACGCGAGTTTTGAATATGCTGTTGTGCCAGATGCTAGGACAGCCTTTTTTCGCAGACTTAAGAACCAATTACGGCTGCTGTAGTCTTTCAGTATCGTCCCATGTTGTTTTTGTTGCTGTGAGGCTTGGACACTGAATGAGAGCAAGTTGCTTACTAGTGTTTGTTTCATCAAGATTAGAAATTTTACAGAGACAAAAAACCTTCTAAATCATCAAGAGGGTCCGCTCTAGGTAACGGACGGATATCAAAAAACCGCAGATACGCATGTAATTGTAAAACACTCAACTACGGTATGGATATTATATCTAAACGTATACCCGGCTCTTGATATCAGACTCGGAATCATATCCGAAGATAATGAAAAGTATTAAGTACTACCTCTAAGGCAAGCAGCAACTAGGGTACCTCGTTTCGGCCAGAGCAGACTTTGTGAATGGAATGACAGGATTGGCTTTCCGAGTTCAAAGTTCGAATACGAAATGCCACGACTTGGAACAAAAGATTGCTACGTTTTTCTTATGGAACAGATCTTGTGAACCCCTTACTTATCTTTTGTAACCGAACCCCAAAAGAGAAGTTACTACTGCGTTTTTCTTGAAAACCCCTTACCTCAAGTAGTGTTGTATGCTATTATTTTGAAGGGAGAAGTTGAACTTGAACTGAAGAATACTGACTCCACCGCTTAACTTTTAAACGAGTCCTCGTTTTTAATTACGCAGAGTTTTTTTCTTCATGCCGATAAGGACGAGCATTAGTTCCACCTTATTACTATTAGGGGAGTTGTTTCTCCTTAGGGACGAGCATTAGTTTCTTGTGTTATTCTCATGGGATACCACGTCGTGGTTTCTTATGGGAAAAGAGATGGGGGATACCACGAGTAGTTCCTCCTTAGACTAGTAGCGATGAAGAGTACTTAGTAGTAATGACTTGTCCCGATAAGTCATTTCTACTAGGGATAGAGTTCTTTCTACTAGAGGAGTAGTCTTCATTGACTAATACTCTAAGGAGTATTCATCAATACCACGAGTCCTAAGAGTTTTCCTAATGGTTGTTGTTGTACTTGTACTTTCTCGTACAGGAATGTTAAGTGTTTATAGTAGGTGGAGTACGTGGTTTTGCGCTGTTCTCTTTGCTTCAGCGCTTCCTTTGTGCTAGTCTAACATTCGAGAACTTCGAGAAGGACATCTTGTTGCAGAAAACAACCGCAGAATTCGAGGAGTTCAAACGCGGCGTGGTGTCCAAGTTGCAGGAGCGTCCTAAAAAACTCTTATGAAAGAGACAGGTACATGAATGAAATGAATGAAAGATGCAGAAGCAGATGGAGTTTGACATCAACAAACCGAGAGAGAAAAAGTTTTGAAACTCTTCTGGGCATCTTGATGTTGTCACGCTCACGTCGATTCGTCCTGTGTGTAGCTGCTATATACCTATTTTTAGGGACGCACAGAACAGAACAGAGGTAGTACCTGAGTGGATGGATTTCTATGTCTATCTATCTCACTTATTTAGAAAATTCGTATTTTGATACTCTACCAAGGGCCGAAGCTCCTGTTGTGATTTAGAAAGATGTACGTACTACTTTTTTTAATTGTTGTTCATCTTTGTGCTGGCTCCTTCTATCATCAATTGTAACAGGTGGATGACGAATCAAAATATCCTTATGAATAATAGTTCGTTGCTTCTTCTGGTTTTCCTTTTCTCAATCATCGTATCTTTCAACTTGATCTTGATGATGTGGCATTAGGCTTCCTATAGTGATAGACTCCTCTAAACCAGGCACAAGAATTTGCAAGAAATTGGGCAGAGATATCGTTCCGAAGTTTCAATTTCGGTTGGCGACAAGTGGCGATTGCCCTGTTAGCGGACATAAAATTCGACGAGTTCCTGTCCTATTACCGAGCGGAAGTGATGGGGAATTATGAAAGAGAAAAATGTGAATCACAATCAATTGTGAAGAAAAGTAGACCGAAGAGGTTCCCTCATTCACTCATTTACCTGCTCGAGAGGTTTTGTCCGTTGTGGTGCTACTACCTCGAAGTGCCTTAATTGAGGGGGGCATGGAAAAGTTGAAGCTTCAACAGTTATTTAGAGTAGTAGTCTTCCCATACACTCTAATTCTATTAGAATTACTTTCGAGAGTTCGTTCGCTAAGCTTAACTACCTCCTTCCTTCTCCTTCTTGATCTTCATCTCCTTCTTGATCTTGAGGATATCTATTCGACCTTCTTCTTGATATCTATCCTAGTAAGCTCTTGCATCTATTCGATCTCCTTCTTGTTGTGTGGGTTTCGCGCCGTAGTGCAAAATTTGGGCCACGAACTGAACCGGCGGCAAGTTTCTGTCTGATGTGGCGAAGCAATACCCTCGCCGCGCTAGACCCGTCCGGCGGCTCATTTTCAGTGTGGTCGTGTTCGCTCTGGCATCTTTCTCAATGATGTTCTCTTCGATCTCCTTCTTAATCCTATTACTAGCGGGAGATAGCTCCTTCTCATCTACCCTCTAAGAATTGGCAAAGCTGTGGGTGCACGTCTTAGGACCAGATGAAGTTGGGACCCAAAAAGTTCTCAACGAGACGGATCACGACCTACTTTTATGATTCATTCGTAAAGATGAAGGATAAAGATATTCAGTAGAAGATAATAATATTCCGTAGAATTATGATAAGCGGGTAGAACTCGTCAGGGAAATCTTAGGCAGCTCGCCGAATGGATTCAAATAATCAGAGCGATAGATAATACATAGTGTCTAATTATATGATTTAGGTAACAGGAACTTGTACAACATAAGGAGCAACATCAAGACATGTGGTGAGTAGTTATGCGCTGAGCAGGCACAAAACTCCTAGTCCTATTCCATGCGCTTGACCTTCGTGGAGGTCCTCCTCTCTAATCTGCGGCAAGACGGAGCTGCATCTGAGCGAGGAATACGAGCAGTTGGTGAACAATTTGCTCCACAGTCAGTACGAATAACTTACCAGAGCGGGAGAGGAACTTAGATGATTAAGTTGAAGCATGACCACAGAGGGACACACACATGACAGCTACGAATGGATTTGCTAATATACGTCGAGTAGAACTTGTTAAGTAGCTGTAAACAGAGGAACAAAACCTCCTGCGGTTCTTGTTTGTAGCGCTTGCCTAGATTTGCACTTCATACTCAACATGATATCCGACAATTTTATCATGATTCGCGAGACACAAGCCCACAACAACGTCAACCGGTTGGTGGACGAGGGGTCAGCACAACATCATGTGATCGAAGAGGGAGAGGCGTGTTCGTTATTTTTGGCATCTATTGCACAACATTCACGACGATAACCTCCTGTGAGCGGTGGACTAAAAAGAGAACTACTCGGGATGGCAATCAATCAAGGAAAGTTGAGTAGATTTCGTGATGATCACGACCAAGATGAGAAGTTGAGCACAACCACAAGAACGACTCCTGTCTGAAGAAGAAGATGTATTTGCTATATCTTATGCATGGAGACGAGTTGAGTTCTCTTTGACAAACGTGAAGACGAAAAACAAGACGCAAAATAGATTACAACTCGGTGAATGAAAGAGAAAGCATTTTTAACCGAGTACTTACCTTTTATAACTAAAAAAAGAGTACGTACGACCTTGTTCTAAGTAACTAACGTAGTATCAACAACTACTCTACCTAGCCTAGCCAGCCTTGGCTGCCAATATTCTTCTTCTAGTTGTTCTTGATTCGCCCTAGCCTTGGCTGCCAATCTTCTTCTTCTAGACGTTCTTGAATCTCCCTTATTCTTATTCCAATCAGTCTTCAAAGTACTAGTCAAAATGTTTGCTGGCGGTCCTTTCTTGATGTATCCGGCGGTTCCTCCCGCACACTTGTCCTTACAGCCGCCGCAGGGTCCTCTAGAAGTCGGGACCTCTCACATGCCGCAAGCATTTGCTGGAGGTACTAGAGGACTACTATAATTCTTCGTCATGAAGATGTCCACCATGATGATGATCTTCAACATGATAGCTTCTTACTACTTTTGGCTTTTGCTCAAGAACAGTTCTGCATGTAATCAATGCCTTCTATCTATGTATCTATCTATCTATCTATCTATGTATCTATCTATCTATCTATCCATCTATCTATCTATGTATCTATCTATCTATCTATCTATCTATTTCTTTTTCCATCTCTTTATCCATCTATCTATCTATCCATCTATCTGTGGCCCTCGTCCTCATATTAATATTACACCTCCAGGTGAGGCCTCGTCCTCTATTCTTAGGTGTATAATCCCTTCATGCAAAATAGTGATACTATACCAGGTCCAGGTGCTCATCTGATGGGAAGTTGTAACAGCTCGTCCGCGAGTACGAGGGAGCGGCCTCCGATACAACTTAAGGATTCTCTCTCTTGGTCTTGAGTAGGTACTAGTACGAGGACGAAGAACTAGAACTACTTTTAGCACTTCCATCTTATCACGACAACTTCTTTGATTTGACGAGTAAGAATGGGTCCTCCCAGTGAGATCCATTATATATTAGTCGGTCTCGTCCTTTGAATGAGTAAAATGAACGACCTCCTCCAGTGAGAAGTGAGAAGTCCTCGGGGTCTTCTCTTTTTGTCGACCTTGTGCTAGAGAACGTCGAAGAACCCACTCTAAGATCATGCAGAGCAAGCCGCCATTCCAGCAATTTCAATTATGCACATCATGATTATGACCACTGCTAACACTATGCATCGTAGAACTTGTAGTCGTCCATCAATGGCTTCCACCTGTTCCTTGTTCGTCCTTCTTGTACTACAGCTTCACATAGTAAAAAAGAATCTTGATCTTCTTGTTCCTTGTACAAGAACAGCACCAGCAGCATACTTCTCTTCATATAAGATGCCGGCTCAGCAGTTGCAAGCTCGTATGCCAGCACCCCAGCTTTCGCAACCCGTGGGCCTCTCTCAACCGGTGCTGAGCGTTCCTGCGCGTGTATTACGGCTTCGTCCCTTAATGTATGGTCTCCCGTTTTTTTGAGAGAAGGCATTGGTCTTCAGAGATGCGTCCATCTTCAGTGGAGACGAGACATTTACTCGTAAACTTGAAATAAGCGAGTTGATGAAAAAATAAAAAAAGGGCTGCCTTTATGAAATTGAGAGGACCCCGGGAGATCCGTCGATCGTAATGGCAGTTGCGCGCGCAGAGATCTCCGAAAGTTTTTGTATCTGCGCGTGGCGCTGGAGATCGGGCGATCTCCAGACCCTCTGCGCAGCCGATCTCCAGACCCTCTGAGCAAGGAGTAGCACCTTCTGGGCCAGACAGAGCACGCCCCAGAAGCTCGGTCCAGAAGCTGGTCCAGAAGCTCTCGTCTCCACTGAAGATGGACCGGGCCCAGAGAAGATGGTTCCAGAGAAGGCATCGGTCCATCTTCAGTGGAGACGAGACTTCAAGGGGCAAAGGATCTACTCAGGGTCATGGTGAGCTTCGAGATGGATCATCTTCCCTTTTCCTCGTGAATGGGAACATCAATCAATCAATCAATCAATCAATCAATCAATCAATAGGGGGAGCGCTAAGGGTAAGCTTGAGGAACAGGAATCCGGAGATGAATCCGTTTGGATTGGACAGTAAAGGGTCATCGAACCAAGGAGCCACAGGAGTCGCAAGTGATGTATGGAAGATGTTTTGTGGTTTTTTACATCCATCTAGCCAATTAATCCCAAGTGTGTATGGAACAAGATGTTGTTTTTTAAATCCTACATGTAGCCGTTGTAGCCAGACCACAACCTCCATGAAGATCTTCGAGGCTCCAACTACCTTCGAAGATACTTGTACGCTTTCAATTAGAGATGCTACACCCCATGAGTGAGTACGGTAATCAATCAATCTGGCTCTGGACGAGGGGAGAAAGTAGTTTTTTCAAAAAACTACATAGCTTCTTCATGATAAAGTGGAGACGCGCGTCTGCATTTTGCAACTTGTAGCAGTTCTGCTTCATCTACTGCGCCAAACACAATACAACCTGGTGCTAGCCGCGTACCTTCTACGATAGTAGTACAGTTAAGGCTTGGTTTGGCGGTTGTATCAAAATTTCAACATGCGTTATTTAGATATTATAAATATCATGCAGTACTACCAGTTCAATATGGTATATCCTAGATCCACCCCAATTTAAAGGGCCTGGACATTTTTGATCCCCTTTCTACTTCTTTCAGGGTCATGGTGGAGAAAAAACATCACGTCAAAGACGTAGTAACCAGCATGATCAAGTTGAACAAAAATTAGTTTAGGTAAACCCATAACCTATCACGAGTCGTTCTATTCACCGTCTAGTAGTCTCTGGATCATCATTTGTTGAGGTAAAATGCTCTCATCCCCCCCTTCCTCACTCCTGTTCTTTACAGTTCAATCTAATAGAATCTGGCGTGGTAGGTGGAAGGAGCGTGGATCAGACGTCTGGCGGTGGTCCTCTTGAGCACCACGCACTACAACAAGATCGTGCAGGACCATCACAGATGGGGAACTTCGTTACGGAAAAATATCCAGCAGTTCAGGAGTTGTATATTCAACTTGTCATGATCATGGGGAGTAGTAGTGCTTTGCTGTAGAGTTTCACTGCATATCGAGTTTGTACACCTGACTTGTTATTTTAACTAGTTGCAGCACATTGACCCTCCACCTATTTCAATCTAAGCTTACCGGATTGACACGGAAAGCACTGGAGACACGATTGCAAGCACTAGAGAGTGAGAACGAAAGTCAAGCTCTCGAAATCCTAGAACTTAAAAAAAAGTTATGTCCTCGTGGTCGTGGTGTTATATTTATAGAAGAATAGAAGTTTGAGAAGTTTTTTGAATTGTATGGTTCTGGTATTTGGTAACCTGAATTTGATCATAAGGGAAAACAATCATGAATTCTAAGGCCTACCACGAGAATGTTGCAATGATCCAAGGCTAGTACCTAGTTAAGGACACTACTTCTTTAACGCTCAAGAATTATGTTCCGCTTCTTGTTCTAACAATTACTATTTCACACCATTTTTTAGCTACTTCTCTTATCTTGTAGTTCCCAAGCCCAGAACAAGAGGGAAATTATGAAGAGTTTCTAATTTCCCTGGCGGCTCGAGAGCAACAGGTACAAGAGCTGGCTGCAGCAAGGGGTGTGTCCACGAGACGGAACCACAGTTGAGGCAAACAAAAGAGCACACCCCGTACAGCATCCTTGGCTTCTCTCCCCCTTACGAAAAGAGCCAAGGCCGCGTCTCCACCACTTTGGCTTTTTTCCTAAGGGGGAAGGAAGCCAAGGATGCAGTCAGGGATGCGAATGCGGTAGCTCTAAGATACCGCGAGTGGCCAGACTCTGCCTCCACCCTGCGCGAGTCCATCCGAAGTTGAGGCTCTGCATTCATCTGAGACTCAGCAGCAGTTCAATTCTCCGTCTCCTGCGGTTGTTGTACTTTAATTCTCTGAAGATTTTGCAGTGATTTTAACCTTATCATGGACGACTACTGCTCTGCGGAGAGATATCTGTAGGATATAGGTCATCTTCTTCTTCTTGGTTTCATTCTTGATTCATTGTAGCTCTTGTACCTATTATTTCACAGAGTACGAGCTCGCGAGCGGGGCGGTCTTCGCGTAATCGTGTCTCGACAGCAAAGCCGATGGTACTCTTTAAGAAATTCCTTAGAAGTTTTATCCTCATCCTTTTTTTTGAATTTTTTTTGTGGATCGATGTACCATGTTGCGTCTCAGACAGTCTTGGATACAGCTCCACTCTATCATCTAGAAATTGCGTCGACTCCTAGAAGCAGGTATAGCTCATCATTAATCTACTCTACTCATTTTTTTAACCCCTTTTCCCTTAACTGATGCTGTAATTACCCCTCGAATGGCTAAACTGCTACTACAACTACTAACCTGGTGAATCTTTGAAGATGTAATCTAGTACTTCTACTATACCTACTTGGCAACAACTTGTGAATCTTACTTTGAATCATCATTATTTTCAGGCACCCTACACACCTCTCGATGGGCGGGACCCGGTCGACAATAGATTAGCTGAGTTTTACAACAGCACAGGCAGTGCAGTGCCCTTTCTGCGGATCAATAAGGGCTTCTATCGCTATGGAAGGACTACGATGGTGGAGCTCAGCATTATCAATCACAAGCTCATGGCGAAGACAGAGGTATTACTAAATTTTTTTCTTTTCATCTCTCAACACAATAACACGCTCTCCACAGATGCATAATTTTAATTAGTTGGTTTTTTCTTCCTTACCTCTAGACTGGGTACGCTACTACTAGTGCACTACGAAGATTACTAAAAATACTACTAGAGAAAGAGAAAGGTTTCCATGGTTACACATACACTCACTCTCTACAGGACGGCTGGAACCACGGAAAATTTGGCGCAATTGAGAAATTCATGAGCACCTACGAACCAATTGAACGAGAGCGGTTGGGGCTTGTGTGAACACCTAACCTAGCCATATTGGTTGTTTTCCTAGCGGGGAGGCGCACACCTAACCTAGCCCTATCGCCACATGCTGGCTTCGGCCGGGCGGTTCTAGTTTCCGATGTTTGAAGGTAAAAGCTCGTCGGTTGATATGACTGAGGTTTTTCCGCCGAAATTATGTGTTACTCCCCGAGTCATGCCAATTGAACGAGAGCGGTTGGGACTTGTGTGTATCTTAGAATGTAGAACGTAGTAGAGTAGCGCCACCAGCTCTAGGTCGTATTCTTGTTTTTGGCTCTTCAGTAGCCAACTACGTCTGCTAGTTTTCCTAGCGGGGGGGCCCACACCTAACCTAGCACTATCGCAAACGTCAGACACAAGATGTGAGCGCAGACCGAGAAAATTGACGGATTTTGTTTGTGAGTCCCACCTCTATGAAAGCAAGGTCGTTAAAAAAGGGTTAAGAGTTAGATTTAGATTTTAGATTTAAAAGGAGAAAGTACATGATGATGATTGAAAACTACGAATCGGGAAACAGCAGAGTAGAGACTGTTCGCGTGTTCTCCAGTCCTTGCTGTCATGTCACTTCAAGTTTGAAGCATGCGTACTAGGTGTTGCCATGCGTACTAGGTGTGCCTCCAGTTGTATCAGAGGTCAACTTCATCTGCAAGAACAAGAGGCAGCGATGAAAATCTGACATTAAACAAGTGTCTTGAGGCGCAGCAAGAAAGCGTGCGACGTGCGTCTATGATACTTGATGCTTCCTGCATTATTTTTCTTCATTCTTCTTGCAAGTGCGACTACAGCTAGTACTGCTACAGTGCGTGGTAGGCTGTCAATCATGAGTGTGGTGGCGTTGATTGTGAAGCAAGAAAAAGTTCTTTCGCGTGCGACCTTAGAGTATGCCAAATGTTGTACAGGACTGGCGAAATGGTTTTCTTCACGATATCATCTCAACATCTATAAGACACAACCATCACAAATCATGTATAACGACCACAAATCTTAGCAGGAAGCAAGTGTGCATTTGTTTTCCAAAGAGAAAAATTGACACGAGCTCGTGCAAATCGATGTGCTGCTATTAATTTCATCTTATTGATTTATTTTACAACAAGAAGAACTTACTAAAGAATAGGTAAGTACGTGGTTACTAGATTTAAAACAAGACGAACGACGAATAGCAGATCTACAAGAGCTAGCGGAGAAAAGAAGGACGAAGACGAAGAGGAGAGGTCAAAGAGGACTCACTACAAAGCTCAAAAAGTACATTAACACTTCTACACTGAGTACATTAACACTTCTACACTGAGTACGTTAACACTTCTACACTGAATTTTCTGCAGTAGAACACTAGTACCCTTCTACATGATGAGGACAAGTCGAAAAATCAAGTACCTTTTTGCTTCTACTTAACTTCTTAAGAGACGTTCGTTGTTCGGTAGTTAGACTTGTCAATACTTACTTGGTTGTGCATGTTGTACAAATGGTTCTGCATGTTGTACAAATTTAGATGAACTTCAGCATTGTCCTGTTGTTTTTCATTACAACGTTGTAGTTGATTATCAAAACTCTTGATTATCAACAACTACAGGAAACTTTTCCGAAAAAAATGGAGGCAGCATACACTGGATATCCTGCCACCTCGCGGTGGGAAGAAGACTTCTTATGAATGAACTGTAGCCCTTATCATGGATCTTTGGGTGGGAAGAGTATTCCTTATTCTATCCTCTCCGGAGGCGAGCTCACTCTTATCCTATCCTATCCTATATTCTTGAATAGGAAAAGGAACATTTTTAGCTATCGATATTACATTTCATATTTTGCATCCGAATACTACGGGAATGTGTCCTATCCGGAAGGAGGTGCTGCGACGGCGTCCTGGTATTCCTACTCTTCTTAAGGCTCAATACAATTTATTTCTACAAGTCATTTCTCGCTGCTTCCTTCTACTTAGGAAGTTGAGATGAAATGACATGTCTCAGAGATGGAAATGACATGTCTATTTAGGAAGTTGAGATGGAAAGCAAAGACAAGATGATTTGCTTGGCGTTCTAATCTTTGCCTCAGCAACAAGCCTCGTACTACCATGCTGCCGGCGGTGCCTCGGCCTACGATCTTTACGGTGCGGGAGGACAACATCAAACCACTTACAACCAGATGATCGCGAATGCCGGTTATCAACACAGCTACAACAATTACGGCAGATTATTTTTATTAAAATCAAATCCACTATCTTCGTCTGGTCTTTCTTTTTTCTAGTTGGGTCGGCTCCACCCCAATTTATTACATCCACTCTCATGATCATCTAACATTAAGATGAACAGCTCCATGATCATTGTTAACTGTGTAAAACCTAAACAACTCCTTGTTCTTCACTTGCTGTAATCTACCTCCTGGTGCAAGAAGTGGTTGTAAACCGAGCAATCCCAAACTCCTTTGCTTTTGGAACAGTCTCGTCACTGAACAAAGATCTAGAGGACCCAAGAAGACTAAGATCTACTGTAGTTAGACGTTGTTAGTTAAGAAGAGGACCCAAGAAGACTCTACTGTAGTTAGACGTTGTTAGCTAAGAACAGTCTCAGTGAACAAAGATCTAGAGGACCCAAGAAGACTGTAGTTAGACGGTACTTGTACTACTTCATTCTAATGTACTAGTGAACATGAGCACGTCGGGCGTAGACGATATTTTTCCAGTGGGCAAGGACAGCAACATGACAACTACTACCACGAGACTGCGCAGGAGGGTGAGTGCAACAACAACAGCAACAGCAACACGAACACTTCTTACATTCTGCCGAAAACTGATTCATCTGTAGTTAAGGCTAGGCTACATCGATCTTCAGGGAACGAACCAAGATCCATCGATGTAGGTGAAGATGGATAATAATTCGTTCCCTGAAGATCGATGTAGCCTAGTTAAGGTGAAGATGGATAATAATTCGTTCCCTGATGTTCATCTGGAAGGAATTATTATCCATCTTCACCTTAACTAGGCTACATCGATCTTCAGGGAACGAATTATTATCCATCTTCACCTACATCGATGGATCTTCAGGGAACGAATTATCCATTTTCACCTGCTGCTGAAGATGGATTTCTCTTAGTTCTAAATCTAGCACGATTTCCAATCATGCTAGCGACAACGAACACAAGAACAAGCACATCAAGATTGATTCGGCTAAGAACATGCAACGTGAGATGTTAAAGAAACGCATGGAGGAAGGGGAGCTGAAGAACAGCAAGGACAACAACAGCGATGAAGACGAAACTTCTTTTACGCACACCATTCAACTTCTACATGATTTTACAAGGGTAGGTATATCAGATAGCATTGTGCAGTAATATTCGCTGAACAAGCTGACGGATAAAACAAGCTGACCGTAGCCATTTTGGCTCAAGGATCCCAACGGACCGTTGGGGGAGAGCATCTCCCCAACGCAAACAGGAAAATGGTCAAGCGGAGGTCAGCGCTAGTTAGTGCCCTTTTTTTTTTGGCTTGAAAGACGTCACAGAAAGATCATACTGTTCTGCTGATATACAATGGGTCACAATTGTAATTACTGACGCCTGGAGATCCATGCCCCGATTCTTTTTGCATACTTGAACAAGCTGACGGATAAAACAGTGCACTATCGAAATTTCCTCTAAGAATTCCACTCAGAAGGCTTTACGGCAACGATTGGAAGCCAGCTTACAGCAGACACGTGACAAATTGGAATCCGCAGCTGGCACCGAGAGTACAACCGACGCTTCGTTCTTCCCGCCTCTATTATGATATTATAATTGCTGTTCTAGGTAGTTCTTTTTCTTGCTTTTTTAGCAAAAACGAACAATTAGGACAAGAATTTCTTGCTTTTTTTAGCATACTAGAATCAAGTAGCTTCTGGAACCGGATCATCTGGAGACTTTCTTCCCTTTGATGATCCTTGTAGAAAGGAGCTACTAAAAGATCCATCGTGGATCATCGAGATCGGGTGTCTAACAAATATGCTCTCATGTGTTTTAGACATGAGGAGTACGAGTACCAAAAGAACATCGTGCTGTCTAAGTATTCCCTCATCTTGAAGAACCTTCATCTCTAAATCAAGAAGAACAAGAGACGGACGAGGTTCGTCAACGTTGTGACGAGAGCACTTCCACTTCGAGTCCAACCTCTCGTAGACGCACCAGCGAGAGTGACGCTGGTTCCCGCCAAGAAACACCGGAAGAAGCTTTCCTGAAATTTCGCACAGAGTCTCAGATTATGCACATCACAACTATAAGGAGTCTAAGTAGTAGTAGTATTACATCAGTTGTTGTTGTAGTAGTAGTAGTAGTTCAACTTCAACTACTTAACTTCAAGAACAAGTACTCACATCAGTACTAGTTTTATCTTGGGAATATATGTATCTTTCGAGGATTGTAGTACTTCTTGTTGATGTGTGACTATATGTCGTAGCGCATGTTGTACATTGGAAGTCACTAACAAGTACAACCACTAAGTCTCTCCTGACTGGTTTTGAGAAACTCAGCGAGTAGAGCTTCAGCAGTTCATCGGGATGTAGTTAATGTGTTTCTTGCTTGTTAACAGAGATTAATCATCTTCTAGGCTAATATTGTTCAGTAATTCACGTTCACGACAGCTGCTGGAAGATGCATCAGAATGACCTTGGACCCTTCTAATAAGGAGCTTTTAGAGGTGGACGCGGGAGCTCCTGATACTGAAGAGACGGCAGCCTACCCATCCTTGCCTACCAACTTATGGCTAAAAGAACATCAAGAAGAAAATAGCCGGCTAATTACTTTTCTCTCGTTTTATTCTTCCCTTCAACCAACTACGCTCCTTAGGGGTTGGTCTTGTACTTCATCTACTTGTTACAACACACCAGCAAGAATCAATCTAGCTTTCCTGCATCATCAAGCCGCGACGAAGGCCTTTTTATGGTAGGACTTCGAAAGATTTCGAATCTCTAACCTCCAAAAAAGCACCGGAGCAGGAAGAAGAGCAAGATGTTGAGGCTGAAGAAACTCCGACTGGACGATCCCGCCATACGTGGGGCGGCAACCCAGACTCTGATGATGAGGAATACACCACTGAGCAAGAGGCCGACCATGAGGTTGTGCCGACGAATGTTAAGGCCGTAGTAGTAGTAGTAGTAGGAGTAGCAGGAGTAGCAGGAGTAGTAGCAGCGTGCCCAGTCTAGAGGTATAAAAGAGAGCTATCTGATTAGGCGTCTTGTAAGAAATAGAACTGCTCCAACGCACACCGTCACCGTGTGCACTCTCTTAATAAATGACATGTGCCTACTACTAGATGTAGGAAGTAACCACTCCTGTGAAGAGCAGTTTTTTGATCGTACTTCAAAAGCAGCAATAGAACTTTTAGAGAAATTTCTTCGTTCACTAGAACCTTTTATGTTCAACGAATCGACTCGAACTCGAGCAAGTAGTAGCCACTCAATCTACTACTTATGTGGATTAGTAGAATAGAATCAAATAACAAGCTAGATCAGCGGGTAGAAGTCGTCAAGGAAATCTTAGGCACATTGCCGAAGAGCTTCACGCTATCAGCGGACTAGTCTCTCTCAGACCATACATATTGATACTCGTCATAGCGTACCAGCATCTGCTTCACCAGTGGCCATTCTTTGCTTCTAATCTTCGATCCACTTCTGCGCCTCCTGAATGGGAGACAGGATTGGAGGAAACGAATCAGCCACTCCTTCTGCTGGAACGCAACATTTTTGGATCCTCTCCTGTTAAAAAAAGCGTGGTGAATAAACCTGTTGTTACGAAGCGATTGTTGTATTTACTTTGTTTAAGAAACAACGTCAACATGGGTAAAAATATTGATTTACTCTAGGTACTAACTTGCATTTACTTACAAGAGTGATGCTGATGACCGACGAAACAATAACAAAACGTGTAGTGGTCTTCCCGAGGACATTATGAAGTGTTCTGACCGCAACAAGACACAGAAGGGGAAAAAGAAGACAACGAAAAAAGAGAAGAAAGAACTTGCAAAAGAACATGCTAATTAGACAGTCTTCTACACCCCAAGATTACACAATATCTAGCTGAACTTATCCCCAGATTGGGTACACTACTACTACTACTAGCTCTAATAGCATATCTCAAGAAGATATGCTGGTGACGCTACATCTAGCTCTAATAGCATATCTCAAGAGATGGTGACGAAGCCGGCTGCTTTGATGAACGCTGTTGACACTTACCCAAACAAAGTGGTGAAGTCCCCTCTGCGTCGTGATGCTATCACTTCTGGGGTCAATGGTATCTATGCTAACAGTGCTGTTCGTGTTCATCCACCCATTCACCCATTTATATTATTTAATTGCATTATTAATGAACTTCTATTTGCACGACTAGCAAAATAAGTAGTGCTGGTACTAGCATCAATGAAATAAGTAGTAGTAGTAAATCTTCAGCATCAAAATTTTCTTTTATAGACTTGGTCTTCAACTACAACACCGGGTGTTTCGATTCCACCAGGCTTGAAGAAGAAGCAAGAGTCGGCTGTGTGCCGTTTTTGGCGTAAAGGGAATTGTGTCAAGGGCAAATATTGCGAGTGGGCTCATCGTATGCCGGATGAAGAACAAACTCCTGCGTACTATTTTCAGCCTACAGGAGAGTACTGGAAGAAATATCTCTCTTGCCCTGTTAGTAGTGCTAGTTCTTTTCTAGTACCTGTTGTAATTGTTCTTGCTGTTCTTGCTGGCGGAAGTAGAAGTACAACTTCTATGTATAAAAAATTTTAATTTTTCCTCTTAATATTTATTGAATGAAGTTACAACATGAATAAAACAGGTTGGAAGTGAAGTGTGATTTTTGGAAGAGTGGTGTTTGCGAACGTGGTGACAACTGTCCGTGGCTGCACGTGGCTCCCGGACGCGTGTCTGATCCCTTCAGTGAGCAAAATAACATGCTGATTTGCGAAACGGCAACGCCCGCTCTTGGCACCACGAGTACGACTGGCGGTGCAGGAGCCTCCATGTTGAAGCGCCGCGTGGATGCGACCACCACCAGCAACTCTGTTGACGGAAATTTGTTGAAGGTACTACTGCTCGTTGGTTACTACAACTCTGTACTTATAGTCTTAATACTTCTAAAGTAAGTACTTGATTACCTTGTAGTTGTTCACTTCAAAAATCTTCACAGAGCGAGGTTCGACACCAGAACAAGTACGAGGTGGTCGAAGCCGAACGTTTGCATGCATTATCTGCCGAGAATGAACACATGCGTTCCAAATTGCAGTCGTTGTGGAGTGGAGCACTTGGATTCCTACTCTGTGCGGTACTCTTTGGCATTGTTATGGCGGTTGTACTACAGAGGAAAAAAGATGAAATTATAGGTTAGAAGTAGTAGTTGAACTTGAAGTTGTTGTAGTACTAGTAGAGAAGAAATATTCGACGTCGAAGTTGTACTACGAACACGTACACGACCAAATGAAACATTCACTAGTTGAACTTGACTGAGGTTGTACTACAACAAAAACAGGCGCTCGTCTGAAACTACAACCTTTAGGATGAAGTTTTTGTTCAGGAACAAGAATGTAGATTCCAGAAAAACTTAAACTAGTTATAGTAGTACAACAGGTCCCATGTTGTTGAGATTCATGCTTCTAATATGAGCTACTTTGTTTTTTCTTCGGCGCGGGGACGCTGAGCATGAAGTGCCGAGGCTTCGAGTTGATCGCGGAAAGGAATGAAACAACGACATCTTCTGATATTCGCGTTGTATTTACTAGATTTGAATTAGGATTTTTTTGCGCGTCCACACACGAGGCGGTTTATGTCTCTGAATTAGATGAACTACATAGAACTAGAAGACGAGCGAGAAGTTATATAAATTATTGTAATTATGCTGAGAAAATTGAAAAATCTTGGTCTTCTTCGGTTTCAAACATCAGCCCCCTGGTGTGGTTCCCCAGGAAAAGGATACGATCGGAACCAGGGACACCTGCTAGACAAAACACACGCACGCACATGCTTGAACAGGCGGCACAATTGAGAAGAGCCCTGAGAAGTGTCAGCCTTGGACTTGGTGGGGCGTCATCGGGCGCGTTGCCGCGGGGCAGCGGGCCCCATGAGTGCTTGCGGTTTGCCTGCGGAGGATATTTGGGCGCCTGGTATGGATGGAAGCGCCTGCGGGCTTATCTTCAAGCGGAAGGCATAAGCAGGCCCACGCCGTGGGGGTTTGTTCGCTGGGGTCTGAGGCATTCTGATTCAGAGGCAACGCCGGCCCGCGGTGGTGTAGGGCGTAGCCCAATGGGGCGCGGCGCTGCAAGCAGGTGACGTGACTGCACGCAAGCAAGCGACGCGACGGCACGAGGCCGCCGCCTCGCACCATCGGGCAGCGTGGGCCCAGGGCTGGGGGGAGAGGAGAGCGCGGCGCCAAAGCGGACGCCTTAGCATTCAATACTCGCGCCCGGAACTGCGCACGCCCAGGGCTGGGGGGGAGGCAGGAGAGCGGGGCGCGAAAGTAAGTGGGCGCTGTAACTTTCTAAATTCATGCCCTAGCGCTCAAAGCTCACGCATGGCCTTAATCTTCAAAATTCGCACGGACTGCGCACGCCCAGGGCTGGCGGGAGAGGAGAGCGGGGCGCCAAAGTAAGGGGTCGCTGAACTTTCGTGATTCATGTCTTACTTAAGCCTAACTTTGGGATTCATTTCTTAGCTTTCACAATTCATGTCTTAACTTTCAGAGTTCAGCCATGTCCTAACTTTCTCAATTCAGACCTTAACTTTCAAAATTCATGGCCTAACTTTCAATAGCCATGCGCTAACTTTCAAACTTCACGAGTATAGCAAAACGCTGCGCGTTTTTGCGGTGTTGTCGCCGCGTGTGTTGGTTTTCAAAATTCAGACTCAAAACTCAAAATTCAAGATTCAGATTCTAAACCAAAAGCCAAAATTTTAAAAATTAATAAATCAATACCAAGGCAAAACTTTCCAAGAAAAGAGTTTAAATTGTAATGCTGGAAGTAAGGTGCTAGAACTAAGGAAGCTGGACTAGAAGTTGTACTATTTACATAATAATATTTGCTGCTGAAGAAGGATTATGAATTCTTTTGACTTCTTCGGTTCTACATAGATGATCAAGGCACCCTCCCAAAGTAGTGTAGTACCCTTGAGCAGTCCTCCTTGGAGTAGGGCTTATGGTAGTGCTCGCAGAGGGAAGGGGTAGATCGATCCAAGATCCTTAGAGCATGAAGTGTGATCTTCATCTTCAGACTTTTGTACCTACTTACAACAGTGATGTCCTCTTTTTCTGGAGTTGATCAGATGAGTTCTAGTAATAAAAATCTGAGATGAAGATTAGATGGTATTTGTGGTATTAGTTGTAATATGTCGTCTTTGTTGTTCTGATGTTTGTTCGAAGAACGTGTCTGAGGAGTGAGATGGCTGTTTATGTAGTCAGTTGGGGTAGGTAGACTGACTTCCTGCTCGAACAAGGGAGCCCCCCTTTGAGGTGTTTTTTGCCAGTCGGCAAGCCTTGAAGTTGGTAAGCTATGTTGTTGAAGGATTTGCTGTATTTCGTAGAAATTGAAGTCGTTGATTCGTTTTCTTTGTACTATGTCTTGATGAGATCGTGTTTTTTTTGAAGATGAAAACAAGTAGAGAACTTGTAGTTGGCAATGGTAGACTTTTCTTTTTGTTGTTTTGAGTAATTTATTGTGGGTGATGTTGATGCACTTCTTTCACTTTCTTCACCATACATAGGTAAGAACTTAAGAAAATAACTTCTTAGTACGTTCAGAATTTTAAGAAAGTTTTCTGTCAATCAATATGTTGTCTGTCCTAGTTCGTTTCTTCTAAGAAAAAGATTGATCCAGATCGTTGAAAATCACTAACTTCTAGGTATCCATACGATCGAGTGTATCCATTTGCGTTAGCATTTTTTTATAGAAGTACAATTGAAGGTCAGCAGTCAGTGGTCGCTGGTGCGTAACGGAAGAGGCCACCTTCAAAGCTCTCCCCTTTTCCCTTCGTTTTCCCCTGTTCTCTCAAGGGGCCCCCTCTTTGAAGATCATGATGCCGCAAGAAAAGCATTAAGATAGAGAAGTGCTGCATTGAGATGGATTCACATTGGCGTAGTGTCTCCTAGAGATCACATGGGTCGGTAACGAACCAAGCGCCTTGAAGAAGAAGATGGACAATGTGTTTAATACAGTAAATAAAAAGTAAAGTTAGATGAAATAAGATCTAGATCTAAACCTAGATTATGTGTGGAAATTATTGTGTTGCTGCATATTTTTAAGCATGTTGACCTATTACTATTATATATAGCAGAATTATATAGAAGTAGTTGTTGCAACGAGAAAAAATGTTTTCTTCTTCATGATGTTATACGTGATGTTGATGCTATGAGATGATCTTCCACAGATTCGAAGAATAGTTGTCTTTGTTGTTGTTTTTTGGGTAGTTGACCGTGCCTTGTCGAAGGTCCTGGATTTAGCTTTGAATTTCAAAAAAAAATCCGAGGAACGTTAAAGATACCGTGCACACCCGCCCCATCATCATCATTTATTTCATCATGCCGATGGTTCTCGATCAGGTTTGGACTTTCTTGTAGTGATGATGTACTAGCAGAGCAATTAGCAAACATGTGTTATCATAAAAATCTTCCGAGGAACGTTCTTAAAGTTGATACAGAAGATGAAATATTTATTTAATCCACTTTGCCAACCCCTTGCAAACTTAACTCTTTTCCCCTTCCCCCCCCCGTTTCACGGTGGACTTACCCCCAGAATGGGTAAACTACTACTACAACTACGGCGGGTCGTTCTCGTTGACAGCTCGGCCTTCATCTCTTGAACCGGGGGAGGGATATGAAAGGAAGGGAACCTATTTCAGGGGGATCCAGATCGTCTTGGCCGAAAGAGTCATCTAAATACTCAATACAACGGTTATTTTCTTGGGGAGGTGCCAGGTTGTGTTAAAAAACAGTTGTTTTCTTTTAAGAAAAAGATGACTATCAAAAATTTCTTCGTTCAGTATCATCAAGAACTTGCGTCTCTTAAATTTTGCAATCTTCTTTCTGAAAACAGCTTATAATGATCGTGGAAGATGACGATCAGTCTGCATTATGGGTGCAGGAACTACAACAACGACCGTCTAATATGACGTGGTGCAAGTAGTACAAGAGCCTGAAAGAAAATAGAAAACTCCTCGAATGGACACGGAGATTAATATGAATATATAATAACTGTCCTCTAGTACTTGGAATAAAAGAAAAAGTGTCTACTTGTGCCCTGAAGTAGATTATAGTTAGAACTAGAAGATGTCGACGAGGTGTCGTTCTTCTCATCTCCTCATCATATGTATTTTAATGATATCATGCAGCTGCAGAAGATGCATTGCAAAGCAAGTTCAATTTCAAAAAAAAATATCTCACTCTGAAGACGTTTTCGTGAGCTACGTGTTCGTGTGTTACGATGAATGAGGAGGTCCCCGATGGTCTACTTGTTCTCAGTACTGTACTGCAGCAACGACTCTATCATGGATCCTGTGATGAGGAAACTCAAACTGATATCTATTGATGAATCTGCATCTGGCGCACATCAAGAATCATAAAGGAAGATAACGAATGAACGATGAATGATATCATGTACTATAGAAGGTGTAGCAATGCGTATTGGTATTATACTTGCAGCAGTTTTTGATTTTGTTTTTCACAAATGAATGATCCTGCTCCACCTTCTTTTTGTACCCGTCGTTCTTGTCAGAGTGCCGTTTTTTGAGTTTTGAATTCGATTCCGATCCAAATGCATCGTCGACCACCTCACTACTAAGTCTCATCTTTTTTACAGCGACAGCAACAGTGATGCAATAGCAATTACAAATCCGTGATGGCGTGAAAAGTATCATGCTGTGCGCAGCTTTTGGAGGCTTATTATCTTTTGGAGGATTATAATTGACGTATATAAGTATCAACATGCGCGGCATCCTTTTCCTGCTCTTCGAATCGTCGAATTTTCCTTGCAGCCCTGTGCGGAACTAATTAATTACAAGAAAAATATTTTATTTCGAGACAAAACGAGACACGATAATCACTGGTGGTGCGCGAGAACCGCAAGTGAAGCATCTCCAGTGAATCACCTTTTTCTTCTAGTGCTACTAGTACTACGACGCGACAAAGCCAATCAATATACCGACAGCGAGGACCACGTGGACGTGTGCGTTACAATACAGCGACCAGCCGAAAGTTTCTCTTGCACGACTGAAGAAAACGTAAACGACGAGCACATTCGTGTTGAATTAAGGCACGACTTTTGGAGAAGGCGAAGAATAACCAACTGTTGCTGTTGTTGGTATCCGTAGTCCGTACGTCGCAACTGGGAATGGCATAAGTACTTACCCATGATACGCTTACGCATACTCAAATGTATGATCACTTCGACTTCTAGTACAGTAGAACAAGGACAGTACTGGGCAGAAGAACAAGAACGAACTACAGTAGCAGTACTTGTGAGGACTTGCCGCCAAGAACTACAGTACTTGTGACTTACTTGTGAGGACTTGCCGCTGATGCAGAGTGATGGGTGCTGACTTCTCGAGCTTTTTGAGTAGAGAGGATCCTGTTGCTTCTATAGTAGACTTATTTGACGACCGCGTTGATCCTTCTCTTACCCCAGAACAATCGCAGAAACGTGCGAAAGCAAAAGAAATGAAGTTCAGGTATGCCTTTTTTTGTCGGTGCTAGTAAGTATTTAAATTTTGTTCGCAGGCAGGGGTTGGTAGAAGCTCTGTAATAGTTTTCAATTTCAATATAATAGTACTTATCGCAGTCTAGAAATGCTCTCGACTACATCGTTTTACTTCTTGATTTTGTCATTTTCTTTCACAGTATGACTATGCTCCTCGTCCTTCTTCCACAAACAACAAGACACTATATCACTGTATAACACAGAAAACTCGCGGACGAGATGATTAAGTCAGAGGCGAAGACTGACTTTAGGTTGCCTTATCTAAAAGAGGTCTCTTGCACATCAGAAGAGCTGACAAAGAGCGGCGACTCCCCAGCCAATAAGAGTGATGGCACCTCCACGTCATCAGATTCCGACGAGAAAAGGATAAAACGTGGCATACCAATAAAATACTTCACAGAACACGAGACACTCAGGTACAATTTCTTCATACTACTAGTACCTACTAAAAATCATAATGTTCTTGAACAATGAACAAGCAGCTGTTCATCAAGGAAACAAGAGGGAAAATCATACGGTCAGTCTTATCTATATTACCTTGTTTGAATGAGCGTTGAATGCTCTAATACGACTTTCCTGTCCCATTCATCCCTCGAACAGGTGGCAATGGGAAGAGGCAGGGGAGACAAGGTATGCAAGCTTGATAGGGGTCGCTGGCGGTACGACAGCGGGTGCTTGGCAAGATGAAATTAAATGATTTAAATTTATGTATTTGAGGGAGAGGGTTCTACTTCGTATCGTTGTCAGATGCAGTTCTGCAACAGATGAAGTGCCACCTGCAGCGTCGCCACACGCTTTCAAGGGGTAGAGAAGATCATGGAACCATCCTCGCATTCTGTATCTATCCGTGAAAAAAAAAATCACATCAGATGATACATGACTGGCAATGACATTTCACACTGGAGGACGTTGTTGCAAGGAGATTAATAGATTTAGATTTACCTTATTCACTGCCACGTTTTCTTGTTGGGCAACCCAGTTGCATATTTTTAAAGTCTACAACTCCTGCTAGTGCCACACGAGTCAGAGTGCTTCATTTTCATCCCTCACACTTTCTGCTCTCATTGTGGTTTTGACCTCCTCTCTTCACGTTTCTACTCATCTACTACCTGTACCTCCAACCAACATCTAACGACTTTTCTACATGGAAGAACTAGCAGCTAGCCCTAGGCACCTTTGGATTATAGAGATACATACAGGAAGAAAAACTGTAAACCAACGACGAGCAGAAAACAACTGCGCTTTTGTAGCAAAAAGCTCCTGCAGCATGGCAAACATTTCTCCACCATGCAGGTCGTACCGCCGTGTTCTGCATACGGGCAAAAAAAACTCTGATGATGTAGTTCTCAACAGCATATCAAATGATCCAGGTGTGAAAACAATGTTTTTTAATCAACTACAACTGTTGTCTGGTTTACCATGTTTGGTCTAGAGGTCTAGTATCAAAAAGTAAACAGTTCTCACTAGATGAGGCAAACTGTACTTGGTCATCAGAATTCCTCCATGAGCTAACAAAATGAAGAGAATGTGTCTATCACGGTTTCACCGGACGCAATGTCATTTGTCGAGCGCCCGTTGTCTCCGAAAGCCTCTGGGACAATTCTGCATCGTGCGTGGGCCCGCCACGGTCGTGTTGAAGAGCAGTCCTCATCTGTTACGACTGTTCGTGGTTTCTGTGGGTGCGCTTCTATTCGGCGGGTTGTGGCTGATTGCTGCCATATCACAGATGATTCCCGCATTGGCGCGCGGCAATTTGGGATGGAGTGGTGCTGTTGCCGGATATCTCTTCGGACTCACGATCCTCATGGGAGGCATCAGAAGTTTGCTCTCCTTGCAGTGTTTGCTGGCGGTGTGCACGGATTGTGGCAGTCGGAACTATTCACTCGCTCACGCAGCCTTGTCGACGCGCGCAGCCCATCGTTCTTCTCCTTTGTGTCCTCGTCAGTGCCGTGCGCAGAGGCTGACTACGGAGGAGGTCACGCCGAGGAACGCGACTACAAACTTTTCGGGAAGGACGCCGATCTGGAAAAACGGGCTGTCCACCAAGCAGCATGCCCAGATCCGCGAGTTCTCGTTCCAGAACAGTACATCTTCAACAGTGGCCAGAACAGTCCATCGGCACCATCGATGGTGACGACCAGCTGTGCACACGCGTTGGGGAGCGAAGACCTACTGTGGCTTACGGAACAGTGCTCGGACTATCTCTACGAGTGCGAACAAGAGTGGGCTCAATTGCATGAATATGTGATCGAGGGTTGTCATTGGCGTCGCCGCCGGAGCAGCGGCTTGGTACTACAGAGCGGCGCCATCGGCATGTCTCTCGTGGCGATGTATCCTTTTCGAACCGCCTTTTACGAAGCTTTCCGAGTGCTGCACGTTGCCTTCTTTTTGGTCGTGATTTTTGGTGCATTGTATCACGGGGTTGGCGGTATCCTGCTTCTATTGCCAATTCTCGTGATCGACAGGTTTGCGCGTCTCTCACGCTTCGGTGGCAGCGTTTCAGTAGGCGCGGTCGATCCGGCCACGGCTCGCCGCATAGACGTACAGGCAGGCGGTCTGAATGAACAACAGGATCTGGCGGGTCAGCAGGAAAGTCCTCATCTGTTGCAGCAAGATCGGCAATTATTAGGGGAGGGAAGCAATTCGAAGGCGAACGGGTCAACATTTGATGAGAGCCAGGTGGTGGGGATGAGAAACCCTTCACCTGATGATGAACTACTCGAAGGAGGGGGCTCACGCTCAGGCGAGAAGATGAAGTCTCAGAATCGTACCACCACCAACTACGTGTCGGTCGATGCTGAAGTCGTTTTTCAACAAGATAGTGCTCGTGGGCAGCGCGGGAAGGTCACAACTTCTACGGAGCTATCGAGTTTCCGGATTTTCGATTTGACCTCGTGGCGCTCGAAGTCCAACAAAGGAGCGACCAGCACTGGCGCAGCTTCTTCTTCTGAATTAATAGTACTGGAGCGCTACATCGAGCTGAATTTCGTGGGAAGTTCAGCGAGTTCTAGTGGCAGCCACAGCAGTAGTTGCGAGGATGGGGAAGGAGCTGCGGGAAGATCGACGCTTCCCGCTGGAGAAGAACTTGAGTCACTCGCTGTGGGACCTGCGCAATTCTTTCTGTTATCCGTGCCCCAGATTTCGTGGTTGGAAGCGCACCCTTTCACTGTGTCTCGCTTCAGTCGGTTGTCGTGTTCCGGTTCCCAACGACGGTGGGAATTCTCGCTTGTGATCAAGGTCATCGAGCAGTCTCCCGACAAGAGAGCCCACCTCCGCGAGGACCCCTCGCCGAGCAGTTTTTCTTGGACAGGTCGTCTATTTTCCCTCTTCTCAGACGTCGCGCGAGAAGCTGAAGTGCGCGCACCAGCAGAAGATCGCACTAGTTCTAGTCGAGAGAAATTGACAAACTTTCGCGGAAAGATTTTTCTCAATCTGGAGGGCCCCTACGGCGGTCTTCCATCCATTCTCCGCGAGCAGCTGCTCACGAGCTGCAATGTAATTGAAACGGGAAGTTGTAGTCGAGCGTGTCCTACTCTGTGTAGCCGGAACACGTATGACGATTATGATCACGTACTTTTTGTAGCCGGAGGCATTGGGATCACAGCGATTAAGAGTGTTGCGAGTTGGTTACTCGCCCGGATTGCACCTAGTGCTAGTCCTACAACGGATGCAGAGGACGGCCACTGCCAGCTTTCCCTCGTCTGGGTTACGAAAACCGTCAAGCTCGCACACGCAATGTGCCGCAGTCGGCGGGACGCTGTGGAGATCGCCGTGATGCAAAATCATTTCACGAGCACTGGTGAGAGGAGTCTCGCTCCCAGCGAGCGTGGGGGGATTCCGCAAACGAGTAGCTCCCTCGAAGCCTTGAGAATCTTACATTTTTTGAAGACGGAGCTCTTCTGCACGTCTCTGTCTCGGTCACGCGTAGAAGACCTAGGAGACAAAGATCTTGTTGATGCAAAGTACACCCCTGGAAGACCTGACATGAGGAAAATTATGATGCAGTGCTCGTGTCCAGCAGGCACGCAGCCTGACGCTGGACGCGCAGAGAGTACAAAAACAAGCGCAAGGGCACTAGCATCAGCAACGCGCAAAAAGATTTTGGTTTTCGTTTGCGGACCTGCAAGCCTTGTGAAAGCCGTCAGGAAAGAGGCGAGTGCTGCATCCTTGGAGAGCGGTTTGCTTTTCGATGTGTGGGCGGAAAAATACGAGCTCTAGCAATTTCTTGAGGAATGAGGCACCAGAGGGAGGCACTAGCTTTTACTTCCTTAAACCTCTCGCATTTATCGGATTATTTTGAGAAGGCCAGAAACATGTTCGTTGTAAATCATCAGTCACATTGATGTGACAATCTCCATTTTCATGCGCGGCATAGTCGAAGCGCACCGCCGAATGTTCGAAGGTGTTCTTGTCCACTGACTAGTCCTGAAATCTCGGTGGTGTTAAGTATTTGTCCTGCTTCCAGTTAGTTAGTACTAGCTGTCTCGTCCTACTAAAGTTTGATAGTGTGTTATTGAGCTGTGTCTTCTTTAATTATTCTTCTTAGTGTTTATCCTTCCTGAGCTTCCGCCCTGCTGGGTGTCTGTTTGAAATATTAGCTTTCTTTCTTCTTTCCGTTACCTAGTTGTCTCTGTTATTTATTTAAATGGGGTTCTCTTTCTGCTGTGACTAACTTGAGTAGGTGGTAGGTAGGTATCCTGAGGGGATGCGAGTCTAGTAGTCCGTTAGCAGTAAGTAGTAGGTGGTGGGTAGTTGCTGAGAAAGTTCCTTTGTTTTCTTTCTGTGTGGTGAGTCCTTCATGCTGTCTCCCTCCTTTCTGTTGATTGCGAAACGTACTGCGCCGCTATTGGTGGCAGGATACAAAAAAAAAGAAAACTTTTCCTGAAATCTCCAAATCCAAATTACGCCTTGTTTGATGGTCAATGCAAACGACAAAGTCAAAGTAGCTTATCTTCGTATTCGAAAAGTAGTATAATAGTATCTCCGGCGTATTGTCGACTTGTTACAAGAATCATTTCACAGGTTGTTTTTATGGTTTTCTTGCGGCTGACGTACCACTACCTTGACTCGTCTCAGGCTCATTATACTAAAGTTTCAAAGTGTATTCTTGATCTTAAAAACTAGTTCGACCTATTCATGTTGTAGTACTTGATGAAAAAGAAGAGTGTAGACCCAAAAAACATGTTTCATGCAGCAACACTGAAGCGTCCTGCTTCTACAACAGAAAGTGGCGACGCAGGGATACCTGGTGCCAAACGCGGCAATACCACGACTGGCGTCAACAATGCTGTATCTTCTTGGCGAAGTTGGTACCACGACAGTGTCCATATATGGGGTGAGCCCTTTGCCTTGGACACGACTCGCCTGAAAGATCACCAGGCTCCTGGGACGACGGAGACAAGAACTGAAGATGTTCTTTTAGCCAAGCCAAAAATTGGCTTGGCTTGTTTTGACTTAGACAGTACATTGATCAAGACGAGGAGCGGGAGAGTTTTCCCGAAGGATAAGACAGACTGGCAGTGGCTAGGCCCAATGGTTCCGAGAAGATTGAACCAGTTAGCATCAGGCGACGCACCGGATGCGGCTGGAGTGAAGTTCAGGATATGGATCTTCACGAACCAGGGTGGCCTAGGTAAAGGAGGTAATTTAAAACAGAAGATAGCAGATTGGCGTTTCAAAATCGACGCGATCATCAGGCAGTTAGCAGAAGAAACCAGGCGTAGCGTGCTAATAGTGTGCGCAACAGGCGAGAATTGGTGTAGAAAACCAGGTTTGGGTGCATGGGAATACGTGTTCTCAAATGTTAGGGAAAGAGGCGGACGCTGAATTTTCTGAAAATTACTGATCTGGGAAAATGACCACTACTGGTAAGCTACTTTAAGCATCACGTAGAGGTACTAGGTTTGTTCGGGTAAAAAGTTACATTACTAGTCTTGGACTTCTACACTCCTATTCAAGATCAAGAATGTAAACCCTTTTCTATGTATAATTTCCTCGTTCTTATTTGTCCTACTTGTGAATTTTCCTCATCGATCTTCCTTCTTTCATATCACGCGAGACCACAGCCACTACTTCATCCTCATCCTCTGCCGCAAAATCTTCGAGTCATCAACGCGTAGATTGGAAAGCTAGTTTTTACGTTGGTGATGCGGCAGGGAGACCGGCGAAGGAGGGCGTACGAAAGAAGGACTTCTCGGTGAGTGACTTGAAGTTTGCTTTTAACACTGGCTTGCGATTTTTCACGCCCGAACAGTACTTTTAAGAGACGAGATAAGATTCATCTTGACAGTTCGTTGCTACTGCGTAGTCTAAGTTGTAATCTATTGAGCACAGGAGCTCTCCAGAGTCTGATTTTTCTTCCCAGATGAAGAAGAAATCGAAAAGAAAAGTGACCGAGATTTTGATGACAAGGAAGACAGAGCGCGACCACGAGAATCAAGGTCCTTTACGTAGATCGCGTACTGACCGAACCCTCTAATTCCGCTTACAAGCTGAAAAGAACATCGACTGGACAGCAGAATTCTTGCGGATCGGTGCCTTTAACCCGAGGACCCTCTTTGGCGGAGGTGGACATCATGGAAAGGATATTTTTAGAGATGGACCGCCTCCTAAAATTGAAGAGGAGTTTGCTGTATTGAAGAAGCGGATTGGGGAAACAGGTATACGCGCTGGTGAAGAGCACCTTCTTGACCGAGAAGATGCGGAATGCTCTAAAGAGCCAGCTGTATCTTCCGAGCTGGTCCTCCTGATCGGTCCTCCAGGTTCAGGTAAATCGACGATCTCAAAGGAGCTTTTTCCCAGCTATTTCTGTGCGAGTCAAGACAAACTAGGATCTAAAGAGGCAGTTTTGCGAGCTGTGGAAACGGCGCTCAATGTTATGCCGAGGACTAATCATCACGAAGTACTTAGAAATATTTTTAGAAAAGTTATTTGTTGTTGAATGATGATGTTTTTAAGAACTACGGTCGTGCTGGAGATTTCTAATCCCAAGAAGAAAAGCGTCGTGGTCGACAATCAGAATAGGGACAAAGCAACACGCGCAGCCTACTTCGACTTACTCAAAAAAGTTAAGAACGTCAATGTGAGAGTGCGCGCACTTCATTTGGAGATACCAAAAGAGGTTGCTATACACTTGAACCTCGTGCGGACGCGCTGCAAAGAAAAAGCCATTCCAGAAGTGGTGATACATTCTTATGGGGTTTGCATGTTGAGTGTTTTACTTGTCTTGTTTGCATCATGCTGTTATGTTGCATCGAGAAAGCAGATTACGGCTACTGCTGGTGCTCCATTCCAGAGGTATAACTAGATGGAGATGATACTGATCCATTCTTCTATGAAAAAATTAGGCACCTCTATGTTGCGGTGCTCCTTCTTTCTACATGGTACCTACATGCACGCGGCAAACCTCTAGCATTTTTTCGAACTCCTCTAATCTCATTATTACAAGAACATGCAGGCCCCTCAAGAAGATGAACCTTTCGCAGAGGTATCAAAATACACCATCGAGGATATGGGAGTGGTGGCGAGAAGAATCGGGCTCAGAGACGATGAAGAAGAAGATGCTAAGAACAAAACTGGCAATTCCTCCTCAGAGGTCCCCGTGTCTTTGTCCACGGTAGTCCCTAACAAAAAAAGAATGTTAGCTCTGTTTCAATGATGATATGACATCATTGAGATTTCTGCGTCCACAAGAAGAAGACCAGGAAATAAGAAAAAACGTCCTGTGGGTGTGGGGAGCAGGTATTACTAGTAGGCTGTGCGCCTGCTCGTTGTCTAGACAGCACGCACCAGAGAGGCAACAAGTATTGATGTCCTATCATCTCTACTCCTATTCATCGTGGAGACTCGACACAACGCGAAAACTCCACTTGTGTTCTCGAAGACGAAGGAGGAGATCTGCCTAAGTACTTTTTTCTTCGAGGTTCGGACTGGGTGATGGTGGATCCTGGATCTCGAAGATAAATCAATTTTCTGGGTCGTGTGTCAATAGGTGATTGAAGATCGGTTTTTTTAGGGTTCGTCTAGGTCTGGCGCAATCGTTGTTGTTTGTTCAGTGTCTACTCACAATATGGCCAAGCAATGACAAAGAACGTTTACTTGAGTTTCCTGCTCCTTTTCAGTCTTTCTATACCTTTCTCTTTGTGTCTGTGAAATGTTTGCTTTCTCTGCGCCCACCGCTGCTGGTGCGTCGAACTAATCGAAAAATTTGTAATTGTGAAAACTCGTCCTCGTGTTGTTATCATGAGTTGTGATTAAGTAGCGTAGTTCAGAGAAATGAGAGCCCTATGCTGTATTCTCATCGACCTTCATCAACGAGAAGGTTTTCACAATGTGTTCGAACTTCGAAGCCTTTGTTTTAACAATCAAAAAAAATAGTGTTTTGAAGACAACTAATTCTAATATTACGTGCGTGCCGCAAGCGCGACTGAATGGGAATCTGCATCATCGTGTTTACTCTCCACATACGGTCATGATAAGAAATATCGATATTCAAGAAGAGTTCTAATAGAGAAAGAATATGTTTCGCATTCGCTGAGTCTTATTGTTGGAGGAGCGCTGACGAGAGCCACTGCTTGTGTTTCATGCATCATACAACTTCCTCAATGTACCTGGTGTCATAAAATCACGACGCTAACGCTATTTGATCTACTTGTCTTTGTCTCAACATATGCTGCTCTGCATGTCGGTATCTATATTTCGCGTTCGCATCGAACTGAAACATCACTGTGAACAACCATTTTGACACATCATCATACACATACAACGCACTCTCTCAACAACATCGTATTCCAATCGTAACTCCGCATCCGTATTATCTCATCGATCATCCCAAAAAAAAAATGTCGTGGTTTCTGCCAATCTCTTGTTCTAAAAAAAGCTACCAGAAGGGCCAGGAATCCACGGTGTCCCAAGGGTTCATCAACCCGATTTCCCAAGACCCACCTACAACTTGTTTTGATGTTGTTGACTTAAGAGACATCAAGGTTCGAGAAGATAGAAACACGGTTCACGTTCAAGAACATCTATTTCAATTTTTTGATAAGGTTAATATTCCACTCCTTCGTCATCGTCTTCGTCTCTTGGTGTTCCTAATCATGTTGGGCAATTTAGATCAAATCTTGGGTATGCGCATGCCGATGACCGCTGCGCTGGGGCCTAAATTGTTGCGGAAGGTTGATCAGGAGCATTTTCCCTCACAATGGACCTCAGTGGACACGGACACAGCGCTTCCGTTAAGGCTAGGTTATTACTATCCCGTGTAGACCTCCTAGTGAGTCTAAAAAGTCATGGGTTCCCCTTATTTAAGAGTGATGCTAAGTCGTGGGAGGTTCTTCCCCTTGATGAAATACTTAAGTGAGTCAAGCGGAAAGTAAGAGGAGAAGCGGCAACTCACTCAACCACGGATAGTAAAGCACTTCTAGCGTTAATTCCGCCAAACCTAGACTGCATTGTCTTGTACTTCTCCGCACACTACTGCCCGCCGTGCAGACAGTAATATTGCGATCTTTATCATGTGGCAAGTTCGATCACCACGATCATTTTTTACATGATTTTGTTCAATCATTTTCTTTGTTAGGTTGGCTAACAACGTCCATTACTTTTACATTTTCATAATAGGATAACAATCGACAGACCACTAACAATCCAACAACAAGCTAGACGAGCGGGTAGCACTCGTCTGGGATATCTTAGGCAGCTCGCCGAATAGATTCAATTCATCAATAGGAGAACGAAGCCTTGCTCATGATCTACATCCATGTATCAAGATACATACCATGCATAATATCAATCAGGTTCACGCCTCAGCTCGTTGAGCGGTCATTACGTGCTAAGCTGTTGCGCAAGAGTTTTGAGATTGTCTTTGTCTCTGCGGACCCGAACCATGCGGAGTTTAAGGCTACTTTATCACGAGAATCCCATGTCCATGTGGAGTATGGATGCTGAGTGGCCTCATACATGCTTTTGGCATTAATAAGGGGAAAATTATAAGGGGGACGACCACTCAACAACCTTGGAATCCCACTCAACCAAGGGTAAAAGACTAGCGCTAAGGAGTGGCAAAATTACTACAAGCTCATGCCATGGCTCGCTTTGCCCTACGAAGAGTCGCAAAAACGTGCTCCACAACTGCTTCAATTAAGGCTGTTTTTCCACCTTGATTCTATTGACACAGAAACAGGCCTTAGTGAGGATTGTTGAAGTCATAGCAGTAAATAACAATTTCTTCTTCATCACGTTATTGATCATTAGTACCGTTTTACACCAAACACAACTACAAGTGCACAAGAACATTGTAAGTATTAGAAAGCGGTCTAATGTTTCTTAGTAGTTGAAAGCGGTACACCACATAATTGCGACTGTGAGTAGAAAAATATATTAATCATGTGCTCAAAAAGAAAATGTTCAAGATGAATGAATATGAATTATATGGTTTTGAGTAGAACCAACTACAAGATGTAGTACTTACTTCCTAACTTCTTTACCATGCAAAGGGGGCCCTCTTTGCATCCTCTTCTAATCCAGCAACTGGGCTTGCGAGGAATACCATCTGCTGTGATCTACTGGAAGAATGGGAAGATCGAAACTCAAGGCCGTCAATTGCTTCTACAACCAGGTTTCTTCTCCAATGTGGGGCCAAGGCTTCAGATGCTGGAAGCATCAAAGGAGACCGCAGCTAGCAGCTCATCTTAAGACTTCACCTCCTAGCCAATACAGTTCGATCTTCCTGGAAGTATCCATCGATCCTGGAGCCATGTAGATGTACTAGTAAACTCAAAAATCAATAGCTGTTGAATATGAGAAATAGTTTCTTTTTTCACTCTAATCCTCTTCAAACACAAAAAATAATCAAGTGGCTGCAGGAGGAGCTTCTAGTACAACTCGTGTCTCACAGCTTGGTTTACCTTCTGCATCTTCTGAAGAGGAATCAGAGGAAGGCAGTTCGAAAATTCCTGTGGATGTGGTGTTACCAGACTCAGTGGAACGCATGTATATCGAATTTGATCCACAGGCAGATGATGCGCAAGCAGCAGAAGTGTTTCTGTTGCAACTATACAGCGTGACGGAAATCGAACCATCAAAACAACGAATCTTCTTCGCTTTTGAACATTATGGGATGTTGGAATTTCATCCGCTCGGTTTTTTCGTACTGCAACTATTAATAGTGTTTCTGTACACGAATGTGAATGAATAAGAAGATTGGTTGTATCCAGTAGCAGGTTAAGAAGTAGAACGAAGCAGTGGCACTAGGTAGAACTAGAAGGGATCTTCCCGAAAGACAATCTATCTAGTTTCTTCTTGCATTGATAATTACTTACGTCCAAATCGGTAAAATAAGTTTTTCTACTTTTATCTTGCTCTTCTAATCCTCAAAGCAAGAGAACGGTCAAGAGACCAAATTGGTGCAGATCCAGTGCGAGGCAAGTTGTGGACATTTCCTGACTACGATCATTCCCCAACTCGAGACGTCAGCAAAAGGACACTGTGCGGTGCCCAGAGTCTATTTAAGGCTCAGCTTTCAATGGTCATTGGGGTTGGTCACTGAGATCGAAGAGGCGACCCCTTGAGAGAACAGGGGAAAACGAAGGGAAAGGGGAGAGCTTTGAAGGGGGTCCCTTCCGTTCCGAGTCAGTGACCATTGAAGGCTGAGCTTTAATCTATGTTCTGGGAAATATCAGCGATCTGGACGACCCCTTCGAATTCCGGAACTCGCCACCTCCTGAAATAGAACAGGTGGTGGAACAACGGTATTTTTTATGTGAAGTCTTCACAATTCCACGGCCGTTAGAAAGGACACACTGTTGGAACTGTATCATCCTGCTGGTAGACTAGAAGCACTACTAGTGATGCGACTGAACGAACTCACTGAAGAAGCTGGTGGTGATTATGTAATACAGCTCCTTAGGTGATCAAGTAGCAGTTGTACTACCAGTAGCACTATGATCTTCTTCAAGAGCATAATGATAATTAAAGATGGTCTGCCAGCCCGATGGTGCAGTTATGCTTTGTCTGGTGTCAAATGTATGAATGTAGTGCGGTAGTTCTGCAAATATACAGAGGTAGTTCTGAAAATTAATATACAACAGAGGACTCTACATGATCCTCGCAGTTGTCAACTCCTTGTTGCCCCTGTATTAAAATCAGGCAAGCCTACGTCGCAGCTAAAGCCCAGGGATTGAAGGCAGGACAGCGACCTAGGCGAATCTTAGCTGACGCCATGAAGGTCCGCACCTACGAGGACCGAGAATTGCAGACGGCCTGCTTGAACCAGATACCTGTGCCTGAACTCTTTGAATCCGCGAAGAAGAGAGTCGAAGACGCCTGTGGAAGCAATTATGAACGTCCTTCGATTCGTCTTTCTTACTACCTTTCCCATTAATAATCAAATGTGGTTTTACTGTTGCTGTAAACATTATACAACATAGTCCCCTCACAACTTTGCATGTCAACGCAGTCTTTTGGGTCTTATTATAACCGGACTTCTCCCATCAACATCTTTTTTTTTTTTCGTTCCTAGGTAATTTGGAATAGGAATTTTAGTTATAACTACAAGCGCAGCCAGCTCCCAGATATAAGAGGGCCACTAAGTAATTAATACGTAGAGTAGTTTATAGATATAGACGCTGGGTGGCTGGGCGGCCTCGCTGGGCACGCTGGGCGGCAACGCGGGGCACGCTGGGCTAGAAACAGCGGCAAACTCGCCAGTGCCGTTGGCCTTGGCCCACGCTAGAGCTAGACTAGCGCTGCTGGTGGGGTTCTCAAGCGGGCGCCCGAAGGGCGCCCCGCAATTGGAGACGCCCAGCGTCACGCTGGGCGCAGAATTCGGCAGATCTGGCACATTTGGGTCGCCCAGCGACCCAGTGTGCCCAGCCCATCCATGTTGGGAACCCTTATAAACTGTTCTATCATAACTAAAATCCCTATCCCAAAATTCCAAAATCCCTATTCCTCCTGATCATACACAGCAACATATTAGATCCGACTTCTCTTGATTTCTAATTTTCGGATTTTCCTACCGCCTTCTTGGAAGTCCTCGTTTCTTGGTTCAAGCATCGATTTATGAAGTGGCCCGAAGCAAATCCGCCCAGTGTGCATTGTCCAGGAGGCAAGTGTAAGCCAGCTGGTGCCTGCCAGAGTAACGAATCAGAACAGATATTTTTATGACAACATGGATGTTGTATTATTTCCACTTGTAAAAGAACCTTACTACTATCACATCTGGGGAACATCTTTTGCTTACTGTTGCATACATGTTATAGTTGATGTTCTATGTTATAGCTGATGTCCTCCTGGTCCTCAACAGTCACTGTGTGGTCTTTCAGTGTGAGAAAGAGGATACTTCTTTTAATGTGTAATCTACACTACTAATGAAGCAAGGTAGATCTTCTAGACTCATCCTCATCCACTGCATTAATAAAGCTGCAAGTATCTAATCTGTCAAAGTGAATAGACGATCATCAATCAATCAGTAGGACGAAAATAATTGCTGAGTCGTCGATCAATCTTCACTCTAGGGATCTTCATCTTTGGCTAAATCATGTAACTCTTCAATGCTTACATTTGCTCTGTTGAAAAAGTTAAGTAGATCTTTCTAATTTTCGACGCGCAAAATACAGAGTTGTACAGTTGCCTGGAAACGAGGAGGGAGCAACGCTTTCCCCGTTACAACAATGTCTTTAAACTGCTGGAAACGCGCATGGGAAGGTGTGGTGAGTGGGCGAACACGTTTGCGGCTATGCTCAGAGCTGTTGGTACTTACGGAGGAAGGTCAAGTTGTTTCTTCTTGTGGGGGTTCGATGTATCTATAAGTAATTCGCTTTCTTCTTGTCGAGGTTCTATCTATAAGTACTTAATTCTCTTTCTTCTTGTGAAGGTTTCGAAACGAGATATATAGCGGATACCACCGACCACGTCTGGAACGAAGTGTGGTTGCCGTCGAAAAGTCGCTGGGTCCACGTTGATCCCTGTGAAGCGAGCATTGATGCCCCATTGCTATACGAACAAGGTAATTCTTGATACTGAGAAATGATTTTGATTGTTGCCCCTGCTTTGCTATATGAACGAACACGAGTTAATGAATTTCTACTGATATTTTTTTGTTGCTCCTGCTTTTCTATATGAACAACAAGTACAAGGCAGGTATGTAATCATAGTTGGGATTTTTGTTGCGCCAAGTAGGTTGATGTTCAGAATTATGAGAAAGAGAATAATGTAAAAGTATTATGCAACCGAAATCAATGTCCGACGTAGGAGAAGATTTTATCTAGTTCTATTTTAAATCTCTCATTGTTCTTCTTGTATGTGAACACCCCCAGGTTGGGGTAAGAAACTGGAGTACATTTTTGGCTATGCGCGCGACCATTGTTTGGACGTTTCCAGACGATACACAAAGAAGGGCGTTCCTGCCTTGACAAGGCACAACTTTGCTTCAGAGCAAGAACTAATTAAGGCTCGTACGATGTTTATTCAGTCTCAGTTTCTACTTGTGATGTTGAACTAATTAAGGCTCGTACGATGTTTATTCAGTCTCAGTTTCTACTTGAGTTGCATTCTTATCTTAATCATGTTCATGATTTGATTCTGAATTTTCTAAACTGCGAAATATCTTCGCGGTGGCCCGATCTTTTCTTGAAGATGAGGACCAGGCAAGTCTCCGCGGCGTCCCAGCTGAGAAGCGGCAAGCGCGTCAGGCGTTATTTTATGAACAAGATGAGTCTTATAGTTTTGTTTTACGAACCTTGCGCGATCATCTGGACCGTTCCATCTTGTGACTCTCTTGATCGTAAAAATCTTGATGACATCTCTTCACCCACTCATCGGCCGAACTCCTCTTCTAATCTTCAGACAGAAGGCGAGGCGAAGAGGAGGCCCATCTACGAGGCTTGCATGAGCAGTATAACGCCAACGAGGTGGATGCCAAGAATCTGAATGCTCGTGAAAGTTAAGGGGTCAACTCGTCCATAAACTTCTTCTACTTGATCATTGACTACTTGATTGTTCTCCTGCGTCTACTTGCCTGTCGAGCGGTCTCGTCTACGTCTTCGTGATACCTTAGCAGGTGCCTAAAAATGGTTTTCTATTCCTACGTCTTCTCCACGTAGTATATTGAATTGTACAAATTACCTATGTTGTTCATTCTTGGACGACATAAAGTTAAAGATCTGAACTGTTCACCTATCCTGTATGAGCGTTCAGCCTTCTCTGCAAATTCAAGTCCACCCTCACCCTCACCCAAGTTCTTGACCCCCATCCAAATCCAAGTCGACCAAAGTACCAGGAGCTTCTGATATCACCAACAGCCTCATCCTCTTGCTTCTAATTTCTCGGTGACCAAGCGTGGCGTATGGGACGTCAGGAAATGGGAACTGTCTCTATCTATGGTGGGAAACATGCAGACACGAAATCATTCGAGGACGTCGAGCATGAGCACAAGGTCCAAAAGGTGGTTCTCTGGAGTGGTCAGTTTGTTCATGGATTACAGGTACTTTTGTTATTGTTTAGAGCGGTCAACACTCAGTTTGTTTATGGATTGCAGGTACTTTTATTTCATATACGTCGATCATAATCATTTCCTCGTGATGCATGGAGCACAAATATATAGATCAATGTCGCACATCAATTTATTCCCCTGCGTGGTTTACACTGGTGAGGTACATGCTTCTAGCACAACTCAATTTCAACTCAGTTTCTTCTTTTTTTAGCTATTCTTTGTTTTAAGTTGGAGCATCAAATTTACATCTTCACTGACACAGCTCGTTTTCGATGGAGTTGCACTGAGTAAGCATCCTCCACGCTGGGACTTCAATGACAAGGAGTGCGAAAAAAGAGAGCTCCTCTTGGATTCTGACGAGCATATCAGCTTATGATCTTCAAGAGTCTGAGTAATCATCAGGATTAATGAGAGTTGTTCTTGTAATCAGATGAATCGGGGTCGGGTATAACTTTCTTCTACTCACTGAACTAACTTTCTTCTACAACTTGCTGATGTTTGATAGCGAAACATGTCGGTTGCGTGGACGTTATGATACAGTCGGTAGCAGCTATGATACAGTAGATTATAATTGCTGGCACCAGAAACATACTGGTGGTACTTATAAGCAGATAATTAATTTGTAAGTACAGGTACCGGTACCCAGACCCACTTCTTAGAATCTACAGTACTTCTAATTCTTACAGTGAAGGGCAATGCTGGTCTGATACTAGACCACCTGAACATCACGACGAACAAGGGGAGGACGATAACCGCTGGAAGCAGTGGAGGAGGCCAGCCGTTTCATTATGAGGATCCCCTACTCCTTTTTCAGCAGTACTATCGTCTGTTTTTGCCTCTAGCGTGTAGCCCCTCAAAGAAAATATTTAAGGGTAGGTTAAAGGGTAGGTTAAAGGGGACTTTCAATGGTCACCATTGAGATTGGGGTCACTGAGATAGAAGAGGCGGGCTCCCCTTGAGAGTAGAACAGGGGAGATAAATGAAGGGAAACGGGAGAGCTTTGAGGGGAGTCTCTCCCGTTCAGAGTCAGTGGCCGATGAATGGCGAGCTTTAATTAAAGGCGCTTTTGTTATTGTTTGTTATGCCCCCTCTTCTAAGGGGGACAGCCATAACAAGCGGGACAAACGAACACCAAAAGCCTGCCTCTACTGTGTTGCTCATCTACTCAGAAGATTCCGATAGAATGTTTCACTGTTCATCTAGCAAAATCTAACTCAAAGTAAGACTATAAGTAGATCAAGAGACAGAACATCAAAAGTCATCAATGTTTCAGGAGCAAGCAATCTTCTAGTACGCTATTAAACGGGGCTCGCACGTACTTTCATTCTTGTGACTCTCCGCCCCTGGTGGGAAGTGAGACCAAAGCCTCTGCGAGGCGCTGTAAGACACAGAAACTAGACGTTGCTGAAGAAACGAGACGCTAAGATGTTTGCTCAGCACCTCCATCTAATCTACATTTAAAGAGGGTCACATCGTGGGTCTACTTGGCGGCTACGGTGGCCATGTGCACAACATCGGAGTGAGGTATGCCAAAACTGGTCCGGAAGCTCCTGGTGCTGGCCGAACTACCAGAGTAAGCAGCCAAGGACAGAGTGCGCTAGGCGGGTCCAGTTCTTCTTCGAAGCAGGCGGCCGCAAAGGAGACACAAGTCCAAGAACAGGGAATGGTGTTAAGGCTATTAGATAGATAACTGTTAGCTAATAAGGGAGTTATATATCATGTATTTGATTCATCTTCTACAGCATGATCTTCATCTTCTTCGAGGGAGGCTCTTATTTGATTTTGATCGTATCGTTCTCTCCTGTAGTGTTGTTACTACACATGATCAATCGTCTCTCTTAGTTTGTCTAGTTCGAGACATGAAAGGGTCAAGGGAAGGTGGACGTTCTTGTAGTCTACTGCATTCTTCAAATAATAGTTGTCACCGGGGAAGATGTAATAGCGGTAGGTCGTCTAATTTTGTGTGAAGGAGGCGTCTGTCGATTGGTGCCAGCTAGTTCTAGTACTAGTACTACTGCAGGAGCCGCAAGCAGTTTCCAGCCAGGCACACGAGCCTCTGCTTCTTCATCTAGTGGAGCAACGAGCAGCACGAAATTATGCAATCTTCTTCACTTAGCTGCATTCATCGTTGCTACTTGTTTTTTACCTCTATTCCTGTCAGGTGATCGTAAGTATCTATAAGTGCAGATGCAGCAAATCATCGTCATCAGATATTAGTAAAAACCGTATCCCCTTGCTGATGATGCTACTCGTACTAGGACGAACTGACACTGAGGAGGTAGACCATATATACAGTGTACAAGTCTAAAAAAACAGGTCGATCCTCAAGCGGTGAGAGCTCGGATCAAGGAGATTTTCAGGGAGCTGACCGAAGTCGGGATTAAGGCTTGCTTTTTGATGCTTTTCACATGATTCATTCCACTTCCTAAGACAGAATTGAAACTCTGTAGACGTAGAGGACAGAGCGGTACTAGTTGTTCCCTGGAATTTCAGGAACTCCTAAAACGAGTGGTAGACAGTGTGTGGGGGTTCCGTACTAGTAATATTTCAAATTATTTGTTACTGGTCATCTTCTATGACAAAAAAGGTAGTAAGTTCCTTAGAAATTATTCGCGTCCTCTGCAGCAATCCATCGCCTTATATTTATCATTCTTTACAAGTCTCCATCTTGTTTCCTTTCGTCTCTTTTGAAATCTAGCTTGGGCTTGCCTTTGCATCCTAATCAAGTCTTGAGACAGTGCCTCGTGCTAGGTAAATGAATGAATGAGTGAATTCTTCCAACCACGACAAGAAATGAATTCAAATTCGTACAGCCACGATCAATAAATATCAGCTATCATCATGATGATCTTGATACAACTCCTTCTTGCAACTGCTCTATCTTAGAAATAGAGGCTGATCAATCTTATTCGTGGAGGCACCTTTATCATAACGATACAACTACGTTTGTTATAGGTCCATTATCTTACTTGTGAAAGGACGTCGACCTCTAAGGAGAAGATGAAGCCGAATGAAGCTGCAGCGGAGGCGTTGAACAGGGCGTCCGAAGAATTCCGACAGCAGGGAAGCTAAACAAGCTTGTTCAGGAAGCGGTAAATGATACGAGGAAAATTGACGGGAAGATAACAGGGAAGACCTAGAAGTAGAACTTTGGTCAGGATAACAGGGAAACCGACAGCAGGACAACAAGGAAGGTCTCGAAGAACTAGTAGCTCTTCAGACAAGATCAAGAACATGAACAAGGAAGCTGGTCTAAAACTTCAGAATCAGAGAGAACAGTTTCATTTTGCTCTCTGTCAAACCTGAAACTCTTTTGGGGTAGGTACGTCATCTACTATCTACAATGTGAATGTTTACTTGCGTTGTCTAAACCTGAATCAGGACGATGATCTACTGCAACCCATCATCAGGCGACTCCTGGTCGTAAGATTATCACAACATCCAAGATAGAGGAGCATTGACTCATCCCAAACAAGACATGCATACTATGCAAAATGATACGAATACCCTAACGATTTGAGTGTCAATAAAATGTAAGCGACATTTTTTTTGTATGAAGATCCGGACGCACCATGCTCTTGTACGGGAGCAACGGCGAACTAGACGGGATGCGCCCAAGTGTTTTAAGGCACTTATATTTAAGAAAGTCCATGAATGTGCCCGGTAGTGGTAGCTGAGAGCCCTCATTATGATTTTGAGCGGCCTCATGTCGAGCTCGCGCGCTCATGATCGACATAAAGATAAAAAGTGGCTCTGTAGTTGTACAAGATTGAGTATAAGCTCTTTCTTGTCTTGTAGGGATTTGAGTAGAGAGCAGAGAAGATCCGGAAGAGAAGTATTCATTTCTGTCGGGAGGTACCTTTCATTCTGGGGGTCTGTTTCAGGTATGATCGACATGAAGAGGTAGAAGTATATTTCTGATTGTCTGTACTCTCCAAATCCAAATCCAAACTAACTTCTGTGAGCAGGATGAGAAAGTGACAGTGAGTTGTATGTTGTTGAGATTGAGGAGTTGTGTACCTTACGTGGTGGTGGACTTCTTATAGATTAGGTTTGATGTGGTCCTCGCCCTCTGGAGTTTGTCTAGCAGGTGTACTAGGCTTATCCGAGAAGTAGACTCTCAGAGTCAGAGTCACTGAAGAGATAAGAAGTCTGTCCTGAGACTGAGAGAAAGTCTGGTACATTTCTCGAAAGAAAGCCCGTCCACCTGAGAGAGGTTGAAAGTCTCCTGCGGTATTCCTTGAAAGATGAAAGTCTCCTGCTCCTGTCTTGATGTTAAAGATCGGATAACTTAAAGATTTCTTCTCGTGCCCCAATCTTGTTGGACTATTCTTATTTTTTCTCAGTGGGGACGCATCGATCAATCATGATTTTTCGGTTTAAACCACAATATTTCACCCCAAAACAAGTCACTCCTTCCCTACCAAGACCAACATTGTATGTAAGTATAAGAAACATATGATTAGCTTTTTAACCGATAAACCAAAACTTGTACCTTCGCGTTTTGTTCTTTTCCTTTTTTGGTCCTTTCCACCTAGTCGGGTTAGCTCCACCACTATTTTGTAATATATTGATAAGTAAGAAAGTACCTAAATTATGAGGACGCTGGTCACCTTACTACTCACCGTGTAGTCCACTCATCAAAGTAATTATCTTGATGTTTATAAGCCTGCTAAAAGTGTGCTCGTACTAGTTTAACCTTAAAAATTAGTTTCTCTATTTGCTGCAGGAGCAGGGGTGTAGAAGTACTACCTAAGTACTTCTAAACCAACATCTTCACTGTCAAGCAACCACGTAGGTCTCTCTGCTGTGATCAATTTTGTGTAACAATAAAGACAAAATGAGTGAAGATTACGGTGATCACATCTTTGAAAGGATGAGGCCTCGCAATTTCTCTGCTGATGGAAGCGGATATAAGCCTAGTACTTCCACACGAGACAAGAGGGAGATGAGCCGTAGGATGGAGGAAAAATTTTCGTCTCCTGTGTCTCCAAGTAGAGGCGAGAAAATTTTTATCTCAGATGATATCCCAGGAGACGAGCCAAGGGAGCCTTCTCCTACTTCTACTATACGAGATGCTAGAGCAGATAAGAATGGATCGACAGAACAAGCTGTAAGAGATGAAGCGGAAGACGAGACTATTGGGGAAACATTGCGTCATTTTTGGGATAAGACAGCAGGAGCGGTAGAGCAATCCCTACATAACTTCCTAGACGAAGACGAGGTCCTGCATATCGAGCATTCGGATCATGATGAACATAATGCGCGTAAACAGAAAGCAATCCGCAAATCCATTGCTGCGGAGACTCGTGAGCAAGAAGCTCCGAAGAAAGTGCTGAGGACCCCCATTGGTGGATCTCCCGCTGCTTCGAAAAAAACAATTGCTACAACTTCTGGTGGAAAAATATCCTCGCCAAAAACCTCGAAAAAAACCGATGCAGCAGCTATACTTCATCTACCTCCGACCACGTCGAAAGTGTCATCAAAAACTTCCTTCTTTCTGACCGATGAACAGTATCGAGATCTTGTCAAGACGAACAAGAAGGCATTGTCCCCAGCTGCTGTCAGAGGTGCAGTTGGAGGTGCTCCTGTCGAAATTCAAGGTCCTCCTCCTGGAGGTGCGTGGCAACGATCGCCTCGTCCATCCAGTGCAACATCTCCAAGGATCTCCAGTAAAGGCTCTACTTCTACTAGTGCGCCCGCCCGTGCGTCCACTAAACCGGCTAGTACTACTTCTCCTCGTCAAGGAGAAAGAGAATCTCCTCGTCAAGGAGAAAAGCTCTTGTCCAATTCTCCTCGTCACGGATCGAATGAAGAAGCTGTAGCTCGTGAAGAAGATACTTTTACTATTCAAAATGCTCCTGCTATTGCTACAGCGACTTCAACGGTGCAGGAACGAGTCGAGAAGACAAGACAAAGTCGTGCTGAATTCTTGAATTTCTGGGAGAAAGAAGTGATGAGAACGTCTACCTCAACAGGAGACCACCGCGCCAACAGAAGTAACGGGAGCGACAGTAAAAATATTAAGGGACTAGGTGAAGAGGCTGAAGGTCGTACGGAAAAGGAAGGTCTTCAACAAGGTTTCTTCTCAGGTCTTACACTCGCTACTGGAGCTGAATCGTATTCCTTTGGTCAGGAACAGAGACGGAAAAGTCGTGCTGCTGCTTCTGATGGTCTTACACTCGGTAGAGTCGTGGTCTCTCCATCCACCGAAGTTCCCTCACTCAATCCCACGACTGCAGCGGCAACGACTTCAGCAGGTTCAGCAGAAGCTACAACCGATACGACTATGTCAGCAAATGAAACTAAAACTTCAGCTGAGCTGAGAGAGAACCTGGCTGCCCTCTTAAACGCCAAGCCGCCAGAGATGCCCTTGGTCATTAGAATGAGTGCCGCGAGGAACAACAATGTCGTGCCAAATTCGACAATAAGCAGAGACTCCGGTGTCAGCTTGTTGAATATTTCCTTGCCAGTGGAATCCAATTCCAAGCCCACCACGGCCAACAAGAACTCCAACAGCACTACGAGCAACACTGCGACAGCATCTTTGAAAGAGGAAAGTCATAAGAAAACGTCTACTTTTACGGGTCGCGCAGTGAATATTCTGGATAATACGTGGGATGCGCGTTTGGGAGCCAGCAACTTCGGTTATTCCAGCACAACCATGTATGACCATTTGCCGGTAACCGACGTCCTAGGAGACACACTCCCTCATGAGTTGCATATCGGAGACCTTGGTCCGACCATCACGACGACCGCTGGTGGCAATCTACTTTCCGCGGCTACTGCTCCGACAAACTCTTCTACTGTGTTTGGTCCGACAATTTTGCCGACCACATCAACTTCCCCGAGACCTTTATACATGTCTCCTTTCGCTTCGAGTTTGCAGAAGGAGATGCAATTAGAATACGAGTTGGAGTTGAACACGACGCCAGAAACTGGTAGGGCGCGCGACCGGAGTGAGCCTGCTATGGAGAGACGTGAGTCTCAAAAGTTAAGCCCTTCATCCGAATTTTTACTTTTGTTTTTTGAGAAATATTTTTGGTCCATCGACATTAGGACATTCCACACATCCAACATGATCCGTGGCTTGGCTCTTTTCCTAGTACTCGAAAAGAGAAAAGCCAGGGATGTCCAACATTTTGAGGAAGGTAATTCCGCGCCAACGACCTCTAAGAAGAGCCGAAATCGAAAGAGAACGACGCTCACGGTCCAGTTCGCCTGGGATTAATTTGAAAGAGCTTCTTCTGGGTGCACCTTCCACGAAACAACTGAGGGATGAACTCGGAGGCTCTGCAGGTGGTGAACCAACTACGACAAATGCGAACACCCGTTTTGGGTATAACTTGCAAGCAACAGAGATTCGAGTGTCATCCTCGAAAAACAGCACTCAGGAATTGGAGAAAGCGCAAGGGCAACAGAAGCAGGGAGCAAACCTAAACTCGACTACTACATCAAAGTCAAACACTCCTCCAGTTGTGCAATTATTAAGGCTTACGCTAATGCTAATCCATAATATCCATCTTATTAATCTTTTGAAGCATCTTGGAGCTGTTTCGTAAGGATAAGGGTACGTAGAACACGAACAGCTTCAAGATGAATCTCACGATAAATTCGGGTGAGCTCTAAAAATAAGTGGAAACAAGAGTACAGTTCAGCGTTTCTGTACTGGAGATGTGATCCGGCCTCGCGTTCGAGAGACTCTATCGCGCGCACTGCCTGTGTCCGATCGCGCAGTGGAAGAAATGGTTCGCTCATGGCGCTCCAATCCTCCTTTAGGACACGTTGTTGAAGTTGTACCTAGTACTTTTCAAAATCAAAAAAGAAGCAGCAGTGTTGGGAGTCGTGGTACTTCTTCTAAAGCAGTACAAGGTTCTTCTTCCCCTACTTCTGGACCACACCAGGAGCAGTTGTTTGGTGTTGAGTCTATGCATGCAGAGGGCCCTGAGGTCTTAGCCCAGAGCAAACAACTTTTAGCGGATTACCTGCTCAAATTAGGAAACAATACTAGTACATCTTTTTCCACTACAACTACAATTGGAGCTAGTCATGCTGCTGCTAGAAATGGAGCTGGAGAACTAAATGCGGCTCCAACGCTGCCACTGCTGAATACTGATTCCTCTTCTGGAGGTTTTGGTGCTGGTGTGAAGATAGACAGCGTACGACAAGCTTCAGGCACGCTCATAACGCTGGCCGATCCTAGTATCACCTCCAGCTCCTCCACCTCCGCGACCGCGACCTCCAATACGTTGTTGAAAAACTATACGAATACTTTTGGCTTGTTTTCTGGCGGTGGCGGTGCCTTAAGTGGTCTGAAGGAAGACCAAATCCAACGCGATTTGCCGAAATTTCGCTTGGCAGGACAAACGCATAAAGTTGAGACGAATCTGAAGGATCAGAAGGAGTCTGTTCCGACACAAAATAACGTGGAGCCGGTGAACAAAGCTGCTGCTGGTTCGGGCGGTCTAGTATTGGGCAATGCTGCTAAAGATACGGTGCCTCCTGTGCCAACTACAACTCTGAACATGGAGAAGACCTGTGCCAACAACTCTGTGCCTGTGTTCAAAGAAGGAGCTCCCTTTACACCTATAGTCTTCTCGCTGCCACCCGCACGACTTTTACCTGTAAATATCAAGAATATGAAGTCGTCTTCGTCTTCGCAGGGGGCACAAGAAGAACTTCTTCTACGAAATCTAAATCCTCCTGACGCTGATGTTAAAGATGTAGAGACGATGATGACTCCTGACCCTGCTGAAGACGAGGAACAGCAAGACGAGCAGTTGTCTGAACCCGATCCGCTTGACCGGTTAGCACAACATCACCCACCAGAGGATCCAGCTTTGTTTATTCCAATACGCGCTAGCAAAGAGAACATTCTGTCCGATTTGCGGAACGTCGTTCATCCAACCAAAGAATTGATCCTGGGGGACCACGACAGCCACCTAGGGTGGACAGCAGAAGCGAGGAAGCGCCTGACTAGGTTGCGAGGCCACGCACGAATCGCAAAGAGTCAGACCGCAAACTTTTCAACCGCATCTCCTTCTCCAGTGGGACGAGGAGGAGCCACGACGACGTCGACACCTGGTGTCGGAGGGAAGCGATCCTCACGAACATCAACATCCGTAAAAAGCAGGGTTTCTTCGCTTGGTGTGGGTACGAAAGCAAGGAGGTCGTCTCCATCATTCAGAGGGAGTGGTAGTGGAGGACTTGCCGCCAACAGCACTTCTTTGCCTCGAGGAGCACTTGAAGATGAGAATATTTTTCTTCACGACATGAATCAATTGGACCAACCTGGAGGTCTTGGTGTGCCATGTGCTTTTCGACCAAGTGCAAAGACGGACGCTTCAATTTTCGGCTCTACTATTAATCAGATGCACCAAAACTTTGTTCGGACAGCCGCTTTTCATTAAGGCTCTCACTGATTCATCTTAATCTTTCAAGTCCATCCTTGCAACGTACGTAGCAGGGTTTAGGGTTTATAGGGGAGCAATACTCTCTCTTGTTCCATATTTTTACCTTTCAAGGATGCAGCTGAAAGATGAATAGTGGATAGCTTTAATTTCGCGATAACGCTGCCGCAGCAAGCCTTGGAGCAGGTCTTGGTCTCGGTGGTCTGGGTTCTGGTGTCGCAGTTGATGTATCTCCTCTGAAGATGTTGGAAACACCAAGAAGCCTTTCTCCACGTTCCTCCTTAAAGGTATTTGGTGGACGTGAAGCAGCAGGGGAGCCCTTGTTGAAGCCATTGGAGAGTCCACTGTTTTCTCCACGTCTAGGCTTGAAGAATAACAACGAAGAAAAGCCAAAGACATCAGCGCCGACTCCGACAGTAGAACTACCGAATCTACAATCACTTTCACTTATGGTCAACATTTAGTGTCCATCATTCTCGGCATCTTGGTCTCCTTTTCCCTTGTATTCTCGTGAAATACAAGGTAAAAGGGGCCAAGATGAGGGGACCGAGATGCATTCTAGCGCACGCTAATTCACAAGGTGAAGATTACAGAAACAAGTCGAAGGAGGACTACGATCCTCAAGACCTAAAAAATGCTGTGCTGACAAATGGTATGCCGACACAAGCAGGTAAAACTATCTTCATGACGACGACTCCTAGAGACCTAAAAAATGGTATGTTGGCGACGACTCCTAGAGACCTCCTAGGAAATCTACTCAACCCGGTTCTCCCGGTACCTCCTACGTTGATCCAAGGGACAGCGGTGCAGCCAAATTTGAATCCGATCTTCGCATTACCGTTTAACTCGGCACTGCCTAGTACTACTAAGGACCTACAAGTACAAGGTCGAGATGTTGTTGACAATAACATCGTACATCAAGTGCTGGAGGTACAGAACAAGTACAGTCTTGCCAACAGCACGTCGATGGAGGTTGATGACGAAGGGCCTTCGTCTTTCAATCAGCAGGGAGTATCTGCTGGAGGACTAGAACAAGTCCCCGTTTTTGGTGGGTCGTTTGCTACAAGTCCTACTTCTACAACTGTTCCTGCTACAACTACGAATCCAGAAAATCCGATCATGTTGAAGAAGTTGAATTTTCCCAAGTTTTCAGCATCAGCTATGATGAACACGACGCCTCGAATTTCATTGAACGGCCCTGGTCCTATTGGAGGACAAGCTGCTTCTAGTCCTGGAGCATCCACAATTATACCGCTAACGGCCGACTCTACTACAGCAGTACCTGCATTTTCACCAAGGATGCAGGAGCTTTCAATGGGAGGTGCAAGTAGAACACCTGGAACATCGTCCACTCTGGCATCTAGTCCTCTTGTTGGAGCTAGTACAACATCCGGTGCATCTACAACAACACCTAGGATCTCAATGGCTCCTGGTGGAAATACTACAACTAGTTGTAGAGGTGGAGGGGCGAAAGGCAGTACTTCCATAGTGATGAATCCTAATCCAAAGGTGGGCATTCCAGCTTTACGTCAGTTCCTCTTCAGCACGACCAATGGGCAGCAGCAGCCTCCAACAGGAGGAACTGTTACTGTAGGGATGACAAATGAACAACAACAATCATCTCCTTCTGCAATGCAACAAGTTTGCGTACCCTCCTCCACGATGATGCAAGAACGAGTTTACGTACAGCCAACTCATCTACTGCCCTTTGGCCAAACTAAAAGCGCAACAGCAAGCACCACGGCTTCACTCTCGAATGCTGCATTGTTCGGCTTGAGACCATCAACGACGTTTTCTTCGTTTGATGGAGCGGAGACGCAACGCTAGAAAGGGTGTGGCGATGCAACGTTAAAGAGAAGGTGACTGTTCCTGTCAATTTTTCAAGCATCTTGTATGACAGAGTAACTATGAAGAGAGAGGGTTATGGTTAAGGACGTCGGAAAAGGCTAGTCCTCTCATCATTATTCAGCTAGAAGTCCTCCTGTTAATTTTCCAAGCAAGCTGCATCAATCTGAATCTTCTAAGACCAAATTTACTTTATATATATGTATTCGACTGGAAATGGATTTCGATTTGGAAATGGAACATTTTTTACACCACGGACGTGGAGTCGTTTGTTTGATTTCTGATATTGTTCTTGGTGTAACAAGTAAGTGAAAAATTGATATTGAGATGAAAATATTCCAGGTGAACAACATCTAGATCCTTTTGTACTGTAGTATAAACGAAATGAATACTTCTTTTGGAACCCGACCTTCCATGAACAGTAATGAAAAAACGAAAGCTTAACATTGTTTGAGTGGTTACAAACATAATAAATTACTAAGAGGACGACATGATAAGATGTAGATAAGAAGTAGACATTGATGTCATTCTTGACAGTAGAGTTTCTAGAATCATGTATGCGACATTTTTTTTAATATCGAAGCTTAATACTGTTGTACATGTACCTCACTTCATCATCGAAGCACCTTTGAATGGTTATGGCAATGAATAGATTTAGATACTACTAATTGGGTTTGGGACTTGAGCAAGTATAAGTAAGTACACAATTGAGATCATGGACTTCGCTGTGATCTAATTCAAAATACGGACCATAGAATTTTTGATCTCTCTGAAGACATCAAATAGACAGTAGCAAGGATATTGAACAGACAAAAGATATTAGAAGATGCTTGCGCTTGGGCGGCGGCGGAAGCATCAGATCTTCTGGAACCAGAAATCGTCTAAGGAAAGAGCAAGAAGCAGTTTGAGTGAAATCTATCAGTGTAAAACAGATTTGCTGAACTTGGAAAACATAAAGGATTCTAGTCTCCTCGGTCTAGTAAAGTAGATTCTTTTAATATTTCGGCGTTTTCAAAGTAGTGAATGCTCACCTCCTCGAGGCGAGCCAGCTCCTATCCTATCCTATCCATTCGAAAGATCTAACACGAATCCGAAGACAGCCCTTTCTAGAAAACTGACACAAGATCTACTTAATTAATTGCAGCAAGAACAACAAAGTCAAAGAAGTACATCAAGTACGCGAATTTTTGGATCCACAAGAAATGTTGAAGAGAAGATCAACAAAGAAAGATTAAAATTGAGATCAAGAAGATTTTTTTTCCCTTGTGGTCACCACGAACACCATTTGAGACCCATCTTCAACAAACCAAAACCCAAACAGTGCAAGAGGAGGTGTACTCAGATACTCTTTGTAAGTATAAAAAGTGTACAATGCTACGTGTGAAAAGACTCGCTTAAGCTTAAGCTACCGTGATTTTGAAAATTTATCTTTGAAAATTTTCCTCTCAAAAAAATTTTTACAATTTACAATTTTTACAATTGGAAACCTGCACTGGCCGGAGTACATCAAACCGGACCTCTAGGACACCTTAAATCTTACCTTATATTTGCTTAAGTTGTAAAGCAGGAGTTGTATTTTCCATGCGAAGCATAATAGTGATATGAATGGAGTAGATGTATCTTTCATCTTGTTGGATACATTCGAACACAGACTGTTAAGTCGCGTCTAGTTTCTCGGTAGGAGACACTTGAGAGTGATACTGTTTTCACAATTTGCACTCACAGCCTGAGACAAATGATCTCTGGTTGGTCATTTCTCCGGGGCGAGCACAGGACGGGCCGGGCCCTTCCTCTGGGTCGCCGTGTCTTACCTCGTACACAGGCCTTGCCCGGCGGCTTCGCTGCATGGATGCCGTTCCTTAGCCCTCCCAGTGACGGGTGTGCCGAGTTCTGACATCAGTCGGATTCGAACCCTGCGTCATTCAGATCCGGAGAAACTGAACTGAGACACTTGACCACTTGGCGAAATGATCCCTGTGGATATTCATTGGGGTTGCAAGGAGGAAGTCTCAGCTTCATCATTGGGATATCATGTTGCATGGGGAAACTTTCATATGGAAACGCTTATGCTATCATCATTGATTCATACGATCATCCTACATTGATTCCCATCATTGATCAGAACTTGACAAGACGTTATGGACCTGATTACAGCTATGAAACATTCACCATTCCTGCTATCTGAATACGTTGAAGGTCCTTTGCCTGATGATCACTGATTTTGGAACTATATGCATTTAGGTCTGTAGGTTATCTTTGAGATCATTCCGGTGCTGTTTTGTCCTTGACTGTATTGGGAGGCTTGAGCCACAAACGAGAGAGAGAGGAGAAGCCAGAGACACCCGCGCGACGGTAAACCCGTCGGGCGTTTGGATGGTGCTCCGGTAACCTTTTGCCTGGCGATCTTGGTCATTTTGCTGATCTTTATCCTTGTGATCTTTGTGAATCCATTAGGATTATGACCTTGACCAACACCCCTCCTCAATCGTTGCGTGTCGAAGTCCCTAGTCTTCTGGACTACCACGGAAGTCATATCTCCTAACTACTCTTCTATGGCTACGGTATACTCGGCTAGAAACCAAAGTAAACCGAATATACTACACTATAGTAAGCTAAATCATCCCCATTCGTTTCATCGTCTGAGGAATCACAATCATCATACTCAACTTTAGTTATCGGGTTATCTATATGGTGAAGTAGTAGTCTACGTTGAGACGAACTACATTCTAACTTAGTTAAGCCATCAGCCTTCATTAAGTTAGTTGGACAGAAAACTATCTTACTGGCCGCATCACGCACACGCAAGTAGCGAAGTGCATAATGGCGACTCTTCGGGCGTGTGTCAGTTGCTTTGGCTGTTGTGATCGCGGATTGGTTGTCGATCCAGAGCACAGCATTGTCTAAAGAGGGAGACAAGCCGTTCTGTGTGTGTACCAACTGAGTTGGTAGAGGCCTATAGAAGTCTGTAAAGTCATGCAGTTCACTAAGCACGATAGTGTCAGAAGCTGCAATATATTCACTTTCAGCCGTAGAGTAGGCACGGACAGTTTGTCGGTTACTTCTCCAAGCAATTGGAACGCCTTTGAAATACATGATCGATCCACTTGTACTTCTCATAGTCTTTGCGCAGTTGGCGAAACCTGCATCACTAAAGATATTCACCTCTGGCATATCTCTGCCTTCAGGTAGTAACTTTGAATAGATTCTATTGAATTCTTCTTCTTGTTCTGGTGAGTATTCCAGTCCTTGGTCTCTCGTTGTCACCAGATACTTTAGCACTTTTCTGGCTGCTTTAACCATTCTTGTTGACGCGGGTTTGCTGACATGTCTAGCCAATGCTGCCACCGGTACAGAAATGTCCGGGCGCGCGGTTACAGCTACCCATAGCAAGGCACCAACTACCTCACGAAAGGGATACCCTTCGACTATCTTGATCCCCTCCTCAAGAAAAGCCGACTCGTCAAAATTGGGCGAGTAAACCGGTTTTCCGACATCAATTTCGAATTTCTTTGCGATTTTATCAATGTACTCCTCCATATTGAGCCGAAATGTTCGAGCTTCACGGCAGTAGTACACGATGGCACCTAAGAAGTCGAACCTGAGCCACGTTTGACCCCAAGGGGTTGGAACGGACTCCACATCAATCGCACGGCCAGGGGCACGCGAGAAGATGAGTTCTAGTTCGGTCTTGAGCTCATCAAGATCAGGACCCGTTGCAAGATTGTCATCAACATAGACTGACATCTTGAGGAACTTCCCAGGTACCTTCGCACTCGGCTTTCTCCATAAGCCTGGCGCAGAATCACACGGCTCCCAGCCAATACTGGCTAGTATGTCGTGATATTTCTTGAACCATGCTCGTGGTGCGTCCTTCAAGCCGTATAAGGCCTTCTTGAGCTTCACGATCTCGCGTCCATGCTTCTCTGCCCAGATGGGTGGGAGACGGCAGAAGACATCGCGATCGAGTTCAGCATTGAGGAACGCAGAATCTAAATCGAACGGGATCACATAGTCCTGTTCTGACGCAGCAGATGTCAGGAGCAGCCTATTAGCGGCGTGTGAAACTACGGGAGCAAAGGTGTTTAGCTCTCCTGAACGATCTAGATTACCGAGGACACAAGCGCGAGCCTTGTATCTTCCACATCTTTTAATAGTTAGAATTATGGCAATTGGTAGAGCCTGTCGCGCGGTCGCAAGCTCCTCGTCAGAAGCTTCTTTCCACGTCTCAAAGGCTAGCAGTCTCGCATGCTCTTTGTCAATAACCTCCCGCCATTTGTCGGCATCAGGAGACTTGAGTGCTTGAGCAACGGACAAAATCACATATGATTCGACGAATTCCTCATCTTCGTCTAATTCACACGTGCCACCTACTGCACTAGCGAACAGCGCCACATTCTTTCTCAGTTCTTCTAACTGTTTCTTTGTTCTTCGAACCCTGCTGCCTGCTTTGTCCTTCGCTCCTTTTGGTCGGCCACGCTTCTTGACGTGTGTACGGCGTTCGCCTGCCACAACACGTGCTGGAGAAGGCGCTTTCGACTTAGACGGACTTAGCGGAGCAGATGTCTCGCGATCCTTCGCTTCAGCATTCCCCTCCTCAAGTGAAACACCTTTTGGAGAGTCAGCTGCGTTGGATTCCTCTACTTTATCCAGTGTCTCAATAAATAATTCGTCGGAAATCGCGGTCGGTCCACCTGGAATGTGCTCCGTGCCAGAGAACCCCGATTGATGATCCAGCCTTTGCACTGACTGTCCAAGCAAGGGGGAGCCCAGCGACGACGCGCCACTCTGCAGATTTTCCAGTTCGTCATACTCAATGTAGATGCCCTTCTGATCTGGCAAAAGCCAATCGATATTTTTAATTAGATAGTCCTCTCTGAACTTTACATCTAGGGTAGAGTATTCCGCCCATCGATGTCCAAGCTTGCAACGATCGTCATGAGCGAAAGTTCCAACCAACCAACCAGACGACTTCGGACAGAGTCCAAGGAAGACGCCACGGCGGTACTTGGCCGAGAGCTTGGGTTCAGGAGTGTTGGCTTGAATTTGTTCACGAAAGTAAACTAGACAACCAAATCGGCGGAGCATGCCGATTGAACTCTTCGATGAGTTTCTACCAGTCCTTTCTTCTAAGATTTCAATTGGACTCTTTCCATCATGTTGAGGCATTTTTGCATAGTTATGCGGTAAACGATCCCAGCAGTCACCAGCGTACTCGACGCAGTAACACCAGAGGCGTTTATCAACTTTAGTCAGCATTGTGCGTACACTGCCGAACAAAGTCCGCATAAAACGTTCGCAGGTCCCATTCATCTCCGGATTATAAGGAACAGCCGGACTGTCTGAGACTCGCAGCGATTGCATAACTTTGGTCATGTCATCACTGCTCAGGACAGGTTCTCCATCCCTCCGGAGGAACCACACTACCTTGTCATCAAGTGATAAGGAGTAGTCCTGGCGAATGCCTTTGATAACTTCTTCTATTTCCTCCACACAGTCACTTTTCAGCTTAAGCGGTCGACAGAACACCTTCTTAATTACATCACAGATGATCACTAATACACATCTCTTTGACCTGACTGATACGGGTTTGATTCCAACAGCAAAGTCGATTGCTAGTAACTTCAATGGTTCAGGTTTGTAGTTCGAAGTATCTCTAGCTTTTGCATGTGGTGCGCGTTGGCCTTTATGTAGATCACACTCAGGGCAATTTACCTGGAGGCCATCTATATGAAAGTGCCCACATCTTCTATGAAGTTCGAGTCTTGTAAGGTAACAACTACTGACTCCTTCTTCTACTGTTGAACAAATATAACCACTATCAGTCTCTTCTTTAAATAAGTTGCATGCAAGTATGGGAAGCTGCAAGCGTGGATGACTTCTTATGGGTATGGCCTGGCCGGTGTCCGTATGTACGAGACAACCACCTGCGCCTTTGAAGTTGAATTCCCATCCTAATTGCGAGCAGTTCCCTTCACCTAACCAAGGTATAATACGATCTAAGTCCTTTGGTAGTGAATCATAATAAACACCATACTGGAGCCCTAAGATGTTTGACTTTAGTTTTCCTACTCTTCCGTCTTTACTTCCAGCGCTACCAGTAATCCTACAAGTTCTCATAGTTATTTCACTAAAGTCATCCTTGTGTCTTGAAAGGTATTTGTTTGCACAGCTATCAACCAGACTAACTTCTTCTCTTGCAGTAATGGAACTAGTTGAAAGACTATGTCCCACAAGTTTTACCTCCCCTGTATTATTTACGTTTATTTCTTCACCCTCATCTTCATCCAAGTTCAGCGAGCAAAATCCGCTTTCCACCGGTTCCGCAACTCAGCTCTGCTTTCCGCCGTTGAGAGCTTGCCACAGCTCCGCAACTTGGGACATGTGAACCATGCCATTACCCTTTCCACCTTTACCCATAGCACTACTAGATTGGGAATTGGTGTTCCAGTTCCAGTTTGCCTGGTTCTGTGGATTCTTCCAACAAGACGCGGATTTGTGACCCGGTTTGTTGCAGATCCAACAGACTGGACGGGTATCTTGTTTTCCAGAACCTTTATTATTTTTGTTCTGCGGCTTTCCTTTGCCGTTCGAATTGGAGGCATAGACCTCGGCGGCGATCTTCTTCTTTGTGTTTGCCTTGAAGCGCTTGAGAGCACTTTTAGACAGAAAGATCTTACCACCTTCATTGGCCTTTTCCTCGTCATCTTCCTCTTCACGAGAACGCTTATTCGAGGTCTCCTGAACATTGACCGGGAACGCCTTCCCGAAGGAATCGTTCTCAACTTTGTAGGTTCCCTCCTCGATCAACGTCGCAAGACGCTTTTCAAGTCGGTCACCAATCTGGTCAAATGTCAGACCATCTTCTTCCTGCATGCGTTCGATCGTTGCCTTGAAGTTCTTGCAGAACAGCTCTGGCAACTTCTGTAGCAGTGCACCATTTTGTTGGTCACTTTCTGGCACTCCTGCTTCCGGCGGGTACACGGTGGGCGACTGGTTCATGATGTCTCGGACTTTCGACAAGAATCCTGTGACATCTGCAGGTTGATCCGCGTTGTGGAACTTCAACACGCCATCCGTAAGCGGTTTTACTTTCATCCGTTGTTCCTGACGGTTGTTTTGATCGAAGTGTCCTACATCACGAAGGAGCACAACAACCTCACCTGCATCCATCGCATCCACCTGCCCATTATCGTTCTGGTTGTTGATGAACGACGCAGCGGCACCTTTCAGACTACGAATAATCGCATCTTTCAGGTTGCGCCACTTCTGCCGAATTGTTTCCTCCCGATTGGTAACTCCGTTAGGAATACCATGAGGAGCTGCCGGAATGCCGACTACATTCGTGTAGTTTTGAAGCAGGCCGAGACGGCTAGCTTCCTGACGTATGGCAAGTTGCCATGCTCGCCAGTCGGACTTCTGTCCGAGTTTCTTCGAAATTTCTTTCGCATCGCAGGACATTTTGAAAAGTTGTTTCTAGATGGATTTCTACTCTATACTTAGCTCAAGGGTCAAAGTAGTGTTGGATACATTCGAACACAGACTGTTAAGTCGCGTCTAGTTTCTCGGTGAGAAACACTTGAGAGTGATACTGTTTGCACAATTTGCACTCACAGCCTGAGACTAATGATCTCTGGCTGCTTTGATCCCTGTGGATGTTCATTGGGGTTACATGGAGGAAGTCTCAGCTTCATCATTGGGATATCATGTTGCATGGGGAAACTTTCATATGGAAACGCTTATGCTATCATCATTGATTCATACGATCATCCTATGTTGATTCTCATCATTGATCAGAACTGACAGTACGTTATGAACCTGATTACAGCTATGAAACATTCATCATTTCTTCTATCTGAATACGTTGAAGGTCCTTTGCCTGATGATCACTGTTTTTGGAACTATATGCATTTAGGTCTGTAGGTTATCTTTGAGATCATTCCGGTGCTGTTTTGTCCTTGACTGTATTGGGAGGCTTGAGCCACAAACGAGAGAGAGAGGAGAAGCCAGAGACACCCGCGCGACGGTAAACCCGTCGGGCGTTTGGATGGTGCTCCGGTAACCTTTTGCCTGGCGATCTTGGTCATTTTGCTGATCTTTATCCTTGTGATCTTTGTGACATTTCGAGGATTATGACCTTGACCAACACATCTACTTACCCTTAATAATCTGCTTATATTCATAAAAACCTCGTATCCCTTGAGATCATTGATTGTGAGTGATGTGATCAAAACACAAAGCCGAAACGAAACTTTATGTAGTAACTCTCCTCTCATACTGCATAATTTCTTCATTCTAAAATCAATGTAACAGCAAGATCATCGTGTAGAACCTCCCTCGTCATAACAAGATTCTATGATAGAAGAAGAAGAATCTTTATTGAATCTCCTACTTGACTTGGGTCTACTTTCTTTTTTCTAGTTGGGTCTGCTCCTCCAGGTGGGTTATTGCATCTCCTACTTGACTGTGATCTACTCTCAGCACGGCAGAAAGCACGGACGCCCCGATAATTTAGTCGAGGAGTGCTTGAAAACTATACCTATTATATATAGATCCAACGTACGGTACCCTAATTGTGCTAGGAGCAGATAACAAGAACAACCAACAGTTGTCCAACTAAGTACCAAGAAATTGAAATTAAAGATTTAGCCGTGTTTTTGAGTGTGGTTTTACTGACACTAATAGTCAAAATTATTTTTTTGGGTGATTATGATTAACTAAGAATCAAAAGTCACGATTGGCTCTCAAGTGCGAATTTGTACTACTCAAGAACTAGAAAATAACAACGACCTCTCCTTTTTCTCATTCCTGCTTAAGACCTTTTACTTTTAGGAAATATTTTTATAGCTGTAACGGAAATCGAAATGTTGACAGACTCCGTACCTTCCCCTTCTGGGTCACGACGTCGTCGTGCTTCGTCGGCCACGCGGGTCCGCGAACGTCATTTGATGGCTGAAGATGGCATGAGTATGGTCCACCTCGTGCAACGTGCATCGTCAGATATCGCGATGCGCGAAAGCCTCATGCCCCCGAGACAGGAATTACAACAGCCTTCTGATGAAGAAGGTGCTCGTGATCGTGAAGAAAGCCTGGACAAGCAAGAACATTCTGATGAAGAGGGTGCTCGTGATCAAGAACTACAAGAAAAAAAACATCCATCTGGACCAGTATTGAAGCAGAACAACTATGAGAGTTTTACTATGACGTCAAGAACAATCGTCCCAACATCTCCTTGTCGTGAAGAGGAAGCAGTAGACTACACCGACTATAATGAAGATGATGGTTCCGAAGCAGGCGACCAAGTTGTCGGACGTTGGTTCGCCCATAATTTTGAAGAGGGTTCTGCTCCTGAGGAGGATGACATTTTTTCTTCTGCTCCGTTTACCCCATTCAATCGCCCGATTACAAGAAATAGCAACAGTGCTCTACTTTCACCTCTTAAGCAGCACGCGCGAATCAGTCATCTGGCGAACAAAGGGGACCTCCGAAGTCGACGTGGAGTTTCATCTAGCCGATCTTCCACGCCTCGACGCGAGCAACAGGTCTCCGAACACAGCACGACTCCGACGTTTGCCGGAGGAGCAGATGACACTCCTTTCCCTACTGAAGAGGAAGACATGAATCAACGCGTCGAGGACGAGAATGATGAATTGATGAACACATTTTCTTATCCTTCACCTGAAGCTGGTGCAGCTGGTGGTGGAGGTGTTGCTCGACGTCAAGCTGGAGGATATACTGAAGATGCAAAAGATGCAGGTAGCAAAGCCGGCACATCAGAAGTAGATGCTCTAGTAGTACAACAAGCCCAAGTAGAACAAGATGACAATGAGCTCCTGACCTACCCATGTCCAGGTGGTGGAGGTTCCTCCTTCGCGGACCTCAGTTCGCACAACTGCCAATCTATCGTGGACGTCCCTAGTGGAATCAGTCAGCAACCTTTTGATCACCACGTTGTCGATGATGTTTCGGCTTCCCCTGTTGGAGATGCTGCTGGAGGAGGACTTCTACATGGAACGAAGAAAGCAAACCTTCCCAGATCCAGCACCAGTGCGGCAGCCATCTTTGCACGCGGAAAGCCTATGGAAGATGAAGATGATGATATGTTTCTAGAACAAGTGGATCGATTTGGTGGAGGAACTACAAGTTATACTTCTACATCTTCTGACACGAGGACTGGTGCTGGAGCAGGATTGTACCCTGGACATCTACAGAAAGATCAACTACATGACACTGTTGCTGGAGCTGGTGGAGTGGGAGCTTTGTTGACATCCAGTATGCAATCGATTGGAGGACAGGAGAATGATACCCGGTTTCCGAGAAGCAGTAGCAGCTGCAGTTCTTCTACCTCACCGTTTTGTTCTGTCGGACTAATATTGCAGAACAACAACAATGCTCCCACGATCGGAAGTAGTTGTAGTAATACAAATACGCTACTCGTTCCTCACCCTCAAGGTTCTCAAGGGTCTGGCTCGTTGACTGGATCGTCTTTGGGTGGTCGAACGGCATCTTTGCAGCTGGGAGCATCAAGTTCATCTCATCAACAACAGCAGGTAGTAAACCAGCAGTTGAGTAATCTTCTCTCTCGTGCTGGACCCTCTAGCTCTTTGTGCTCGATTCAGGGACAGGCTCAAAGGGGACCTACCGGGATGGCACCTACAAGTAGTATTGGAAATACACCTAATGGTGCAGGGATGGCACCTACAAGTGGTATTGGAAATACACTTACTGGTGCAGGGATGGCACCTACAAGTGGTATTGGACCAGGTCCTCGTATGACGCAAAGCTTCGACAATCTCTCTCTCGCTTCTTGCAGTTTATTGCCTAGATCCTCCTTTCTTGGTCCTACGGCTACGCGTGACGAGCGCACTGGGTCTACAATGAGTCTGCATGATTTCGAAAAGGCGCTGATTCTCGATGACCAAGCTGGTATCCGCGCTTCTGAGGCTCTGGGTTTGAAGAGTGTTGCTGCTCCTGGAGCGCAACTTGTAGTACAACCAGGTGCACTGCTACCTCCAGGGAGCGGGACCACAACAACAAGTAATGGAACATCAAATGCTTTACAACTAGTACCAAGAACAAGTACAATTCCACCAGTCCCCGCTGGTGCGATTCCATCTGCTGGTGCTGGTACTACTTGTTCCAGTACAACAACAGTAACAAATCTTCCTAATTATCCTCCCGTACTTAATACATCAACTACAGCTACGAATCCTTCGGAAGAAGCATTGACAAGAAAGGCAACGGATGCCTTTTTGAACATTTTAATAGACGGCATGAGGAAGAGTATGAGCCGCACAGGCACTCGTCACTCCTGCAGTGCAGACAATCTGAATGTGAACCCTGCTATTCCTCCTGCTAGCATCGTCGTGGACACCAGTACTTCTACAACTACTATTAGCGGACAACAACACCAGTATCCGAATCGTACGAGTAGCAGTTCTTCGGTCGCGCATCAATTGAGTTCCGGAACACAAGAGTTTCTGAACCAATTGAAGGAAAGTCTCGGAGTCGTTTCTCCAGCTGGTGCTGCTGCTGGTGGAATTCATTTAAGGATAGGTTAAAGGCGCTTTTCTTACCGCTTTTTATGCCTCTCTCCCTTAGGATGAGAAAGGCATAACAAGCGGGGTAAGCGAGCACCAAAAAGCTACCTCTAATTCATACAACGAGTTGCACTACAACATCTTCGACTTCTTCCGGAACAAGCGGAAGTATGATACTTAATGCTTCCTCTGGTGGTGGAACTGGTTCTGCCAACGTCGCTGGAGGAAGTACAACTACGGGCACTTCTCCTGCTGGAGGAACTTCGACGCGATCCCGTATCATGACTGCGGAGTGGCAATCGTGTCCCCCTATGCGTACGTCCTGTTCTATGCAGCTGCCCTCCGCGCAAAGCGTCGACAAAGCAACCAAAATGGTGGCTGCGGCTCTCGGGAATACTGCAGCTTCAGCGGGTTCAGAAGGTGGAGCTACAACGGGTGCAGGTGGAGGGAACACGATGAACAATACAACTCCTCACAAAAAGACGGACAAGAACTACATCACTGGAATATCAACATCCACATCAACTTCGAGTCTTCCGAATGATCCCAACATTGGAGGTGGTGCTCTTGGAGGAGCTAATCGTGGTGCAGACGTCTACGGCTCCAGTGTCCTAGCTAATGTTTTGCGTCTGAATCTTCCTAGCACGACAGTTAAGGCTACAAGAAGAAATTCTCCATCTTCATCACACACAGGCATCCATCTTGGTCTCGTTTTTCGACGGAACAAAAGGGGGCCAAGATCGGCTGAAGATGTAGATGGATTTCCCTTATTAAATTTCTTCTAATACAGGAGATCGAGATCATGTTGAACTTCTACAAGATGAAAATCTTCAACATGGACCTCCACGAGGACCCGAACAAACGCAAAAGCAGTTGTCTGGTGGATCTTCTATTTCCTCTGCAAATTTGAGCTCCTTACCTGTCATCCCTGGAGGTGGGACGACTCCGACTGCTAGTCCAGAAGGCAAGTGTGGTACAACTAAGGTTAACCACGAGGATCTTGATTATTAAGGCTTACCGTAACTCATCTTGAGAAGCGTCTCTGGCCCCTTTTTCCAGGGGGAAACAGGTTACAGATGACTTGCAAGATGAATATCTGTAAGTTCTAAAAAGATTATGAACATCCTCGCGCTCGTACTACCGAAAGTTTTACGTTTACGCCCTTTCACGGTGGACCGGGTGCGGCCGCTCACGCGACGCCGTTGACCAACGGAGGAGGCAATGAAGCTGCAACCGAGAGTTCTTGGGGAGTGGGAGGAGGCTCTTTGCCGCCTGCCATCTCCTCCTATTTTGGGGGTAGACCACATGCTGCACATCATGATGCTGGATCTTATTATACTCCAAGCTCGCCCCCCCATATGGACAACATCCACAATTTGGCCTATCATCTCAATGCAGCTTTTAACGGGAATTTTCCTGCTCCAGGAGAAGGAATTGGGGGACAACTTGGACTTGGACATCCTGGTGCAACGAATAATGCAACGTCTTCAACATGGCCTCCATCTACATCTGCTGCTCAAGAACATGCAAATCATTACTACAACACACCAAGTGGCATTCTTGAGCTGCTCTCGTGTTCATCCACTGCGGCGTTAGCGCAACTACGATTGCTGGCGGCCGGTAACACCCTTTTTTAGATATTGGAGAATATACTTACTTGCTGTTACTTGTACTTCTTTTTCTTCATAATTTCAATTTTTTGAACTGCTGTTGCTGGCTGGCAGCTGCACGTTGTACTACGCTTTTTTCTACAGAGAGCATGCTCCTAAAAATTGCTCGATTTTAACGTAGTAAATGTACTCCTCCCATGGAGCAGGCGAGTATTAAAAAATCCCTAAAAAACTACTTCCACAGGTGCTTTGCCCACCGACGGGGTGGTCGACAACTTTCCACCAGTCGACGAATCTGGTCACCTAGAACCGTTTCCTATGACAAGAGGAGCTCCCCAAGCACAACCTACTAAAGGTGGTCCTCTTCATCACGGTGGACGAAAACAAGGTGGAAAAGGTCATCTGCTAAATAAACTAGGAGGAGGAGAAAAGGGACAACTAGGGGCTCAAAATCTTCCAGGTGGTACGACTATGAGGAATCCAATTACAACAACTACCTCCAATCTGCATCAAGGAACGGGTGGAAAGCACAACCAACAGCAACAGGCAAAAGGGCCACCTGTTAAGGCTCAAAATATTGCGTCTCTTTTGTCAAATTGATGTTGTCCTTCTTGCATCCTAAAAATTAAGTCTTGTTGAGACAGATCCTCCTCTACCTCGTCGTGCTAGGTAAATGGGTGAATGAATGAAAAGCGTCATTTTTGTTAAACAAGTTTCCTTCTTAGGAAGCTGAGAAAATGAGCCCAACAAGGGATGAATTGTTTTGAGCTCTAAATGTGTCCCGCGGAACCGTGCGACCACAGGCACGCCAAGCACTGCCACTGAACTCGAAGCTCTCGTGGATGCGCCGTTGCATGTGATCGATCCAGAGACGCCTTCTATGCGACTGATTCTCGGAAAATTGGAACAAAAAACCGACCGAAGCCGCCAAGAGATTCGGGATATGGCACGTCACGCCGCGAACTCACGAATGATCATCGACTTCTTGGTTTACACTGCTGCTTTCCACAACCATCATGATCATCCTCTTCAAATCGCAGATCCGGAAGTTGAAGGAAGACAAGCATTGAGGCAAGAAATGGTGGATATATTACTTCTCGATTCTCCGTTGAAATTAATTGAGGACATGTTCGGCAACTACGTGATCCAAAAGATGGTCGTCACTGGCGACAAAGCAGAACGGAGTCGAGTCGTGCGAATCTTCGAAGGCAGAGCGGTACAACTCCATCGTTCTTCTTGTTCTACAACAACAGTACAATAATCATGCAATTGAACTACTAGTGGATGTAGTAGTTGAGATGTAAGTTGTACATTCAATATTACGTAGTTATAAATGAATCGATACAGGGCCACGACAGCGCCGGCGCTCAGTTAGTAGTAGATGAGTACTCGCCTGATTTTTCTCTGTTCTTTTTTCTAGTTAGGTCTGCTCCACCAGCTTAATTACGTTTAATCGGAATCATAGCTGGTTTTGCCGTCGAAATCCACACCAGTCTGCATCATGTGGCTGAAAGATATATTTAGGATATTTAGAAAAAACGGCTCCTAGCATAAACATGGCCACTATACTTCTTTTTTAAATAAGTCTGGATTTCTTCCTTTTTATGTAATTTTGTTTCCTAGTTAGACGTGCTCCACCGGTTTTATACTATAAATATCATGAAAACCTCCTTCGAAGCGGATTCTTATTCTTGCGATTAAAGAACTTAAATACCCCATGAGTGGGTACATCTATCTATCTGTCTATCTATCTATCTAATTATCTATCGATCATTCACAGGGCGAGGAAGCTCGCAACCGCTATGCTTGCCGCGTCTTGCAACGCCTCATTGGCTGTGGGCCTGAAGAGATGATCGCAGGCCTCGTGATGGAGCTAAGTAAAGAGGTGGTGCAACTCTCGCTAGATCAAAACGGGAACCACGTGATCCAGAAATGCTTCTCCTACCCGGCTTTAGTCGAGCACGTAGTTAAGGGTTGAAACATTTCATATTTGTACGCATGACTTGGCACATTTCAAGAAGAAACGTGTCAAATATGTAGGGCAAATATGAATTGTTTCAACCTTTAACGTAGTAACCGGATATCGAGGCCATATTTTAACCGTCGCGAGACACGTGTATGGATGTAGAGTGCTGCAAAGACTGTTGCAAGTGAACGGTGAAAGACTTCTGGCAAAGAAAGAGCAAGGAGAGCTCAAGAACAATGCTGCTCCTGGGAACAAGCATCATGGTCCTCGTGGAAACACATCAAAGTTAAGGCTAGAAGAAATCCATCCTCACAGGCATCTTGGTCCCGTTTCTCAAGGGAAAAAAGACGGAAGATGCCGCTGAAGATGGATTTCTTCTAGCTCTAACAAAGTCAAAGAACAAAGGAAAGAATGGTCAAAATGCTAGCAATGCTGGTGGTGGAGGAAAAGGTGGAATTCTTGTAATGGATTCATCTAATGGAGGAGTAGTAGTACAACCAGAAGTAGATTATAGCTGCAACAAAGCTGCTCTGGCTCACCAGTCTCCTTGTATGATGCTTCTCCTGGATGAGGTGGTGAACTACGAGACCTTGTACCATCTCTGTTTTGACAAATACGGGAACTACGTGCTGCAGTACATTTTGACTTTTGGCCGCCCCAGCGACTTGGGCAAGGTTCGCGAGACCGTGTCGAAGCATTTGGTCGAATTCTGTTGCCACAAGTTTGCTTCCAACATTACCGAGAAAACTATCGACTGCCTCTCCGCCAATGGCAACAGCGAGGCTTTAGAGAAAATGGCGGACCAAATCATGCGACAAGACGGCAAACTCCTCTCCATCACAACCGACTCGTTTGGCAATTACATCATCCAGAAAATGATGCAAGTCCTGCCGCAGATGCCCTTGACCAGAATGATGGATCTGCTCTATGTCAATTTGCGCCGCATCGAGCGCTCCCCGTACGGCAAACACATTGTTTACCTCTTGAAAGAAGGCGGCTACATGAAACCCGAAGTAGTAGATAAGGCGATTGGAAAAGTAGGAGATCTTCAACCGCATAATATTAAAGATAAAGAAAATGCAGCTCAACATGCTGATCATGCTCAAGGACAAATTATGAGCAAAAGTAGAGAAGTTCACAACAAGGCAAAGGCAATCGGAATCAAGGGAGGTCACCACGGTCGCAACGGAACGTCGAATGCAGCAGGATACCAACTACAAGGTGCAGCAACCTCTCATCGATACCAAGCAGGAGGTCAACATCAATTATACCAAAGAACTCCTGGTGGACATCTTGGAAACGCTGGCCATTTTGGAGGACATTTTGGAGGAGGACAGAACGGTAGTGCAGCTAAGAGTTGTTCTCCCAATTCTCGGTTTTTTGATCATCAGCAGAGCTATGCAGCAAGCGATCAACAACCAGTACATCAGCAGGATCACAATAGTTACAACATCAACAGGGAACAACACGTCGGAACCTTCGGCGGTGGATATAATCATTACAATCATGATTACAACCATTACAACAGTACAACAACTGGTGGCGTTCTCGGATATAATCACACTTCTCACGAGCAGCAAGAGTATCATGATGTTGATCCAAACGACTACTACCACCATGGCTTCAACACAACAAGGGATGAGGACTTGGGCAACTCACGACTCGCTGGAGGTTCGCCCGGATATCCCCACCACGCTGGTAGTGATTACAACCATGCAGCTCCAACAGGTTGTAGAACTTCAGTGCCACGAGGACCTTCATCCTCACCGCATCGCCAACACCATCAATCTACCTATGATCGTGCAGGTAGTTCCTGCTCTTCTTACGGAGCAGGAGCTGCACCACCTCCTGTCCCGTCTTTTTTAGAACAAAGAGGCGCCGCCAATATTGCAAACACAGCAGGAACGTCTCGAGCGGGTGACATGTATTCTGCTTTAAACCCACACCGAACGGCGAAAGGAGGACCACGTGGTAAGCAAAAATGTGGAGGAGGATACAGCTTGATGCACATGCAATGAAGAAGAAGATGTCGACTTACAACTGTCCACCTGGACGTATTTTCACAGTGACAAGACGTCCAGGTGGACAGTTGGTAGCGCCGCTGCGGCTTGATGATACAGGTCAAAGGACGGCGAATCAACTCCTGTGTGAGGAAGGTGTGGGGAACCAGACTGGGACAAGAGTGAGATCGGCATTTGGACCCCAAAACGTGGCTACAAATTGTTCACACGGACGTTTAAGTTAGTGCGGCTCGATGATACAGGTCAAACTGTGGACGGCGAATCACCTCCTGTGTGAGGAAGGTGTGGGCAATGTGTGGGGAAGGTGCCCTTCTGAGGCAAACTAATTAATTGGGATTGCCTCACCCTAATGAGACGAGACAAGCTCCGATGTGAGTACCGTACGTAGTAAATCTAAATGTATGACTACAAGCACAACGTGAGACTCGTCATGCCATTATGCTACGACGAGCATACGGAGACGTTATTATACAGAGGACGGGGGATCAAGCTAGAGTAACAAGTAGAAGAATGAAATAGTTGAAAGTTTTGCTGCAAGGTCACTAATTTTTTTTTCGAGTTTTTTTGTCGTCCGTGGATAATTTTCTTGAAAAAAGTTTCCCACTCTTGTTCTTGTTCTCTTTCTGTACTACTGAAAAATAAATACTACTAACATACTGACCGACGTAGGTCGGAGGACCTACGACTAGTACTAGTACTGAATAGCATAAGTGTAATATGGGGATTAGATTATTGGTTCTTCTAGTACATGGGTCCACTATTATATAGAATGAGAATAGCATGTAAGAGTAAGATTGAGCAACGATATGTTGAAATGCTGTAAGATTAAGATTTATGTTCGTCTTCGTTTGAGATTAAAAGTTCTAGTAAAGTTCTAGTACAGGGATTAGTAAACTTAACGACCTACAGCCGAGTCCTCTCGTCATTATTTTCCTACCGACGACGAGGACGACCTTTGGCGTTTCCAGGTGGGTTGTTTTGTTTCTTCCTCTCCCTACTCGAAAACTCAAAATAACCGAGTTACTGACTGAAATAAGGGAGGTAGCTTCACGTCAAGGCTACTCTTCCTCCTCGTCAGTATTTCGGTTATTCTGATCAATTACTTGCTTATTTCAGTTTTTCGAATAATTCGTTATCGTTTCACGCCACACGAAAACGAGATGGATGAGCTGTTTCCTAGAAGGGGGCGAAGATTGATTTGTGTGATGCTGCTCTTTCTAGGAGGGAGCAAGATTTGTGCACTCGAAGATGCTCACTTTGAGATCTTCAGGGACAAAGCCCCCTCTGAACACACACCACGCCTTTCGCGCCACAAGAAACAAGTGGTCGATGGCTTACAAGTAGTAGGATTGTAAATACTTCTTCTTAGTAGCAAGCACAAGAGACACAAGAATGTTCTTCAGGGATCAATAAACCTGCTAGGTAGGAGGATGAAAAACCAATGTAGGTTCGGAGATGCTTAAAGCACTAAGAAGATAAAGGGTTCAACTTCCTTCGACTTTAACCCTACAGCCAACTTATACTACACTAGTGCGTTACTTCTGCTGTCAGGAACAGGATTTCTTAGAATGGCGAAAGACCTATAATAGAACTAGATGAATGGCACTACGACTGGCACGATCCTCTAAACCTATCACATGACACGATGCTCCCCACCACAAAGTGCAACTTTTCTCCCCGTGAGATTACCTCTTCCGGCTTCCCGCGGGGTAATTAAACGGAACTATTGCGGGAAATTGTAGACCCAGGCATAACAAAAAAAACGAAGCGGCTTGTTAGGGAAATGAATGACTGAGTAGGAACCAGTACAACAATACTTTATTCATGAATAATGTTCTTGTTCTTAGATTTGCCCGTATCTTCATGATCATCATGAGACTAGATTCAAAAGTGCTTGATTGTAAACAAGAACCCTCACAGTGAAGCTGTCCATACAAGAACCCCGACACCGAGTGGCGTCTACGTTTCTGGCGACCGATGCTGGGCCACGCATCGAGTTCGTTGTACTACTAACTTACAACTTTTGTGGCTTCTGGTGTAACAACTTCCCTGCAGAGACTGACTGACCCCATGAAAACTACAAACCACGAAGTTGTTGCGCCTGAATCCATCTCCTCGTCGTCCTCCATATATCGTTGTTGTAGTACTAGGGGTTGAATTTTCCAGCACCACCTCTTGCATAAGACAAAGCGCGACCAGCTGCGGATTTAGTTGCACTACACTTTGATGTGCTACAACTGCTCAAATCGATCGTTGCTGTAGTTCGTGTTCGTGAAAGATCACATTCTTCCATATCCATATTTCAGACGAGTCGGTTTCTACTAAGTGCTTCACTGCTTGAAGTTGTAGTTGTATAATAAATTAACTTCTCAACAATATGAATGAATATTACTTGTTCTTGACCACGTTTTTGTAGAAGTACTTACTTAGTCAAAAACAAGTGGATCGAGTCGGTTCCTGAGAGAATAGAAGCCTGCCTGTTACTCCCAGCACTCTTCCCAGCACTCTTCTGGCTCGGGTCTTTTGCCTTCTTAGTGATGTTGGAGGTTGAAAGACGGCACCAGTGTTATTGTTAGGAAGGTGGAGAGTCACTTCCCAATCCCGGGCCGTAATCGCAAATATAGGGTCGTGAAGAGGAGCTGTGCGTCAGTTTCAAGGCTGGCGTATAACTTGCTAGGCCATTTGGCATTGAGCGGTCAAGAACCACACCGCACCGATCAGTGAAGACCTAGATGGAAAAGACCTAGAAAAGACATCGAGATAATATATACCCATTTCTTTAGGGGTATTATCAATCTATGATCAGTATCGCTAGAGATGCTTGATGGTGATTTTGATTTTTAGCCTGCGTCCTTTCAACATAATGTGACACTCAGTCTCAATAGTACCACGACAGCCATGTCTTCAAATCTCGTCGCCTCCACCTCTGGTGCTGCCACCTCTGGAGGTACCAGCAATGAGGGGGGTACTAGTACTACTACGGGAACGGGCACGGGTAATAACAACAATCTGGTCCTTGAGGAGGAGATGGATGAAAACTATGAGCCTACCGAAGAGGAAATCGCAGAATACGCAGAATGGCTGGGAATGGTTTTACCACAGGATAAAGATTATGACAGAGACAGACAGATTATTCCTCCTTTTTATTCCAGACTGATGTAGGAACCAGGAAAGATTATTGCTGTCTCATTCTTGATCAACTGAAGATGATGAGGATCATAAGCTGTGCAGGACGAGTACTATTTTCCACCTTTAAATCTTGGGGCCGTAGCCATATTGGCGCAAGGCCTCGTCCTTGTTGCCCGTTTTTACCTACCGACAGAGAAACCCAACCGCAAGCGCAACATATTTAAAAATGCCTAGGATCTTCCATTGTTGACTATATACACGTATGGCTGCGCAAAACGATGAACAAATCAAACTTACTCATCATTCATCCTCTAATACAAATCAATCAATCACTTACTCATCATTCATCCTCTAATCCCTACTACTTTGGATAGCGAAAGAAGGGCTCAAAGCGCCATTGCCCAATCCATGGAAGCCTTGCCAGACGCAAGAAGGCGAGATCTTTTATTTTAACTTCGATTATGGTGAAGATGGTCAGCTTTAGCCTTTAGAGGGTTTAGGGTTTCATAATTTTCATACTATGCATCTCTTTTTATAATCAATAAAGGACGTAGGCCTACCTTTTTATAATCCATAACCACGGAGCTGCTTCAGCTTCTATCCATCTTACTCAGCATCTCTTCGCTTCCCTACTTCTGCAGCTCCCACTTTAATCCCCCTCACCCCCTTCTGCAGCTCCCACTTACAAGCCCTTCCTTTAATCCCCCTCACCCCCTCTTGCAAACTTTCGGATCCACCCCTGGAGTGGGTTTTCTACTACTACTACTAGTTGTACTGCTACTATTAAGGGTAGGTTTAAGGTGTTCTTATTACCGTTTGGTATCTTATGGCTCTCCTAAGGGAGACAGACATAAAAAGCGGGATATACGAACACCAAAAACCTACCTCTCATACTACTTGAAGTTTATCAGACGCAAGAAGAACCCTAAGCCCTTTATCAAGAAGGGACCGAAATGAATAAAAGCACTGTCTAAGCTGCGAGCGGGGAAAGCGTCTGGGATCACCCATGCGACGAGCATTATCGCAAGGTTTTTGATGAAGAAAAAAAGAAACGAGATGAGGAGAAGAAGTAATTCAACTTGTTTTTGCTGGATCTGCCTGAGCCTGTGCCTGACATTCTTAAATATAAAGATTACTTTTCTTCATGGGCATACTAGTGAGTAATTGAAACAATGACTACACGACGGACACATTTACTTTTCTTCATTGTCAATGAATGTGATGATCTTCTGCATCTGTACCAGAGATTCACTCTATATATGTTCTCTTCTTCTTGTAGTATCTATCCGTGGAGCAGCAGGAGCGTCGTTTTCTTGTTGTAGAAGTTTTCTAACGCGACAGACAACAACAACTTCGTATATCAGAGGAGTTTATAGCACGCATGGCGCATGGAGTAGCATGGAGTGCATGGAGCGCAGAGCTTTACGGGGCGCAAGAAGCTCCTCCTTTAGCTCCATGCTACTCCATGTGATCCATGCACTCCATGCCGTGCGAGCTGTGAAACCTTACAAACTGCTCGGGCTATATTATCAAAAAAGAGGCTTCCATCAAGATCACCTCCCTCCAGAGCCCAAGAGGAGAAAGAGGAGAAGGAGAAAGAGGGGAAGAAAAAGAAAGAAAAGAAACGGAAGTTAAGGGTCATAATTTAATTCATTGCCTCTCCCTGTCCCTCAGAGTCAGAGACCCTTCTAAGTACGCAATAACGAGAAATTCTGAGAACAAGTCTAACTACTTGGAAAATGAAAATTATCGTGACGAGCAGTTCTAAGGAAGTCTGTGTTGACCGCAACAGAACTTGCGCCACCCATCCCGACTCCACGAGCTCGGATCGAGTCCACTGCCGCTACCGTTGCGAGAGGATCGTCCGCTTCCCGAGTCAAAAAAGAGATTAGTCAGGCAGCAAAGGCAGCTGTCGTAGATGTTGAGGGGACGACACGTATCACTGTACGTGAAGATATTCAGTGAATGATGATAAGCAGCTCCTGTCGTACTAGTTGAGCTTGAGGGGACACGTAATATCAATCTCGTTTGGGGACATGTACCCTGTGACGAGGCTGAGGGCGTTGATCTGCGATGATGTAGGGCAGTGCATGCTAACGTGATGTGATGGACTGTTTTCCTGAAATCGGTGTAAAAAAGTATCACCAGCATCATCATCATCATCTTCATCATCATCATAATCACCATTAGACAGGATGGGACACGAGTAAAGGTAAACATGACATGACATCATCATCACCATCATCGTGTTGATGTTGATAACTTTAAAGTACAGCACACTCTTGCTTCAGGTATCGCTGACAATGCCCCACGCTTAAGTCCTGCCTTGGAGTTGAGCGAAGCAGACTTGAAATTTAAGCAGCGTGAAGCAGATCTACGAGAAAAAGAAACGAAACTGGAAGCGGATTACAAGTACAACATTACCTCCATCTTTTTTTGACATCATTCAATCTTGACATGAATCAACAACAACTAAGCTGCATATTTGGTTGAGTCATCAATGATTCAATCCAAAAAACCAGAAAGCGGCGTAAAGAGCGTGAACGGGAGCTCGAGAGGGAACTTTGTCGAGACTTAGACAAGAAATTGGCAGACTTAAAGTCCAAGAACGACAAGCAAATCGAAGAGAAGCAAGTAGATTAAGGCAACCGCAAGCGCAAATGATGCATCTACTCCCACTCGGCGCTAGTAGACTTCTTAGATCTTCGGATGCACACAGCACACTCGTCTTACTAGTTAGGCCCTCAGCGCCAGCATCTTTTATCTTGATAATATCTTCTTTTTTTCAACTTGTTCAAGTACTAGAAATCATAATACCTTTTACGGGAGGCCCTGCTCAAGGTGATCTTAAGGGATACAACTACTGGGGATAAATGCCTCTTCGTTCTACCAACGACTTCTAGTAACAAAGACTAGTCGTGCTCAACGAACAGCGACCGCGGTCGTACTTCCTTAATGGATCCTAGTACAACCAAAGACTACTACAACGTCGTCTAACTAGAGCTTTCCAACCAACAGGACCGGGATTTATCCGCATATCGTAGCTCCCTAGAGGGAGATCATCGCGCAGAAGTAGCCCGACTTCAGGAAGCAGCTGATGCCGAAATAACGAGGATTATGATCGAGTGTGAACCCTCCTGGGTGGTGCATTGTCGAAGATATTTTTGTTGTGGTCCTCGAGTGTGAAACGAAGTAAGAACACCTGTTGGTTTGGTCGAGTGTGAAACGAAGTCACAGCACAGGAAGAATAAGAACGAGATTCTCTCTTAATGATCGAAGATCATGTCTGTTCTAATCTTTTCCGTGAAGAATTACGTGCGTCTACGGCTGAGCAAGAGGCTGAACTGTTGCGGAAACACGAGGAAACAATAGAGCAGTTACAACAAGCTGCTAGTGCTAAGGCTATCGCAAAAATTGCATTTTACACGGCATCTCTGCCCTCTTTTTCAGCTAGATAAAGGGGCCTGGGATTCTTGCCAGGATACCAATTTTGTAGCTCTAAAAATAGCGCTAATGCTCCTGCTAGTAGCGATTCCATTGGAAATCCAGGTGCAGACAACTGTACAGAGCAAATCCAGAGCCTACAAAACGCTATTCAGGAATCCGAAACGAAGAGACTAAGGCTAGTTTTTCACTATAATCTATCATGGACTTATCTGGAGCACTTCGTGTTTAATCACACTATCCCATGTCCATGTGGACGACTATACTGGGTGACTAAAGTGCTCCTTCAACATTTAAATGGTACTCATATATTTATACAAATTTGAAGTAGGGCAACTCACAACTCACCTACGGATAGTAAGAAACTAGAAACGCTAAAAAAAGTAGCTCTCGAAAACGAACTGCGCACTGCTTTGACCGAAATTGCCGAGAAAAAAGAAGAAGTACTCCTTCTACAACAGCAGAAACAGGATGCCGAGAGAACGTTTGATCAACGAGCCAGGGAGGCCAGGGAAAAACTCATGGCAGAACACAGCAGACAAATGCAACAACAAGATGCACGCTTGCGCGAAGAAAAACGAGACGCTATAGCAGAAAGTAGCGAACTAGCAAAGAGGCAATTGGCAGTATGATTGGAGATTGCATAAGTATTCGTAACCCTATCCGCAATCATATACCGGTTAGCCACCATGGCATCCCCCACTGTAGTTCCTTCATCGGATGAGCAGTTGATCCTTCATCGGATTAACAAGAAATAGAGAACAAGTTGAAGTTCAAGTGCCAGTTGCAATCTCACGTTGCAGTCTCACGTGCGTAATTTAGTAGTAGTTTGCGACCGTAGGTTAGCAGTAGTACTTGATGAAAACGATAACGAACTGCCAACTGTAGTAGTTTGCGACCGTAGGTTAGCAGTTCGTTTTGTTGACTCCCACACTTCTCTAAATTGAGTCCTAGAAGAGCGCTTGCGACGACAGCAGGCCTCAAGTGCCGAATCTGCGGACTATATGCGAAGCAGTTTCGAGAAACAAATCCAGGACTTGGAAAGCAAGCTAGCTGCCTCGATCATGTCTTCGAAGACTAAAGAGAAGGACTTCTCAAGTGGTACTGTAGTTAAGGCGGAGGTTAGGAATAGAAGTAGTGCTAATAGTATTCATTCACTCATTCATTCAGTACCACATGATTAATAGAAATAGCATTACTAGAAAAGTTAGTATTAGCAACATTACAAATACATAAAATAGTACATCCTTGAGCTTGATGAGGATGAGGATACCGCCTAAAGAGTCTTCGTCTTCCTTGACCTTTTTTCCAGTAGAAACAAAACCAAATAATGATTTATTTCTAAATAGGTGGAACTTTTTGACTATCTAAGGTTTACCCGTTTATTTCTAAATAGGTGGCCAAGGAGGCGGGTCCTCTGTCTGACGACTGTACTCTTCATCCTCGTGCAACCTTCTACTTCATCTAAGAGCCCTCCTGCTCCTTGCAATTATATGTAAAAATCTTCTACTCCTGAAACTTGAAACTTGAAACTAATCTAAGAACACAGATCAAACTGCAGCAACTGGTGCAACAGACACAAGAACTTGTCTAGAGGAGGAACTTTGTCGTTACAAGGATAGGGTCAGTAGGTTGGAAAAGGACGTTGAACTGTGGGAAGGACGTTGCAGAGAACAGAGAGGCAAAGCGGAAGAAACGGACCTACTGAAAATGCGGAAAGATTAAGGCATCAACCCAAAGACCACAAAGAGGGCAACATCCTCAGTTCTATCAGCGGGGCTTCGTACTGTATGGTATTGACATAATTTGGTAGCCTGATTTTGAAGATCATAGGAGGAAGCAAGAGGTGGAGAATCCTTGTGATCAAAATCAGGCTATATTTCCCGAATACCAGAGCCAGTCTTCAGGCTTCCCTTTCAAGGGGTGGAAAGAGGGGCCGTCAGGGAAGATGGTCTGTTGACAAATGCAGGAGCAGCGCGGTAGCTCTAAAAAGCGCAGGAGTTGGAAGCGCAGCGGATTGTTTTGGAGCGGGAACGACGCGAAGCACAGCAAAAACGAGATGAGTGGAGTAAGGAACTGGCGGAATTGAAAACGCAGCATTCCGAAAAAATACGAATCTTGCAAGATGATCTCTGTTATGGGAGGCGTCTAACCGGTGTCTTGTTATAGAAGATGTAGATGATTTTTATCCGATAAACCATCGAACCAGCAGCAGAAAAGGTGGCTGTAATAGTCAATACTCGTACATCAAGGGGAGCAACTTCTAACTACTATTTTAGCTCGTCGTGTTCATGGTAGTCTTCAGTCTTCCACTTACTCGGCAGTCGGCAGCGACGAGTACAGAGTCATAAAAAGGTGTCATATTTCCATCTACTTTCCCTTTTCAAGGACATCTTCAATATTGTTCTTGTGTTTTTCCTCAGTTCCAGGGGAGGTTCATCTAACTTTCGACCGCATCTCGCGCCAAGGATGCGATATATCAAGAAGCGTCCTCCTTGAGGCAAGACTTTGGCTTGAAAGAGAGCGAACTCGAAGCGAAACTACGTCTAAAATTAAGGCTTGAAGATGTCTTAACTCATCTACTCTCATTGCATCCCACCCTGAAAAGGATGGCACTGGCTGGTGGGTAGTAAATTCAACTTCAAATACAGTAGGAGCATCTTAATCTTTGACGTGCTGCTACTTTATCTTTAAAGGGGAAATAACTGCCCGCCAAAATTAGAGGGAGAAGGGCCAAAGTTAGGGAGAATAATTCCATTCACTCAACCAGGGTGGATAGCCCTAATCGAAGAGGCTGAGTTGCGCCAGGCGATGCAAGAAAAGGAACGCATTGTCGCTGCCAGGGAATCTTATGGCTCAAACAACCTGGTGCATTCTTGTAGTCGTTTTTAACAATCAATTTTCAAACTTAAGTACTACTTATGGTTCTACTTACCGCAGGCGCAGATAGCTATGCCTAGGTTGTTCTTACCAGAGTTTTTAACGATCAATACTCCTTATTTCTCTAACATCCCGACAAGGCTCTCGAATCCTCTACAATGGAGAGCGTGGAACGAACTAATCAAGTGGCTCTAGAGGAGAACAACGTGAAATTTCGTGAGATCGAGGCTCAATTGCGCGAACTAACTTCTGAAAATTAAGGCTACTAGTGGTCAAAAAGCATTTTTACGTTATTACCTGACACTGGACTGGATGGCGTGGACAATGCTGAGTTGATAATGTCCTCTTATTTCATTTTCAACGGAACTGACTCGTCCAAGGAGGAGACCACGATGAAAAAACACTCCACTCAGCTGCCACGGACGTCGATATTTTAGCTATGAAATTGTCTGCCTTTAAGGAGCGGCGACTTTAGAAGCAGGAAGACAAACACTGCTGATCGAAAAACAGTCCTTGCAAGATGAGGTCTTTCGTCTGCGGGAATCGATTGCCGCGGAAGAGAGTGTCCGCAAACAGGAAATGCTTTTGTTAAGTCTAGTTTTTCGCTATCCCATGTGAACTTAGTATGCTGACGCTGAGTGGAGTCCCCCATGGATTCCATAGCGGCTGCGTCTGCAGCAATTGTTGCCTTCATCATTTTAATGAGAAACTAAGGGGCAAAAGGGGAATGAATGGCTCACTTAAAAACCAGGATAGAGAAAAACTGGCGCTAATTTTGTTGCAGGAGAAATTGAGCACAAGCGAAAAAGCGGCAGCGGAAGCAGAACGTGCGATTTTGGAAACACAAGCGAAACTTCTCGCTGCTGAATCAAAAAAACCAGGAAAAGAGGAAGAAGAAGTAACCCGCTTGCAAGCTGAACTCGAGACTGCGCAAGCGGAGGTCAATGGCTTGAAAACGCAAGTGCAATTACTCTCAATCCCTCGAGAGTCAACCTCAAAAGCCACCATCATGTTAAGGCTTCCCCTAATACATCTCTTTTATGTGTAGACTGTAGAGACGAACCATGTTCTTGCGGGATCGTCCCACGAACCCCTGAGCGGTATCTTCTATGCATCCCAAAAATACAACGGACATGGTAACGCATATTCTACTTTCGGGATCGTCCGTACAGGGATGGACGAATTGGGGGAGGCTCTAATCATGTCCTCAGACGACGAGACTATCTCCTTACAACAACGAATCGAAGACTTGGACTTAGACTTGCAGCGCGAACGCCTCTCGAGGGAACGGGCAGAGCAGGATAATTATGTTGTTGGATGGATTTTCATTTTCTTTCTGGTTTTCTTTGATCTTCAACATCAGACTCAGAGTGTGAGTGATCAAAATATGCATTTGGATATGAAGAGAATCCAAAAAAAATTGGATATGATTCGATCCATCTTCAGAATAAGTTTTTTTACAGAGTGATGAATGAGAAACAAGAAGATGTGGGAGGGGTTATGGACACCGCCACTTCCATGTTGTTCCAGCCTTCTTTTTCCTCTAACCTCAGCAACGTGCCGAGCGCGAGTCAGCTGATATCAAAAGTAAACAAGCGGCGCAGGACGTCGAACGGGCTAAAGCGGATGAGGGCGCTGAACGTGCCTTCCGTTTGGCAGAGAAAAAGGCGACAGACCTAGAAGAAAGCGTGGCAAGACTGAAAGAAGAAAAAGCGAAATTAGTGGACATGGTCTTATGTGGTTTACAACTGGAGGATGTTTTAAAATAAACAAATAATCTCTACTGGTGCTAGGAACAGCACCATCGGGGATACATACATACATTCTCAGTAAGTTACAGTTGGAGTAGTTATCGTGGTAATATCATGTGAGGACCAGGTTCCTTGTAGAAAGTAAGCAGTCTTATCGTTTTCCATCCTACGTAAGTATTCTTGCTAGCTATAATTCCTATTCGTAGTCGCATCAATAGTCGTGCTTTGTGTTTGAATCACGTCGGTCGTCTGCAGTTTCAGTTCATGTACTGTAGTAAGTGTATTCTAATCCCTGCCGCTGCAGGCTCTACCACTTCTACGAACGAGAATCGCATCTCAACTGCGACAAAGATCCACGATTCCCATGCTGAAGTTGAGAGCTTACGCCGTGAAGTCGAGGCCGCCGCAAAAGCGCGCGACAACGAGGTCACTGAATTGCAGCTACAACTACGAAGAGCGGAGGTAGAACTGGCTGAGGTGAAATCGCTGAGAAATTTGTCACCTAAGGCTTCCGAGGATAGGGTGAAGAGTCCAGCTCACAAATCTTCACCGTCGTCGTCGAGGGCAGGGTCGAAGCAACGACCTGAAAACAGTGGTGAATCTAGTAGTACAGCTGTTGCTATTGGCATTGTTGAACAACATCAACAATTAAGGCTACCGCTGATGCATGTCCTTAACAGCACCATGCAGATATTTTCCTTGGTTCTTCTTTTTCTACTGGAAAAAGATCTTTTTCTACTGGAAAAAGAAGCCAGGGATCATCGTGCTCTGAAGAGTGTAATCTTATTTTCGTAAAACCTCGTCTAACGCAACCTTCTACTAGTGTCAGCAATGCCTTTGCGGAAAGAGAGCGTACGATGGTGACGCAATTGCGGAAGGACATTGTTAAACTAGAGGAGGAAAAACTAGAGGCTTCTATTAAGGCAATGTAGTTCATCTAGGTGTAGTTTCTCTTGTCGTTCTTGGAGGACGGTTCCGGTTGGTTATTTTGCCTTTCATCTACAACTTAAAAGGGAAGAACAACAACAATAAAGGCATAAAGATATCATGGACGGGCAGTCAGTAAGGAAGCCAGTAAAAACAGCAAATTAATAATAATCAAGCCTACCGCCTCTTCTAATTCCAACGCCTTAGCTGATATAAAGCGGGAGAAGGAGACTCAAATCGAAGATTTGACGAAGAAAGTGACGATACTCGAGGAGGAGGCAGCACAATTGCGAAAGAAGACCTTGGAACAGGTATCAGGGTTGAGACAAGAATTGTCGTTAGCCAATGACCGAGCAACAAGAACTTCTACCGAACTCACTGAAGCGCAAACTGAGCTCCGCAGTATCAAGGAAAAGGCTGACACGGAAGAAAGAGCACGCGAGACGTTGGAGGTGGAGTTGGCGCAACTGAAACTGAAGAAGGAACAAAAAGAAGATAAAATGAAACTCGAAATAGAGGCATTAACGTTGAAGGCGCAACAAGACGTGTCAGAGGTGGCATCTTCTGGCAAAAATCTGGGTTCGCCAGAGCAAATCGCTGCCGAAATGGAGCAGAAGGCTATGATTGTAATCAGTCATGCTCATGGTTCCCTCATAGTCATGGTTGTGGTACTTCAAAAATGCGTTTGTTGTAACTAAGTAGGTGCGCAAGTAGTTGTAACCCCTCTAGCTCTATCCATTCTATCCTCCCCCCCTTTTTTTGAAGATGAACACGACACACACTTTCATTCTTGCACTAAACTATTACTTCTACTCCTAGCTGCCGCTTCTATTACTTGAACTTGTAGCTCCCTCTACCTCTTGTTCTTCTAAGCACAGAAGTTTATCCGCTACGAATAGCGGTGCCGCGACGCCTGTGATTGTCAAAGTACCTACCGTCACCCCAGCTGCACGTATGACTAGTCTAGAGAGTCAAGTTTTAGGTTTAGAAAAAGCCTTAGAACGCGAGAAGCAGAGGTTTGCGATGGAAAAACTAGCACTACAAGCCCAACTCGAGGAAGAACAAAAGATCTTTGCAGACAAAATGAAGGAAAAGGAGGTCTTGCTGGAGAAAGTTCTTAGGCAGGAGAAGAAGAATGCTGATGCTCTAGAAGTTGTGAAGATAACTACTGATGGAGCAGGAACTACAAGAACAGAACAAGAAAAACAAAAACTTCTAGGATCCTCAGAACAAGGTGCAATAGCAACAGCAAGAACAGGAACGAAGGCTGAAGCTCATCATGATGAACAAGACCCTTTGGCTGCTTATGCTGCACGGATAAATACTGGCTGTTCAAATACTGAAAATACTAGGAACGAAGTCCAGCTACGTTTAAAGGTAGAACAGGCTAGACAGGAAGAAGCAGACCGATGGGAAGCCAAACTAGCGAAGCAACAGACTGCGGCTGATGACGCATCGACATTACTCAAGTTGCTGCACGAACAGGAGATAACCACCGAAAAGGAACGCGCAGAGGCTGATGCCGATGCAAAATTTAAGGCTACTAGTTCAAAATCACTAGAATCAATCTACTGGTATGAATCATAGATGGATTCATCTGAGTGGACGAAAGAAGGCAAGTCACAACTACTCAGCAATCAGGGATGGTGATTCTGTGTGGACGAAAGAAGGCAAGTGACAACTCATCAATCAGTTACTCAACCTCCCGGTCGAGATATTGACGCATTTTTGGCTCCTGGCGCTTCTAACAGTTGGCGTACAAAAGTCGCAGAGCTTGAGGCTGCTCATGCAAAAGCCTTAGCCGCAAGTCGTGAACGCGCAGAACGCCTACTGGTGATGTCGTCTTCGTCTGACGTCGACAAAACTGATTCGAAAAAAATGAACGATAAAAAAGACGCACAACAGCCTTTACCATCTTCAACAACAAACCCCAACGCCACAACAGCTTGTAACGCGGATCTGTTAGCGCTACGACTCCGAAACGCGAGCCTAGAAAGCGACCTAGAGGAGCTAAGAGCTGAGCTGGATCGTGCAAAAGAAGACGTGGTGGAACAAAGTACGAGATTACAGAAGAAAATGCAAGAACAGGCAAGGAGACTGCCAAGCCCAGCGGAACTGGGGTTGTACTTATGACTTAGATCATTTCGATCTGTAGAAGAGCTTGAAGCTGAGTGAAGGTTTTGCACTATGACCTGAAGACAAACGCAAGGGGCGGACGCGGTGGCTGCTCTTCGTTCCTCCCGGTGCGCTGTCGCTTTTCAGTACGGCCCGCGGCAGATGGGGGACACGTGGCGCACTGCGCTGGTGTTGCGTTTTCGCAGTCCGGAGCGTCTGAGAGCTGGCCGCCATGGGGCGCGCTTGGCGGGTGAATTTTTTCCCGCTTGTCGGTCTCGTTGTCTGAGGTCGAGGCAATTGACAAAGGGGGCGGCGACAGTAGTGGGCTTGTTGTCTTACGATGGAGAGGCGGGGCCGCCAGTCGAAGACGTGAAGGGCCAACCCCGGCGGCGTAGTTTCTTCGCGTCGTGGAATTTTCTTGCTGCAGGTCTGCCCGCGCGCGTGTATCCGCCAGCCTTTTCGGTGATTGGTGTGTATGCGCGCAGCACGCTGTCGCAAGACGTAAGGAAAGAGGAAGCGGAAGCGGAGGGGCAGCGCCTTGCCGCTGGTGCGGGCGCAAAGAGTGGGGGGCAGGCCGCTCCTGTCTTGGTCGCGCGGGGGCCCTGGAAGGAGGCGGGCGGCGCGACAGGCCAGCGAGTTCATTTGGCGCCGCTCCGCGGAGTGTCGAAACATGTGGAAGAAACTGACTTGGCTGCGAGGTCGCTCCACAGCTTGCAAGCGGCTGAAGGGGGAGCGGGCGCGATAGGGTGACAGCGCGGGAGCGGCAGGGAGCACCGTCGGGCGTTAGAATCGCAGACGACACGCGCCCCGCGTCGCGGATGTGTGCGGCACAGGAGCAGGCGGCTGCGTCTGGCACTCGGGGGCGCTGTGGCTCTGTCCAGTCATGTCGGCCGAACAAAATCAAACGCAGGCGCAGCCGAGTAGCTGCCACGAAGCTCATACTATCGGAGGTGGCTCGATATTTCGCGCTGGTGTCGCGTCAGCTCGTCGGAAGAAGTTCGGCCAGTAGGTACTGCAACCACCTGCAGGGGCGGCCAGGGCTAAGGCATTTAATTCGACAGAGCGCGCTGAGGCTGAGCCGTCTGGGAAGGCGTCAGGATATTTATGGCAGCGAAGGAGAGCAGGCGGCGCGTTTTTGTTGTTCTTGTTCTGTTGCTGTGTCTCTCTGTTCTTGTTGTTGTTGCGTCAGTCTTCTTGCTTCTGTTGTTGTTGCGTCTTCCTGCCACTGGGCAGGTGCTTGCGCTCCGCTCCGGAGGGTCTCTTGTTCGAATTCTGGAAGGGACTCGCCTGGCAGGGAGGTGGCTTTCAGGCTGGTCGCCGCCCCACACCCAGGGGCGAAAAGCGTGGGGACTGCGGTGCGCCAGACAGTGCGGGGAGATGACACCTCGCGGAACCCTCCGAGCAGCTAACGGCACCGCGCCCACGCGGTCCATCGTGTGGCTCAAAACCTTGGCCATGACTGGACTGCTGAGTAGCCGGGTCGGGTGATGCATAAACGCAGGGGGCGCCCCCTTCTGTTGCTGTTGCTGTATCTTTCTGCCCCTGATTTCGTTGCTCCTGTTGTTGTGCAGTCTCTCTGCCTCTTTTGTTGTTGTTGTTGTTGTTGTTGTTGTATGTGTACTATCTTTCTGCCACTGTTGTAACCATTGTTCACAGGCCCTGTAAGAGTTCTCTAAGCAGGATTAAACTAAAAGCGTCGTAGGGGTCCCTTACTGTTCACATGAAAAGCGTCCTCTGGGTCTCGGGGCGTGTTTCGCGGTTTTTAATGTATCTTAAATAGAGTATAAAAAGGTTCCCGTTCTTGTCATTTCACCAGACAGCAAGGATCCCTCCTTCTTCCTGCTTCTAGTTCTACCTCGCCTCTCTCTACATCCACGTCCCCCTCTCTAAGCCTCCGCACCGAACTAGAACATGTCCGTAAGCAGCTTGTCGATGCGAGAACCGACAAGAAGGCTGTGGCGCGTGAGGTAGTCGATCTACAACGTGCTATGTTAAGACTAGTTTATCACTATTTTCCCTTCATGTTCTTGTTCTCTGGAGCACTTCTTCTACATATACCATCTTCTCTCCATTTGGACAAGTATGCTGAGTGGATCCCCCCTTGATTTCGATTTGAAGCGGAAGCTAAGAAGGGGAAACTAAACTAAGAGGGATGGACCCAGGGAGTCCCACGAGCAGGACTCAGCCAAAACGTTGTGAAAACCCAGCGCTAACTATGGATGCCGAAAGAGCAGAGCTAAAACAAGATTTGGCAGATTCACAACGTACGTTAAAAATGGAATCCGAGAAATTTGAAAGCGAAAAATTCCTACTGGGGAAACAGATCTTATGGATGACGGTGAGCAGATGCTTAAGCTTATTGTTATTCTTTCTGTTCCCCGTGTGTTGTTCTTGTTCTCTTTTCGATTTCGTTTTCGTTTACTTAGTCTAAGTTAGACTAAAGACTTTCATATTGATGTTAGACTGTCTAACAATTATAAAAACGGATACGCACCATTATAATTATCCAATCGGAATCGCTGTCTTTTTCTTCATCTTTACAATCAACAAAGTAAGACGGGGTCGTGACATCAACATACAACTCTAATCCCTTCCGGTCTCAAATCCGACAAAGATACTCTTCTTCAAGAAATGGCGGACAAGGAACAACGAGCTCGCGATCGGGAGAATGATAGGCGTCGAGAATTAGACCTGGCTGAAACGCGTGCCCGCGAAAAAGAATTCGAGGTGCAGGAGAAAGCTCTGGCTTTAGAATTGATCACGACGGAGAGGGATCGGATTGCAGAAGATAGACGAAGACTCCTTTCGGAAAAGGAAAAGCTCCAGTCGGAAAAAGAGCACGAGGCAGAGGCAAAAATAGCGATGGAGTCTGAGCTTTCCACTGAAAAACGCAAACGCGAGACGCAACTTGCGGAAGTGGAGGTGGGGAAAAAAGCGTTAGTGTTATGAAGACGAACTAGTCGTACTAGAACCAACTAAAAAGTACTACAAGTAGAGCAGAACAAGGCTAAATGCTTAATGCATGCGTAGAAGGTACTAAAAAGTACTACAAGTAGAGCAGAGCAAGGCGAAATATTTTTTGATGCATGATGCGTACTACTACTACTCGTCCAGGACGTTGGAACATTTTCTCGCGTCAATCTGAATCAGATAGAGATAGCACACTAGGAAGCGTCTTCTAACTCCCGCACAAGTAGGAGACTTACGCGCTTCGAATGCCACCAACGAAGCTGAGGTGAAGAGATTGGAGCGTTTATTGGCTGATAAAATTCGAGACAAGGAGATGACGATCAAGACGTTGAAACTAGAGTTAAGGCTCCTCACCCTAAAAATCCATCTCCAGTTCCTTCCGTCCAGGAGAAGCATCTTCCTCTTCTCGTGGGGACGTTTTCAAGGGGAAAACGGCCTTGAGGTGGTGGTCGTCGAGATGGATTGGAGCGAGCTCTAATATAGGTTGCGGAATTGACTGAGAAAGTGAACAAGCTTAACGGTGCTGATGAAGAAGATGCAAGGGATGGGACTTCTAATCGTACCGACAATCGAGGAAGGAGAGGAGTTGTGCCAGAAGCAGGCTCCGGGCTGCTTCCAGCAGCTTCTTCTTCTGCTGCTAACAAAATGATTTCTTCCACAACTACATCTAGCATGGTGCGTGAGACCGAAACAGTATCGACGCATTTTCACGCCCGTTCTTCCTCGCAACCACCGATGTTTCGTGGTGCGAGTGCAGATCGCAGCACATCATTAGTCATCGGGGCAGGAGAGAGTCCTGCGAAACACGAAATACTTCTGTTTGGAGGTTCTGCTGGTCCATCAGTGGACGTTGCTGGTTTAGGTGCTGCTGTTGGAGCGAACCAAGCTGTTGAAGAGTCTTGTGGTTCTCCCCGTTTTGCTAGTTCAGCTACGAGGACTAGGGGTAGACGAACAGCACCAGCAGGTAGTACTACCAGAGGGAAACAGTCCTACAGCACATCATCTGCTTCACAGGCTGTAGAACAACTACCAGGTGGAGGTGAGGGCATGAAGATATCTTCATCAGGTGGAGGTGTATTAAGAGCATCAGCAACAGCTTCTAGAACTGCCACAGCTCAATGTTTGGGAGCACCTCGTCCACTCTCAAGTTGGGATGCTCCGCTCAGTCTTGAGAGCCGTCCTCAAACAAGGAGAGCATTACAACGAGTCGTCAAATCTCAAGCTCTGGTGAGCTCACAGTTGCGGTCGTTGAAGCAGATACGTTCCATCCTCGAGGCTGACCGTGAGAAATGGCGGTCTGAGTGGAAAAGCTGCGATGCAAACGGAGAGCAGGCTTAAGACTCCTTGTCCTTACCACTTTTACTGAAAATGTATCTCTAGTACTTATGCACCACATCCTTGCTCCCACTTCTAAAATGAAAATGAAAATGTATCTCTAGTACTTATGCACATCCTTGCTCTTCAAGAATACGTAACAAGTATCCGTGTAGCCTTGATACATAGCTGCTCTAACAAGCACGGCTTTTACAGGAAGTGAAACAGGTCCTAGATGATCGCGCTAGGAAATTGAACGAAGACGCTAGAGCGGCTAAAGCATCAGGCAAGGCTTTGGCTGGACAAAAAGCATCTCTCGAGAGGGAAATGGAAATCATAGAAAAGTGGGAACAGGAGAACCTCAATGACGATGCTATCAATAGAGCAGGACTATCAGATGTCCCTCTTTTTGCTGATACAACTCTTGCGGGAGGTGGTGGCGACTTGTTCCAAGATCCGATGGACCCAGATAGCGGATTCTGCTCTCCACAGTTAAGGCTAGTTTATCACTTCTATCCCATGTGAAATAGGCTGAGGCGAGTCTTCTCGGATTCAAAGGGCATTACATAGTAAGGGGGAAATAAAAGGGGAACTCCAAGTCCAACTCACTCAACCAGGCAGAGGGAAATGAAACAATCGTTAACACAAGAACGCGAGGATGTGGAAATGGGCATGGAACAAGGAGATGAGATCATGAGCGGAGGAGGAGGCTTTACTTAAGGCTACAACCGCTGAAGCATTCAGATCCACCTCGCCGTCATTCTACTTGGCTATTTTTCCACTTGAAAAACAAGGCTCCAAGTGGGATGCTCCCAAGGATGCCGATGCGGTAGCTCTAATTTACCCATCGTTTTGCACCTCCATCTCGCGGCAGCACCGCACCAAGACGGACGGCGAATAATCTCACAACCCGAGGAGGGACTGGATCTGGGATGACGAGAAGTCTGAACGGGAGGCCGATGATGAGGAACTCTATAGGTGGAGTGACTTCAAATTTAAGACTGGTTCTTTGGCTGAAGACTTGTTAAAAATCACATAGAGAAAAATGAAATTATAATAAACATGTTGTCCAAGACCTTGAAGACAATGACATGTGGCTCTTTTAGTTACGTTTCCATTCTATAATTCGTACGTACCTCGACCTCATCTTCAAGCCCACCTTCATCTTCTAAAAATACAAATCCGTCCTGCAACTGCTCGTGCCTGGAGAGACAGCAGTGATCGTCGTGAAGCCGTCCTAGAGGCATTGGAGTACAACACAAGAATAGCCCAACGAGAAGAAGAAGACTACACACGTCGCTATGGCTACCGCTGAAGCATCCCCAACGCCATCCTACTTGGCTCTTTTTCTACTTGCTCAAAGATCATTCTATATCAGGGACTTCCAAATGGAGCGAGCACTCTTATTTTTTGAAGTACATTCATACTTACTGGCGTAAAATGTTGAAGTACGTTCATAATTCAAATACTTACTTAATCTTAGAACTGACGCGGATTCACTCATACTTACTTAAAAATCATTACGCCAAGGATCATGTTGCTCCCAACAAGGATGCCACCAGTGCGGTTGTAGCTCTAACGTCGATGGCGTAAAATGTTGGACTCGAGGATCCTCGCTAGTGCCGAACAACGCGATATTCGTGTTGAGGAACAAAAATTGAAGAACACGATCACACAATTACGGGCCGTTGGAGGAGGAGTAGGTACTTGTGTCCTTTCTCGTTGTATCGACATGATTTTTTCTAGATGATTTACTCAATCAATCAATCGTCCGAAGGAGAGCGTGCCGAAGGTTCTCGCTCTGAAGACAACTACTGCAACACTAGTTGAACAAGAACTCCTTCTTATCTAAGTATATATTCTTCTTCCTGTAGTACAGTCCCACTTCCAATGACCTTCCTCTTGTTCATCATGCGTTTTTATTGTGTAAAGAGTAAGCTCCCATCTACTATCCTCTTCCTCATTGTGTAAGTAAGCTTCCATCTACTATCCTCTTCCTTTTTACTAGGCACCTCCAGCGACATTCCAGCGCGTTCCCTATCACCGCAGCGCAATTACGAGATAACGAAGTCTCTAGACTCCTGGGCCGAGCATCGCAGAGAATTACGCGCGAAACTCTCAGCGCATGCCAGTGAAATGAGGAGTATAGCTTGCGAAGCCAAGGCCTTAAAACATCGCGCTTGGTCTGCAAGAAGGCATGAGAAATAGAGGAGAAGGTAGGTCGTGGTACCACCTGTAAATAGAACGTGGTGAAGAACGTTGTACTTAAGGTTGAGTACCCGATGAACTTTTTTTTTGTCTTTCTCTTTTGATCCATTATTTTTGATTATAGCAAATTCTAAGCCCATGATTATATATAAATACTTAAACAAATACAGAAACAAATTGACGCCATCAAGCAGTTGTAGTTACTAGATGATACTGCAGAAGACGTTAGTAGAGCGACACCCGGACTCGCTCAGTACTGGGGACATAATCTAGAATTTTACAGTCTAAAAATACCGATCATGATTCAACAGTTGTACGTGGACTCGACATGAACAGTACTACTAGTAAAGTTTCTCTTTCAATCACGAATCCTAACCTACACGACGACGACGTGTAGTACACTACATTTGCTGATGTAGCCAGTAGCTTCATCAGCGTGACTTAGTTTTGAATAGCGGGAAGTCTTTTTCATTTTCGTTGTTTTTGTAATCTTTGAGGTGGACGACAAATAGTGAATACTCCTGCTCGGTTATCGTGATTACAAGAGTGCACGCATTCAATAGTACATGGTGATGGTTTCCATGCTTTTGCTTACTAAATAAAATCAAAATGTCTTTCTCTTACTTTGTCTTACTTAGTTTCGTAGGGTCTTTCTTTTCGACTTGCTATCACATAACAATGGTAACGAAAAGCAACCTGCTAACATCGATTACTGCATGTATGCGTATCGTATGAGTATTTCATATCTCATGTAGATTTTCATTTTTTCGTAGCAATGCCTTCTAACCGTGGAAATATCATGGAAAAATGAACGCTGTAGTGATTGTGATGACGTTGTTTTTTATAAAGTTGTCCTCGCTGCATAGACATAGATGTTGACGCGAGTGGACCTGTCTCTTATTTTTCATGTAATGCAACGAACGATAGATTTTGCTTCCTTGCTTCGTATCTTACAACAAGAAACATCACACTCAGACTCACAGAATGGTTTCAGCAGCGTACCTATGATTTTGATTCTTATAATGGTCTTGTTGTACAGGATGAAGTGGTGGTGGTCAGCTGTAGAAAAGTGCTGCTCGTTCCGCTGTAATGTAGGTCAGCCGTCGTAGAGTGAACTAAAGCTTCAAGTCTCTGTAAGCCGTTGAAAAGAACTTGCTCAAAGTTGAGTCAAGCTGTAAGTTAGAGGTGGAGTCGGTGGATGTACAGCCACCACTTCATCCAGGCGATACCACTCATCCAGGCGATGAGTACAATCAGAATCAATCGAAAATAGATTTCTTGATGCTCTCTCCAATGATGTTGACCTGATCATGTAGTTTACTCTGTAGATATTAAGCAGATAAAGTGCCAATAAGAGGTAGACATCATTCATATTACCTCCTTAGAAGGCCTTTGCAGGAAAAGGTTTCCCTGACCCTTTGCAGGAGGTGGCTCTTGCTAATTTCCATCTGATAAGCACCCAAAACCACTACAATCCTGTGGAGGAACAAATAGGTGAATCAATATCAAATACAAATGCCAATATTATCTTATCCTATGTTGATCCTACAACCGAAAAGAAAAGATGAGTGCCCTTTCCGCGTGGTCTCAAGAGCAGAAACAGAGTCGTTCCTGGTCGTCCGGCTTGCCAAATACCGCGGATCTTGAAGTTGGCCGGTCATGGGCCTCACAGGGAGCGACAGGAATGTTTAGCAGTGTACGAGACACCTTCGTATCAACGGCACACGATTATACACCGGTTGCGGTGTCAGGTACTTCTTCTTGAGATTTTTACACATGTGGCCCACAACAAGTGCTTCACACCGCAAAGGGAAATTTCTGTCGATCCGGTGCTTGAAGTACAGGGCTGAGGCAGGAACTATTCTAATTCTAAAAATTCTAAGATGTGCATGTGGCCTACAACTACAGGTTCATTTTCAACAAAAAATCAACAAATTTACTCAGGCGCCTTCGAATCGACGACATCATCGATTCGGAATTCCAAAAATTCAACAAATATACTCAGGCGCCTTCGAATCGACGACATCATCGATTCGGAATTCCATAGAAACCGTCACTCCTCCATCTGCAGAGAGACTGCAATGGTTTGCCATATTTTTAGGGGTTGGCGTCCTTCTCCTGTTTCTCTCCTTCGCCTTTCTGCCAATGGTGGTTCTCAATCCTAGAAAATTCGCGCTACTGTTCACAGGAGGAATGACAAGTATCGTGGCATCGACGGTCTCGTTGAGGGGCATGGTATCACGTCTTCTTGTACTTACTTGTTCTAAAAACAATTGATTTCAACATCGTCCTCGGCTACAACCTGATGTACTACGTAGGTTCTACTCTGAAGAAATGCTTGGAGTTCCAGCCAGCACCACTAGAAGTAATAAGTACTTAAGTTTTAACAACTGCAAGGAGAAGAAATTTCCCCACTATCCAGGCGCCGCTATTTTCTTTCGTGAGTGCAAAAGAACGACTGCCTTTTGCGATTGCTTACGCATTCGCCTACTTTGGAACTCTTTATGCCAGTCTTGTGATGCGCAGTTATTTCCTCACTATTGTTTGCATCGTCGCAGAAGTCGTCTCGATGCTGTATCTGGTGCTTTCCTACGTCCCCGGCGGAGCTAGATTCTTGAACTTCGTATTCGCGACGGCGCTCAGTTTTTGTCGGGTGTGCTTGTCTCGATGCATGAAAATGAGTTCTTCTGGAGAGGAAGCATCTTCAGGCTCAGGAGGTCGTGGTGGGATTCTTGGACTCTAGAAAAGATAGGAGGTCGGAGGATCCTTGGACTCAAGTCGTGCTCAACATCAATCAGTTCTGTGTCCTTCCACATGCTGCTTGCCAGCACCATCAAGGCATACGCATAACTACGTGTTCATCATTTTCGAGTTGAGAAGAGGTAAGCCTCGAACTTCGATATCGTCTTCGTGGCACTTCATCGAAAAGCAGTAAAAGACACCACGCGACAACAAAAAGGGCGGAGCGAAAAGTCGTGAGTACTTAAGTACTTGCTACATTGATTGTTTTCGACCTTTTATGGGGGACTATTCGTTTCGATTTTCTTTCGTCTTCGTACATACTAGAGAAGTGACTCAAAAAAATTGCTTGCCACCTAGAAGTGACTGCCAAAAACAATATTAGATATTCAATAGACCATCTTCTAGTTCTACTGCAGTCGTGACACACAAACTTCTCAAAAAAAATCGCATCCATAGAAGTACAAGGATTGTTCTACTACTAACACAGGAGAAGTTGAGGACCACTGCAAACAAAAATTTTTTCAAAAAAAGAACATCAATAATTCAAGTATTCAATTCCTAAAGATCTGAAACTAAAAAATTTGGTCAACTACAAAAACGATTGCATTCCTCACAACAGCAGAGTCGACGAAAAGATGCGGCTCTTTGCCGGACGACGCTTACTGATGTCGCATTTTTGCGCGATTTTCGTCGTGTGCAGCAGCCTTGCTATTTCCTCTGTGTCTGCTTATGGCGTAACGCTATCGTGTTTTGTATTGAAAGTCGAGCCTTTCCCTCTTTAAACAATCAAAAAACCTCACGCGTTTTGGCTGCAAAAAGCCAGGAGACGGCTTTTGTTCAGAAAGTGCATGCTTATTCTTTGCGTGCAGCAACCTTGCTACTGCCTCTGCTGACTCTTCGTTCCTCGTCTTCTCTCTGACTGCCACGTTCATACGAGTGTTGAGCGCGCGTCTAGTCATACTGCCTCCTTCGACGCGTATATCCTAATAAAGACTTCTCCGCCATGGGAGCACTTCTTAATCCACACTCTTCTTAACCCACACTTCACAAAATGGCGATGGACGATACTCCTTTCTAAGTACCCACTATTCTACCCTACTTATTATTTAGGCCTCACAAAATGGCGATGGACGATAGTGCCTTCTAAGTAAGTACCCTTTCTTGAATTGTTCATTCCCTAAGAATTCGTTTGATGAGCAAACAGTTCATCTTGACCTTCTTCTAACCTCTTTCCTCCGAACCTGATGATGATGATCTTGATGAACGTAGTACAAAGCCTAGTCCCACATCAGGTTCAGGTTCAGGATCAGACTCCGCAGGCAAGCCTGGTTCGATGCGTAGTGCTAGTGAAGCGAGAAAGATCTACGAGCAGAAGAAAAAGGCCTACCGCGATAAGCTGAAACTTAGGGCTTATTCCCCTGTGTGTAATATTAAAGATTAATCCATGTCCACTTTCACAGTACCAGTAGACTTTCACAGAACCTCTCCAGAAGCATTATTGATTCAAGCAGATAGGGAGAAAGAAGCATCACTATCAAGATGCAGATACATCCACTCAAGGTGGATAGTCATAGTAGGTGTTTGAATTGGCTTAGGATTAGGTCCACCGACGCCAAAGCACATAAAGAAAAAACAAGCGGCTCGTTTCTCCCTCATAGCCTAGGTGTATCCCTGCATGCAATAGTAAGTCCTTGAACAAGAATCCCGAGCTCTTTATCTAAGACATGCTCAGAAATGCTGAAGCGGAAAGCCAAAGCGAAACGCGTTGAGTTCGCTACGCGTCGCCGTCGCATGGCACGAGCACATAACAAACGCGTCAGGGAAGCTAATTACGGAAAAATTTTGTTTTTGGACAAATGCAAATCATTTTTGCGATAGAAGTTTTTGTCGGTAATTACCTATCTGGTTGTATTAGAATTTACCTTTGTTTCATCTGCGACGCACTACCTCGAAATCCAATTTCTTGATGATCACAAGAAAAAATACCTCCATTAATATCTCTCTACTTCCTCTAATCTCGAATCAAGACTTTGGCCGCTCAGGGCAAAACTCTTGCGGATTTGCCGGAACATCTACGCACTCAAGGAGAGGTGGAAGAGGACCCGTACCATATCAATTAAGGCATTATTCAAGGTCCTCAGGGATGAAGATTCATTTACATTTTCGTGGTCAGTGACAGAGTTTTAGCAAGTATAAGTAAGTATAAGGCTAAGTAAGCAATTATTTTTCTCGGTTTCTTTCACTTTCGTTCGTTTTCTTGGTGGACGATAATTCATTCCGACTCCGACAAGATGAAAAGCCAGATGGCACTTCCTTCTTATTCTTAAGAACAGACGTTGGGTGAAATCACGGGTTCGGGGCTCTAAATCAACTTGAAAGAGCCTGTCGTTGACCGGAATGAGGTGGACGTGGACGTCGACCTCAACGATGAGGACTGGGATGACGAAGAGTCGGATGATGACGGCTCATCAGATGTCAGTGATGATGATGAGTTATAAGTAGATCGGTCTCCAACGTAGTGGATGGCCTCATGGTAGACACTTATAGGTACGAAAGACGCACCATCACATGACATGACAGTGGAGCAGGAGTAGAAAGGATTAAAGTGGAGGAGGAAGAGGAGGTGATTATGGGGATGTTAGAGGAACCAAAACGATTCTCTGTGAACTCCTAGTACGACCACTTTACTGGATGCGGTTAGCGTAAAAAACGTAGTTGTAAGAACAAAAGGAAGACCCACCGAGATCGATATCATCGAAGATGCATCAATGAAAACGATTAGCGAAGTCCAGCTTTGAATTGTCATAATACGCAATGCCGCAATATAGGCTTGAAAACCTTGAAAAATTTCGTCGTCGACATGATGATGAAGAAGCAACTCCAAATTCAATACGAATTTGAGGAAGCTAGACGATTGTAGGGGGCTCCTGATAGCCATTTGTATTTGAGGTCAAGATGATGAATCTACTGCAGGGCGACGAACATGATCAGTTCTGTCACATAGAGTTGTAGATTCTGTCTACGAGTTGAAGTGCACGTGGTGAAGTGACCCATACAAGACAATGCGTCTGTCTTTGAGTGAACAGGAGTACCAATTTTTCTGTCCAGATTGAGGGTGGAGCAGCAGTATTTGAGATCGTCTTCAACGCGATGATGGTCGATCTGTCATTATGAGTGCACAGAGTCGTCTTCTGTCTTCTCCTTCTGCTTGAGTTTGAGAGTGTGCTAGGTGGTATGATGATGCGATGATCCTTCTAGTCAGTTTATTATACCAATTCCCTTCTACATAACGACTAGTTTTTACTGAACTTCATCTGCTCGTGATCATGTCATTATCTTTCTACTCCAACAACGAACAGCTACTTGTTGTTTGAAGGAACCAACATCAAAAATTTTACCCGTCTAATCAAACGGACCCTCTAACATACATCACATATTAGTGATAGTTGTGAACCGTTTGAAAGTTATTGTCGTTCTTGATCAAGCTCGAACTTGTTCTACTCCACGTCCGCTTCAACATCTAGTTCTCCACTCCACTTCTCAAGGACTTCCCCTGTGGGTGCTGTTTGCATTTGGTTGTATCAACTAGTACAACATCCACCAACTACCCCAGAAAAAATGTCAGTCGATCCTCAGTTTGAGAAGAAGGGTGATGCATCCCGTGCCCACATGCGTGATATGGAAGGAACGGCCCGCAAACTCCATCCTGGGACCGTCGACTTCGCCGCATACGTTCAGGCTCATGACAGACGGTACTTGGGCTTCCAAGGAGAGCTGTACTTGGGACGACCGACCGGCAATGACTCCAGCAACCTGTGCTCTTTGACGAATCCGCCACAGTACTATTCATGATTCATTTATTTGAAATTGAATCACAAAAATTTGTGCTCATGATCATGGTTGAAAATATGAAGAAATGTTGACTACAAGAAGCCACAGTATCCATCGAGATTGAGATGAACAATGAATAGCTCATTGTATTTATTGGACTAAGTTAGTACTTGATTTCTCTTATGATCTCTTATTTGATAGGACAACTAGGTAGTTAGAACTAGAAGTTTGATGTGAACGCTTTGTGCAGCGATGTGCGAGTGTGCTCTCTCACCTCAGGTATTGGAAGCGATATTACTACAAGGGTGAAGCCTTGAAGGAGGTGTTTGATGAAGCGGATCACGTTGCCGAGAAACGCTACGGCCGAAAGCCGCCGCCGGTCGACATTTCGGGAGTTTTTAAACTTGGTACTGAAGTAGCGAAGATTTTATTTTTATTGAGTTCTAGCCGTCCCACTTCTGGACCTGGAGGTTGACATTTCGGGAGTTTTTAAGTCACTTAAGTATTTCGGGATACGAATAATTTTTTTATGCATCTTGTTCATAAGTAAGTATGTTGCATAAACGCCCTCTGAGCGTGAAGCATGTTTGTCCGTCCTGGTGAAAAATTGTACTCTCGCACTCGCGCCGAAGATTGCATTTTTCATTACAACTACAGGCGAGCAGCTCCGCGACGATGTCTTGGTTGCTGAGAAGCCGAAGGAAGTCACTGGGCGTCCCATCACTTTCCACTCCGTCTTATCCCACAAGTACACGGACAGTCTGTTAAGGCTCAATGCAATTCATTTCTATTTCTTCTATTTACGTCATTTGTTTCTCCCCATAATTGATTGGCTCCTTTCCTAAGGAGGACGATCACAATTGGGAGAATAAATACAGGGAACTACAAGAAATGAATTGTATTGCTGAGCTCTAAGTCTGGGCAAGGCTGTCGAAGCCGATGCTAAGCCCTATCAGTACTGCAAACAAGCTCATATGTCCAAGAAATCGGAACTGCATTTCATTGCTTCCCAGTTGTATCGCAAGGACCGTGATTTAATCCTGGATCGCCCATCGGTCTTCAAGCGCACAAGCAGTTTGCAAACCCATTTCCCAGATCAGCTGAAAGAAGTATCAGGGGCCGCGAGCTCAGTGGAGGCGCCGTGAGAAGCGCCGTAAGCAGCGCCCTAAGAAGCCCGAAAGATGAAGCCGAAGGAGCAGAGATAAGATGTTGGAGATGTTGGGTACGAGTATTATCAGTATCATATATGGTCTGGACGCACAAGGTACGAAGGAGTAGAAGAACGCGGTGGCGGTGGGACAGAACTTGGTCTTCCTTCCCGTGGGATCCTAAGACGAGGATCACGAGATGTTCTTCGGCCATTGCTATTCAAGAGTTTTCAGAAAATACAGCAGCACCTACTTCCTTGGAATATGATTAGAGGCTATTAGCATCTCTGTCATTATAGCGAAATAGGACTTCATTTGTAAGAACTCGAATTTGCTTTTTCTGATGTCACAGGAGAAGGACGGACACGGAGTGAAACAAACAGACGAAATCATTAACTCATATTGCTTATCGTTATCAAGTAGATATTACTTACCTTTAATTGGAACACCAGGGACGAGTAGAATAATTGAAAGAACAACGACTCAACGATGAATTCTTCTAATGTACATAAATGTGAATGTTTATGTTTTTCAACAATTCCTCGTACAAGCTGCTTATTGTAGGAGTATGAGTAAAGGGGGATGATGCCATCAGCAGCATAATTTGTGAAATCAAAGGAACTCTCAAACAACTTTAGCAGGTGCACCATTGCTTACTAGTACAAGAAGAGGGAACGCATAATATTTGACCATTGCTGTTCGTCTAATGATCGATCATGTCCAACAGACAGGTGGAAGCATCTTGATGTTTAACATCTTTACAACATGTGTTCGCTCTAATTTCTGTCCTCGTCCGTGCATTTTCTGTCGTCGTGTACGTAGTTGTAGAATTGCTTGGAGTCCTCGGAGGTTCACCAAATCGTAGAGCACGAAACCATTGGGCAACCAGCAATTCATGTATGTTGACGTTTTTGTGCCTCTCAAATGATGTCATGAAGCTTCTTCTACGGTGGCATAGTACATGCTTTGAGACTATGTGACATTCTTCATGCCAACATGCTCTGACGAAAAGCGAGAAGCCGTGGCCCCTAAGCATGAGCAGCTTTTTTCTGTCCTGTGAATGTAGAAATATTGAGTGTCGTGCTTCGGTCCAGGAAAAAATGTTGCGTTTGGTGACTATTGAGGTGATGCCGTGAGAGGGTAAAAATGAAAAGACTCGCTGGATCGTCCTCTGGTGCTGTCTGCCGTTTGCACAAGAATTTTCTCAACTCAGCAGAGTCCGGAGGTATCTGCCGAAATGACCTTTTTTTCGGCACCACCGACCATCATGAGCTAAGTAGAACGAGACGCGTAACGCGATCGCAGTATAATGTGTCTAGCTCCTCCGTCGTAGAAGCTGGTATTATTGCTATAACTCTTGTAGCCTTCTTTCTATTCCACTATTGTCTGAAGCAGTCTGAGATTATCAAGATCTTCAATGCATAACTAGGGAAGTTGCTCCTCTGGACCCCACGTGGCAAATATAGTGGGCTAGGAAGTTCCTCCTTACTGCAAAAAGATTCTTTTAGCTTCCTTGACTATTTTGAAAACGAGAAAGAGAGAAGAAAAAAACTCAAGCAGCTTGAGAGGCTCAAAGAGTTGCAACGTCGAACGCGAACGAGAATAAGAGTGAGCGCTGTTTTTTGTTGTTGTTGCATTTTTTTAAGATGTGAAAGCCTTTACGCGTGTACAGTAACCCGAGGCC